TGAAACTCTCAAAAAAATAACAAATTTTTTTAAATACTTTAATTAATTAATTTAAAGAAATATATACTTTTTCAATATATTTTTATTTATTTAAAAATAATTTTTATTTTGATAATATGATATAATTAATTAACTTTATTTTTCAAATTTCATTGGAGGATTTTTTAAACTTTGTAATTTTTATACTTTTTAAATGTTTTTTATATATTTAAAATTTACATAATTAATTAAATTTATTTTTTAAATACATTGAAGTATTTTTATTTTGTTTAGAGTTAGATTAATTTTAATGCTTTTTTCAGTATATTTCATTTTTTTTTAAATTATTTTAATTTTTATAATCTTAATTTATTATATTTATTTTCCTAAATAATTGAAGTATTTTAAAAAAATTGTTATTTTGTTTAGAATTTAATTATTTTTAATACTTTTTCAATCTCTTTTTAATTTATACACTCTTAATACTTTTTCTATAAATTTTTATTTATTTAAAAAAACTAATTTTTATAATCTAAATTAATTAAATTTAATTTTAAAATTTTATTGAAGTATTGTAGATTAATAAACATTTTTTTTAAAGAAAGTTTACATAATAATATATGATTAAATTTTATTATCATTGAGTATCTCAAATCATTTTTTTTTTTTATTTAAATTAAGTAGTAATATTCAGAAATCAAATATTAATTGATAACTTTTTATATCTGTCTTATTAGAGGTTAGCAAAAGAAAATATAAAATCAAAATTTGCTTTCATTTCTATTAATACTCCATCCACTTAACTTTCGTATATGCTCTATTTATACATTTTAATTAGTTTTTGGTTTATGTTTCTTACTTGTTTCACTAGTATATCTTTGAAATGGTTTCTTAATTCTGTTTGTATTACTTTATTATATAGATTCTTCTGTTTTAATATACTTTTATGCAACAAAATTTTAGAAAGCTGAAGATTAAGTTATTTATTTATGTCTTATATGCCTGATTGGTTCAGGATATATATATTCAGCTATACTCATTTATCTCACAGGAGTGATTTATTTTGCATATATTGAGTTATATTACTTTTTCTCTATTAAATTTTTATAATTATCAGGTGATTTTCTAATTAAAAATGCCTTTTTCTTCTTTTAATCTCTTTTGGAAGTTATCAAAGAATCTGTAATAATTAAAGATGACTCGGTTTTAGAATTAAGTATAGATGAAATTTGCTTAAAATCTCTATTTTAGTCTAACCTTTCTTTATTATATTTTGAGGTAATTGATTTCAAAGATAATTTCTACCCATTTAGATATTCTCTTGCTTTTCTTTAAAATTCATAGACATACATTTATGATCAATCAAATTATAATTTATTATATAACAATATTATTAGAGAAAATATTTGTTTAATAATATTCTAAAAGACAAATGTATATAACTCTGTCTATAAGAAATAAGAAATTCTAAATTAGATTAATTCTAATATTGATTCCATATTTTATTTAAATGATATCAATAATATTTTCTATAATTGATTGAATTAAAATTTAAATACAATTCAGTTTCTATTAAATCCATATATATTTATAATGTCCAAAATTAATTGTTATGAAGATGGACTGAACTCATTGATAAATAAAATAAAAATCCAGATGCATCAATAAATTAGAAAAAATAGATTCTAAATTTAAGAAATTAAAAAGAACGATTACTAAATTAAATCTAATCTACTTTCAGTTGCATTAAATATTGGAAATAATGTTGTAAATTCCTCAAAATTATATGATTATTCAAGTATAATAGAATCAAAAAGGAGGTCGACTCAAATACCCTTAAAAAGTAATCTTTTTGTATCTCCAAAAAAAGAAAAGCTAAAAAAAAAAGCAGGCTTCTTAAATAAATAAAGATTAATGAATGCAAAATGCGAAATAAGAGCATGGACTATTCAAAATACAAACCGAACAGATTAAATATGAAATTATTAAAATATTGTGTATTGTAATTTATAATATTCCATAAAATATGTTTACTATTATATGCTAGTATTTTGATAAAATAAAAAGCATATATTCATGATGATCAAGTTGTTAAAAGATAGAAAAGGACAAAAAGATTCAAAAATAATATTAGACGCATAAGCATCATTAGATTTTTAAAATATTAATTGCATTCATAATAGTAGTGCCTAATTTTGCTGCCATCATTTCAAAACTTTAATCCAATCCAACTATGGTTGAGCTGCCTAACATAATTTTATCTTTTTCTTATTTAAGTAGATTTCTTTATTTAATAGGAACTTCAAAGACAGCAATAACTTAATTATCATAAATGATTGGGTGTATGAGAACTGGTAAGATTGAATCTAAATCAATAGTTTCATCAAATTCTATTGATTTTCTCATATTCATTACTATTAATTCCTTTTTTTAAATTTATAATTACTTTTTTACGATCACNTTCTCTTGCTTTTCTTTAAAATTCATAGACATACATTTATGATCAATCAAATTATAATTTATTATATAACAATATTATTAGAGAAAATATTTGTTTAATAATATTCTAAAAGACAAATGTATATAACTCTGTCTATAAGAAATAAGAAATTCTAAATTAGATTAATTCTAATATTGATTCCATATTTTATTTAAATGATATCAATAATATTTTCTATAATTGATTGAATTAAAATTTAAATACAATTCAGTTTCTATTAAATCCATATATATTTATAATGTCCAAAATTAATTGTTATGAAGATGGACTGAACTCATTGATAAATAAAATAAAAATCCAGATGCATCAATAAATTAGAAAAAATAGATTCTAAATTTAAGAAATTAAAAAGAACGATTACTAAATTAAATCTAATCTACTTTCAGTTGCATTAAATATTGGAAATAATGTTGTAAATTCCTCAAAATTATATGATTATTCAAGTATAATAGAATCAAAAAGGAGGTCGACTCAAATACCCTTAAAAAGTAATCTTTTTGTATCTCCAAAAAAAGAAAAGCTAAAAAAAAAAGCAGGCTTCTTAAATAAATAAAGATTAATGAATGCAAAATGCGAAATAAGAGCATGGACTATTCAAAATACAAACCGAACAGATTAAATATGAAATTATTAAAATATTGTGTATTGTAATTTATAATATTCCATAAAATATGTTTACTATTATATGCTAGTATTTTGATAAAATAAAAAGCATATATTCATGATGATCAAGTTGTTAAAAGATAGAAAAGGACAAAAAGATTCAAAAATAATATTAGACGCATAAGCATCATTAGATTTTTAAAATATTAATTGCATTCATAATAGTAGTGCCTAATTTTGCTGCCATCATTTCAAAACTTTAATCCAATCCAACTATGGTTGAGCTGCCTAACATAATTTTATCTTTTTCTTATTTAAGTAGATTTCTTTATTTAATAGGAACTTCAAAGACAGCAATAACTTAATTATCATAAATGATTGGGTGTATGAGAACTGGTAAGATTGAATCTAAATCAATAGTTTCATCAAATTCTATTGATTTTCTCATATTCATTACTATTAATTCCTTTTTTTAAATTTATAATTACTTTTTTACGATCACAGACTTATTTAGCAATGCCTTTTTTAGTTAGAATAATAGGTTAATCTAAAACTCTACCTTGAGTAATAGCATTTTTATGAGTCATGCCATCCCAACTTGTACCTATAGTTTTATATGTAATGAATGAATCATTTTTAATAAAATAGAATGCTATCATTGAAACAGTTAAAATAGATTCCATCCAATATCTTATATATTTATATAATTCAAATTAAGTTTTACTTAATAGAAAATCATGGAAGGCATTTTAAACCATAGAATCAAATTTCAAAGTAACAGAGAGCAATCTTGTTTTTATTTAATTTTTAATGAGTAATTCACAAAATTTAGCCAATATAACACCATAATATTCTTCATCAAAAGAGAAATAATCACTCACAGAATTACTTATTTCTAAGATACCTGATAATGTTTAATTTTGATTGAAAATAGGATAAAGGAGACTTTAATTTGTATACATAGCAACATGATTTGTATTATCACATAAGAGATTATAATCACGTTTATGAACTGGTTTTTAAAATCTCAATACTTCACTAAAAGATCCTTTATTGATTAAGACTCTTTAATTATTGCTAGAATAAAGAATTCCCATTTAAGCATCTAATATCCATAATCTTGTATTTTGGCACATAAATACATGTTTAAAATTATATTCAATGTATTACATCTGATCTTAAAGATTCTCAATCAATTATAATGATATAAGCTATTTAAGCATCATATTAAGTTTTTCTGAAAAGTCTTTAAATGATAAATATTAAGAGGTTACTAATTGGATTGATTCTTTAATTTACTTCTAAGTTGATTACATTACTTTCTAAGTAAAAACAGTTGTTCCTTGTTCTTATATATCATTCATTATATCAGCAAATTCTAATTTTAAAGCATTGATTCTAAAATCCAAATTATCGCATGCTTGATATCGTATCAAAATTTAAGTAGGATCATTTTATTTATCATCTTATTGAATCCATTCAGCTCTATCAAGGGCAAGGTTTTCTAGTTCTCTAATAGATATTTTTTTTTTCATCAACTCAAGTTTTTAATTTAATTTACTAATTCTTTGTTAAGATGATTTATATTATTCAGTTAATCTAGAGATTTCTTAGTTCTTTAATTATAATTCTCTTTTTTATCTTTCACATTCTTTCACTAAATCAGTTAGTGTTTTTCTGATATTAACAGATTCATTAGGGAAATCACTTTCTAATATGATTTCTAATCTTTATTCTAAATTAGTTACTTTATGATTTAAATCACCACTTAATTTAGTTTGTAATTAATATTAATGATAATTTAATTAATTTTGATGCATTAATTCATCAATTTTAGTTTTAAGATTTTTATTTTACGTTTCTAGATCGTCATATTTAGTTTTTAAAACAGAAAATTTTAATTCTAATTCACTATATAATTATTAAGCCTTTTATAATTAACGATCTTTATAACCTAATTCTAATTCACTTTAAGATGCTTTTTCTAATCCTTTTGATAATATTTTAACAGTGTCCATAATTTTCATAATGTCTGTATCCTTCGTATTGTTTTCTATCATTTTTAATATTTACATGTGTAACTATTAATTAAAATATTATGATACATTAGTAAGTTAAGTGATATCAACACTAGTATTAGAGTTTGGTGACATTATCTAAGTCTTTTTACAGCTTGTCTATGATAAGAGACTGGATAATTTTCTATGCATAGAATGATAATTTTATTTATCAAATAAATAAATATAAATATATTTAAATTATAACAGTATGGGAAACACATGTGAACATTGTAATAATAAATATTAATAATAATAAAGGTTGGAAAGGATTATCAGATTGTGGATAATATTGTTGTGAAGGTTGTGAATAATGTTATGTTTGTATGAAACCATGTTGTGTATCTATGAGAGATGAATGTAAAAGTTGTTGTGCTATTTGTTCATGTTAAGGATTAGGTTAATGTTTATAATGTAATACAAATCCATGTTTAATACTTGATAAATCAACTCCTGATATTTAATAAACATTATAAAATTATGAACATAAGACACATTATATGGATTAATGGTATGGAGATGTCATTCTTTTAGAGAATAAACAAACTAAAATACTTGCAATATTAAAAGTTTAAGAGTTTTTATATCAATCTGATTTTGAAGAGTAGAATTAACAATTTATCTAACGTAAATAATTATAAAATGATAACATTGTATAATTAAAAGAATATATGTCAAGATAAGAAGAAGGTTTTTGTACATCTATTTATAAATCATTTTTGATATTTGATTATATTCTAACAGATTTGGCTTCAGAATTCTAATATAGATTAGAAAATAAGATTCCTTATTAATAAGAAGAATATTATCCAATTCTTTATTAATGTATCAATGGATTGAATTATCTACATTAGAATGGGATTTTTCATTAAGCTTTAAGAATGAAAAATATATTTATTACTTAAGATAAATATAAAATAGCAGATCCTCATATATTTGATCATAGAAATGATTATGATAAATTATATAGCGAAAAATAGAAATATTCAAAAGTAGTGTATCTATCTCCTGAATTAGTAAGTGAATTAGATAGAGGGAATAAAGAACCAAATGTTGATTGGTTTAAATCAGATATATATTCTTTAGGAATGGTATTTCTATAATTATGTAGTGGAAAACTATCATCTCTTTGTTATGATTATGATTAGGGTGTTATATTTGAAGATAAGATATCATCACATTTATAAACAATAAAAATTTCATGTCATGATTTCTTTTTTTATATTATAAAAGATATGTTAACAGTAAAGGTATCATAAAGACCAACTGCTTAATAATTATTTGAAAGATTGGATAAGAATCCAAAATGTAAATAATCAATAAGTGTAGCTTAAATAATTTTAGATTAACCTCAAGAATAATAAATAGAATAATAATAATAATAATATTTATAATAAGATGTATCATAATTAATAGGAGGTGGTGGATAAGAAGGATTAGGTGAACCAAATACATTTGATTAATATGATGTATTAGGTCTAATAGGAAATGAACCTACAAAATAAAAAGACTTAGGTATATTAATTTAATTATAAATAATAGTTGAAAATGTAAAAGAGAGATATCCTAATGGTTCAAGATATTAAGGAATGAAAAGAAATGGTTTAAGACATGGAAAAGGTAAATTCATTCATACAGATGGAAGTTATTATGATGGAATGTGGAAAGATAATAAAATGAGTGGAAAAGGAGTATTATATAATACTTAAGGTAAAGTTATCTATGATGGTAATTGGACAGATGATTAATATCATGGTTAAGGTATTGAATATAATTAAGAATAAATACCAATGATTTCTGGATTAGATCATAATAATCTATCTAATATTACTTGTTGGCTTAAATATGAAGGAGCATTTAAAAGAGATAATAGAGAAGGTTTTGGAACACTTTCATTAAGTAATGGTGATAAATATATTGGTGCTTTTAAGGATGGATAAATTCATGGATTTGGTACTTATTCATATAAAAATGGATAATCTATCTAAGGAAAATGGAACATGGGTAAATTATAAAAATGAATTCCATTATTATTATTAATATTATTATTATTATTAATATTATTATTATTATTAATATTATTATTATTATTAATATTTATATTATTAAATGTTTCTAGGAAAAGCAGGAGTTATGGCATTATATGCAAAAAGGAAATTTGATCAAAAAGGTAAATTACCACATTAATACTTATTGGATCATCAATCAAAATTCTAATCATAATTAAAAAAGAAGAATATTTACACTATTTCATAATATCCTAAAGGAGCTTGGTTTTTAGGCATGGTCTTTTTTATTTCAGGAATTTCATTGTTATACATTTTACTTAAGTATGATAAAGGAGATCTAACTTTATGGTGGAGATATTTTATTATCATTGGAATGACTATGTATTCTATTTCTAATATCTAAATATTAGATTGGGCATCGTTTTCTTGACTACTGTTGATCGAATCAAATATGAAATACATAAAAATCATCAAATCTTATTAATTGAAAGGATGAATCCTTTTCTCTTCTGTCGTAAAATTACAATCATCAAAGATTTAGAATAATTAGATGATATTAGAATTACAAAAAAAGGTCACAAATCAGTTGAATATTATACTATTCAATTTGTTTTTAAAGAATCTAAAGTTGATACACTTGAATATAATGAATTAAGAGAAACTAAATTAAAATTTACAGAAATTACAACATTTCTAGACTAATAAAAAGATCTAGGAAAAATTAAAATTGAATAAGAAGCAGATCCATATTATGATTTCGTAAACAATTCTAACATTAATAATAATGATAATAAAAAACCAAACTTATAAGAAATGCATAAAGTTAATTAATCATCTTATGATAATTTAGAAAATCAAAGATCAACATTTTAAGAAAAAGATAAAGAGAATGATGAATTATTATGATTTTTTAATTTTAATTTAAACACAATATATGTTGGAATAAATTTAAGAATGAGTTAATGATCAATCATCTATTAAAATTATAGATAAATTTTAACTCTTTCCAGCATTATGTACTATTGGAATATCATCATCATCATCATTTTTATTAATCTTATTTATATTTTGGTATCCTCTATCAATTATATCTTAATATGTTTTAATAGATTCATCTTACAATATTAAATTAATTTATTCATCTTTATCTAATTAACCCTAACTTATTTTAAATATGATACATTATGATCTAATGCTAGTTGATCAATAGAAATCTCTAATAGTTTGATTCTTTCAATAATAAATAATTGATATTTATCAATGACCAAATGGAAGCATATTTTTTTGCATATTGGACATATCCACTTTTTATGTTCTACCTTAATCATCATTTCTAAGAAACTACACAAACAGAAACATTACTCATGCTAGCAAAATTCTCCTCTAAGATTATTTATAAATATAAATTTACTTAGCTGGTATTTAAATCAATTCTAAAGTAAATTAACAATAGAGACTAATAATTGTTTTTGCAACCTAGATATCTTTTTTATTATATTCTGTTCTAATCTTTGGTTGGATATCAAGCGCTTTAAATTTCTCAATAGCTTAAGTAACATTTAATGGTTCCACTAAAAATAATCCAAAACAATAGATAGATCCTATAGTATCTTTACGATATGATTAATCTGCCAAATGTTCTATTATTGAAAATACAAATTTTTTAGAGGAATTATTCTATTTTATTAAATCTTTGACATTTATATAAATTGAAGTATCTCTCCTTTTTTTTAAACTTGATTTTTCTTATAATGGTCTAACTTCTTTAATAGTATTTCCATTTATCAGTAGAGTACAAGACATTGGAAATGTCATATCATATAATCCTTATTTATTTAAAGAGACACATCTTATTTCAAGATTACAATTAGGTGGTGTATCTATAGTAAAACTTTAGCTTGTTTTTGCATTTTCTTTACCTGAACATCTATATTCTATATAAGCTAATCTTTAAATTATTTTTTAAAATGGATTTATTGATACTAACAAACATTATGTACAAATTCTTACTCCATCTTAGATTTCAATAGTTTTAGTATCAACATTATGACAATAATTACAATTTGGTCTTTCTAATTTTGATTATTCTTTTTCTAATTTCTTTATAACTTTTTCATTACTTTCAACAATTATTATTTAATCTTAATTTTTTTTGACTTTAGATCCTTCATAAAGATTTGTAAATAATAATTTTTCAATATTTGATTCTAATTCTTATGCTTCTTTTTATCTATGTTTATCACTTCTTTCTAATCTCTCTTATCTTTCTTTTTCTAATCTATCCTATTTTTCTCTTTCTTATTTTTATTTTTCTAAAAATTCAATTCTTTCTTATCTTTCCTTTTCTAATCTTTCTGCTCTTTCTTTTTCAAATTTTTCCAATCTTTCTTTTTCTAATCTTTCTTTTTCTAATCTCTCTTTATCTTATTTCTCCTTTTCTAATCTTTCTAATATTTAATTAGTCTCTTTTTATTATTATAATTTTTCTTTTTCTCTTTTATCCTTTTTTGAATTTTCATTGTCTTATTTATCTTATTTTTTCTTATCTTTTTTTTCAATAATTGGAATGATCTATTTAGTTGATTTTTCAATTAGTTATTTTGTATTTGATTCTGAATGTTTCTTTTTTTCAATTTTGTCAAGTTTTCCTTTTTTATCTGAATTTTTTAAATCTTGACTTAATTTCTTATCTGACTTATTAAGCAATTTAATATTGTCTTTTCTTTTAATGCTATCTTCTCTCAAAGAAAAATCTTCTGAGGTCCTAATTTCAAGTGATTCAGATAATGAATCTGGTTTTAAAGTTAAAGGCTTACCATCTTTTCTTTTTATTAAATCCAAAGAAGGGGATGACTTTTTCTTTTTCCAATAGCTCTAGAATTCTGTTTTAGATTAATGAGGCTTATTTAACTAGGTTTCTTTTTATTCAATAGGATCTAATAAGGTAGATGATTTGTTATGACAATCATTTGATGAAGGAATTTTGTCTATTTTCTTTTTCAGAATGAGATCAGGAATGAGTTTTGGGTCTTTAAGCTTAATTTCTTGTTTATTTGATGCTGTTTTAGTAGATACATGTTTAGTATTATCATTTGTTTTATTAAATTGATTATTATTAATGTCTAAATTAACCCCAATAAAATTTGGCACTTGGAAATATGATTTTGGAAGAGATGCCTCCAAATCAATTTTTCGTTTATTTGATTCGACTACATCATCATCAATTATTTAAACGACATCATTTTTAGGTGTTTAACAAATTTGTGTTTGAATTGGCTAAGATTTTTGAGGTTATGAAATTTGATTATATTCTTATAGTTCTTATGTTTTTTACTAATTTCTTGTAATTTGAGCTTATTAAATGATTGAAGAGAGCTCATTTTTTTCATTTAAATATGAAATAAAATGAGTAGCAAAATTCTTAAAAAATATTGCATCTCTTTAACCTCCATATTCGTTAACTCCAATTTATTTACAGATATGTGAAATCTAAAAGTCTCGATACTAACATATTTTGGAAGAGTACTTAATTTAATGGGTTGACAGGACTATTTAATAAATCGAAAACCAGAGTTTCTAATAGTTATCTATGTTCCATAATATAATAAATAATGTATTATTTAATTGATCTTTTAAGATCTAAAAATCCTGTAAAAAAATAAACATCACTAAGTCAATCAAATAAAATGCCTTTTACCCATTTTCCTGTTACTTCACCTGACTAACCAAAAAAAGTGCCAAATCCACTTGGTATATCATCTATAAACTCTCCTGCCCATTTTTCTCCATTTGAGAAATATAATATACCATAACCGTGTTTTTTATCTGATTTAAAATCACCTTCATATTTAGACCAATAATTGCCAATATTTCTCAAATCTCTAAAATTGTAATTTTGTGTGATATTTGGATTAGGATTAATCAAATGTCCAAAGTTATGATATTTCCCATTTTAAAATTATCCTTTATATAATATTCTTCCATCTGCTAAAAATAATTCTCCTTTTCCATGCATCAAATCTTAATACCATTCTCCTTCATATCCAGATCCATCAGGATTCAATAATTTACCATGACCATGCTTTTTATTATCAATCTAATCTCCTGTATACTAACCTCCAGTATTTAAATTTAAATTTTAAACTCTACTAACAACACTTATTGGTTATTATTTTTAGTTTGACTACTAATGAACTATACTTTTATTATTATTATCTTAAATTATAGGTGATATTTGTTTATGTTTCATTAACTATATAATCTATTATAATGAATATCTTTCATCAGGTTCATACTATAACATATAAATCAAAACATTATAATATTCTGAACTATTTATTTTTTATAAGTAAAAATTCAGTTTATTTTTATTCAATTTACTATTTTCATACAAGTCATCCATTGATTAATTTATTAATTAACTTAATACAAACAATCCAATTAAAAAACAATCACTTTTATTCCAATCAAATATCTATTCATTTTCATCTTCCCATTCAGGTGGATGTTATAATTTATTATTTGCTCTATATTATTCAAATACTGATTATTTTAATAAATTTGAAGGTAACAACACATAACTGCTTTCGTAATAAACCAATTATTCATTAAATATTGATTTTTCCTCTTAATAATTTAAAATTTGAGATGATATCTATTAAAGAAAAGCATAAACTTAAAATTTATGTTTCTTATTAATATGATGTAATTTAGGCAATAATACTGCTATTCTCCATCTATCTATACAAATATCTTATATTCTAGCTCCATATATTTAAAGCTCTGTATATTTGAAAATATTTTAATGCCATAAACTAAGTGATTTTGAATATTCATTTTAATTTGTAAACCAATAAGTTTTTAAAATTATTTTATCATAAAACTAAATGTTAGAAGTCTTCTTTTTCTTTAATAAGAATGTATCCTCTAATAAAGGATGTCTATATTTTTTGTAAATTTTATAATTGCTAATCAATTCTTTAAATTAAGCTAAGTAAGTTTCATTTTCATCTTCTAATTCAATATGGCGATTAAAATTTAATTCTGTTAATATGTCTCCAGCTGTACAACATTACATACATTAACAACATTGCCAATTATCACAACAGTTTGTTTGAATTGTATTTATACAATCACATCCACATTCTTAACATTCACAATCTTTACAACAATCTTCGCAACAACATCCATTACAACAATCATTTAAATCACAACAATCACAATCGTCATTATTATTTTAACGTTATTAATTTTATATATTCATTAATTTATATAATTCAATCCAGACTTAAATTTTAGTAATAATCTTTTCTATTCATAATCTTTCATTAAATTGCCCATTCGTTAAAGTTCCTCATTATTATATTAATAACTCTTCAAAATATCTTACATTATTCTCATAGGAACCAAGGCAACACTATTTTCAGGTACTTAAAATAAATCTTCAGGATACTCAACATATTAGAGATTTAATTCTTCATTTAATAATTCTACTAATTTTATTGTTCTCTTTTATTTTTATAAAAAATTTGATGGTTAAAATTCTGATTATGCTCTTCTAGTTTTAATTGGGTTGCTTCCAATATTAACTATACTTTAATCAACTGTGTATTTTTGTGAATGCATTTATATACTATTTTTTAATTATTCTAAATTATTTTATTTAGTTAAAAATACTCAGTAAAAAATTAGCTCAAAAAAGTTACCAAAATTATTAATAAAATTAATGATATCAAAAAATACAATAAAGTTTATTTTGACTTTGCGTGCAAAAGGTATAAATAAATTTTGTACACTAAATAAAATAAATATTTCTATATAAATAATATGAAAGATTCTTATAATTAAAGGAGATTTAGAGATATTGTAAGTAATAAGATAGATGTTTAACCTATTGATTCTACTACATTAAAAGAATTGATTGAATCATTAAATAATTAAGTATTTGATAATTAGTTTGAAAAAAAATATTAAGCATAATTTAGTGAGAGAGTGTTTTTATTCAAAGTCATATATGATGGATAAGGCTGGGAAATTAGAAGAACGATTAAATAATTTGAATAATTAGAGTGGCATATGGCTTAAAATATCTTTTATTACATGTTTCATAAAAAGTAAATAACAAAAGGTTTAGAAAGGGATGATCCAAAAAAAACATTAATTTTACTTCATAAATATTTAAAAATGATAATACTAAATGAAATCATTCCATAATGTGCATTAGAATTTTTAGAGATTTCTTGTATTAATTTACCATTTAAAATGAAAGAAGGATATATGGAAAAAAAATCAGGAGGAAGATCAAAAACAACATGTTGTTAATCATTTGTTTCAAATTTGGCATTATGGTCAAAAAGATATTTTATAATAACATAATAATCCATTTTATACTTAGAGGGACCTGAAAAGAATAAATGTAAAATAAAAGAATGTTTAAGTTTTGATTCCGAATTTAGTTTTTAATATGGCAAGATAGAAACAGGAGAAGATACTAAAATAATAATACATTTATCATAGAGAAAATTAATTTTGAGAGCTTAAAGTTTGATATGTTACATAGATTTTATTTATGCTTTATTTAAATCGATAAAGACAAGTCCTTATACTAAATTACATAGATATGGATCATTTGCTCCAATAAGGACATCAAATTGTTAATGGTACATAGATGGAGAGTAATATTTTAGTGATGTATGTGATGCTATGCTATAAGCAAAAGAATCTATTTATATTACTGATTGGTGGTTAAGTCCTGAAATGTATTTAAAAAGACCAGTTGATATGAGAGAATATGGTTAATCAAATGAAAATATAAATACTAGACTTGATAAAATATTAAAGATAGTTGCAGATAAAGGAATATAAGTATTAGTATTATTGTATAATGCTATATCATTTGTTTTAGAAAATGATCCAAAACATTCAAAATTATAATTAGAAAGCATGTCTCCAAATATTAAGGTTTTAAAACATCGAGATCAATTATAAGTATTTTTTTCTCATCATGAAAAAATGGTTTTAATAGATTAATATATTGGATTTATGGGAGGATTAGATTTATGTTTTGGAAGATGGGATAATTAAAAACATTTATTATTTGAAGTTCATCCATTTGAATAATTATGGCCATAGATTGATTTTTCTAATTCTAGAATTCGAGATTTTGTGGACGTAAAAAATTATTAGAAATCTCTTCTTAAAGAGAATGAACCAAGAATGCCTTGGCACGATATAGCAATATGTAATATGCGATTTAATTATTTAGAAATAAAAGGAGATTCTGTTGTTGATTTATCTAGACATTTCGTTTAATATTGGAATTTTGTAATGATGAGTAAATAAAAAAGGTAAGGATTACTACATTCAAATGATTTAAAAATGGAAGGATTTGTTTCTACTAATTAATCAAATATTTCTAATTCTAATTTAATATATACAGGTAGAACAGAAACTCTTATTTAGATGAAATAACCCATTCTTATAGATAATAGAAAAACTTAGGAAATTTAGATAGAAATGAATCCAACTAATTGTTTTAATGAATAGTAAAATGAATTATCCAAATCTTCTTATGCATAATAATTTATTTAATAATAATAAAAAGATTACTATAATTTTTAAATTTAAGAAAATTAAAAAATAAAAATATAAGAAGATGATGATGATGATAAATACTATTACATTTTAGAAGGTAATAAATAATATTAAGAGAAACTCAAAACTAAAATAAAAAAAGAAAAATAAAACCTAAAAGAATATAAGAATATTGAAGGAATTTAAGCACATATTAATCTTGAATTTTTTATTCCTCANCATAGATGGAGAGTAATATTTTAGTGATGTATGTGATGCTATGCTATAAGCAAAAGAATCTATTTATATTACTGATTGGTGGTTAAGTCCTGAAATGTATTTAAAAAGACCAGTTGATATGAGAGAATATGGTTAATCAAATGAAAATATAAATACTAGACTTGATAAAATATTAAAGATAGTTGCAGATAAAGGAATATAAGTATTAGTATTATTGTATAATGCTATATCATTTGTTTTAGAAAATGATCCAAAACATTCAAAATTATAATTAGAAAGCATGTCTCCAAATATTAAGGTTTTAAAACATCGAGATCAATTATAAGTATTTTTTTCTCATCATGAAAAAATGGTTTTAATAGATTAATATATTGGATTTATGGGAGGATTAGATTTATGTTTTGGAAGATGGGATAATTAAAAACATTTATTATTTGAAGTTCATCCATTTGAATAATTATGGCCATAGATTGATTTTTCTAATTCTAGAATTCGAGATTTTGTGGACGTAAAAAATTATTAGAAATCTCTTCTTAAAGAGAATGAACCAAGAATGCCTTGGCACGATATAGCAATATGTAATATGCGATTTAATTATTTAGAAATAAAAGGAGATTCTGTTGTTGATTTATCTAGACATTTCGTTTAATATTGGAATTTTGTAATGATGAGTAAATAAAAAAGGTAAGGATTACTACATTCAAATGATTTAAAAATGGAAGGATTTGTTTCTACTAATTAATCAAATATTTCTAATTCTAATTTAATATATACAGGTAGAACAGAAACTCTTATTTAGATGAAATAACCCATTCTTATAGATAATAGAAAAACTTAGGAAATTTAGATAGAAATGAATCCAACTAATTGTTTTAATGAATAGTAAAATGAATTATCCAAATCTTCTTATGCATAATAATTTATTTAATAATAATAAAAAGATTACTATAATTTTTAAATTTAAGAAAATTAAAAAATAAAAATATAAGAAGATGATGATGATGATAAATACTATTACATTTTAGAAGGTAATAAATAATATTAAGAGAAACTCAAAACTAAAATAAAAAAAGAAAAATAAAACCTAAAAGAATATAAGAATATTGAAGGAATTTAAGCACATATTAATCTTGAATTTTTTATTCCTCATATTGAGATCAATAATGACTAAAGTAATTTTATTTAATTTATTGATAGAAAGTTGTATAACTCAATTGTTAAGATCATCTAGTACATGGTCTACTGGAATTAAAAAAACTGAAAGATCTATTGAAAATGCTTATCTTTAACTTATTCAAGAAGCTAAACATTTTATATATATTGAAAATTAATTCTTTATAAGTTGTACAGCTGGTAGTTCTGTTAAAAATTCAGTAGCAAAGGCTTTAATTTTTAGAATAAAAGAAGCTCATGAAAAATAACAAAGATTTAAAGTTATAGTTTTTCTTCCTCTTCTACCAGGATTTGAAGGAGAAATAGATCAATCTAATTCTACTGTTCTTAAATTACAATTGCATTATGAATATTAAACCATAAGTAGAGGTGGTTAATCAATAATTGAATCATTAAAATAAGATGGAATTAAACCAGAAAATTATATTTAATTCTTTGGTCTTAGATAACATGAATTATCACCATAACCTAATTCAATACCTACTACAGAAATTATATATATTCATTCTAAATTACTTATTATTGATGATGAAATTGCATTAATCGGATCAGCAAATATTAATGACAGAAGTCTATTAGGAAATAGAGATTCTGAAATTGCTATTGTTGTTTAAGATTAAATTAAAGTTGATGCTATCATGAATGATTAACCATATTAAGCATCTAAATTTGCACATACTCTTCGTACAGCACTCTATATGGAACATTTTGATATGCCATATCAAAAAGTAATTGATCCTTTAAGTTTATAATTTGAAAAAGAATCTACAGCATAAGCGAATATTAATACAAGAATTTATAAATAAATTTTTGCTTGTTATCCTCATGATGATATTAAAAAAGTATCAGATTATGAAGAAGTATTATATTTTTTATTAATTTTAGTTTAAATCAAAAAGACATATCGAAGAATATGAATAATTAAAATAGTTCCTAAAGGGACATGCTGTTGCATTCCCATTATTATTTTTATGTGAAGAAAATTTAAAAGAATATTATGGTCCTGAAATAATCCACACGTGATAATTTGATAAATAATTATATTTATTTATATTTGTATAATAAAACAACACAATAGATTCATCAATCAACAATATTTGAAAATGGATGCTATTTAAATATTTCCCATTTTTATGTACCAATCTCATTATAATCATCAAGTGTTATAGAAAATTATGATAACATACTTTAATATTTATTTGAAAAGTTTTTCATTCCTAACCATGTTCCAAAAACTGGATCAGGAGCTACTTTAATAGCAATAGGACAATCATATTCAGATATTAAATCTTTTGATAATCTCTATGATATTCCTTAAGTTTTGGCTCCACCTCCAGTTAAAACGATATTTTATAATAAAAGTTTATCCAAACCTTTTGATGATAATTTAATCATATCAACTAAACCTTATTGTTCAACTCCAATCAAATGTGGTTAAAAATATATTTCTTAGCATCTTACTCTATCAACACTTAATTAAACTTAACTTAAATTCATTCCTAATTAATGATCATTAGCGATTGATTTAAGTATTTTTATTTCAAAATCAGGATCTAAGTCTTTTAATTCTTATTCTATTTCTTAAAGTTTATATTTTGATTTTTCATCAGCTGAATCCATTTCTTTAGTCACACTTCTATATATTTCCCAATCCTTATCATCTTTTCCAAAATCATCTTCTACTTTATCATCTGCACCAAGAAATGCTAGTGTTTAAATTCTTTTTTAATTGAATCTTGAGTTTCTACTATTCATTTCTTATTATAACTTTTTTCTTTCTTAAATTGAAAGAACTATACGATCTCTTTTTTCATAAAGCATTTATAAATATTTCTCAGGTTCTTCTAATTTAAATTTATTTGCATCCTTTTATAATTATTTGAATTCCTAATTTTTTTATTTTTTTATCAATGCTTATTCGTACATAACCTTTTAATATCTCTTCTAATTTAATTAAGATGGAGTAAGTTTATCATCAGGAACATTTAATAAATTATACTTTAATTCATCTAAAGCTTCTTTTGGTGCTTAACCAAGTTTTACTTATAAAGTAATTATTTTTTTTTTAAGTTCATCATTATTTTAATCTGTTTCTAATTCTTGTTGTAATGCTACAAGTTATTATTCTAATTAAGATTTTTTGTTTTATCGGCTTTATTAAATGGATTCTTGTAATCTGACTCTCATTCTTTGTCTATTTTCATCTTTTCTTTTCAAATCTTCAGCACTAACAATTTTTTATACTATTGGAATATCAATGTAAATAGGATCTAAAAATGATAAATCATCATCATAAAATCTATTTTGCTCAGATATTTTATCTCTATATCCAAAATATTATTGTGGTCCTAAGAAAGAGCGCAATTAGAGTTGATAATCAATAGCCACAGCTGTATATGATTTATGCCAATAATCGATTTAAGGATATGTGAATTTCAAATGAGGATGTCTCAATTAGATAGTTTAATAAAAATATTTTAAACTGTTTAATCCTCCTAAGTTGAGTCTCTTGATATTAGAATAGATGACTTGACCATTAACAATAGGTACAACATGTACAGTTTAATCACCAAGATGAACAACTAATTAGGTTTATTTAAGATAAGCTTCTAAATCATCTTAAAAGACTGAAAATAAAGCATCTACTCCTAACATAACACTGGGTACTTAATAACATTCAAACATTTATTCTAAGACAATCATTCTCGCTAAATCAGTAGTAGCAAAACATTCAGTTAAAATCATAGGATGATTTACTCTACCATGTTTTCCAGCTTATAATCTTTCGAATACAAAATCATTTAATTATTCTAATGCACCTGAATGTTAAATTAAATTTTTTTCAAATGGTGATCTATAATTCTTAAATACATCTGTATCCCATTAGGCAATTTAATTTGACTATGTATTAGAATCTTTAAATTTATTGATATAGCTACGAATAACTACATCAGGACCTTATGATGTTGCATAACCCTTAAATAAAAATAATATCATTACTGCTTTAATTGTAGATGCTCCATAATCTATTAAAATAGGAACATCATTTTTAGCACTTGCATAATTGTCTCTCATATAATTCATTATTATTATTTGTAATTAATTTAATATTTTAATATTAATTAAATTTCATTTATTAATAAATGAATTATATATAAATATAGTATCAGAATATTAAACAATTCTTAGAACAACAAGATGGATTAGCTACTATTGATTCTTTTTCTCCTTCCATACTTATCCTTCTATTTTTTAATTATTTTTGATCATATTATTATTTACTTTAATTTTTTATATCTTCATCATTTTAATCATCCATATCCATAAATAATTCTTTATGTTTGAAATTCTTTTTAGTAGATGTACTTAAATAAGATTTATATTTCTCCTCATAATCTTATAAAGGAGGTTATTCTTAAATTGATGATTCAGAAGATTATAATACTTTATCTTCAAAAACTGCCATCTATTAATTTAATAATGGATTTCCATTTTCTTCCAAAACCGTTATTTTCATAAAGCTCGATTTCTTATTTATAGAACTGCTATTTAAGGATCCTATCGAAAGATGAGATGCTTTATTATTATTTCCATTTAATAATCCAGATGTTGCTTCTCTTTTTTATAATGGCCTATCATGAATTCATTGATATACCAATATTGAATTACATTTGCCTAATCTCCTCCATACTTTATCTCTAATTGATCCTTTGGAATGTACTAAAATAATTGTTGATATTCATTTATCACTTATAATTTTACTGTAAGATCAGGAAATTTATCTAATTAAGATATAACTTATTTATTTATTACCAGTAAATTATTTTAAAATTCCACATACATCATCTGGTCCATTTATTATCAATATTTTATTCAAATTCCCAAAAAATTATAATTATAAATATTTTAAATCCTCTAATTCAAGTACTGGTAAATCCAATTCTAAATCTATTATTATTGTCCAATTCTCAACATAATAATCTATTAAAAGACATCTCTTAACTGTCTCCAAAAAATAACTTATAACCTTTATATCACAATATTGCCTAAATATTATCACTGGTCTATATTGATTATCAAATCCACAAACATATAAATAACCCTTTACTAAATCCCTCTAATAATCACTCTTCTTATATTCTTTCAAAAATTATTTGTGTAATTAACAATTCTAATTATCTAATATTTTTATTACAATACTATTATCGCTCTTTCTACATCATATTAAGCAGCCATCAACATTTTTAAAAGACTGCTTCTTCTTAAATTTATCTTCATTCCTTTCTCTTCTAATTTACATTACAATATTTATATCTGTTTATTCTCATATTCATCATATTCCACATTCTCAAAAATATTTCTTTAAATCCAAGGCCCATTCCCACTTTTTATATAGAATTCTTTATAATTTTCACTTTTACCATTATGAACTATTGATGTAATTGATTAAAGTTACTCACTTATCATATATTAATATACAACACAATAATTATCAAATATATTTATAACTTAAAACTTATTACTATGAATAATCAAATCTTCAATATTGTTTACATTTATTTCCTTATAAACTAAACTAAATATTTTAATAACATTATTTTTTTAAACAATATTTTCTTAATCTTATACAAGATAATTTAAATCAAACTTATTCATAATTATTTAGAGAATAAATATAATCCTATGTCTAATTGCAACAAATATTTTTATTCCTAATTACAATAAACCTTTTTATCAACAAAATTCATAGTTTTAACTAAATTTTTATTTTTAAACAAACTGATCGAATGTATTTTATTTTCTAATTGAATACCTAGATTCCTTAAATTATGTAAATTAATATTATATTGATATTTTTTGTAAATTAAAAATCTTAGCTCTTAACTCTCTAAAGAAGATTACCTAATGAAGAGAGCGCGTGTTTAAGTAATTTATTAAATTTTTTTTTATTAAAAACACAAAATTAAATAATTTTATTTTTTCAAGCCTTACTATAATTTCCTATAAGATTAAATTTAAAAATTTCTGAATATTTTTGTTACTCCAATAATTGAATCGATATATATAATATATTGTTATATATACTAGATAAGAATTGAATTTATTTCATTATTATAGAAAAAGTAGATTCATTATTTTGTTTATTAATTAATAGAATTTTATCAATAAACAATTTTAGAAAAATATTTTATTAATCAATAAAAATCTTAATTTGGATATTATTTATCAATCTCTTTTTCTGTTCAATCAAACAGTATAAAAATTTTGTTCATAATTTTACTTGTATTTATTCATTTTATAACTTTTTTCCCTTGAATAATTCTGTATTTTCTGTAAATAGAAAATTTTAATCAAGGCTTGCATACCAATTTTCGTAGATTAAATACAGAGAGATTTAGAAATGAAAATTTATTTTCTTTTTAAAATCCCAAAAGAATATTTAAATTATCTTCTATGTTCACTTGAGAACTGACTATTAATTTAGGTTTGGTTTTATATAATTAGTTAAAAAATTTTTATGAGTTTAAATATTTAAAACTCATATAAATTTAAAATAGGTTTTATATATAAAATTATCATTAAAATATAATTTTATTAGATGGAAATCTCTGGGAAATTGGGAAATATTAAATTTAATAAAGCCAAGATATAAAAAATGTTTAATTAAATATTTGTTTATGAATAATTTAAATATCAAATTTCAAATCTCTATTAAATAATTTAAGGGTTTTCAACTATACAGAAAATTTCTTTATGAGTATTGTTTTATAATTTCATGGAGTTTTAACATTTTTTCCAAATTGGATGAAACAGTTTTATGAAATCAAAAGCAAAAGTTACAAAGATAATTGTACTCATAAGACTTATTATAATCCAGCCTATGAAAATTAATTTCTCTGTATCATCTTAATAAAAGTCATTCACTAAGTACATTATAAAAATAATGAATAAAATTAAATTTGAGATTATTTTCTTAAAATAATCAAGAGTTACCATTTTCTATTTTTGAAGATAAATATAATAAGAAAGTTAAAATTAGTTGAGTAGACATAAAAATATTTGAATTTCAGAGTTTTCAAAGAAAAAAATTAAAAATAGAACAAATAGCATTTTTTAAATGCATTGATAAGAGAAGTTATTACTCTCTTATTATGATTACTAAATTTTCTTAGTTATTGGTATACTAAAATGAGTATTTTAGATTAAAAAAATTATTATTACATAAAATATTGTAATGGCAAGTGAAACCCCTAAACGGCCTTCAATATCAGATTTTTAATATTTTAAGGCTAAAAATGTATTAATGCCAAATTCATAAATCATAGCGAAAAATATTTCTTTAATTAATTAATTTGAATTCATATTTTAAATTTTAAAACAAAAAGCTTGTAATTATCTTATAAGAATTACAAATATTTTTTTAGTGTTTAAGCTTCTCTATTATTAAATTTTTTTAATCAAATAAAAAGTAAGTGCTTTTAAACTTTAATAGGAGATAAAAAAGATCAAATAAACTTGTATTAAGGAGATAATATTGTTTAGAAAATTTGCATTTCTATCATCCATTTCAAAGATGGGTTCAGAATGATAAAAAGATATAAAATTACTAGTTTAGTCTTAAAAATTGATTCCGAAAAGATCAAAAATATTGTTCAATTAAATATTGCGAAAGACTTCAAAGTATTTTTAAAGATTAACGCCAATCCTATTATTAATATATTTTAAATAATAGAGATATTAAATGATATCCAAAATATTTGATATAATTTCTGCTTATCCTAATAGAGGTGATATTATAACAAATGCAACAACAAATTTCATCATGTAGTCACTAACTCCAGTTAAGGAATCTGTAAGTTTTTATTATTAAATATCTAAAATATTTGAAGATTTAATTTTAATTTTGATTAAATCATCTAAAATTCCAACTCCATTTGAATCAACCAAATTATTTTTGTCTAAAAATTTTAATTGAACAAAAGGATTTGTTACAGTTTTCAAAAATTGAATTGATACTTAAATATTGATAAACTAAAGTTCATTTGTAATGATTTATTGAGGAATAACTTAAAATAATCCTATATCAGGGTAATTTTCAATTTCAAAAAATAAATTATCCAGAAATTCTTTTTCAGTAATTCCATCTTCTAATCTCATTTATGAACTATATCTAAGATTGATATATTAAACACCTTAATTTTCTTTATCAAATTCTAAGATTGGATATGGATAGATTAGAATAATACATTCGTCATTTCTACATAATGCATTTTCTGTTAGGATACAATCATCCTCACAACCATCGCCATTAATAAGATTACCATCATCACATTCTTCTTATTTAGTTAGAATTCCATCACCACATAGAGGAATGCATTCATTAGTATTTGAATAATATCCAATAAAACAGTCTAAACATTAATCTTGTTGACAAATTTCACAATTATTTATTTAACATATTTAGTTATTTAAGTATTAGCATGTAAAATCAATTAATTCATAGCCTTCCTTACATTCGAGACAAATATTTTGAATTGAACATACTTAGCAATTAATACTACATTATAATTTGCATAAATGACATTCATCATCTATTACTTCATTGCCATCATCGCATTCTTCAAAAGGCTTAATAATGATTCCATCTCCACAAACAGGCTTACAAGATAAGCTACTAAAAGAATAATCATATCCCTCATCACATTCAATTTAATTTAGAATACATTCTCCATTAGTTATTTTATAACCAGGTTAACAAGAATATTTACATTAATGACACCCATCAAATTTTATATCATTACCATCATCACACTCTTCGTTTAAATATGTTAGACCATCACCACAAATACTATAACACTAATTAATATCTTAATTATAGTAGCTTCCAGGTTAGGTACATAATTATACACTTTCACATTAATACGTTGCTGGAACATAAATAGCATTTAATTAACATAGGATACATTTTCCAAACTCACAGATTTCGCAGTATTAATTACATTGATATTTACATTGATAACATCCATCAAGAACTTAATGATTATAATCTTCACACTCTTCTGTTCCACTGAGAATTCCATCTCCACATATAGGTTCACACACATTAGTAAATATATCTAGTTCATAATTTTTATAACAAATAATGCACATATCATTTATCTAAATTTGACAATATTAAATAAGTTAAGGTAAAGTTTCATCTATTTCAATCTTAATAATTCCCTTGTTTTCATCTAATTCACAAACATTATAAATAATATTTAAATGACAGTCTTTATGACATTCATAGCAGATTCCATAAATTTATATTTTACAAAATTCAATTATGTCATGATAATATTATTCATAATAAGGAATAATTGGAATATTATAAATATCTACACATATTCCATCAAAAGCTAAAAATCCATCAATACAAAATAAGCAATATCCTTCTTTACATTACAAACATTCACTTTAACATTAATAAATACATTAATGACATGTATCAAATGGATCTAAATTGCCATCATCACAATCCTCTCCATCCACAACAATAGAATCTCCACAAATATTCCTACAATATCTATTAATTAATTTAAAACCAGCTTGGCATTGAGTACAACCATTAATTGTACATGTCAAACAAGAATTTTAGCATGACAATTTACAATTATAACATCCATCTAACATTAGAGTGTTGAGTTCTTCGCATTATTCATTTCCAACATAATATTTGTCTCCGCAAGTTTCAATACATCGTTTTGTGTAAGGATCTAATACCCAACCAAAAGTAAGACAACTAGTACATACTCCTTTGTTACATCTTGTACATTCAGGTTAACATTCAATTAAACATTAATAACATCCATCAAATTAAATATTATTAGAATCATCACATTCTTCTAATCCACTAACAATTCCATCACCACAAATATCAGGACACGGAAATACTGTTGCAAAATTACAGGTGGTACATTTAACAGGACATTAAAATCTACAATTATGACATCTATCAAATTAGATAGAATTTCCATCATCACAATTTTCTTCTGTAACAACTTATAAATCTCCACAAATTGGTATACATTAATCATTTACATTATTATATCCAGATGCACAAATAACAAAAGGACATATTTAATTAAACCAAATTGTTGAACTATCTCCACAAATCTTATAACATGATAACAATGATGCATCCTCTAACATTGGACATTAAATACAGATATCAGAATTATTATCATAATATCCAATCTAACATTTACAATTGAATCCATCTAAATTTCTAAATTAAATTGAATAACAAGATAAACATGATGCTTCTGAATTATCAAAACATGTTTCACATTTATTTGAACATATCAAACATCTTAGTTTATACTCATCAAAATAATATCCAATATCACATTCACATGTATTCCCATTTAATATTAAGTTATTTAAAATAATACATGATTAACAATTCTAATTAGTAGGTCCATTACATTTTGTGCATAATTTATCACATGGTTAACATTATTAATTATTATTTTAGTTATAATAACCATCATAACAGAGACATTATCCATCTTCTAAATATCTTAAAGATTCAGATTCACAATGAATACAATAATTAGTTGATTAACATTATTTACAAGTATAATGACAATCTAAACAATTAGTACCATCATAGAATTAATTAAGAGAACAATCTAAGATACAAGTTGTCATAACCAATTTATAATTAGATATGCATGTTAAACATTCATATTCATTAAAACATGTTAGACATTCATTTGGACAATATTCACAAGTTGAAGTTGTGTCATCTAAAAATTGATTAGAATAACATTAAGATTATTCAACTTTGATAATATTAGGATCATATGTCATCCATTAATCACAAGTAAATTCATTTGTACATCTATTACAATATGGTTTACAATAATGAACAACTACATAATAATTTGATATTCCACAATAAGAATCAATAACATTAACACCATAACATTAAAATGCAATTGTTAAAGTTGGATTATAAGTTGAGACTTATTCTATAATACTTAATTGGGAAGTTTTATATATTTATTATACCGTACCATTATTTATTTCATAAGATAAATAATTAGTAGGTAAATTTGGAAAATTAGGACCAAAAATCACTTAAAAATAAATATTTAATGAATGATGTGGGGCTAAAGTATATATTTAAGAAAATCTAGATTAAGCCCAAACAAATTTGCCACCAAATATAATTTTATTAGTAAGATAAGACCAAAAAATATCAGGTCCTTTTTACAAATCATTTCCAGAATTTATTTCTAATATAAAAGTTGTATTCAAAGTATCTTTTACTGTGAAATCATAGAATTCTTTTATCAAATATGAAGAATCTAAAATAAATTACAAATTTAATATTACATTTAGTGATTTAATCATAATATATACAACTTTATCCTACTCTTTGAGAGTTTTAAGGACACCATTAAGAACAAGTACCATCTGAAACTTTAAGAAGGTTAGTTGCACAAGTTTCACATTTAAATCTTTAATTACATAAAATACAATTAACAGGACAATAACCTGATGTTAATGCAAATAGTCTAAGAAACCATCCAGGATTAGGTTGACTATTTAGATTTATTTTTATACGTAAAATTTCCTTGAACTAAAAAAATGAATTTCTTATCTGAAATGTGATAAAACATTTCAAGATCCATAAAAATATTATTTGTACAACTTCCAGTATTTGGATGAGCTCTTTAATTTCTTAAAATAACATTATGAAATTGGAATTATGTTCCATCAAAATATGTGGAACCATAATATATAGAATTAATATAAAAAGAAACTCCTGATCCTTAAGGAGTTGTATTACAAAAAATCAATTATATTTATATTCCAATAGTATAATTCCCAGATATAATATTTGTAGCCATATAAGCACCTTCTCTAAAATGAAATACTCCAAAATTAAATGGTGATAACTTTTTGTTAGAAGGATCAAAATGTTAAGGATCATATAATACATTCCAATTTAATAAAGTATTCAAATCTAAAGTTGCTAAATTAGACAAAAAATATAATGCATGAGCAAAATTAACACATACTCTATTCTAAGACTTTACTATAGATCCTTATATTGGGCAGTAATCAACACATGCACCATCAGAAAGCATACTTTATCTTATTGGACATCTATTATATATTACATCCCAAACTAAACAATCTCCTTAATTTGGTCCTGTACATTATAAACATTTATAATAACAAGACAAGTATCCTATATGGACATTTCGAATTAATGCTGAAATTGAAAAGTTAATGATTGATAAAATTAGGTAAGTTGGAGTATTTGATGTGTAAGGTAAGATCAAATAAAATGTTTTAATTTCAAATTAAGTCGAATCACATAATCCTTCTGAAAAATATAGTGGATATTATGTTGTATGTCTCTTTTAATAATTTTAGTTGTCATAATTGATATTTATTGCATCATTTGACCATTATGATGTAAAATAAACATCAAATAGTAATAATTAATAAACATAGGGAGCAGAGGGTGTTAATGGCGTTTAGTTTTATATTATAGATATTTACAAGGTGTTTAATTCAATAGCTGTTTATGGTTAACTTGAACAATTTACAAATTTAGCTGAACTACTTGTAAAAAAGTTTTTGAAACCATAAATGCAATTGATATTAGTACAATAAATATTCCTAGCCTCATAAACTCCATTATAGATATTTTTCCATTGCGAATTAAGTTAACAATACGTCATTGCTAAGCATAAAAAAAGAAGGAATATAATTATTAAAATATCCATTAAAAATATTATTAAAAAACTATTGCTTATGAATTTATATTCAATTTAAGAATCCTTTATTCAGTTTTTAGACAGAAATTTTTTTGTATAATTTTCAAAAACAATATTTTTTCTAAGTTTTTGTAATTAACTGAAATGAAAAATTAAAAAAAACAAAAAGGTATTTTGAAATATTAGCGAAATTTGTTTAAACTTTATGCATCTTTAATAATTAGAATGCTTTTCCAAAAAAAATTGCATATTTAAATTCAATGAAATTTTAATAATAAATTTGCCAATATTATGTATTTTAATAAATTTACATCATAAAATGGCATATCTTATTTTATATGCACCTATTAAACTCAAAAGATAGCAATTGTTTTATTTTAGGGAAAAAAATATTCTAATTATCATAGAGTTGTAAAAATTAAATGATTTAAAGAAGACAACTTCATCTATATAGAATGGGTTTAGAAAATAAATTGATTATAAAGAAGTTTAGTTATTTAATTGGAAAGAAAAAATTAATTAATTTATTAATATACCTTTTTATATCATTATATACTCATAAGTCTTAATTTATATATAAACCCGATCCTTTTTATTATCATATTTTAGTTAGATAATTGTAAAAAAAAATAATTAATGATTCATAAATTATTAAATATACTTAAAATATAATAAAAAAATATGATCTCACAAGTTAAAAATTGCTTAATAATTTATTATTAGAAAAATAATGTTAATAAGAAGAATGTTAAATTATTTGTCCATAATAGAATAACTGATAATCTAAATACAAGAATTAAATAAGATGCATTATATTGAATGTAATTATAATATTATTGTAAATATTTCTATTTTGAATTTGCTTAAAAAATTAAATGGTAAATAAACATATTCTATTAAATGAATAAAATTATATTAAATGGAATTTAATGATATAAGCTGTTGAAATATTTAATGAAATATTATTATTATAAAAAAATGTCAACATATATATAAATAATTTGATTTCATTATAATAATTTTTTATATATTAAGTCTAGAACATAAAGACATTTATTAATATTAGGATAAATATATATGGATTATTGATTTTTTTAAAATCATTTTTTAGAATTTAAGAATACATATTATATTTCTTTTTCTGTAAATGAATATATATTCACTATATACAAATAATAATTTTATACTTGTCTCATCATACAAAGATTAGACTTTCAGAAGATTTTCTAGACCATCCACATTCATTTCCAGTCATCAAAAAATTTTAGTTTTTGAATGAGTTTGTAAATGATGAGTTTCTGAGAGTTTTCCTTCTATTTAAATCTATGTTTTAAGGTTTTTTGTCAAGAATAAAGCCTTAAAATCTTAAACTTTAGAGTGGAGACTTTACTGAAAATATGATTTTATGAATCATTAATGCTTTATCTTCGTTATCCGAAGTTGATGTATTAACATGAGAATTATAATTTGATTATTTTCTTGAATCAGATGATGACATTTTTGAGTGATTTTAAAATTTCATGGGTTCCCTACTCTCAGATTTGTAATATAATTTAAATCTCTAACTTCGTATTGTTTTAATTCTTCGATTTTGTTCAGTTTGCACTCTCTAGACACTTAAATTGTTTATAGACATTTAATTAGAAATAACTTAAGGAATTGAATTTAATCTCATCTTTTATCTCTGACAGTAAATTGATATCAATGCTGCATTTTTGTTTTTTTTTCCTTACATCTATCTTTATTTTTTATTAATATTAATTATTCTAAGAATTGAATTAAACTTTCTATAACTATTTTTTAAGTCATAATAGATCACGTCATCTACACATTAGTAATATTTTATAAAAAGATTCATTTTCTAATCATCCAAACTTTTGTATGTATTAAAAATTATATATTGTGTATTTGTTTAAACTAAAATAATATATTAAACTTTAAATATATAAAACTGATTAGAGTCATCATTAAATCCATCTTATTTTTGAAGATTTGGCATATAAATAAGCAACATTAAATTCCATTCCTAATCTAAAACAATTATCATATTATTAGTTAAGTCATTAATAACCAAATAAAATGACAATGCATATGTTTTTTAAAGACTTTACAAGACTTCTAAGCATTCAAAAAAGAAAGCCTTAATTAGTTAGTTATTCTAATAATTTTATTATTCTTTGAATACATTGTGTCTTGCTACTTTTCATACAGAAAGAGACTTTTTGATAATTTTTAGATCTTAATAAAGAATTAAAATCGCATTACTTTACTTTCTTTTTTTATTTGTATTCATTTCATTATAAAATAATGAAAATATTTTTTTAATATATTCATATTTAAAATCATGCTTATAGATTTTAGCTGCTTTGACTTTTGAACAAGATAAAAGGTTTAAAATTTTGAAAAAACGATTTTTAGCCTTTTAATATTCATTTTTCATGTAATTGAAATCTAATAATTTATTTAGATTTTGATTAATTTGAATTTTAATTTTGTTTGGAGAATTTATTATTTCGAATCGAATATTATAACTGGTATTGCTGAATATCTATTTTGATTCAAAATTTTTTCAGCAATTTAGTGTGATTGCAATTGATTGATATGTTAATTTATTCTAACAAATACTAATAATTGATTTGTATACATATAATTAATAAAAAATTTCTTGGTTTATAGTATTTATTGATTTAAATTCAAAATCTTAATCTATATTTTATAGTAATAGTTACTAGAACAGAGAAAATTAATATTTAGAATAAAAATTTAATTTTATGCAGTTAAATGAAAACGAAGAAAAAATAATAAAAGACTTATTCAAGAAAGTATGATCTTATTACTTAAAATAAAGGTTACATAATATTATAAAGAGTATATGTCTATACCAGATGATGGTGATATTCCTAATTAACATTGTGTAGATGATATTGCAGCAGCATTTAGAATAATTTGTTAAATTGTTGAATCATTTTTGATAGGTTATAAATAATTATAACATCAGCATATTTTATTAGAAAAAAAATTAGTAGAAGCTGAATCAGAAATAAGAAATCATATAAGAGTAAATCTTTGAATTATAACAGATTTAACAAGAAATAAAGGTTTGGGGAGATTCTTTACAAGATGAAATCATAACTTTACAATAAAATTTAAAACGATAGAAAGTAAAAGTGATGGTAAAAAACCATTTTAATGAAATCTTAAGACACTTGAAAGAGAATTAAGCTAATAGAAAAATTATAAAAATCCATGTACAAGTTAAGAAAGATTACCAACTGAAACAACAACGTAAGATAGATAGGAAAAAATGTTGAGTTTATTATCATCTCAAAAATCCAGATAAATACAAGGTTAAGGATTTAAAAAGAAAAATATATAACTTTAATATTTTGAAGATAAATAGTAACATATTTTATATATTATAAGAAACAAGTCTTTTACACATCTTGCATAATAATTCTTGAATTCATCATTATCCAAAACATTAAGATCTGGAATAGTCACTTAAAAAAAGAAAAAAACTACTATAAAATAGGCTAAAACAAATTAAGTCAATTTAAAAATTAGAAATCAAAGATGCCATTCATAATAAGAAAGAGTAAAAACCTTACATGATTAATCATTTTACTATTGAAATCAAAATTATTATTTTAATATTTTTTGAATTAAACTATTTCTAAAAATTAAAATACGATAAGCTTAAGATAACAAAATTTAATTGTTTAGTATTAATCGAAGCCTTAGCTGATTTTGATGAATGATGTACTTTAAAAGTCTCTTAATCAATTAAATTTTAGTAACTATAAATTATTATGAACTTATAAATTCTTAATTCATTTTTTTGGATTTTAATTGTTAAAATATTTAGTTAACTCTTCTCTCATTCTCGTGTCATCAACAATTTGAATATTTTGTTATTAACTTATAGCTGCTAATAAGCAATAAAAATAAGTTAAAGTCTTAAATTCATATTTTTGGATTTTACCCTCTTTAATTGGATAAGCATTTAAAAGATTTTATAACTGTTAGATTGTGATATTATTATTGTTATAATTATTAATTACTAACCGAAATTGAAATTTAGGGTTATCCATCAATATTTCTTCTTGGTTATTCCTAACTTTATATATCTATATTACATTAAATATTCTATGTGTTCTTTAATCTTTTAATAAGTATTCCAAGACTAATTTGTTAGTCTGAAATTATTATTTTGAACTTCCTTTTAAAATGTTTAAGTTCCGTTTTGAAAGGTATTGAATTATTATTATTGCCCACTATTAATTGTATTTATTTTAGGATTTTATTGTTAATTATTATTTGCTTATTAATTTTAAAATTAAGATTATTGTTAGGTATTATTATTTTAATTAAAAGATTGGAAAGGTTTTTAAGAGCCACTTTTATTTTGGTTTCCTTTTAAAACTTAAAATAATAGAAATTCCGTATTATTAGTAAAAGTTTATCTTAATTATTTTTTAGACTCCATTTATGTTATTAAATAATGAAAGGCCAGTCTTTCATCAGGATAATATTTTAACATATTTTCAATATATCCAATAAATTAGGAATTTCCTTAAAGTTTCAATGGTTTATTTTTTAAACCATTCACAAAATCAACAATACCCTGAGCAGTTTTTTTAAATGGATAATCACCAAAAACTAACTAATATAAAATTACGCCAAGCTAAATTATGAATATAACTTACAGAAAATACATCCACTTGACTTCTTGAATGTTCGAATTAATTTTTCGTTTTTAAAAAACGTTAGTTTAATTCATCATCATTAATAGAAGAATTAATTTCTGGAGCAGCATAAGCTGGAGTACCGATTTTTGTGAATTTAAAATCATTAGCTTTGTAAATTTTTCCAATTCCAAAATCAGCTAATTTATAAATTGTTTTTCCATTTATGTATTTAATAAGTATATTTTCAGGTTTGATATCTCTATGCATAATATCTTTGTTGTAAAGGACTTTGTATCCATTTAAAAATTGATCTAAAAAATCATATATTTCTTCATCATTAAATTTAGTTTTTTTTTCCCATAATTATTATAAATTTGATTCACACTTTTCCATAATTATTAACAACTTTTTTTATTCTGGGATTTCTTTTACAAAGTAGATTCTCACCAAGTTTTAATTATTTTAATTGTCACAAATAATCTCTGAGATTCTTTTCTCTCCGTCTGAATATTTCTTTTAAGTATTATCATGTACTAGCATTATCTAGAATAAAATCATTAATACTTTGGCACATAATTCAGCAGGTTAACCAACATTGTTAAGCATCTAACAATCATACACACATCCATATTATCCTTTGCCAATTGGGCAGTTGAGCAGTATTTTATAATTATCTATTATATGATGTTCTCCTTAGATCATAAGAAATAAATATTTATCAAATGAAAATTCAATTTCTATTAAAAAAGAAAATAATTGTATATAAAAAGTTTTACAATCATAATTTTATTAATAGATTTATATATTTAGGAATTAATATAGGCTATATAATTTGAATGATAAAACTGAAAAATTATTTAATTTTGCCTGTTGATCATCCAGCTGCATTAGACTGAAATAGTTACAATACCATATGAATCATTATTATTATTCAAATATCATAATATAAAATATTTATCAATTATTCATTCAATGGATATTAAACATAAATAAGCCATACATTAGGTTATTCATATCACAAACAAACAAAATATTGTAAGGATCCATATTAATTAAGTTTTTTATATTAATGCAAAAACTTATTTTTAAAGAATTTAGATGTTATCATATTTGATAGTTTAAGACTATTATTTTAAGATAATGAACATAAGATCAATATTTTTTAAGTGGTAATTTAGAAACGAAAACTTAATATATTAAAAAATTTAAAGAATAATATTAATTTTGTTTTTTACAAGAAGATTAAAGAATTTGAAAAGAGGCTAAACTCTTCAAGATTAAATTGTATTCAATATAATTGATATTTAAATGTTATTAATATTTAATTACTCATTTTAATGTGTTTTATGTATAAATAATTAAAAGAGAGAATCGAATTATGATTATAAAATTAGCTACATAAATTTAATCATATTCAGTAACATATAATCGATTGTTTAATAATTGCTGCATTGTTCATTTTCTTTGTCTGTTACTTTTAAACAAATTTGATATGCATTTACAGTATCTTTGACAGCAACTAATAGGTTAACGAAATGATCTTCTTAATCCACTGAATTTGAGAATATGATCTAATCCTTACTATGCCCAACTGCGAATATCGAATTCATAAATATCAATTTCGAAATTAAATTGTAGACATTCTAAAACATTTGATAAAAATCTTAAACTAGATGTATAGATTAAATCGTAGTGTTGTTATTCTAGATGCTATTAAATGAGTGAATGTAGATACCTTGATATCTCTATAGACCGTCTCACTAAAATATTCAGCATCAGTCTGATATAGTTCTTCGAAATTAGGTGCTTCAAAATCTACTTATTTTATTAGGAATAGTAAGTCTTTCAATTGATCAACCATTTATTGATACAATTCCTCAAACTTTTTTAGCAATTCTATTTTCTCATTTAATGGAGACAAACCCTTAATTAACTAAAAACTAACCTGCTAATATTTCAATCAAATGCATATTATAGTACATTTCTAAATGATTCAAATAAGAAGATTTTCCTTTCTATATCGAGTTTGTTATAGATTGAGAAATACTAATATTAAAGGATGATCTGCTCTTGCCTAAACTTCTAGTAAACCTATTGTTTGTTGAAGCTGGCTCAGTAGCTTCTTATCCAGATTTTTATCGACTATCTAAACCTTAATAATGATGAACGCGATTCATTATATTATTATTTTATGATTTTTTGTATGTTTTAAGCAAAAATAAATCAACATTTTAATATGAACAACAAGAAATTACTATATTAATACATTCTATATTAGTTAATTCTAAAGAAGTAATATTTCGATAATAATAATCCAACTAAATATAAATTATTTATAGTCTAATACCATTATATAGTTAATCACAATCATTGTAACAAATATTCAGATAGCATTTCACCATATTCATGACTTTTGAGTTTCAACCTTCTACTGAATATTTAACAAAAAACTGCATCAAAAAAATACTTATAATTAAAATTCGATTTAATATTAAATTCTCTTTATAAATAAATTGAAAATTCAAAATCATACATAATTATTCCAAAAATTTTTCAAAAATGAGGGGTTATCAGAATTAGGAGATTATAAAAGTATATTTAAAATATTATTTACCTTTTTTCTGTTATTAAATCTTAACCCAAAATATTGTCTAAAATCAATAATTCATTTAAGTAAATAAAAAGCAATAATTATTGAATAACTAAAAGAACGTTATAAAATTAAAATTATTTATCATAAAACAAACAGGAAGAATTATTTTTAGTGAATATTCTTATTCATTTGATAAGTAAAAAAAATGATGACTTTACAAGTAATCTCTTTGATTAGATAATTTTGATTAGGAATAACAATCCTTATCAGGTAATCATTAACTTTTTAATTTTTTTGCCATTTAAACTTTCATTTTTTAAAATTTGATTTAATAATATATTAATGAATAGTTAACATAGTTGAAGATAGCTTTATATCTATATTATAATAATAATATTTATAATGTTGAGAAGCAATTTGAAAAGATTCAAAGTGAATAAAGTCGTAGATTGAATGATTAAGATGTATTTTCTAAAAATAGGTGGAATACAGGGTCTAAATTAAATTAGACATTGCTGATTAATAATTTAAGTTAAAAAATAGTTATATAGATAAAGAATTTAATAATGAATTTATTTGAATCGTGTATATTAAGATTGTTGAGGATAATATAGTTATTTTTGAAGAGTAAAAAATGGAATAACTGAACTAATGGATTGATGTTAATTTATAGTTGAGATGATATAAGTGATTATTAAGTTACATGATACATTTATAAATTTGGATTGTTTAATGATATATATTTAGTATATAATAATAATAAATATGAAACATGATTTTTTTAAGGAAAAGGAGTTAAAAATAATTGAGAAGATAGGTGAAGGTGCTTTTGGTTAAGTGTTTAAGGGTTTGTACAAAGGAGAAGAAGTAGCAATAAAAGTAAAATAGCATGAAATAGTTAGTCTATGTAAGGTGCATAATTATAGGAAACATCAATAATGGAGAGTCTAAAACACAAAAACATTATTAAATTTTATAAGGTTGAAATAGTTGAAATTAAATATAGTATTATAAATAGGGAAACCATTAGTATTTGGTGATGGAATATGCTGGAGGTGGTTCTTTGAGTGATTATATGAAACAAAGTTTGGATGAAGAAACAATTAGTAGAATAATGAAATCTATATTTACAGCAATTGAATATCTTCATTCTAAATAGATAATTCATAGAGACATCAAACCAGGTAATATTTGAAAAGTATAAATAATTAGATAATATCTTAATAAAAAATAGTGAAGATCTTTCAAGTGTTAAGATTGCTGACTTTGGTTTAAGTTATTAGTATATGCCAGAAATTCGTTATTATTAAACAGTTTCGTAATAATGTGGTACATTTATATTTATGGCACCTGAATAAATTTTAAATAAAACATATAATAAAGCTGTTGATATGTGGTCATGTGGAGTTGTCTTATTTATGTTACTTAATTAAGGAAAACATCCATTTTATCCTCGAATTTCAACTAAAAAGGATTTTATCAATAGTTTTCCTGATTTAAAATATGAATAACCTTTACATTCTTCACCATTAGCAAGAGATCTCCTTTAAAGATTATTATAATATGATTAAGATTCTCGATATACGGCATCTTAAGCTTTAGTTCATCCATGGATTACTAGAAATTTTAATCATCCTATTCCTATGAGTGTAAAAGAATTTGGCATTTGTCAAGAATAAAAAAAAAAAGTAATTACTTTTATATTACATATAGATTTTTCAATTTTTAAAGGCTATATTATTTTTAAATTAAGTTTCATAAGATTCAATCAAATAATCTCCAATTCAATCAAAAACTGATTTAGGAGATTTTAAAATATCTATTATAGAATTTGATGAAGACAACTATGATTAAGATTATTAAGATACCAACAGTCCTAAAAATTAACAATTTTTCAATAAATTATCAATCTAAAGACCGAGTAAAATCTTAAAGTCTTATCGTACTCTCAATAATATACCTTATAAAGGTAAACATTATTAATTAAATGCAATTCTTAATTAAACTAATGAATCACCAATTAGAGAATTAAAAAAAATTAAATTATAACAATAATTTAGTATTGATAATGAATAATTCATTATTCCTATTGATCCTGAATCTCCCAAAAAACATCTTAGAGGATCTTAATCAAATAAACTTCTTTTACCTGCATTGACAGAATCAACTTAAGTATCACTTAGCCCATTAAAATAAAAATAAAAACCTATCATTAAATAAAACTCTTTCCGAAAATCAGAAACTTCTTTTTTTATGGGATTAAATAGAATGAATAATGATTCTGCTATTGAAACAGGTACTTTTAGAAATAGAGTTGAAACTTAAGATAGAACTTAAATTCCAGTTATCAATTCATAAAGATTTTATGGAAGAAATACTTTTACCAACTTAGTGACATCCCCAAAAAATAATATAGTTACTTCCACCAATCTTCTTATTCCAAAGAAAATAATATGATAAAAGTTAAAATATGAATAAATCAAATTAAACTTAATCTTAAGGTTCTTCTTTTGTAAATCTGATTTTTTTCATTTAAAATTTCATTCATATTTTTACAATCTATAGATCTATTTAATTATACAATCTCCTAATTTTATTTTCAATAATCTTACATCTTACTAATTCTACTTCTATTTTAATTTCATTACTTTCTATGGAGTACTATATATTACCTAAACGCATTTTTAACTATCAAATATTTTGTTATTCTCGGTATCAATTGTATTTGATCGATATTTTTTATTTATTTACTTTTTTTGATATTCTTATGTATTCTACACTCTTAATCTCCATAAATTGTTTTATTCTTTCTACAACTTTTAGATTTTAAATTAATCCTTTTTATTATCAACTTCATCTCTTTTTCTTAATTACATACATTCTTTTTCATAATTAGGACGATTATTCAATTCTATTCTAAATCTAGAAATTCCATACGATCTAAATTTTATTTCCTCACAAATCATTAAATATTGTTATCTTAAAATTATTTTTTGAAGTTGTTTTTGTAAGCTTTGTTAAGATTTTATTACATGTATTTAAGAATTTAAAAAATCAAATCAAACTATATAAGATGATCTAACAAATAAAATAATCTATCTGATATTTTTATTAATCTATTTAAATCAAAACTAATAAAAATATTAATAATTTTTCACACTAGCTTAATTTCTTATATTCCTAAGAAACATCTAATTAACATGATTCTTCGTATAAGCTTTATAAGCTTTATAAACTTCAAAATTTAAGATATAAACTATCATTTAATTACTAATATTAAAAATATTCTTTATTCATTTATTATCCTTAATTAATTAATTCTATTATGTAATTTAATTATATCAAAAATCATTTTAATCATTATTTAGGTCCTCACTTTCTAAAACTTATTATTATTAATCATTAAAATATATCATGATTTAATTCCCTTAGTCTTCTTAATGAGGAATTTTTTATTGTAATTATGCTATCTGATTTATTTAATCTTATATTTTCTAATTCTAATTTTAAATTTATTAATTCAAATTATCAATTTCATGAAGACTTTCTTCTAATTTATTATATGCCTCTAAAAAAGATATTATTTAAAATACATTCATAATAATGGTTAATTTCTTAATATTATTAATTTAATTTTTCATATTTTTTATCTTAAGATTCCATTTATTACATTAAATTTCTTTCATTTTCCTCATACTCTCCTAATTCATCAGCCAACTATTCAAAATTTATCTTCCATTCTTTAAGAAATTCATTCTCACTAATTATTTATCCCTATTCCTCACAATCTTCATCCTCCATTTATTTCATTAAAAATTATTTTATTTTTGATTATCTATATATATCTTATAATTTAAGCAAAAAATCTTTTTAGTTTCTCATCAATTCCAAATTCTTTCTTCTTTCTTCATTTAATTCTTCTTACACTATTTATTATCATTTTTAATAATTACATTTTTAGTTCTATGATTATTCAATCTAATACTAATTTTATATAAAATTTTATTCTTATTTATTTTATCCCTATACTTATTTATTAATTAATTCCTAATTTTCTTCAATCTTTTCAATTGTCAAAGTTGTATCATTAGAAGTAGCCGAAGTTCTTTATTATAAAAGTTGATTAATTATTTAATCCTTTTAAGAAATTTAATTTTACAACTCTTTTATTTAGTCTTCGTAAATTTAATAATTTAAGTTTTATTCACAAAGTTTTCTTTCTAATTATAATATTATTTCATAATAATTTTTCTCATTATCCTAATTTGGCTTAACTTATTCTTATTCTGATTATATTTAATGAATTTTTTTTTGTTACAATTTTTCATTTTATGCTAAGTTTGATTTCAAATTATAAATTTAAAGCTATTCATCAAATTATTATTATTAATTTCTTAAAAGGCTTAAATGTTTATGCTTTTAACTCATATTCATCTGATTTTGTTATGTACTTTTCTAAAAACTCATTGAATTTATATATTTTCCTTGATCATAAATTTAGTAAATTGATTTTTAAATATATTTTATTGGAGTTTTTTCTTCGTAAACTTATTTCTTTTACTTTTTTTCAGTTTCTTAAACAAATTAAATGTGCTAAATTTAATTCGATTTAATTTCAATAACTTATTGGTTTCTATCTTACAAATTTTATATTTTTAATTCTTATTTATTACCTGACTAATTTTTACAATATATTTTTACCTCAAATTGTAGGCCTAATTAATTTTAATCAAGAACATTAATAAATTTCATCTAATTCTATTTTTTCTTTTATTCTTTTTTCTCTGTCAAAATTTATTCATCTTCTAACTATTAAGATTTGTTATTCTAATTCCTAATTCCTTTTTCTAGCATTTTATTTTTTTGTATTAAATTAAAAATCGTTTCTTCATACATCTGCTTGAATTTATGTAATAAAGTTTCTGTGATTTAGTTATTTAATTCACTATCACTATTCATGTTCTTATCAAAGAATATAAAATTTAAAGCAAAAATTAAAATTTATTTAGATTATTAATAAATATTTATGACGCTGTGATTAAAATAAGAAAATATAAATTTTATCTAAAAAATTACTCTAGGATTCAAAAATACATAAATCAATGAGTTATTTTCATTAAGGTTTTTTAGAACTAATATATCTATCAAAAAATTAATCTCAAATCTTTAATGATAATTTATTATTTTTTTATAAACAAAGTTTTCATCTACTATAATAATCATATTAAATAATGGTTAGATAAGATTGATGGAAAATCTAAATTTAATTCTTTAGTTGAAAAGATGTTATAAAATTAATGGAAAAGATAGAAAATAGTTTAAAGAAATTTTTTAAAATTGTTTGTAGATTTAACCTTAAGAGATTAAACAAGATAATCAATTGATTTTACCCTAATTTATGTCTTGATTCTAACCACAATTTTAAGAAATCAATAAACAAAATGCAAATTAAAAATAAACCTTTTAAATATAACCATAATTTCAAGTAATAAATAGATAAAATAGATATTTATAATAATTTACTTCATAATTAATAGATAAACTTAATAATAAAAAGGAAATGATTAAGTAAAATAAGTAATAAAAAACATTAAGTTAAAAATGTTGCTGATCAATTTGTTCCAAAAAAGGAGATTATAAACTTTTTGAGTGTATACTTTATAATTCATTCTAAACTTTGAAATCAATTGTGAAGAAATATTTCAGAGTAATAATTTATTAGATTAAAAGAATGTGGATAAATTAATAAATTATTTTAAATTAGATCTTTAGAATATAGATATTTTAGACAGTTTTACACTTTAAATTTATTAAAGTTTATATTATTTTAATCGTCAGGATATTAATAAATAATAATTGAAGAAGATGAGTATGTATCGATAAAATCGGAAAGGATAGGAATGAAAAGATTATAGAAGTAGGAAATAAAGTATAACGATTATTAGAGGTATCATCATTTTAAAAATTGCATTATAAATAGCCTTGAAATGGGATTTCTTAAGTTTAGTTTCAAATTAATTGGAAGAAGAGATGTTCTAAACTCTAATCTAACATAATGAATACTTAGAATAAGCAATTCTATTTTTAGGGCTAATTTTGAGAATTTAATCAAGTAAATCTTGTGCATTATGGATCTGGATAATAAACACTATTAGAAGCAGATTATTAAGATTTAAATGATAAAATTTGTAGAAGAATATGCATTTCATTGATAACAAATTAATTTATTTTTGAATCAGATGGTTTATCAATGATATTAAACAATAGTTTGATCATTTAAATATAATTGAGAACATTCAAAAGTGTTTTAGGACTATACTATCGAGTGATCACATAATCAGTAATATTTTCTTCAAATTGATCATTAACCAGGATTTTTATATAATTAAACTTTGATGTCGTTATTTTATTGATCAAAATCAAGTACTAAAGAACTATAAGCATGAGTAACATTTATTTTGATCAACTTATATCTCTTGTCCATAATTAAATTGGATTTCATCAAACATACTTACTTATATAATTATTTATTTATTTATTATTCATATGTAAAGAGTGTTTTCGTAAATTGGAAGAATGGCAACTCCTTATCCTAGACTAATGTCATCATCAAACTTATATTCACCTTAGGTGTATCTACAAGCTTTGCGAATTTAAAGACAATAGATCCCTTAGATTTAAATCCTAACATCAATTACAAAAGATTATACAATTAATCATTATTGTGAATAATCCATAGCTGTTTTGGATTGTTTAAGTAAAAAAAGGAAAAGAGCTAGAAAGAAATAAATTAGAAGAAAGGGCAACAAAATTATCAATGCTAGAAATAGATGAGCTATCATATTAATATACAAATATATATATATTTAAATGGGTTAATGTAAATGTGCTACATAATGTTGTTAAAAGGATGAATTAACATCATAAAAAATATCTACAAGATCTATACAAGTATCAATTAAACATCACAAACTCTAAAAAGATTAAACTTCTGATTAAATTGATGCTCTTATTGAGAATGATTTAGAGTCTGCCATAATCTAAAATTCAAATAATAGTAAAGTGTCAATTTAAGACATTTCCAAAAATTTGATTTCAACTCAAACTCCTATGCCCCAATAAGTTATTGATACTATTAAAACATAAGAGCGTAAATTACTTCCAGTATTTTTCTATTTTAATTAAGATGTTATTAATGCCAAATGGTACTAAATATGAAGGATAATGGTTAAATGGAATGAGAGATGGATATGGAAAACAAATATGGCCAGATGGTTCTATTTATGAAGGTTAATGGATATAAGATAAATCTAATGGATAGGTAAATTTACCTTAATTTTAAGGGGAAATTAATTCATGCAGATGGAGATATTTATGAAGGAGAATGGCTTGATGATGCAGCCTGTGGTAAAGGAACTTATGTACATTTAAATGGAGCTAGATATGAAGGATAATGGTATAATGACAACTAAGATGGTTTTGGTATTGAAGTATGGCCTGATGGAGCCAAATATTAAGGCTAATATAAGTTAGGTAAAAAAAATGGAAAAGGATTGTTAACTTTTGCTGATTCTGCTTGTTATGAAGGTTAATTTAATTATTTATATCTAAGGTAATTTCATAGATAATGAAATTACTGGATATGGTTGTTATAAATGGCCTGATGGAAGAGAATATATTGGAAATTGGTAAGATAACAAAATGCATGGGTAAGGTTAACTCAAATGGCCAGATGGAAAATGTTATAAAGGAGTAATTTCATTCATTATTTAAGAATTATGCTTAAGACAAAAAATAAGGCAGAGGTGTATATTATTTTGGAGATGGTCGAAAATATTCAGGAACATGGATTAATGGAAAATAATCTGGAATTGGTATATTATATGAAAATGAAAAATAATTTAAAATAGGAATATGGTAAAATGGGCAACGAATGAAATGGCTTAAGGATGAAGAATTAGAATTGAATAAAGAAGAAATTGCTCTATTATAAGAATTATGAAATTTTATAACTTTTTTCAATAATTATAATATTTTAACAGAAATGTCATTAGGAAATCAGGCATTTGTTACTTCTCTAGAATATATAACACAACAATAATAGTTAACAAAATAGATGTTAAAATCAGAAGTGGTATCTAAAACCCCAGAAATCCTTGATAAATGTGATCAATTCAATACACATAACATTCCAAGAGTATATCATATAAAGATAGCTATTAGATTAATTGTTTCAATCATTAAGGTTATACCTATACAAACTTTTGTTAACTTGAATCTTGCTGTTTTCCATTATGTCCAGAATGCCTACCAGATCATGTTCAGGAACATTTCGAATCTCAGTCTAAACCAAAATTAGATAGTTTAGAAAATGTATTAAATAAAGTATTAATAACAGTACATAATGAAGGTAAAATAAAATAATATAAATAAGCAAATAAATTAGCAACTCACTTTTTGAATATTCAAAATTCAGTTAAAATGGCTGATCAAATGAATTATTAATGCATACGATTGTTAAATGAGAAAAAAGAAAGGATTATTAATATTATTGATTAATATTTCAATTCATTGCTTAATGAAGTCAAAGGAAAACATTAAAAAAATATTGACAATTATTAAAGAGATGCTACATTTTTTGAATAAGTAATTCGAGATAGATGGAAATCCCATATTGAATTATATGAAAATTTAAAGAATTAGGATTGCATGAGACCACTTATAAAATTTTTGAAATCATAAACTCTATAAGAAAATGAATAATATTTTGTTTAAGCATCAGAATTTACATAACGTTATGCTCACTATTAAACAAAAATTAATTTTGATTCTGAAAAATCGTACAAAGTTTATAATTTAAAATAGTGCTTAATTAGGGGGATTTATCTCTGAGTTTCTTAAAGTAATTAATTATGATTTACCAGAATATTTAAATATTCATAAATTGGCACCTCCAGAAATAGGTACATAGAAACAAAATATGGGATCAGTCAATAATAGTAAAGCATCAATAAGATAATCTGAGCAGAAAATTTAATAAAGTTAAATAAAAAGTGGAGAAGAAATTTCAAAGTAAGCATAATTAATGAATTTATCATCTAATCCAAATAATTCTATCTAATAAAGTTAACAACTATTAGGATCTCAAAGATAGATGAGAAATATTTATGGAGAATATCAAAGTTAAAATAATTTTGGATCTAGAAAATATTGATTTGTATATAAATAACTATATATAAATATAGTATGAATTAAATAAATAAATCAATATTTAATAGTGTCTTTTCAGGACAACTTAAAAGTATTTTATAAATACGTTTATGTTTTCAATCTCTCAGTTATATTTTAATTTATTGGTTTATTCGATTAAACTTATAATGATGTACTTTTAGTGTGGATATTTTGTTTTGTCTTTTTTTCCAATTCTTAATATTTAAGTTTCCAATAATTGATTTCTTATTCTAAATTTTTATTTTGATGTTTTAATTTTGAATGACTTAAATGTAATTAATTGTATGCAGCCAAGAGTAATTCAATTTACATCATTTCTTTTGATTTTGAAATATTTAATGTTGAAGATTCTTTCAATAATTTAGATAGTTTCTCAATTAATATTTATTTATTGATCTTTTGGTTCTGTTAATTTTAAAGCTTTAGATGAATAAGCTAAAATTTACAATCTTACAATCTTGATCTTGGAGTTGACATTTAATCACTTATCAATTCAGAATTGAAATATGTTTTATCTCTAATTATTGGGATCTAAAATCTTTTATCACTTGTTGATGTCAAAGGTGGTTTAGTTTAAATCCTTTAAGCCATCTAAGTTTCGAATTATATTGAATCATTCAACTTTGGTTTTACACTACTTTTAAAGCTATGTGTAAAACTAAATGAAAGATCACTTATATTTTAATCAATTGGTTCTGTTTTATACTGTTTTTAAACACTTTACGGAAGAAATTCCTTTATTTCACTATCAGTAATCATTATAAATATAATTATATATCAATAAACTCAATTTATAGTCTTTATTACAATTTTCTAAGGGTTTAATTTAATAGCCTCCTAAATTATTCCACCATATAGATTATCATATGATAATCCAATAGTTTTATACTCTGAAAATGATTTCTTCCTTTCATAATACTCCTATTCTAATTATTTATAATCCTCTTATTTATTAATCATATGTGTTACATAATAATTAATTATATTTTAACTCATATTCTTCTATAATTTTATTCTACTTTATTATTTAAGCTTGAGCCAATTCCAAATCCTCTTACTTCTATTAAAGAATATTATTCAGAAATTATATTGAAGATGAATATTAATTCTTTTTCTATCCATCCCAATCCTTATCTTTAATTAATTCGTCATATAATTTTTTTAACGATTAATATTTTATATTGCTAGGATCATTAAATTAAAAAGACTATTGTTTTGTACTAAAATGTATATTAGTTTCTTCCAATATTGATCTAGAATGACTTTAAGGAATAAACTAAATGCTTTAAATCTATAACTAGTTGTATTTCTCTTACAATTCTAATTTCTCTTGTTCTAATCTACACCATAACACAAATATTCAATACGAATTTATCAAACTTTTTAATTGAGTATTTTCATCTAACAATTCTTTATGCATTTTTAATATCATTTGTTCATTCTCTCTAATTTTTGCAATATACACTTATTAATGATCACCTTATTAAATTCTTTATTCAATTTAATGATCCTTCAATTTTTTATTAGTTTTATTTTAATCTTTAGGAGATCTACTTTTATTACATCTACAACAATGAAGCATTGATAAACTAAATATATATATAATAATAATTATAATAATTATCATTTTAAATAAAGAAAAGTAAATATTAATTAATTATAATCCTTATTATAATAAATTTGTTATTTTATAATTAAATAATCAATTATTGTTGTATTAAACTTAATCATCAAAAATAAATGAAAGGTTACACTTAATATTTCATCAAATTATAACTGAAAATATAAAATTAGACTGTTTTCACAGTTATTTTATACATTTATAATCATTTATAAGTAAGAATGTAAAATTAATATGTTGTGCTATAAATAGATTATGCAAAATAAACAAATCAATCCCTGATTTATTTAATAGATATCATTATCGAAGTACTCTTTTATTTAAGAAATGAAGTGCTTAGATACTTTCAGGAGTGAATGTCTCTCCATTTTGTTCTCGAATAACAATTTCTCTATAAGACATCAATTCTATTCCCTCTACTTCTTTTGGGTCTTCAATAAAGTTAATAATTTATCCATCATAATATGTATAGAATATTTATCCCCAAATTTTATTTTTCTTACTTTCATAATAGAATGAATTGAGATATTACAATTCTAAGTCTAATCCTGTTTCTTAAGTTAATTTTCTTTTGGCACATTATCGATAATCCTCACATTCTAGAACAATTCCAGTAAAACAAGTGCTGAATGCTCCAGCCTAATATTATTTCTATTGAGATCGCTTATGGCAAAATACTCTTGATGTCGATTTCTCGACTACAAATAAAAAAGTTGCTTGATGAATTACTTTTTACAGTAAATTTGCATCTATAGATATCAAATCTATACAATAATTATTCATATTATTTACCAATAACATGATTGTATATGTCAACTACTTTAGCCTTTTTTTATTCAGATTCATTTTAATTATCCTTCATAATTAATTACAATTCAAATAGAAAAATAAATTAGATTTGCAAGTCATTTTGTAAAAGGTTAAAAGGAAATACAAAACATTCAGCTTGATATAATTTTATATATATTAAATTTTTTCTTGAATATTTTCTAAAAATATTCTTGTATTCTAATACTACAATTTAATTATATTGTTAACTGTGTTGTTTTTATGTTTAAATACCTAAATGAATGAGAAATATGATAATCAAATTGTGGAATGTATGATTCTAGTAACAATTTATATATATTTGTGAAACATTCATATACTTAAGCTCTTTAAATGAATAAAAAAGACATTATATCCTAAACTTTATTAATCTCTTATCTTAGAGATTAAAACTTCAAGATCATTCCCATCTTTCGTACTTAATTTTTTTAATATTATTCCAGGATTTTGAACTTAGATATTTGATTTTCAACGAATTTTCTTTTTTTGTATAAATATATATAGACATACATAATTAAGAGGAATTAAAAAAAATCAAGAGTTTCTATTGATTGCATCAAAATACTCATATTGATTTATGATATTTTCTCCTTATTTAATTTGAACATACATTTTTGAGTCTTTGTTTATTTTACTATAACATGCTCTTTTCATTTCAGCTTCTGCATCTAAATTAATTTATTTTTTCTTATAGCAATGTAGTATTGTTTTTGCAGTAGCATAATTGATATTCAGGTCTTTTGCAATCTAATTTTTTTTAGAATATCTCACCTTCTTAATTTTGCATTTTTATTTCAGTACAGTTTAGATAAGCTATGTTTTCTTTTATTTTGATATATGACAGTAAACTCGTTTTACCTTCAAATCTAGAATCCTTTCACATACATTCAAAGATCTAGTTTTAACTCTTTCTACGTCATCCAGACTATTCATCAGATTTATATTTTATTAAAATGTAATTGTAATATCATGAGATTTAAATCCATTATACAATCTATGGACTAAAATTTCAATAAAATCGGATTTTATAGTTAAAATATTAATGTTTCAGGCTTATGTTTGTTTAGAATTTATTTTTATATCGGCTGCTGGTATTGCTGGAAAGCCAAGTTAATGAAATTATATATAAACATATATGGACAAATTTTTGTAAATTCTAAAATAAGTTTAGGATTAATATATAATTATATTTTGGAAGCTTAGAATATAGAAGCTAATTACTTATAAACTTTTACTTTATTAATTTATTTTATGGTTCATTATTATATTTATTTAACTAATTCATTAGAGAAAATCAAAATTTCACCAATAAATTTGTTTTTTTAGTGATTATATTTATAAAATTTAAATTTTAATAGAAAGTATTAAGATTGCAAATCACTCGCAAAATAAATTTATATGAGAATTATAAAATAATGTTTTTTTTTTATAAATAACTAATTTATTTATATTAATTTTATTTTTGTATCGATTAATTCTCAAACATAGAAATTAAAAAGAAATCAAAAATATTTAATAAAGTACTAAGTAATAAAAATAAGAATTCATTGTCTACTACTGCACATGCTGAGGTACATTTTTAAAATTTTATCTAGATCTTAAGATTAATGGGATTCTTTTTTAAATCTAAATTGATAATATTAAATATATACCCTTTAATAACCCTATCAGTTTTTAAATTTAATCTATTTTCTTCTTCATATGTATGTTATTGATCTTCAATAGTGAAAGATGGCATGGATTTAAACTAATCTAATAGTTTGACAGTTCCATTTTCATCAAAATTTCTTGATTTTGAACAGTATTTACTCAATTAGATTTTTTTTGGTTAAGGACTTTTTATTTATGTAATTTTAGTATTAGAATTCTTAATTAAATTAGTTAAACTAGCTTAATTTCTTTTATGCATATTAGTAGCATCTCTTAAAGGGCTAGTTTATTCATAAATAATTTTCTTTTTGATATCATCAAATATATTTGATTATTTTTTAGAATCAACTCTGGTTTTGGATATATTAGGTGATTTAATACTTAAGGATGATGAATTATTTAAATTATTTGCATTAGTTTAATTCAATCTTCCAATAGGTTACTACTTATGACTTATTAATGGAGATTAATATTTTTAGATTGAATTTTAGTCAACTGAAAAACTAGATCTTGGTGATAAAGATATTTTAAGTTCTAAAATAATAATTTAATAATATAATTACATCCTTATTATGGATAGCATCTTTAAACAAAAGAAGATTGATAAATATCTTTGAAAGATAATCTCTAAGATGGATCTTTTTACAATATATTTTTAATAAGTTCTTAAGCATCTTAATTGATAGAACTAGAATAACGTATTAGACCAGTTTTGATATTTGCTGCAATCTCTTTATATTCTTTTCCTTTAAATGGCGCATATCCATGTAATAATTCATACAGTAATACTCCAACTGACCATATATCAATTTTATAATCATAAGGTTAATCAGAAACAATTTCTGGAGCCATATATTCATAGGTTCCACAAAAAGTTTTTCTTTTGAGATGAATGTTTTCTGCACACCATCCAAAATCACATAATTTAATATCATTATTGCTATCCAACAACAAATTTTCAGGCTAATATATTTATATCATTATTATCTTACTTTAATATCTCTATGAAATACATTTATCTCATGTAAATATTGCAATGCTTTACAAGTTTATATAAAGTATTTACAAGCTTCTTTTTCATCTAATCTTTTTTTCCTTTGCACATAATTATATAGGTTTCCATTTTCAGCATACTCTAATACCATATATACGTTTCCATGTTCAATGAAACTATCATACAAATTAACAATATTTTAATGATGACACTTTAAATGGACTTTGATCTCTCTTTCTACTCCTTCTTACTCATATGGAGTTTAGATATTGCATTATTAAATTGATTTTATAGCATAAAGTGATTATGATTTAACGTGTTAAACCAAATTAACCGTTCCAAAAGATCCAGTTCCTAAACTAGTCTTACCATTAGATCTTTATTTAAGTTCAAATTAAGACATTGAAGTAAAAAGTCCTTTATTATAGCATTCTATTTTTCTTTACATTATTCTTCGATTAACTGACAAATTTTTATAAATATAATCAATAAAATTTATATTAAATTTACTTAAAATAATCATCATCTATCTCTTTCTTTACTCAAAAATACTCTCTCTTAAACCTATTAATTCTTAAATTCATCTATCTACTTTAAAATCAAATTATGCTTTCATACATCTAATAATTTTCTATTACAGTTATATGACATCATTAGACACAAACATAATGAATTGATTATTTTATTAAAACATTTATAATACATTAACTCATTATCAAATCAATCTTCCCATTAAGGTAAACTCAAGATATGATTATTCAAATTATATATATCTTTTAAGAAAATTTAAGAAAATTGTTAAAACTTTTTTGTTAATAAGAAAAAGATGGTACTAATTGGAATACAGAATAAATCAATCATATTAAGATACATACTTATTTTTAGAAAATAAACTGAATGTATTGTTTTATAGGACAAATTTTATATATAATAATAAAACTTTTTTCAATGATTTTTATTTATTTTTTAGAATTATTTTTGGATAAATAATCCAGAGACTATTAATTCAGTTAATTAAATACAAAATTAGATGCTAAAATGTTATAAATTAGATATTTCAAAGATTATATACTCACAAATTACATGAAGAAAATAATTTTATATTTAACAAAAATATAATAAGAATTTGATTTATATAAATAATTATCAATGCAATTTAAAATATTTGTATTGAATATTATTGTACTATGATTTAAGGTTTTAAAAAGTATTGAATTATTAAAAAGTGCGTCAAATAACAAATATAGTGATATCACATAATAAAAAATAAAGTTAATATCTCAATAATTTTTAAAATGATAAAAGATTTTGCTAGTTCTGATTGTCTAAGTTTTCAGCTATAGTTGTTTAAGTTCGACAAGAATATAGGTTGATTGGTGGCTTATATGTAAATTATCTGCTTACACAGATTCTAATATTATTATTGCGACTCTTAGAATGATTGTTCAACTATACTTTATGAATGATGATTTAAGAGACTATACATCTCCATTGTAAAGAACTGTACTAAAAAATAAAAACAAAATAAAGTTAGAATTTGCTATTTGAAATGAATAAACTATTTTTTAGAATACAAAAATAAATTTTATATTCTACAATACGTGGAATTCCAAGTAGTTCTAGTGTGTATGGACAATATTATTTTTGTGTAACAATGACAACCTGTACATATAATTATTAAATTTATAGTAAGATATATCGAAATCATAATGTAATATTATAATTTTATTTTAGGGTTATAATTTTAAATATACTAAAGATCATTCTAAATATCAATTTAAAGTTCATTAACATATTTCGGTATATCTGATTTAAATAGAATGACAACATAAAATAAGAGAGGAGGAATAACTTTCTGTTTTTTTACATTCTAACTTGAGGAATGTAATAAATGAAGCATTCATCGAAAGATAAACATGCTGATAGTTAAATTAATTTGTAATATAGTTTAATTATAAATGAAAAATAAATAATAAAAAGTAGAATCAAATAATAAAATAATATATAATGGCAAAAAAAAGTAATGATGTAGATGTTGAAGCTTTAAAAAAGAAAGTTTTGCCTATAATTAGAATAGCTGTTTTGGGACCTAAAGGAGTTGGTAAAACAGCAATAGTAAATTAATTTGTTAATAATTCATTTGAACCATAATATGAAGAAACAGATGATGATATTCGTCGTTATAAGAAAGTTCATGATTTAAATTGTAGTCCAACTGATCCATAATATGTTGTATTCATAATTGAAGATATGTAATATATATGAATAAGATTTTAGATTCCCAACAAATCATCCAGACTTAGTTAGAGAAAGTGATTTTCTTAAGACAAATATTTACTTTGGAACTCTTGAAAATAGATAATAAAGATTTAAAGAAGAGTAGAAGAACATTTTAGAGTTTGATAAACAGATTTATGGTTATATTTTTGTATTTGATGGCAATTAAAATGATTCATATAAGGGATTAGAAGAACCTATAAAATATATATCAGAATATTGTGAAAAGTAACGATCTTTTAGTATGTTAACAACTAAGAAAGTTATAGTAGCTAATAAAAGTGATTTAATAGAAGCTTCAAGTTAAGATAAAGTTTTTTCAAAATGTAAATCTCTTGAAAAATTTAATATTCCCACAAGATTTGTAGTATCTGCAAAGACTGGCCATAATATAAATGCTGTATTTGAAGAAATTGGAAAACAGATATTATAAGATTAAAAATTAGATATGATTGATAAAGCTTGGTTAACAGAAATGAATAGTTTAATTATGGGAATAGAAGAATATAGAAAGAAAAAAAGTTAGGGTAATGGTAAAAATGACCTAAGTAATAAGAAAGGTGGAAATAAAGGTTTTTTAGGTTGTGGAGAAAAAAGGAAACAATTTGTTGCAGATGATGTAAATTTCATTTTATAATCAATATATTAGGAAGAAGAAGATGAAGATGAAGAAGATGATGAATTTAAAAATTTATAGCCTTATCCTGGAATGATGGAAGATGATAAGGAGGGCTGTAATATCTTCTGATTTATTTATTCAATTCAAATGAAGAGAGTATTTCATTCTTAAAATATTACTAATTATTATTTATTTAAACACTTTTCATTTAAACAAAATAATTATACATTAATTTATATTTTCATATTTCATTCAATCGATATTGTGCATTATTCCAATTTAATTTCTGTTGAATTATAAATATTGTATTTTTTATTAAATCATGTTGCCATCAACTCTTAAGGTTTCAATCATTTAGCTTTTATTTACTATTATCATGAACTAATAATATTTAGTTTCAGAATGGTAACATCATTCATCTTAATTAATTGATAATACCTTTCCATCAACTAGTTGGAATTCAATACCTTCAATTTATACTTGCAATTCTATAATACCACCTTTCTCTTAATTCTATGATTTTACAGGATAAACTTGGGTTAGAAATTTTGATTTAACATAAGAAAGAGGATATTTTTAACTAAGAATAATTTTTAATTTATACATTTTCTAATCCTAAGAAAATTTCATAACACTACCTTTTCTTTTTAAATTTGATGGTAACCTCATCCAATTAGATCAAAGTATCTTAATTACGTGTAAAAAACCCATTAATTTTACCTATTGTAACTCTAGAGCTTTTAGAGATTAGAAATTTTTTTTAGATTTTCTTATAAACATTCCATCAAATACAATCAATTTTAATCATCAATTTGAAATACAACCTTTGGATATTACAACTTAATTTTCAATTAAAAATTTTTTTATTTTTTTAAAAAAATGCCCAAAGAACTGCGTTTAATGTTAAAATAGTCAAAGCTGCTAAGTTTGCAAACCAAATTTTAAATTATTTTAAAACTCATGTATCTGTTCTTATCCAAAACCTTTTATCATGAATGATGATTGCTTAGAATCATGTCCTTCAGGTTATTTTGATTTTTAAGATTATATTTGCAAACCTTACATTAGTAAATCTAATTTATTCATTGATGATTTAAATCAGGATTAAATAAGATATGAATATATAAAAGATATATGGTCTAATAATTTTTATTAAAAGTCAACTTATGAAGGAGATTAAAATATTAAAGGGCCTTTTCGATTTAATGATAAAATTAAATATTCATTCCAAAAATCATAAATCAATAGCATTTTGGAAATTGAAATTATGTTTTACTTTTATGGAGAAATAAATGTATTAATTTAATATAAAATATAGGATTTAAGTGGGTTATTGTTTTAAGTTAATAAATATTAAATTGGAGGTGTCGATTCCAAATTAGCAACTTCAGAAATATATTCTAGAAGTGGGGTTTTTAAGTAAATTATAGAATGTTATTACGTGGGTTTTTCAAAATGCAAAAAAATTTAATACTATACAACATTATAAAGTTTTTTAGAATACGATATTGTCTTAGAAATAGGATCTTTTCTTAAGTAATAATATTTTTGTATAAAGTATATCAGATCCATTCTAAGCATGGGGAATAGATAAAGTTATAGTGAATGAGGTTGAGCCAGCAACAATATCACCATAAGTTTGTAGCCTTTGGTATGAAGGAAATTGCATAGATAAATGTCCTTCTTATTCAACCTTAAATGGAATTACATGTGAAGATTATGGCAGTATATTTAAAAATCCAAAATATATCTTAAAGGAATTGTATCCAAACCATATTCTCACAGATTTTGCAATGGGTTTAATGAATATAACTACTCCAGAATATTAATAATTTGAAAATAGATTACTTTTTTTCTTTAATACAAATAATTAAGGTGGAATATTGTGGTAGAAATTTAAAATTACTGTACCTCATCGTAAATTAAGGTTGATGATTTCAATATTGTTAATTGATTGGGAGAATAATTCATAAGATTATTTTCTTGAATTAGTTATTGGTTCAAACCTGAATTAAAATCGGCATAAATTCTTTGCTGATTCATTTAATTAATTTATAGATTATTAAATAAATTAAGAATTTCCAGATTACATTTATAGAAATTATACAATAGATCTAAATCATAATTCTAAGATTTTCAATTTGGAATTGCATTGTTTTAGTCCTTCAAATGGATATTGTTCATTATTTGATTATTTTATTATTGTTGAATAGGTAATATGATAATTAATTTTTAGTGTGATCATGGTTGTTCTGTATGCAATCAAAATGGAGAATGCATGAAATATAATAGAGAATTTGAAAATCAAATTAGTTACTATTTTTAAAATTATTAATGTTTAGATGAATATTATTATAGTAATGAATAATGTATACCTTGCCAATTTGGATGTGGAAAATGCAATTAGAATAGATGTTTCAAATGTAAGAATGGTTTTGAGATAAAGGAAGGAAAATGTCATTGCCCAATTTCATCTACAGATGGAATATGTTTGAAACCAGAGTATTGCCCTTAATAATGTTAAACTTGTTAAAAATATAAATCCTTCTGTGATTCATGTGATATAAAATAAATGAAGATATTAAACATATATTAATGTGTTTGCATTAAAGGCTATTATCTTAATAGTAACCTTGATTGTACTTAATGTGACAAAAAATGTACAACTTGTAATGATTTTGAATCATGCACTAGCTGCAGTGATCAAACTAATAGACAATTAATTTCATCAATGTGCATATGTAAATAAGGCTATTATGAAACTGCAGGCAATCTAATCTGTCAATAATGTCACTACTTATGTAAATAATGTTTTTTTACATATGATTATTGCAGTGAATGTGATACTCAATTATTTAGATAATTATCTAAAGGTAAATGTGTATGCTAAATTGGTTATTATGAAGATAATACATAATTATGTTAAAAATGTAATTCAAATTGTTATACTTGCAAATAAGAAAATAACTGTCTAAGTTGTGATCTTCAACTAAATCGAGTATTGAATACCAAATACTTATGCGAATGTAATTAAGGCTATTTTGAAAATGAATTCAAATTATGCTAAAAATGTCATCATTCATGTTTATATTGTAATTAATCTGAAGAATCCAATTAATGTATATCTTGTCCATCATCTCGAATTAAATCTTATGATAAAATAGATTAGTTTGAATGCAAATGTAGAAAAGGATATTTTGATATTGGTGTATTATAATGCATGAGTTGTAAGTAATATCCAAATGCTCTTACATCTCATCCATGTTATTCATTTTGTGGAGATAAAATAATCCATTGGAATGAAGAATGTGATGATGGAAACAATGATTCAAAAGATGGATGTATTGATTGTTTCTTTTCAACAGAAAAATGTAGCACAAAAATTTGTAAAAAATGTTATTAAGGTAATTGTTAAATCTGTAATGATGGCTACTATTTAAATAAAAATAATGAATGCTAAGAATGTTCTTAAAGTTGTATTACTTGTATTACATCTTCAAACAATTGTCTTCAATGTAAATTCTAATTAGCTGATCAAACATGCAAAATGTGTGATTAAAAACTCGGATTATAAATAATAAATAATACTTGTTAACCTATTTGTGGAGATAATATTATGATTGATAATGAGTAATGTGATGATGGCAATTTAATAGATGGAGATGGGTGTAATTCTTAATGTATTATAGAATAGGGATTCATTTGTAATCCTATTTGTTAAATTATAAATTCAATAAACTTTATTTTAACATCTGATTTATAAGATAAATACTTTTAGAGTAAGAGATACTGCTATCTTGACTTTAATTAAGATGTTATTATTGATGGTAATTTGTCTTCCATGATTAAATTATAACTCAACAATTCAACTATTAAATTCAATTATGTTATGACAAATTTAAGTCTGTAATCACTTTCAATTGAAATTGACTTTTTAGAGAGTATAGAAAATCCAATCTTTTAGATAGAAATTATGTCACCTTATAAAATTTCTAATAAATAAGGAGTAATTTTAATAGAAAATATTGAAAGTATTTAACTTCTTTCTTATTCTCTTCAAAGTGAAAGTACTTAAACTGCTACAAGTAGTTCATCTAATTTTGCATATTTTATAATAATATTTTTATTGAGTTTAGCTGGATTTTCATTTATTACTGGTGGATTGAATATTTTCTTTAATTTGTTAGATTCAATATAACTCTTGGCATATTTAAAATACTTTAATATTGTTTTACCATACAATTTATAAATTTATTTTTAAACTTTTGGATTTGCTGAATTCGATTTTTTAAAAGAATATATATCTATTCAGTTAACAATTCTTGATTTTGATTTTAAGATATCTGAACATCAACCAGATTCAAAATTTGCAGAGCAAGGATATTCTGCTTTATTTATAATAAATATCCTAAGTGTACTATTTGTATTTATGATTACATTCTGTACTTGTTTCTTATCGCAATTAGTTCATAAATTATGCAACTATTATATCAACTATCTACAAAATTTAATTTAGAAAGATAATTTCTACATCCTGAATATTTTTGAGTATTACTTATACAATTTAGCTAAACATATTAGATCATTAACAAATATTTATAATATTCAATAATAGAATAACATTGTAAGAACATTTATGTCTGTAGCAATGGATTTTAATATGGCAATATTTTTATAATTAAAGATGTATACACAGGATTTGTAATTTAGTTACTATTTAAGTATTTTTGCTTTAATAGCTCAGTTATAATTTATTTATTATGGTTTAAATGCTATATCTAAAAAGAAATATGAGTTTGTAACTCAAACATACAAATAAAAATATGAATCATTTTTAGAAGGTAATCCAGATATTCATTAGAATTAATTTGTTAGATATTATAATATTTTGATCTTAATGAAAAAGATGATATTTATGTTTGCGTTAATCTTTTTCTACAATAATGCCTGTTATCAAATTTCAATCTCTTCTATTTTGAATATTATCTTTATAGTTTACATAATATTGATTCGTCCTCTTAAAGATATAGATGAATTCTATAAAGTGATTTTAACAGAATGTATTTTATGGTTTGAATAATTGATGATCCTAATAATTTATTATATTTAATCAGGAGACAATTTATTAGATTAATCTCAAATTGAAAGAATGTAAATCTTAGGATGGGTAATAATTGCATTATCAGTGTTTATGCTATTAATACAATTTTTAATTGATATTAAATAGCATGCTTATTTTTTATATTAATAGTATGAATTTATTTAAAAGATGTTTAAATTTGTAGGTCGTATTTTTCATAAAAAAGATGAATTAACAGATTAAATTGGCGAAGGATTGATAAAGGATGAAAAGATAGTGAAATCAAAGGGTAAAATAATATCTTATGAATTGAGAGTTGAAAGAAAGTTATATTGAAATATGATATAAAACTATTTAAGTATTTTATATATTGATTTTGAATACTAAAGTTAATTAAATCTTAATTAATTTAAAAAAAGCAAATAATATAATAACTATACTAGAGTAGTAGTTTAATCTAATATATAATGGTTAATCTATTAGTAGAGAGAAAGGAATGTGGAATTGAAGTTTTTGAGTGAGGAAGATGTAATGATGTGAAGAGAGTAGATTTAAAGTTTATAATAATGTTTATAATATTTTGACAAAAATTAAAATGCGAAATAGAAAGGGGAAAAAAATTGATTAAAATTAGTTATTGTGATGAGATAAAAGGATAGACAAAAGAGTAAAGGGAAATACTTAAGCATATCGAAAGAACTAGTATAAATAGTTGATGTTCATGGAGGACCAAATTGTAAGAATTGGGGATAAGTAGCAAGACATTTAGAAGCTTAGGTTGGGATAAAGATTGAGAAGGCATATAGATTGAAGAGAGCGTAATAAATTTATATGAATAAATATATATAGATGGGAATCATTTGTAGATTACAATGAGAATATGTCTAAGGAACAACTTGCAATATTGTTTGAAACAGCTATAAAGACAAGAGGAAATATGGAGTATGCAAAACATGAATTTAAGAGATTGACGGGAATATAATTATATTCAACTAGATATGCAGATTATGTGAAAACATGGCTTAAACCAGGATTATTAGGATTTAAAGATTGTTATATATTTTCAGTTGTAAAGTCATTAAGAAGATCTGATTTTTATTAAAAACATACAATGATTTAACCGATAACAGTATTGTCAATGTTAAGAATATTGGATCATGATATAGAAGAATATAAAGATGACTACTTTGTAATGGATTTTAGAGACAGTGCGTAGAGATTGTAGGAATTGTTGAAATGTTATGCTAGTTGTTTTTCGGATTCAAGAGAAGAGAGATACAGTAAATTTTCAAAAATAACAACAAGACATCAATTTAAAAAGATCTATTTTTATTTATAATTAATGGAAGAATTTAGAAGAATTAATAGATTTTTCACAAATCATGTAAATCAATTAACATTTCATCCAATGTTGTATAAAAGTATAGAATAAAATAAGTCATGTCCTATTTATAAATTAACACTATTGGAGAATGATTATTCAAGAAAGTTATAGTTATTTAATGAATCGAATAATAATGAGAATGAATAGTTTTCAGTACTTTTGAAACCTAAGAAAAAAAGGAACTCTTAAAAGTCTGGGAATGAGGAAGAGAAAAACAAATAGAAGGAATAATAAAATCCATATGTTTATTAATTGGAAGAGGAAGATTTAGTAAAATAGATAAAAGTACCAAAGAAAGTTAGTGAAACAAAGAAGAAATATAAAGATTATAGATATTTTAGAGGTCATTTTATTAGAGAAGGATAGTATTAGTGTAAAGGATTAACAACAAAAGATTTCGAATATGATGTTCCACTTGAATAATGAAAGAGGAGTAATATAAATATCTATATATATATATTGGAAATAAAATTATTAAATTTTAATGAATCAATCTTAATCATATATAAAAAGTGAAAGAAAATGTGAAAGATAACATGAAGAAGGATGTGAAAAATTGATAGCAATTTGTTTAAATGGTGATTGTGATAAAAGATTAATGTGTTGTTTCTGTTATAATGATTATCATAGCGAACATTTAAAGGATGTAAAGACAATAAGTTAAGTGCAATAATTATGTAAAGATTCAATAGTAAAATTTGATAAATTATAATTGACAATAATGTTATAGTAGAAGGCAGATTAGTTTAAGTCAGTAGTTAAGAATATTAATGAGTAAATGGAGAAATTAGTCTAATATTATATTCATGATATATAATAATTGTATTCAATGATGGAGGATTTGGCTGATAGTTTTGTGATTTTATAATAAGGGAATATAAATTAATTTACAGATGAGTAATGTGAATTGTTAGCAACATTTAAAGATGAGAGAATTTTAGATAACATATAGGAAATAACAAATTATATAGGATAGAAAATGGGGATATAAGATTTATTGAAGATAAGTAATGATTTAGATGAAAGATTGATGATGTTAGATATAAATATAATATTGGAGAAGAATATTTAAAATGAATAATTGAAGAAATTTATAGAATGTTATGAAATGAAGTATGAATGGATTCAACCAGAATTGTTGTTGATTAGAAGTCCAGAAGTAAAGAAGATAGAATATCCAAATGATGATTTCTATATAGGAGAAGTAAAAGGAGATAAGAAATTCGGGAGAGGTAAGCTATGATATGGAATAGCTAGGATTATTATTTAATAAGTTAGAATAGACTTACTAGTATGGAGTATTTAGATAAGATAATTTTGTATGGGGTTAATAATTGATGATCGATCAAAAGAGACGTTATTGGATTAAGTAAGGGAAATGGATAAATGGGAAAATAGAAGGAAAAGGGATTCATGCTTTATTCAAAGGAGAGTATTATAAAGGAGATCTTTAAAATGATATAAGAGAAGGTTTTGGAACTATGAGATATACCACTGGAGATGAATATCAAGGATAGTGGAAAATGGGATAATTTCATGGTAAAGGATTATATAAATATGTTAATGGAGATGAATATGATGGAGATTTTGTGTTTGATAGAAAAGAAGGAATTGGATCTTATTAATATAAAAATGGAGAATTATATGTCGGATAATTTAAATCAGGATTGAGACATGGAAGTGCCATTGTTAAATTCCCTAATGGAGATATGTAATAACTATTATTAAATTAGTTATACAGGAGAATATGTTAAAGATAAAAAAGAAGGACCTGGAGTATATAAATATATAAATGATAACATATTTGAAGGAAGTTATAAAGAAGGCTAAAGACATGGATAAGGAATCTATACTGATCTTGTTAATGGAATTAAAGAGATTGGACAATTTGTATAAGGAAAATAACAAGGAGAACATATGGTATTTCAATTGTTAAAGAATAAACCATACTGTATTAATGTTTATGATCATGGAAAATTAATTAATTAAAAAAAATTATGATTATTAACATTCATTTTTAAATAAGAAACTGTTAATCTTGTAATATATAATCTTTATTAAATTGGTTTCTATCATTAAATTCAAAATCAAATTTCTTATATATCTCTCTGCGAAATCTTGTTTATTTTTATTTCTTATTACTTTTTTTAAGGATATTTCGATTTCAATTATATATAGAAATTATATAAATATAATAAATATCTAAGATATCAATATAATATTAATAAATAAAAAATATCAGCCAAAATATTAATAAGTCGTAATGTTCCTTATCTTAATAGATTCAAAAATCTAGATATAAAAAGAAATCAATCAAATAAATTATTATATGTATTAACTCTCATATCTTTTGAGTAATGATTATCTTGTCTTCATATTTTTATTTAATTTTTGGTCTAAAAATTTATAAATGAACAACTCTTTAAAGAGATGACTTTGAAACATTTCTTTAGGTTTAAAATGTATGTTTAAGAGATCAGTTATTTAAGAAAATAATTTTGAAACATTAAATAAATATATAAATAGAGAGTAAATAGAATATTTTTTAACAGATATGTATAGAGTTAATTGAGACATTTTTTTTGATAAGCCCTAATTCCTAAAAGCATTTTAATATATTGATATATAATAAATAGTTGATGCAAAAATTTTAATATCAAAAAGTAAAATATATTGGGCAGAGAACTTGTAGATAAATTTGTTTAGTGAAAGATGTAAATGATGGGTAAAAATGTCAAGTTAAATCATTAGTTCATAATGGGTTTAAAAATATATAGACATAGAAGAAATGAATAAACATGAAAAAGATGAAATGTATAATAAATTTAAAACTTTCTAAAAACTTTAACATCCTAACATTTTAAAGTTGAGAGAAGTAAATATGACAACCGAGGGTAAAATTTTCATCATTATGGAATATGCTGATAGTAAATTAATCTTCAAAGTTTTCATTAGGAGGTCCTTTGGGTGAAATAATTAACAAATAAAATGGAAAATAATTTTCTGAAAATTAAATTTTGGATTGGTTTACTCAAATATGTTTGGCTGTTAAGTATATTCATGATCATAACATTTTACATCAAGATTTAAAAAGTCATAAATTTTATGTTACCAAAAATAATTGCATCAAATTGGGTCATTTTTAAACAGCTAAAGTGTTATCCCATAGTTAAGAGAAAATAAATGATTTCGTAGGAACACCATATTATATACCTCCAGAAATGATAGAACAAAAACCTTATTCCTTATCAGTATTTTAAAATATTTAACTAGGCTGATATATGGACTTTAGGTATTGTCTTTTATGAGTTATGCATGTTATAAACCCCTTTTTAAGCAGATAGTTTACATTTTCTTCTTTTAAAAATATGCAAAGGTGTTTTCAATAATATATCACCTAATTATTCAACTGATCTCAATAATATTATCAAATAACTCTTAAAGTGCAATCCTGATTAAAGGCCAACCATCAATTAAATATTGAGTAATCAAAATTAATAAAATTTTAGAATTTCCTCTTATTTCCAAAAGAGTAAAAGAATTTAAAAGATCAAGTTTATATCAAAACGAGTTCACTGTTTAAAATTTGCATCAATAAGTAAATATATAAAAATCAAATTAAGAGATTAAGTACTGATAACAATAATACCTAGCTAGAATTTTAAGATGATCAATTCCAAGAACTTGATATTTCTTCTTAAAAATAATTTCGAACAAAACCAAGTACTCCTGTTAAAAATAATTATCGTATAAAATCTTCTAAGCCTGATTAATAAAAATAAGTTTAAAAAACATAGATTTCAAAGAGAGAAACATCCGCTAATTCATAAAAAAAAGAAATAAAAAAAAATAAAAAAAGTAATTAAGTTTCAAAAAGCAAAAGTCCCAATTAAACTTAAAGAAGTAAAAGCAAAAAGAAAATTAATTAAATTTAATCAAAAAAAAATCATATTCTTTAAAAACCAAGTGATTAATAAAATGAAAAAAATTAAGACACGCATAAGCTAATCAATAACTATAGTTTTTATTCACAATAATTTCCACCTGAAGCCCCTTCTCGTTAACCTAAAACAATTTAGCAAATATAATAAAAACCTGAGTAACAATGTGAAAGTTATGAAGATTTAAATGATTCTTAAATATAACATGGAAATAAATAGTATTTTTTCAAACATGCTAAATTGAAGCAAGTAGGAATATTTACTTTTATTTTTAGTTAAAATAAAATGATAATCTGAGTGAGTAATTTCAACCAAAAAAGATTTTAATTATGGATAGTGAAATTTAAAGTGAAATAAATGATGAAAACGAGATCAATCTTAATAGTTTTTAAGAATCAGATAAATTAGAGAAGGAATCTAGTCAGTCATCCTTCATAGGTAAATCAAATAGAGCATTATAATTAAAGATATTATTGGAATAAGTATTAGATGTAGATAAAATACAATAGAGTATTAAAATATTGCTTAAGTAATTTTAATTGTTAAATAGAGTGAATTTACTTCCAAAAGATTCAAAGATTTAGAAAAATAGGATGAAAATTTTTACTAAAAATTGTTACCATTCTTATCTTTATAAGAATGCAAGAATTTTGTTCCCCTTTTTTTTTAACTAATATTTTTATAAAAATGATCAATTAAATCATATGAAACTAAATCACAATTAAATCATTTAAATTGAAATATAACTGGGTCTTTTCTTTTATAATTATTTGCATATTCTTTATCTAATCTTAATGTCTTTTTGATATATATTTAAATTATTTTGATTTAAGAAATTTTTCTTACTAGATCTATTTTTTGTTGATTCCCCATAATTATTATCTTACAATTTTATTAAATTCAAATGCTATATTATAAGTATTTTTAAATTTAAATTTAATATGATATTTAAAAAAAAGATTTTTAATGTTAAATTTAAAAAATTTATTTACTTAATATAATTTTAGATTAATATTATTCACTAATGTTGGTTGATATTTTGAACTAACTAAAATTAATTTCCTTCTTGTGATTTTCCACTTATTAATTCATCATTCTTCCTATAAATTATTATATACTGCTTCCTCCTTCTTAGTGCATATTATCTTGACTTAATCAGTATTAACTTTTCTCAATATTTAGATAAATATTTTAAATAACTTTTAATTAAGTATTCGAAGTGTTGAAAAAGTACAATATGTAGCTTTACGTATATTGATTACCTGTTAATTTTTGAAAATTTTAGCTATATTGAGTTAGTATTACATAATATTCATTGATGTTTCAACCTCAGCCCTATGCCCTATGCTATATTATCACTTCCAACCTCGATTCAAGGTTTTTTTATTATTATTTTTCTAATTTGTACTTTTATATAGTAATTTTCTTTGTTTTACTTAAATTCTGCATGTGCCAAATTAATTTAGATTCTTCATTTTTTTCATTATAACAGAATAACAGCTGTTCGGCTCAATGGGACAGATTAAAGCAATTTAATATATAAAAACTACTTAATATAAAATAAAATCTATATATAATATATATTTTCAATATATTAATGTTTTAACCTAGCCCCTTCTAATTTAAATATTAACATAAAATACTTATAAATTCTTTTATTATAACTGGGTTTGGCTATGTTTCTGTTCTTAAATTGAATTAATTTATCTTTCATGGCTCTACCTTTTTTGATAGCAATATATAAGAATGAGTATTATGAATACATTTGTTCTCTATGATATTTCTAAGTAACTTTTGACAGAAACTTCATCACTTTAGAAATATTATACTGTGGATAATACTCTCTGAACTCTTATATTTTATCGAATTCTCCTAGAGAAGGCTGGGTGATTATAGGCTATTTATATAAATGAAATAAAATTACAAATTCAATTTGACAATGTCCTTCTCCATATAGTTGTTATAGATAATTCTCATAAATTAAGCTTGATCTTCTGTTTATAATTCCATAAAGATTTTAATCAAAAGTAACTTTTTATGAAATTTTTCTATAATTTATTGGACTCTTTTCTGTATGGTATATCTAACCCTATTATTAAATAAAATTATCTTCATCTATGAGATCAAAATTTGGTATTTCTTCCTCTAATTCTTATATTTAATTATGCATTTAAGATTCAAATTTAGCTCCAAATCCTGCTGTTTCTTTCTATTAATATTTTCGATTTAATGACATCTTCTTCAATAATTCTTACTCAAATTTTCCTATTTCTTCTTGAGATTTAGATGATAATTAATTTTAACTTAATGCTAATGTTAATGTTTATGAAGGTCTATGACTAAACCTACTTAATTAATTACTATTTTAGCTAAAGGTTTTAGTTAAACTTCTTGTTTATATATTTGATGTACCTATTTAATTATTATAAATAAATATACTTTTTACTGTTCTAGTTTTAAATTCTTCTTCATATTCATCATCAGATACATTCTCACTTCCTTCTACTTATTCCATATCCTTCATAATCTCTTTAGCTATATCTTGTATTACTCTTTACTAAAACAGAGCATTTACATACTTAGACTTACGTTATCTTGTATTATTAATTTTATTTACATCTCATCTCTTTCTTAATTAACTGGATATAATTATTGTTTGATTACTCTATCCTTATCTGGTTAATAATGTAAGAATGGACATTAATTTACCAAATGATTGACAGATTTACAACTATAACATTTAACATCAAGCATTGATAAATCTTCCTCAAATTGAACTTTATCTTTTATCATATTAAATATTTCTTTATCATCAGGAAACTATTCAATCAAATTCACAAAATCTACTCTCTATATCTTATACAATTAACAAAATCCTTTGCTAATTATTGTAGCTGTCCTTTTACTCCCTGTTATAAATCCCAAAAATCCAAAATAATCTCCTTTCCCTAATGTCTTTATCTAATTACGAATATGTTTCTCACCCATATTATTACTTTATTCGAATATCACATCTACCTCACCTTTATTTATTAAATATAAAGAACTATCATCCTACTCATCCAATGTTAAAATCCTTTACTCAGGTATTGTCTTCACCTCCTCCATATAATATACTAATTATTTCCTCAATTTCTATGAAAAATTTTACGATATCATCTTACATTGTTCCAATATATTCACTTATAATTAATTTCTCAATTCACTTCTTAACTAATGTGACAACTTACTCATTATCTAAGTAATATCTTCCTCATCCATCTATTACTCTTATTTAAAAATGTATTCTAAATAACTCCGAATTCTATGTTACAAATTTAAATTTATCTTATTCAAATTCATATAACTTGACATCATATTCATTTATCTATTCTCTTTCATACTTTTAGATTTATTATATAAAAATAATCCCATCTTTATTGTTACTAAACCATTTATCAATATTGAAACTATCAATATTAATGATGAAAATATTAGCTATTCATTATTCCTTAAATCCATATTTGAAACTCCTGAACTTGTTAAATACACCGATGCCCAATAAAAACATTTTATATATTCCTAAACTACATTCTCTAATTATTTATTACTGTTTCTGTCCTTTATTAAACTATACCAAATACAAGATACAAGATGAATTATATATAACACACCTATCAAATTTATCAACAATGGAATCACATTACTTTACTTATAATTCATCTATTCCTCAATTCTACTCGTCACTCTCAAAAATTTTGCCCCTTATAAAAATACAAATACAAACAATAAAACTATGTTCAATTCTGCAACCTTAAAACTTTCAAACAATAAAACTATTAAAGCTGTCAAACTAATTAAGTCCTTCATCATATCCTATCTCAAATACTTAGATATTATATGATAACGCTAACTATTTCAATAACTATTTATTACTTAATTACTTTTCCCTTCGATATATATGCTTAATTACACTATATTAACATTTCAAAAATCAATATCCCTATCAGAAAATATTCTATTATCTAGTTATCGTAATTCAACATTTTCAATATCGAATCTAATTCAAAAGAATATTTAAATGGCAGCCAAACGAATATCATTAATGTATTTATTATGAAAATTATATCTGAACACAATTTTAAACTGCTTTACGGTTATATGATAGGATAATTGTTTAAATAATTGAACATAAATTTATAACAAGTACTATCTATATCATCTATTTATGTGTCTTAACCAAATTACAAATCATCAAGAACTTACTTTTAATAATTATTCAATCTGCTTGCTGGCTTAGCTTTATCCAACATTTATTTTATAAATGATTCTTAATATAATCTTTACAACCGTAAACTAAATTATTTTTATTGTTATTAATTATCTGACCATTCTTATTTATTTCTCCTACTTTATATGGTAGCATATCGATTCAAATTACTCCTAAATGAACAACTAATTTCTCTAAGGCTACTTGGAGGTGTTAAAACTAGTAAGGGATCTTAGCTCTAATTTTATTTATTAATTGATTTAATAGTAGGTGAACGATTTATCATCTTCAATAATTATTTATATTTTTAATTTATTAATATACAAAACTTTTAAAATTATTAAGTTTAAACAAACTTACCATAATATTAGAGAAATATTAAAGAAAACAGAGAAAAAATCATGAAATCAAAATACTGATAAATCATGATAAAATTTTAAAGAAATCGGTTATTTATTATTTTCTTACCGGAATTAAAATGCATTATAAAAAGATGCTAAAAACTATTAGAATTAATATTTAGAACTAATTATTCTTAGATTCTATAAAATTTAAATTATAGATTTAAAATCCACTCTTACTACTCATTAAATATGATTAAAAAAATTCAAAATAAACTATGAAACTCAGAACTCAGTAACATGTTTTAAAATTTTGTCAATAAACTTAATTTTATTTGTAAAATGATTATTATAGGTATAATTATAGCTTTATATCAAATACATAAAACATTTTAAGCTAAGCTTTTAGAATAGATTTGAAGAATGTTTTAAATTTAACTGAAGCTAAATTGTTTATCAGAAATTAATTAACATTATTTTGAATAATCAATTAAAAAAGATCCAATAAGTAAATTTAATAGCTAAAATTAAAATGATAGTTTAAACTTTAATTTTATATATACTTTTAGTGACATTCACATTCTAATAAAGAATATTTTGAGAAATTCAATAAAGAATATATTTTGAGAAATTCAATAATAAATATTTCTGTAATACCATATTTTAATATTATTAATTTATTATTTTCAATACTGATGATTTTCATTTTTCCTAGATTTAATAAATTTAAAATAATTTTAATTCTTTATTCCAAATTATAATATGTTATAGATTATCTTAAATTGCTCCATAAATACAAGCAGCACTACACTCTATAAAACTACTATCTAATTAATATTATTGATCTTAATTTTATTAGATTTTATAAATATACTTATTCTATTTTATAATTAAGACTTATTTTTAATTGTTATATTTTGAAGGGAAAAAACAATAATCACACCAATTACAATCTTCTGACAAAGATTTTAATTATATTTTCATATTAGATTACTATTAAAATTTTTCGTTTTCTAATTTAAAAACATGAATGAAAGGTTATGAAAATTAACACCAAAATATTGTATCATCAGATAAAAAGTTAATTCTAAGTCCATAATCATTAATATTATGGTCAATAGTATATTTAAATTCCCATTTATTACTTACATCCTTCCCCCAAAGTATAATTTATTAATCTTCACTACATGAGACCATTTAGGTTTCTTTTGAATTTAAAGATATTTAGAAAACTTGATTTTTATGTTTCTCTAAAGAATATTAAAACAACAAAGAGTTATCTGAGCATTTTATATTCCAAATTTTAATTGAATTATCACAACTACTTGATATTAATTAATCTTCATTTTCATTTAAAAGCAAACATAATATAGAATTAGTATGCTATATATATGCTTTCGAACCTTCCCAATTATGTGAGCTGAACCAAGATCTTTTATTTTTTTCAGTCCAACATCTAATTTAATTATCAGTCCCACCAGAAACAAACCAATTTATTTTTTTGCTAAAAATAATACAAAATACTATATTTTCATGTCCTTTCAATATTATCTTTTAATCTATCATATTTCCATTCTAAAATTTCCAAATTTTTATATCATTATTACATGAAGCAGCCACAAGTGATCCATCAAAATTAATAGCCAATGCTATACAAGCTTCTTTCTATTATAACTCACCTTATAATTTATAATATGTTTTTTCCTACAACTAACTTAATTCATTTATTATGTTTTCATTAGTACATGATTATTACAGAATATTCTCATGCTCATTTGATTATACTAATTTATCTTTTTCAGTATTTTCTAAATTTGAGCATTCAGTCTATGCTAATTATTAATTTGAAGATTCCTTTTAGTCATTATTTAATTATATTTCAGTCTATAAACATTATTCATTCAAAAGTTATTCATTTTCTCTATTATCTTTTTAAATCATCTAGAAGATTTAAGATGTTTATTCTTTATTAAATATTTCCCTCAAACTTTTAAAATGATTAATTGTCTTGCATTAAAAAGCATCATTAACTTGATTAAGTTTCTCTATAAATTGATATTTTTCTTGATCTATCAGAGATTCATTTGAAATGTTTATATTATCAATTTCTTTTAAAATACTATAGGAAGATGCTTACTTGCTTAGTTAAAGTAATTAACTTTTCCATAAATTTATATGATTCTCAATTTAACTAATAGTCTATATCAATTCAGTTTTGATTATTTCAATGTGATTAAGGAAATCATCTAATTCTTTGATATTATTTGTAACAAATGTTGTAACTAATGAATAAACCTGGTCTTTCTAATCCTAAATCTTAATTAAAGCCTCTTCATAAGATAAACAATTGACTTTTCCTTTAATCTTTGCTAAACATAAAGGGCATTTAAATCTTTGATTTTATTAATATTCTTCATCTAAAAGAACCATGATTATCGGCTAATCTTAATGATTATTTGAGCATCTGAGTTCATTTTATTATTCTATCATTTAACAAGATAACATTTTAATAAAAAATAATAAATTTACTTCAATAGTTAAATACCTATCTACTTTGCTTTAAATTAAAAAAAAATATGGATATCAATTTGTTTATTCATAATATTTTCTATATAAATATTTATATATTTGAACATCGTTTGTATAACAAACATATCCCTCTTTAAACTTTAGTTTTCTAGAAATGATTTTCCAACCTAAATATAAATCTATTTTCTATAGTTAAATATGGATAATGCTTTCAGAAAAAGAAAATAAATTTATATTTTTGCATTCCTCTTTGCCAGATAATATACAATTTCAATTTATTTATTTACTCTATTTTAAAATTTAGAATTAAAACATACAAAAAATCATATTCTCATGTAACAATTTAACATTGATTGATGAAACAAATTTTTTTTTTGATATAAATCATATTAAAAAAACTTCCAGCTTTCTTCATTTCATTTTTTATTTTAAAATTTCTTTCGACTTTATAAAAATTTGTCCCTGCATTTGTTAAGAAGCTCAAACGTTTATGCTATTATAAAAAAAGATGCTTGGAGGTTTAAAATCGAATTTCATTATAGTAATTTTGGAAATATTTTGTATTAAATAAATAAAAAATTTTGACAAGGTTTATAAGAAATGAGATAAGGATAAGAAAATCTTTGATTTTTTATTATTAAAATTAATTAGATAATGGATAATGATATATTTGCTAATACTCATAGACATGGTAATAGAATATTATAAATGGAAATAGTTCAAGTTAAATAAAAGCAGGGTTTGCAGGAGATGATAAAAAAATGTGATATTCAATTCATAGGAAATAATTTGAAAAATAATTAAGCATTGGGAGGTCAAAATATATGGCATTAATTGAAGCAACTAAATGTTAAAAAATATATGTAGAAAATTAAATAGCGCATTATACTAGAGAAATGATGAAAATAAAATATCCATATCAAATGGAAGTAATAAATAATCTGAATGATATGGATTAAATATGAAAACACACATTCTAAGAATTCACAAAAACTATATATTAGAAATTAATATTGTAAGGCAGAATTCGAAATTATCAAGAAGATCAAAGAGAAAAGTTGTTTTTTAAATCTAGCTATGAATGGAGATGGAAACAAAAGGGCTCCAAAAATTTTGGTGTGTCCCTAAAAATATAGTTTAAAATAAAATTGTAATAAAATTCTTATCTACTTCATTATCACTATTCCAGAAATTTTTGCATATTATATTGAGAAAGTTGATCGAGAATTGCGAAAACCTTTATAAAAAACTTAGGCTCCTCCATAAAGAGTATACAAAATTGGTAAGAAGGATTTATATTGTCTCATTTGGACTTATTTAGAAGTATGTGAATATTAAAAAAAGAATTTGAGGATGAAGACGAAAGAATTTTACTAAAAAAGTAGTTATGAGTTTTTTGAGATATCTTCAATATATTTATTTAATATATCTGTACTATCATTTTTCAACCTTGCCTAACCATAAAGCAAGCAATGATTTTCCTTTAACAGCAATAATCTTGAATCTGACTCCTGGAATATCACCTACTGCATGTCCTTTTCTTCCGAATCCTGCTACAGTGACTTCATCATTTTCATTTAAAAAATTCAAGCAACCATCTTTTGGAACGAAGGCTGATATTTTTTTACCATTTTTTTTGAGTAACACTCTAACACATTTTCTGACAGCAGAATTTGGTTATTTGGATTCACTAAATTAAAATAATATAAGTACACTCCAATTTTTTCAACAACCAATCCTTTAGCATGTGATGCACCCATAAATGGATTTTTATATCTTGATCCAATCATAGCCTTATTATATTCCTTATCAGCCCATCTATTAACTCTTCTATGATCTTTAAGCTTTCTTCCAGCTCTCATACCTCTAGGTTTACCAACACCCATGATAAAAAATAAAAAAAAGATTTTATTTAATTTGTTTTTCAAAAATATTCATTTTAAATATTATGAACCTCTTGGATGTAATAATTATGCACCTTTGATTACATTCTATTCATAAGAAGAAGTTGTTCCGCCCCCATGAGTACCACTCTTTCTAACTTCAGTCTCTTTAGTAACTGTCACTTATCTTTTTTTAATAGCTTCCAATTATGTTTCAGCCATTGTTAACTTCTCTGCCAAATCTGAATTTTATTCATTCACTTATTTAAACTTTTTCTTCCATAATTCTACTTCCCCCTAAAGACTTATTATTTATGTTTCAGATTAAGAGTAATTCTCACACATCATTTCTAATTCTCTTATACGTGCATCTAATTAATCTAATTCATTATCTTTATCATTTAACAACTATTTCAAGTTTAAAATTTCATTATCTTTTTACTAAATTTATTCATGACTCGCGGACAAATCTTCACATAACTCATTAATCTTTTTCTTCAACTATCTTATTTCTTCATCCAAACCTGAACTCTTTGAATTCGATTCCTAAAGTAACTTATATCTTGATTTCCAAGATTCCAACTCTTCAGACATTTATTTGTTTGACATTCTCAATTATTATTCTTAATTTCTTATCTCCTTATTCGCTTACATTAATTCATTTATCTAACTATCTAAAAATATAAACTACTCTCTTATCATCTTATATATATGTAATTTAACCACTACTATTTTACAATCTCAGCTTTTGGATTTCTACTTACAACTCATATACATGCATTTCTAGTCTTACTATTCATTCATATATATTCATTATAATACAGCATTTCTCCTTCCACTTTTATTCAATATCTTCTTATGGCACCACTTAAAGAGGTCTTTCAAAATGATGAACATCTGCTCTATTGCCTTATCGACTTTATTATCTTTCATTTATAACAATATCTTACGTTTGCGTTTGTTGTATTTATTAATTTTATGGAGCTTGTGCTGTCTATTGGAATGAACTAAATAAATATTTTATAATCTTACGGTAACATTCCTCTAGGAGAACCATATTATTACAATTATTAGGGTTAACCATATTATCCATATTGCTACAATTATCTCATTGATGGAGTTTAACTTAAACAAGAATATTTGGAATAATTACTTCATTTACAGTTAAATATTTTATATAATGAATTAAAAAACTAATTTTATTATTGATATTCAAAATTGTATGTTAAATCCCTGTCTTTTCCATTAAATAAATAAATATCAATCTAAATAATAATAAACTATTTACTTCTTTACCATACAAAGAATATAAATTTTAATTATTGAATATATATTTATTAAAATAAAAATGGATTAAAGTATATTATTTAAGCCTTTAAAAATGGGTGATATTGAACTACCAAATCGTATTTGTATGGCAGCCTTAACTAGATAAAGATGTGAAACAGAAGATCTTGTTCCAAATGATATAATGATAGAATATTATGGACTTAGAGCTGAGGCTGGATTTATATTGACAGAATGTGTTCCAATTTCCGAAAGATCTTTAGCCTTCCCAAGAGAACCAGGAATTTATACAAAAGAATAGGTTAAAGGTTGGAAGAAAGTCGTCGATAATATACACTCTAAAGGTGGTAGAATCTTAGCCTAAGTATGGCATGCTGGAAGAGCAAGTCTATCTACTTTATAGAATGGATTAGAAATTTGGGGACCTTCACCTATTAAAATAAGAGGTATTCATAGAAGAGGTTTAACAGAACATGAGATACCTCATGAAATGACAATAGAAGAAATCTAAGAAGTTATCAAACAATTTAAGTAAGCAGCTGAAAATTGTAAAGAAGCTGGATTTGATGGTGTTGAATTACATGGAGCTCACGGATATATTATTGATTAATTTCTTAGAGATAGTTCAAATAAGAGGACTGATGAATATGGAGGAAGTGTAGAAAATAGAAGCAAATTATGTTTATAAGTCATTGATGAATTCATTAATGTTTTTGGAAGAGGAAGAGTTGGCATCAAGATATCTCCTGTTGGTAGACTCAATGATTAATGTGATTCAGATCCCCTAAAGTTATACACATATTTGATTAAAGAACTTGAAAAAAAGTAAATTGCTTTTATTGAGGTCAAAGATGATAATGACCCTGAGAATTTATTTGATTTTGGTTATCCATCTAGTAAGGATTAAATTCCTGATCTTTTTGAGGTCTTTAGACCCTTATTTAGTGGTGTATTAATAGCAAATAATTAATATACACCAACCACAGCAATTGAAGGTATTGAAAAGGGAAGATTCGATGCTGTAACATTTGGTAGATTATTTATTTCCAATCCTGATCTTGTAGAGAGAATTCGATAAGGTTATGAATTAAATACAAATTGGGATGTAGATACATTTTATACCAAAGGAGTTAAAGGTTATTTAGATTATCCATTGTATTCATCATAATAGAAATGATAAATAATATACATGTTATTGTTAAATATTAATCCAAAAAACATTAATAATTACCTCAAATTTCTCTTGAAAGTTTCTTATAATCATAGCCATACACAATAAATAAAGATTTTAAAAGTGAATAATATAGCTTAGTATCTATAGATCGAAAAATCCATTGATAGCCCTGCTCTTTTAACAATTAATTATAAATTTATCCATACGATTTGCATTCTATGCTAGTTAATTTTTAAATAGCCAATATTTTGAATGGGTTCGAGATTACTTCAGCAGTTAAAAAAGCAGAATACAAATAAAATAGACTATATTCATTTTTTTTATCCTCTTTTTAATTATTATATTTTTAATAATTTTACAAGGCTGGAAATGCTATTATACTACCAAACCAACTTCCTGCTAAAAAAGACCAAAATCCATGATAAATGCTTGATGTACCATTTGATTTTACTTTATAAAGCAAGAGTTCTTTTCCATCACGATACCCATAAACTTATTAAAAGTAGTATAGAGAATTAAATGGCAAAAATGTAAATTGTATCATAATTCCCATCATGAATGATAGTATTAAATTTATTGGATTTACATTATTATTTGTAATGTCGGACCATGAATTCAATGCTTTCAAAAGTACTACAAACTCTGCACTTTTACTAATATACCTATAAAAGAATCCTTTGAAAATCATACTAAATTACCACTATAAAATCTTTTAAGCCCTCCTTCTTTATAAACTATATTTAATGAATCTTAAAAAATTGTTCCATGCTTTTATTAAAATCTTATGACAGTTTTAATTGGATAACATATGAACATAGAGATAAATTTGTATTACCTCAGAAAGTTTTCTCTTAAATCTATATCGGTCATAAATAATTATATTAATATTTTATAAAACATAATTATAAATAAAAGGTAAAATTTGATTGTCAATCACATGAACATCAATGATTTGGAAACTCAAATAATAGTTAAGGAACGATAGCAAATGTAATTAGAAGAAATTAGATCAATTTTAGAGTAAAAGATGAATCCTTAAAGACCTTTAATAATATAATCGATTGATAAAGATCAAATATTCTAAAATCCAACTGAAAATACTTATTCGTAGTATTTGAGGAAACCCTAGAAAATTTAAAATAATTAAGATCTTTTTATAAATAAAGGACAGTTGAGAATATATAAGAGCGGAGAATAAATAGAAGTTTATGAATTGAAAAATCTAACTTTTGTTTAATAATTAAAAAAGAATAGATTGCATTTAGTATTTTAAGGTTCTTAGAGTACTTATTTATAATTTGAAACTTAGAGAAAATAATTAAAATTCTTTGAATGCCTAAATTTTGCAATAGAGAATAAATTATTTAAGTGAAATATACTATATTAATAAATTTTTATAAATGTCAATTGGTTTTATTTAATTAGGACAATGTGGTAATTAAATAGGACATGCTTTGTTTGATTTTATGCTTTAAGAGTAAAGACTTATTGGATTTTAGAACATAAATGTCAAGTCCAGGAGCTTAAGCTTTGTTAAATGAGATATTTTTTTTTGAGCGCAAAAACAAATAGATTGCAAAATCATTGTTGATTGATATGGAACCAAAAGTGGTTGATCGTTGTCTAAAAGCAGATTATTATGATAAAAGTATAAGAGAATATTGATTTAGCATTTAGTTTAACAAAATAGGAAGGATCTGGAAATAATTGGGCATATGGATTTAATAATCATGGGCCAGCAAATAAGAATGCAATTTTACAAATAATGGATACTTTATTAGAGGAATGTGGATATATAGAATGTTTATTTTTAATTTCTTCGCTTGCAGGTGGAACTGGATCTGGTTTAGGATCATATATATTAGAAGTTTTGGCTGACAGATATCCAGAAATTGAATTTTTTAATATTTGTGTTATGCCTCATTTAACTGGAGAAGTAATATTGCAATCATTAAATACAATTTTAACCATAGGTTCTATATATTAACATAGTGAAGGAATAATTTTATTATAAAATGATGAAGCTTAAGCTTTATGCAATAATTTATTAAATTTGAAAAGTCCAAACTTATATGATATCAATTAAGTAATGTCTACTAATTTGGCAAGTTTTTTTTGGCCTTGTTTAACTAATTAAGTTTATAGTACATTCCAAAACAATCTTTAATATGTCTAAGAACTATTAAATATTACTAATAATCAATACAAACTACTTTAATTAAATTAGATTCCTTAATTACCATAATAATCTAAGGCTTTTCAAAATGACACTTGGTCTGCTTTAGAAAAAAGAATATAACAAATGGTAATGACAGGTACAAAGGAATATAATATAAATTGGCATAAAAAGGGATAGCAACCATTTAAATAATTGATGTTGGCTAGAGGAATTGATGTTAAAAAACATTAGTTTAATTGGAATACTGTACAGGATGAACATCAATTTAATAAGAATGAAAAGTCGATTACTGTTCTACATAATTCAAGCAATATTATTGAATCATTAAATTAAATATCAGATAGAGCTAATTAAATGATATAGGAGAGAGCTTATATTTATCAATATGAAAAATTTGGAGTAAAAATTTAAGATTTTTAAGAGAGTATGGGAATTGTTGAAGGAGTAATAAATGATTATGAATAATTAATTTAATGATGTATAAATATAAACAATATACACAGGAAAAGATTTAGATATCATCAGCTACTACTGGAACTGACAGTAAATGTTACCATTCTTCCATATTTATAATTACTGAGAGTTTTTAGTTAATTAGTCATGATATTACTTTGAGTGGTTAAATTTTCAATTCCCATTCTTCTTCTTTATTTGAGGAAAATATTTTATTCTTCTAAAGGTGGTTTTTTATAAATAATTTATTTTAGTTTTTAGATTAATTTCTTAATGATGGAATATTCATTAATTAAGAAATTTACATGTTATTTGACATCAATAAATAATTACAAAAGAATTAAAGTGGAAGTTAAAGTAATTACACACCATCCAATTATAAGTTATGAGTCTTCAGTAAGGGAATTTGTTTGTTCATTAATAGCAAAAGCTAATATAAGCATTTCAGCAAACCAAATTAAAATTTCGGAACCTACTTATTTTTAATATTCATCTTTGTCTTTAAGAGGTTAATTTTTTATTAAGTATAGAGCCATAACAATATTAAGAAGAGAAACTAATCCAATTTATAGACAAGGAGATGAATAAAACATAACCAAGAACATCATAAATAGCATTTTTTTCACCAATAATATAATATTGAAGTAATAGGTAAATGGATTTTATTTTAATTTAATACCTTCATAAATAGCTCCAAAATAATTAACGTTAAATTTTTATTTGAATACAAATGTTGGTTTAGACATGAAATTAATAGCTATGGAGATAAATATAAGTTCTATTGCAAAAGCTACTAGACAACAGAGAAAGCTTGTGAAGAGGATTGGATCACTTAAATCAAAATCCTTCAATTAAAGAAACAAAGCAAGGTTGTAATCAAAAGCCACAGCCATAAAGGTTCTAATAACTCCAGATGTAAATGCTTTTTTGAAACGCATCAATTGAATATAGAGATTTCTTATTACTCTATATACAAAAAATGTGCATATGCTTTGTTCTTGTGAGTTAAGTGGAACATAAATAAAGGAATGTGAAAATTTAGTTAATGTTGATAATAATACTGTGCATGCTATGTAAGTAACAATAGTTGTCATAAATACAGTTAAAACTGTAATTATATTCACATAGAACACAGTGGAATAGCCATCATCTCTAAATTTAGGTTCTGCGTCAGGAGTGTTCACATATTAACTAATCAAGGTTTCTAAATCTATATAATCTTTTAAGAAATCAAATTGAGCAAATCCAAAAATTGTTAAATAATTGTTTAGATTGTAAGGATAATAAACATTAAAAAATTTGAGATAGGATATTAATTGCAAGACATCCAAAAGATTCCAGAATATATTCAATCCTCCAAATAGAAATGCTATTATCGCAAATCCAAATAGTAAATAAAGTACATACCTACTTAACTTCATTAATCCATCAGTTACTTATTAATTTAAAACAGAAGGTTGATTATATTCTTTTAATTAGATCATATAGTTTTTTTCTATAAAAGAGTTTCCATCTTAATTGAAGATAGCATTTTGATTGATAATCTAGCAAACTAATTCTGGATCTTGTACGGATTCTTTGAAAATCAAAGTTAACTCTAAAAATAACTAAGTGAATTTATCAGAATATTGAGTTAAATCCACATAAGTAAGGTCGTATTCATCACAATTGTTTACTTTGAAATTAATTATGGAATTGATACTACCAGTGATAGATATTACTGAATCTGTTTTTATTCTAATTAGTCTTTCTTTATCAAAATTGTTATTTGATTCATTTACCTCAAAAACAATTTGAGGATATAACATTTCTTCACAATTAGATCCACATTTAAAACCTTATTCAATCTTACAAAATTAATCACATCCATCTCCATTTACTATATTGCCATCATCACATTCCTCTTATTCAACTTGAATGCCATCTCCACAGATTGAAATACATTAAGAATCAATTATATGGAATCCTTAATCTTATTCACACATCAAACATCCAGAATTATCTTATTTATAAATTATACAATCAGTGCAATTATTAGCCCTATCAACACAAGTCTTACAACTTGAATTACAAGGTTAACAAATATACTCTTAAGTTAAATAAAATCCATCAATGCAACCTATACATTATCCTGCTAAACATTCAGTGCAAGTATAATCAAAACAAAAAGAATTACCATGTAAACATTTATAACAAGTATCTCTATCTATATTATTACCATCATCACAATCTTCATTCCATTAAACAATACTATCTCCACAATTTGAATAGCAATAATGATTTGTGGGTGGATTCAAATAATCTGCACAATTAGAACATTCTTAATTATAAGATTCATAATATCCCCTTCTACATTTACATTCAAATTAAATTGTATCACCTCCATTATCTTTAAACTTAGGTACTCTTGTGCTAGGACATCTTGTACATTATTCTTACTTACTATTTAATTTACATTCCAAACAACTTGTATGACACTCTAATCATCAAATAAAATGCATACTTCCACATGTATCTTAAAAGTTTAAATTAAAATAACCAGATTAACAAATACAAGTTTCATTATCTATGCTTAATATTCTATATTAATCTTCATTACAAGTAATACAAGTTTTTTCATTCAAACATGTTTGACAATGTGAAGGACATTCTAAAATTAATAAATTATTTGATACTTTTACAATTTAAATCACCAACATCATAATATCCATCCTTACATATGCATGAATCCATATGTAATTTTCTATTCTAACTAGAATAACATGAATTACATTAATCCTTTGTAAAATTACAATTTTAACATAAGTCATTGCATTTACTACAAACTAAATCGTTATCTTCTTAAAAATAACCATCTAAACATCGACATGATTCTCTTTCTAAAATTCTATTTTATCCAAGATGACATGCTGTACAAGTTCTAGCCTATTGATAACATTTCAAACAAGTTGGTTAACATAAATAACAACTAAAATCTTCCATATAATATCCATCCAAACAACTACATTAATTTACATTTAACCATAAGTTTTTTGATTCATCACAAGATAAACAATTCTTAGGATGTTATTATCTGAAAATTCCATAGTTTTATATTGTGTTGGTACAAGTTTAGCAATTATGAAAACAATTTTTCTATTCACAATAATCGATTCTTTCTTTTACTTTAGAACAAAAACAAGAATTGAATTTAAATTCATAACCAGATTCACATGCCTAACATACATTCATATCTGTGCATAGAGTACATCCTTAAGTACATTAGATACATTAATTTTCTAATCTATAATATCCATCTTTGCATCCATTAATATTGGTGCTTATTGTATCGATTTAATTGATGCAATTTCCATTTTCATCACATTTTAAGCATTTGTCCTAACAAATAGAAACAATTATTCTTAAATCATAGACACCACAATATGCTTGAGTGTCTATGCCTTAAAGGCATTACAATTGAACCTTCAGTTTGTTGGTAGATTCAAAAGATTTTACATATGATACACTCTAAACCATTTCAACATAAGGTTAACCAACTTAATTATCTACTGAAGTGCTACTACCAAACATATTATATTATGATAATTCATTGTTGATACTTGTTCGAAATAAGATCTATCCATTTGTTGAATCAATAAATAATAACATGAATTACACTTTCACCTTATAAAACAATTTTTCATGACTAAATTCGTAATGAATTTATTCATTCTACCAAATTCCAATTCCTCCTAAGATTATACGGTTCATGAAATAGGAAGTACCTAATTGTTATTAAGGAAAAGTCATGTTATTTTAGGGATAGTAATTCATATCATGATACATATTTAAAAGATATTTATCATTAAATGAAGTAATAGCTGGATCATAACAAACATTTTCTTTTACTGTTGTATAACTTGGACATTAAGAAATGCAATTACCATTAAATAATTTTAAACTTCCAGAACAAGATAAACAAACACTAAGTTATGATTGATGACAAGTTTAACAATTATTCTCACATTAAAAGAAACTTGAATTTATTTCATATTAAGAAATTTTTAAATCTCGAAATCCCCATGTTCTTTAATAGGTATTCAACTAAAATTTAGTTTTAAACATTAATTCTGTTACTAATTCTGTTAATTCAACTTGAATTGTAATTTCATATGATACACATGATGAAAATTGTATAATAGAGCATTTTTATGGTAATCCTACAGTAGTTGATTTTGTAATTGGAGAGTTGAGATAAATTTAGTTGAAATCCTCAATATAGACAACAACATATTAGTTGAATAGTATTAATATAGTTTCAGGTAACAACTTTGATATTTTGTTAGTAATATATAGTTTAAATTAGATGATATATTTAAAATTAGGCTGTAAGTTGACGTCATCAAATATGACAGAATCTGTATTTGAAAACATACCTGCTATAGACTTTGATCCAACCATATTAATCATTTATTTATTAACGCTATAATATTTATCAGCAACAAATTTAAATTTATAAGAACTAAATGTATCTTCATCAAGATCAGAGTAAACTGTACTAACAAGAGATTATTAACATATTCTTTAATCATCTGATACATAATTAAGAGGGCATTCGTCAACACATGTCAAATCAGGATTATAGTATAAATATTGTTTATAGGGATGACATACACATTAGTTATTAATTAATTGAAATCCTTTTTTACATATTAGACATAAATGTTCATCACATTCTTCACATTTATCCTCACAAAAGAATACTTATAATACAAAATTGCTTATTCCATATTCACTGGTCGTACCTGTTGAAACTCCCTCATGAATAATTTCTATGTTTAAATTAGGATCATTAAATGATATTTCCTAATCTATACGTGAGAATTTTTCAGCATATGATTTTCCAAAAGGCCTTTAAACACAGAATCTTAAAGGGTAATCTTGTAATTGAGATATTTATGGTTTCTCATAATGAACCAATAAATTATTCGCATAGACAGCAAGAGATTCTGCTACACTCCAGAAATTTATATAATAGATATCAAAACTTATTCTTATTTTGCTGAATGTTCTTGATGTAGTCATTAAGATATTTCTACTCAATAATGAATCTCCTTAAAGAAGCTTGGAATTCAACAAAGGTTACAAGTCACAAACTTAAACTAAATTTTAACATGGTTAATTGTTAGAGTTCTTCCAAAGGGAGAAAGTTGAACTATCTATTAATTCTGATTTAAATAATTCCCAACCTAAATAATTATTTTATATCTTACCACATTCCACCATCTAAATAAGCATTCTCAAGATGATCAATTACATCCATTTCATTATGTTATTAATATAAATATTTCCAAATACATAAATACAGAGATAAACCATAAAATATTTGATAAATTCTGTTATGAATATAATAATTTATGTCATCATTTTTTCTATCCGAAAATTTGCTCTAAAGAAATCAGCCAAACTCCACAAATTCTTTACTAAAATTTTAGTTTAAAAAATTTATATTTTATACATTTATTATGCATATCCTCAAAATTTTTCTATCAATAAGAAAATTTCAATCCCAATAAATTTATGAAGTGTTTTTGAGCAATTCATTTTAATACAATCATATGCATAAAAAGAACTTCAAATCAAATGAAATTGATATAATAAACACTAATAAATTTTAAAATTCCTGAATCAGATTAATCAAAGAAATCTCATTAAAAATTTATAATTCATCTTTTGAAGATCTCTTTTTATTGTTCCGATAAGATTATTTTTAGAATTCATGAAAAGTATCATAATCTTTTAATAAAAGAATTTTAATTACAAGATTTTGCTAAAAAAAAAAATAAATAAATTTCTATAATTCTGTTTGAATTCCATTTTGTATTTTGAATTTGAACTAATATGAAATAATTTAACTTAAATTTTATTTTGTTATTTATTATAGCTACCAGAATGACAGCACAATTAAATCAAAATTTCAAATTTATTATCATAAGAACTTCGTTCATAATGATTCTAGAATTGATTAATGTAAAATTCATACAGCTAAAATCATTACAGTTAATATTAAAATATTTTAATTAAAGGATTTAACATGTTTAAAATCTGAATTTACTGTTTAATAAATACCTAAATGATTACTCACAAAATCATATTATAATTAATATAGATTTTTTATAATTCTTATAATTCAAATATATATAAAAATGGTGATTTTCATTCGCATGTGCATTTAGAACCTTGTAAATGAAGGGAACATCCTTTTTTACATATATTGCATTGATATTTAGATTTACATTCAGAACAATTAGCTACTTCACATTTTTGGCAGATTTTATCATCATTTTCAAAATAGCCAGATTTGCATAATTTAGTTTTATAATCAAATTCATATAAATTTCTTGTGAATTCTAAACATTCAGATTTACTAGGTCCAGTGCATGATTTGCAATATGGTGTACATTTATGTATAATTAAATAATAATCTTACAGAAAACAATAACCGATAGTATTACATCCAATAGTAATCATAATATCATTATTTGTATGTTTGAAATACTTACTATATTAAACAATAGAATCTGGTTTATTAGCATCACCATCAATTTAGATTAAATCTTGAGGATTGATATAATTGTATTCTCCTCCATCTATTTAATAAAAGAATCCAGTCTATTAATCATTATTTTCTGATAGATCTATATAACTAACTGTAAATGTATATGTTAATGCATAATGAGGTTCAAGAATAAGTATTTTCGTAAATTCTTATCTTCTCCATTTACCTCCAAAAAGTAAGTTAGTTTTATTAAATCTATATTAAAATTAACTTCGATTGTCTAACAAAGATATTTCACCGGCCCAATTATTTTAAGTAATATCTACATCTTTAACTATGAATTTGCTATTAGATTATTTTTTTAAGAAAGTTTTACAATGAAAGTCCTCCTAAATGCTTTCTTCTGGACATTATTACACACATTCATTTTCAAACAAATAAAACCCTTCTTTACATTATTTACATTAATCTTATTCAATATATTTTTAATCACAAATTTTACAATTTTATTATGAACAAATGGTTTCATCTATTAATAATTGAGTTATTTTGATTTTTTAAATTATTATTTCAGATTCAAGTGATTGCTTTTCATCTTCTAAATCTTCCAATAAATTATATCTTGGTTTATGACTTTAACTTTTTATAGGTTTAAATGTAGTCTTCACATTTAAAATTGATGAATTCACATCAACAATTGGAGTTTATAATTTTATTAAAGTACAATTTTTAGAATACTCACATTAAGATTCTGAAATATTGTAGATTTAAATATATATATTTGAATAATAATTGGCTATCCATCCTTAGTAAATATCATTAATCATTATATCAAATTGTTAAAAAGCCTAATAGTATTTGATTTTTCAATACTTTAAAATTAGATAATATTATATCTACTTCTAATTGAATTTAAGAAGATTTCTTTAATTGTAATTATTATTCAAAATTCTTATTCAACTTTAAATTTGTATTTTATCCAAAACTATATGTTTCCAATAATTCTATAATAATTAATATATATGGAAATACCAACTTTTGTACAACCTCGATAAATATTTGCAGCATATCCATCAGGGCATTATTTTAAACATTAATTTTAAAATTCAAAATTCGTACAATAACATTTATTTTAATTTACTTAAAATGTAAAATTATTTTCACATTCCAAACAAACTAAACTACTATTATCATTGTATTCACATTCTTAACAATTTTATGGACATTCCATTTAGAAAATATGAATTTATTTAATTCCAACATACTTTTATTATAAATTTGATTCATCATCTAAAAGTTAGATGAATATAGAAATTTCTGTATATTTTTTTCCGTCTAATTCATAATTAAATGATAACATCTTATAATCAGAAGTATTAAAACATTGATTGATTATTGAAAATCCATATCCTAATTCCCAACTTTGAGTAATATCGATTGTTTTATTTTAAATTGATATTGAATATTTTGAATCCATAGGAACTATAAATTCTAATAAAATTTTAGTTTTCGCAAAAGGTTTGAAGTCCTTTAGTGATATGACTTTTTGTAAACCTCCTTATTAAGCAATGATTGGAAGATTATATGCTTCACAATGTAATTAAATGTAATTATCTAATTTATTTTATGTAAAAGATTTATCATAACCTTCATAATGAGTTATTGTCCATTGAGCCATAGTAGCATTTATGATTAAAATAGCAATAAAGTATTTCAAGTTAAACATTTACGAAATAAATTTTATAAAAACAAAATAAACAATAATTAAATCAAAAAGGTATTATAAAAGATTTTATTTATAAATAAACTCTGCCTCTTTATTATCTTAACATTTTAGACACTTATCAAATATTTAACAACCATATAAATAACTTTCATAACCATATTCACTCAAGAAATATCTATTCTAACACTAAAAGCTTTTATAATTAAAAATTTCAATCTTTGTTTAATAATCTTTACAATCAGATAGATTTAGATCTATACAAGTTTGCACATTTATGAACACTAATATCTTTCATTCTATTACTTTCAATATTATAAAATAATAATAAGAATTACACATCCACTATATTTAGGTTAAATATATTTTTATTATGATTAAATGTATGATCAATATAACTCGTATATGTAAATATATTAAATGATCTACCATCTATTGAATAAACAAATTATCTTAATCTAATGTTCAATTTTATGTAAAAAGAACATCTTTTAATATATTAATTTTTGTATAAATAAATTATTTTTTACATTTGGTACATTAATTGTTATAAAAAAAATTAATACAATTCTAATTTAACACTCGTATCTAATTTTCATTATAATATTTATGAATAAAATTATGAAATGGGAATGATTACAATATTTTTGGATTTGTGATAATAAATTATATATTTCTAATATAATTTTTATTCTTTAGAAAAATAATCAATATTTAGAACAAATCTTGTTATAAATTTATTAAACTAAGTAATATAAACATAACTTAATAATAAATTATTGATAATTAAGAATTAATTAATTATAAATAGTTAGATTATTATTCACATAGATCTTTAAATAAATTAATAATTTTTATAGATTAAGATGACGAAATTTGTTTATTAATTTTATACATATTTTTTGAAATATATAATACAAAACTATAAAAGAAAAGTTCAAAAATAATAGGTTTTAAGGACATAAGTGATTTCATGTTCTCTAATAGGTTTGACTAAATAATGAATCATTCCAGTTTTTAAACAGTTCTCTTTTTCATAATTATCTGAATAACCAGAACATGGAATAATAACTTGGTTAGGATTAAATTTAAGTATTTATTAAGCAGCATTTAAACCATTTAGAATTGGCATCTCGAGATCCATAAAAATAAGTTTATATCCAGTACATAAAGTAGAACACTTTTTGTTTTTAACCTTTTCGATACATTCATTTCCATTCGAAGCAGAGTCTATATCAATAATATTTCTAATTAGAAATATAATATTACTTTTTATTTAAGATTTTTGTAAAAGTATAAATATTAAAGGCTTCATCATCAACTACTAATAAATGCTAACATTTAAGTGGTGGTTCTAAATCAATCTGTATTTTTTCTGTATCATCATGAAAAGCCTGTCCTTCATCAACTTCTTAAGATATTCCAGAGATTTCTTTAATTCTAAAACTTGAAACTTTTTTTAATTTTGGTGTTTAAATATGTAAATCGAAATAAAAATAAGTACCTTAATTAGGTTTAGAATCTATCTATAAACCTTCACAACCTATAGATATTGATATTTAATTGCTTATTACTAAACCAAGTCCTACACCTTATTCATTACGTTTCCTACTTTCTTCTGAATTTATTTTAGAAAATGATTTAAATAATTTTTTTTATTCTTATTCAGAAATTCCAATACCATCATCTTAAACTCCAATTCTTAATAAATTCACATCTATACATCTTATTTAAACAATAATTTTGGTTGAAGCAAATTTAAAGCTATTGCTTATCAAATTAACTAAAATTTGCTTAATTCTATTTCTATCAGAAATTATAATAGAAGAAGCAGTATTATCATATTAATAAGATAAATTAATATTTGTTATTTTAGCTTTTAATTCAAAAAGTTTTAAAACTTCCTTTATTAATTAGATTAAATTAAAATTTGATCTTTATATTGCAAACTTTCCATTTTTAATTTAAGCCAAATCCAATAAATCATTAGATAGATTCAATATATAATTTGAATTATCTAAGGCAGCTTATAATATTTCATTTAAATCATTTGATAATTAATTTGAATTAAGAGCATCTTCTATCATTTAAATAATACAATTTAAAGGTGATCTATATTCATGACTAACATAAGATAACATTTTAGATTTTTAAACATCATATTCCTTCAAACATCTAATTTTCTATTTATGTGTTATATCTGTAATCAAAATAAAATATAAATTCTAATTTCTTTTTATTAATGTTAATTCTAACATTTTTTCAATTTACTTTTCACTTGAAGACATTGTAATACAATTATTAGGAAATAATACATGTATAATAAAAGATTCATTAAAAGAATTAGTTTAAAATTTTCCAAAAAAATCTTTAAAATGAGAGACTTAATTTTTATCAGAATGTGTTTCAAATAAAAATAATAAATTAGGATGAGATGATTGATTTATTTAATCACTTTTTAAAAAAGCCATACTTTTACTACATATTTGTTTTGAATTTTTCATATGAAGTTAATATTCTTCATGATTTTGAAAATAAATATAACTTAAATTAGAGAAACAATTTAAAATATCTACTATTTCTTTTGAAGAATTTACGCATAATAATTCTTTTGATGCTGTATTTGAATAAATGATTTCCATCTCTTAATTATTTTATTTAATTTAAAATCCAATTAAACCTTCATGAGAAAAATGCATTTTTAATTCTAAAATATCTTAATTAATGAACTAATCATTTAGATATTCTTCAGGTATTAATCTAAGACGTGGAGATTAATTACTTTTTGGTGACATCTTCTCTGATTCAGCCAAAGACAACATTCTCTCCTTTCTTTTTATCATTTAAGAAGAATTTATATGTTATTATGAGTCGCTTGATTTACTTTGCATTTTTTATTGCTTTCCCATACATATTGTATAATTGATTACAAATGATAATAACAAACATATAATACCTTAAAAGTATTATGAATCAATTTAAGAAGTTTGAGATATGTAAAAAATTTAAAAAAAAGTAGACTATAGCAATAGTAAAAACAAAACAAGTCTATACTTTAGTTAAATTTATTACTCCTAAAATTTTTTAAAATCCTGAAATAACTAAGTTGTTAAAAAATGAGCTATTATAACCTACGCTTCACTATTGTATGATATATTCCTTTAATTTGTTATAACTTACCAAAAAAGACTAAACTGTATTACTATTATATTTCCTATATATTAGATTCTTCTATTTTTGGTTTACATTAATAGCAGTACCAAACCAAGAATAGATTGTAGAATCAAATAAACTAAATTGTAATTATCTTGATTCAATGAATAGTAATAAAGAGAAAATCCTAATCCATTAATGTAAAATAGCATCACTACAAATCTTTAAATAGCATTCATTTTATCAAATAATAAATATTATCAATACTTCATTTTAATAGCTTTTATTATTAAAATATAAAAATAATGTAAGACTATTTTAAATTAATGAGAGATAGTTTAAATCAAGTTTATAAACAAATATTTCTGAGTGATTTGTAAATTGAATATTAATATTTTTTCAAAAATTTAATCTGAGAATTAATCTGTATTCAATTTTTAAATTTAATATATAAACAAATTAAATGATAATTTAATATATTTTTATAGATTAAGAAAACAAGATAAAAGTTATTGACCAAATAAATTAATCAAAAAAACTTAAAATATCTCTCAAAATCTCTTCCAGTTTAAGGACATATTGTACTATTTTTTATACATGTATGATGTGCTATTACAGCATTTGGATATACAGCAAAAACCTAATTAAATCATTATTTACTTTTTCTCCTATGCTTTTTGAACAGACAGCACATTATTTTTCACTTGTCATTCTCACATTTGCTTATTTAGAAATAGCAATTTAATATTATAAATATAACAAATCTACTTATGATAAACGATGTGCTGTTATAGTTGATCTCTTTTAATGTAAAGCATGACCTAAATCTAATTTAAATTTTACTTATAACACTTTTAAGAAATTAAAATACTCCATCTTCCTCATTTTAATCAGAAAGTATCCAATTATCAGGAATTAAATCTAATATTTCCAAAACATTCAGTTAAGAATGAGTTGCATATTTTTTTAAGAAATTATTTACAGTAAGCTATTTTAAAATTAAGATTTATTAATAATACTTTGATTTAATTAAAAGCTTTTATTGTTTATTCATCAGTTGGGTTTTCTTTTGATTTACCCTCTAAATAACAATAAAGTTCCTTATACTATATTAAGACTTTATAATAGACAATATACTTTTTTAAATAATTTTGTTAAAAGATTATCAGTATAATCACAACAGTATTTTTCAGCCCATTCATAAAATCCAAGATTTAATAATTTATTAAGTGCTTCTTCATGTCTTTTCTCTCTTCCATATAATAATATAACTTCATTTATCATCCAAGAATCTTTTACTTTTTTTTCTAAAATGCTTGATGAATTATATTTAGCATTTGGATTTTTTAAAAACTTTTTCAATGCTTAATATTAATCATGTGTAACCTAATCCTTTCTAATATCTATTTATGAAAAATCTAATTCCTTTGGATAAATTGTAAATAATGAATCAATATAAGAATATGCTAATTGAGTATGAAATCTCTCTTCTTCAGTTTATTTTTCTAATACTAATATTTCTAAATATTTTTCTTTTAATTTTAATTTTAATTCAACATCCAAATCTTATTCTTCTAAAAATTTTAACATTTAATCTGGTGTAATAATAGATTCACTTATTCGAAATATTTAAATTCCAATTTTAAAATGTTTTTTAAATACCCATACAATAAATTTAAATATTCTATTCTTCTCAGGATTCTATTTAAGAATTCTGGTTGTTTCTTCACAAGCTTCCTAATATTCTTAAAGATTTGAAGTATCTCCTCCAAATTTCTTCCATATTTCAAGGGATTAATCAATTTTATTAAAAGATTCATAAAATCTTGCTAAAATTCCTAATTACATTTCAATTTATCTATTATTTAAAAACAATCCTTATAATTAAGAATACATTTAAATACAATAGATTTAATTGCTTGTTAAAAATTATTTTAATTTTGGAAAATATGATTATGATTCTAAATATATTTTAATTAAAGCAAAATCTATCAATTCCAATAACTACTCACAAGAAATAGCATGCCATTAATTTTAATTATAATTAAGAGCAGTTGTTATATAATTAAGTTTATCTTTCATAGAATATGCATATTATGGAGATGTAAGAACAGCTCTTTTTTTCTCTAATATATCTATAAAAAATTCTTTAGCTTATATTTTTAACTCTTAACCTCTTGCTATATCTCCTCTCAATTATTCTTAGACAAATTTATTTATTATTAAAGAAATTGTTTATAATGAAGGATTAGCATTCACTGAATATAACTTTTCAGCTGTATGATAGTAATCAGGAAACAAACAAATAAAATCTCTAAGTTCAAAATTTGTTTATAAAATATAATTAAGAGAATTTGAAAATTACATTTATCTAACTAAAGCCCATCCACAATCTAATTTTAATTATTCCAATTATTAATTTTTAGAAGCATCAGTAGTTTAATTATTTTAAGAATAAACTTAAAGAGCTTCTTCTACTTTTCCATTTTTCAATAACTCAGATATTTATTATTCTGCAGGTGTTTGATACAAATAAATTAACTAGTTGATATGAATAGTATACTTCAGCAGCACTACCATAAAATAGATGGCTTGATGTCTAAGTTATGCATCTAGCAGCTTATGATAATTAAATATCACCAATATGTTTAGAATCTATTAGATTAAAGACTTATAATAAATTATCAAACAAAACAATTAGATATTGTTTAAATGTTGTTAAAATTGTTATAGTTTTATTTTAAATTAGGATTGTACTTTTTTATTTCATTTAACCATCCTTTCCTATAAAAATACCTATATTATTAGTAGTAATAATTAATATTTCATCACTATCTGTTGCTTTAAGATATGGATTAGATCCAATATCCATTAATAAATTAGCTACTTATAATTATTTGTCATCAAGATTAATGACTGAATAATTTTTCTTTTAAATTCCAAAAAAAAACAGATTCCCTATGAATGCAACCGTAATTGGAATATCAGAAAGTTAAAATTTCTCTCTCATCTATTCAAATCTTCCAGTCTTTAAATTATATTGCATAATATATCCTTCTTTCTTTTTAGTAATCATAACTAATTCTAACTAATTAACTTTAGAAAATTCATTTAAAGCAAATATACATACTTTTTCTTTAGTAATCACATCTCCTCTTAATGTCGATGCTTCTATAAAATATAGAATTTAATCTGATAACACTAATAAATTTGCATTTGCATGAGGGAATATTTTAATCTAATCCACTCTTGCTCTAGTAAATGATTATTATTGAATTGAATTAGGTGCTAAAATATTTACTGAATCAGGAGTCAAATTATACCTAATCTGGTATTCTATATTATATTACCTATAAATATTTCCCTTCTCATCTCCTGTAAATAAGAAATTTTAAAAAGCATCCATAGCTGTTATCTTATATGTTAAATCAAGAACACTTCTTGGATTAAAAATACTTCCTGTTTTCATTTTATATGTATTATTATACTTATTTTTATAATATATAATTTGATGATCAATATATTTGATATTTATCACATTTTTAATTTAATTTAAATAATATATATATAATAAATAACTCGATCAGCACTTTAATAAATTTTATTCGATCATCTTTAAGTGTTTAAGATGACAACTCTTCTATTGAATATTTGAATGATAAATATAACTAACGGCTTCATTCTTTAAAAATTTATTCCTAAAAAAATTATTTTAAAAATTTACCCTAATATTCTAAACATACTCAAATATGATTCTTTCTATGTATAGTTCTTTATATGATTAATATTTTTTAACTTATTTTTTAGTTTATTAATTATTTTTAAAAATTCAATTCCTTTTTTCTTTCCTAACGTGTTTATAATTAGAATTCTCTGTCCACAAGCATAAGAAATGATTGCTTTAGCATAGTTTTTCTATATATTAGTAGATTTTTATAAGAGATTTATCTTCTTTTTTCCAGATTTTTATTTCGGTTTATTTGATTCCGTATTAGTTTAATTTTCTTCATTATTTTCAACTGCAATTTCATTTTTATTTTGTATTATTTATTAAAAGTTTAATTGATTGCTTGGATCAAAGTTTTCATTAGATACTTAATTTTAATCATTTGATTTTGAGATTAATTGAAGTTTTTCAGGTTCTTAAGAGATTTAATACTGAGATATCATATAGTTTGGTATAATTGGCATATAATACATAGGATAATATTAGGGATATCCAGTAGGTTAAGTGTATATATACACAGGCATGAAATTTGGATTTTACATTGCTATAATTATAATATTGAATCATTTAATGTTTTGGCTTTAAAAAATAAATTTTCGGTTTATTTCCTTAATCAAGTATATATTAATAATGTTTATTTTAGATTAAATTGAGTATTCCTTAAATAACACTTTAATGATATACTAAAACCTCTTTAAACATCAAAATTCTATTCTTTCTTGCTTTATTCTATACATATTCATATAAATTTTATCATTCCTTCAGACATCATCAAAATTTTATCTTCCATATTATATTTTATTGTTTTATTCATCTAACAATTAAAATTCATTGTCCAAACTGTTGACTAAACCATCTTGTTACTTTTATATTCTAAATATATAAAATACTTTTTCAAAATTTAATTACACCTAAGAGGCTTAACTGCATCGCCTAATTTAGAATTTTTATACTTTATATTATATATTGAAGATGAAATTCAATTAAAAATGAAAGAAAAAAATCATTTTTATCAAAAATTACTCTAGAGTATTATAATTTATTATCTAAAAAATATTGTGATTAATATTAAGTTTTTTAGTTTAATTAATAATTAATTAAACTGAACGCAAAAATTTATATAAATTAGATTAATCAAATAAAAATACTTTTTATAATAAAAATAATTTATAAAATTCAATTTCATTTGAATCTAGATTAATAGCAATAATAAATTTCTGTATTAACCTAAAGATAAAAAAGCTATAGAATTATTATTTTTATAATTTATTTTTATAATATTTAATCCTTTATCATTAATGAAATATAAATAATAACAAATATAATTATTTAAACATAACTTAAAATAATAATATTCAAGTAATATTTAATTTAAAATGGAATAAAAAAAGTATAAACCAAAAAGCCAAGAAACTATTAGATGCATGCTTTTAAAGTTTTAACTCATCAATTTTATTTGTGAATTATTAAATTCTTCAAAAATTAAAATTTATATAATCGATATATTAAAATATAAAAATGATGTTATGCTTTACATCAAAAAAAAATAATAAAAACTAAGATGATTATTGTCAAAGCAATAGATATTGAATATTTGAGATATTTAGAATTCAATCAGGAAAAATTAAAAAAAGAAAACTGATTTTGAGCATTTGGTAAGGAGTTGTAGGATTGATTATTATTATTATTAAATGCTAAAGAAAGCTAAGCGTTAATTGGGTAATTTTAAAACTTTAAAGATGTATTAAAATCAAATGAATAGAAAGTCTCGTTTAGGAAAATCAAAAAATTATTAAACGAGTATAAACAATAGATGGAAGTAGATTAATTAATAGATATATTTTATAGAATAGAAATAAAATAAGAGAAATGGCATGTTAGAAATGAATAAAGGATAGAGGGATTTGATTAAATAAAGAAAATATATCTTAAGATTTTGATTATAAATTTAGCAATCAAAAAGGAGTTAATAAATGAATAAAATAAATTTCCAAATAAAATACATCTTGTTTTGAATAAAATACAAGAATCTAATCTATATAATTGATTTATTATATATAAATTAAAAATACTGATGGGTGCAAATTGTTGTAAGCAATATAATGATAAACCGTAAGAGTTAACAAATCTCAATTAATTTACTACTTCAAATACCTCTTAAAAGAAAAGCAGTTCATCTTCAAATACATTAAATAAGGAGAAATGTCATTAGCAAGATGAAAATTTTAAAGAAGAAGCCTCTGTTACATATATTCATGAACCATTAAAATAGGAAAGTGACATCCAAGAAATAAAGGAAGTTAATGGTGATGTGGATGGAGTTGAATCAATACAGCAGTCTCATCAATTTTTATAAGATTGTATTCCAAATAATAATGATTCATCTTCAGAATAAGAAGAATCATTTCACTGCGATGATACTAATACAAAAAAAACAATACTTAAGCATGAATTGAAATATTGTCAAAATTAGGGTTCAGCCCAAAATAAGTAAGTGGTAAAAAAAAAGGTTAGATTCGATCTAAAATTAAATTTTAAATGAAATGCATCATAAGATGATTTCTTTTTATTTATGTTATTTTTCCTATCTTAATTCATATTTGTTAATGATTTTTTTAATTTTATCATTAAAAATAACATATAAAATTATCATTTTAATTAGATTGATCTCGAATCAAAAAACTTTTTATGTAGATTTAATTAATTGCAACTATAAAAATAATCTCTTAATCCTAAATTAAGAGATCAAAAAGAACTATAAACTCAGTTACAAATACCTCTCAATCCTTCTATAAATGAAATGAATATAATATCTATCATTTATTTAATCATAATTTACTTAATCTTTTTATTATATAATATCTCCCACTTATTAAATAAAAATAGTATTTTGATAAAATATCAATAACTCATAAAAACGATTGAATTTTCTTATTAGTAAAAAAAATAATATTGTTTTATTTTAATTATATAAATAATGAGATAAAATTTGTAAAAGTAAAATGGATTAAAGATTATTAGTAAAAATCTTGAATTTCATTTACTTGCAATGCTTAGCCTCTCAATTAAGAATTAATTTCATTTTAATAATAATTATAATTCTCTTCATATTAAGATTTAAATATTTAAACAAGAAACATATTACTTTAAAATGAAATTCAGTCATCTTCTTTTTTGTTAAATTATTTTTTTATTATCCTTATAATTTAAAATGTCTAGAAGAGATATGAAACAGCTAAAATAAAGAATTTAGATCAAGGAAAAAAGAAAAGTTTTGGGAATTATTTTTGACATATATTTTCAAAAATATGAGATTAGAAAAGTGTGAAAATAATTTAATATAAATCTAGTAGAATGAATTATTGATAAATATATCAATAAAAAAGATTTTTATAGAGTTAAAAATAGTAGTAATAAATAAAATAAAAAGGATAGCATTATCTTTAGGTATATTTATTTATTCACTATTTCGAAATAATATGATGAATAAAATTTAATGATTATTTTAAATATTATTTCTAATGAAAATGACACTTTGAAGCCTTAATCAAACTTTCTTAGATGAAAACAATTTTCTTTAGAAAAATTTCATTTGGGATGAAAAAGATTAATTAAATTCTCTCACAAAAATTTATTTTGTTTTTGCAACCTCAACAAAAAAGATTTCTATTATATTAATTTAGTATATCTGGTTTTGAAATACCTACTAATGCACAATTACTCATCTATTTAACCAATTAATTTTCTTTTTATTGCATGATTAGCCTTTTAAAGTTGAATCATTAGAATAATGTATATACAAACATAGCAGAATTTGTTTATGAGAATATTCTTTTCAATATTTAATTAATTTGACTTTTATCTAGAGTTTCTTTAAATCTTTAACAGAAGAAGATATCTTATGGCAAATATTTTTGAAAGAAGATTATCAACAATTTTTAATTTTTCTATGGTCTATGAAAAATAAAAATGCAATACTGAGATTTTCAATATTCATCTCCTCTTAATAATAGGTATCTAATTTTGAAATTTAATTGAAAGAATATATGATTAAAATTCTAGAAGAGAGAATAGAACAAGTTTATTAAAATATGCATAGTGTGATTCAAAATCAATATTAATAAAATTTATCATAATCAATTTAATATATAAATATATACGTTAAATTATTTAATGATTAACCCAAACAACCCATTAGATGAAGCATTAATTGAGAAAATTAAAAGCCTCGAGTTACAATTAGCATAGAAAGACAGAGAATAATATATAATTTTGAATAATTTATAAAGGAAAAATAGAGAATTGAAAAACTAATATTAATTAACTTAAAGACAAAATATGGGTAGTTATTAAAATATATTATTAAAAGATACTAAAAAAGAAGTATTATAATTGTAATCTAAAAATGATCATTTCAAAATTTAAGTTGAAAACTTTTCAAATGAAATTCATGATTTAGAATAAAAGCAAAAGTAACTTGTAAATGAATAAGAATTTTTATCCTAAGAAATTAAGTATCTAAAAACAGAGCTCAAGTAGGATTAATTAACAGAATAAGAAATAATAAAAAAAAATGAATAAATCAAGCGTTTACATAACACAATAAATGAATTAGAAAAATAATTAAGATTATTGTAACTAAATTAGTAATAAAATTCACAATAATTATATTAAACTTAATAAATAAATACATAAATAGAACCATGTTAATTGCATTAATAAAACGAAGAGATTACTATACCTGTGTATGTTCCAATAATAGAACAGCCTGTATATATTGAATAATAACCTACGAAAGTATGTTTATAATAAATATTCAAGTAATATCAAGTCGAAAAGATAGTAGAGACAACAAATTCGAATATTTTTAAACCATAATCAATTTGTTACTAGCCTGTTCATTATACAACTTAATAGCATTGGGTTTCAATGTAACCTATTCACGGCAATCATCATCATCATTCTTGCAACTAAAATTTTGGATACAAGTATTAATATTATTGATAATATATATTATTTTAACCATGATTATTTAATTCAGAAAATATAATTAAACTCACACATTTTTCTACACTCTAAAACTATTTGAAAACTTAAAAACTTATGGTTTAATTGATTTACTCTTAGGTTTCTCTTTATTAGCATTTCTAATTACTTAATTTGCATTATTATGTGGCAAATAATCTATAAAATTTTGCATTTTATCTAATCCTTCTAGTATAAAGAAATGTTATTTAACTTAAAATTAATCTAATTATTTAAATATTAAAGTTTCTCTATAAATTTGAGTTTTTCTTCTTTCTTCTTCAATTATAGATTACTTTTTTTTAACAATCTCAATAATTGGAGCTTACGATCCTCTTCGATTTATTCCAATTTATTTTTCGTTATCTATATTAGGAGCTTATGATGTTCTTCGATTTAATCCATTTTACTAAATATTTCTATTAATGGAATTTAAAGATTTTTCTCTCAAATCTTCTATTTAAATAGTATCAACTTAACCACTCCCAGTGTCTGAAACTTGATATGTTAAAACTTAATCATTATATTCTCCTAATACTGATTCTGATAAAAATTCCTAAAAGTCTTTTATGGAGGCTTCAATTTACTATTAATCTAATTATGATTTAATTTTTTTTTTTTCATCTCTTTTATATTTTTATCTAAGATTATGTTCAAATTTATTTAATCTTAAAATTTTTAAAAATTTAGATGGTTAATATGTTAAGTATGGACATTCAATATCTTAATGTGTATATTTATTACATATAAAACATTTACACAAAATGGTTGTATAATTTTTAGAATATAAAATTGAATCTTTAATTTTATGAAATCTTTCATAATCTTTTTGTGTTTATTTGATAATATTTATAAATTTATCTCTTTCTACTCTATATAATTATGTAAATCCTACACTAATAGTTGATTCTTTAGTATTTTATCCTGTAAAGAATTAAAATTCTCCAAAAACATCTCCTGCTTTAAGCTTTTTAATAACTTTTTGGCTTTATTCATCTAAAATTTAAACTTCCCCTTCTGAAATAAAATATCTAATTATAAATTTATATAATACAAATTTTTATCTTTGATTTCATCTCTGTGATAAATTATATCTTTAGGGGTAAATTTAACTTAAATTAAATTGTTTTTCACTTAATTTTAAGTTTATATTGAAAAATAATCTGTTATGAGTTTTATTTTTTAAATAACTTTTTATTAAATATTAGATTCTAATTCTTTTTTTAATCCAACAGGTAAATCATTTATTATTTTCGTTGTTTCTTCTTTATTTTCCAAATCTTCATTTTCAATACTATATTTTATATAGTTTTTCACTCTACTCTAGATTTCGGGATCAACTTCATTTTTACTCATAAATTGATTCATTAAAATTAATGTTCTCCTAAAATTTATATAAATTATTAATACTTAAATCTTATCTTTTCATCATACATAGACTTAACAATCACTCCTATTGAATTCATTGAATAAGCAAACATACAACTAGAAGATATCATCACTATTGAAACAAAAGTTACTTCAACCTAATTTTTTGGTGTAATATCTCCATAGCCTACAGTTACCATTGTCATTGTAGCCCAATAATAAGAAAAATTATACTTTACCCAAATATTTTCATTTGTAATCTCATAAAATGTTAACCAAGACCCCTAATTCAAAGTTATATAACCTATATAATGCCATAAACAAGCCATAGTATGAGCAAAAAAACATATAATTATGAATAAACTTATTAAATCTAAAATATCACTATTAAATCCTTTTAAATACAATTATTCAATTTATATATTATATTTCCTTGCTATTTATCTATATGTTATAGTGAATTAACATATCGCTAAAATTTCATTAAGAACTACAAATTCATTTAAATCAAAATAAATCATAAACCAAATAAGGAAACTAGATAAATCTTCTAACATTTAATTTTTTAAATAAAGTATCCAAATTTATTAAAGTTCACTAACAATTTCTCCTTGAAGAATTATTGGTCTATAAATGGTCAAAATGCTTTCAAAAAGTAGGTAAATATTGAAGAAAACTTCAGTGCCTTTATAAAATTTATCCGATTAACCAAAGGATGCAATCATTGAACAAAAAAATAACCTAAGAAACAAAACAAATAAAGAAATAAAATCCCATAAAATGGTAAGATTTTGACCAGGCATCAGCAATAAACTTAATTTTGACATTTTGTTAGCTTGGCCATTTTCTTTACTGACTTAAAATATTATAGTATTACTTTATCTCCATTTTTGTCTAATTAACTTTTGTTTTTTCCTTTTACTCTTGGATATAGGTTTCTTTTTCTAAAATATATTTCATTTAATTTGGAAGGACATAAGATGATTAAAATAGGTTATTTTTAAATTTATTGATGATGTTATTTTTAATAAGGGTTTTTATAAAAGAAGGTCTTTCCGATTTCTATACTTTAGGTTCTAGTAATAGTCTCTTACTACCCTTAAAGAAATTACTTTATGATTATTAATTAGAATTCCCCTTATTTCTAAAATTTTGTTTTGCCTTCAAAACCTCAAGATTTGCAGGTAGCATTTCAACATTTGGTGAAATGTTATTAGATTATTCAATCTCTTTTTAACTAATATCTGAAGTAATTGAATTCTTGGAGGGTGAATTTTTTTTATAATTATTCACATTGTTAGAATCAATTAAAATACAAGGACCAAAATAACAATCCTGTAATAAACCATTATCAGTTCTATTTGTATTCATTAATATTTATAATTTAAAAAAAATAAATGAATATTAATTATGAAAGATAGTATTAAATCAAAGGTCAAGTTAATAAATTTCAATTGGATGAATAATAATTATAAATTCTAAGCTTATACATTATCTTAATATCTAAATTTTAACATGGTATAAAAATTAAGAAAATAAATTTTATTAACAAAGTATATAAATGTATAGATCATCCTATTATGAATCTGATTAAAAAGATATAATAATAGCATAATTAAAAGCAGATATTTATGAGGCTCAAAAATAATAAGATGAATTAGAATAGCTTGAATAAGAGATGGGAAAATGGGAAGTTAAAATCAAAATGGCTAATGAAGAAAAAGTTTATATTATATTGTTATTTGTAGTTAATTATAGAACATGAAAATAAATAGAAGCATGAACAATGTATTGCTTAAATTTAAATGATGACTTAAGAAATAAATTAACTATCAAAAATTTTGAAAGAAAGACATTTAGATTAGGAAAGATAAATTTTATAATAAAAAGAATTAGAAGAGATTAATGATTAAAGATAACTTGAAATATAATAGGCAAGAAAATTTTTAAATAAATTATCAGATTAAGTTATTTAAGAGACATCTATTATAGAAAATCTACAAATAAAACTTGAAGAATTTGAATAAGAGAGTTACAATGCAGAAAAAAAAAATTCAGAGCTAAATAGAAAATTAAATGAAATTTAGTAAAAGAATAAGAAAGTTGAATAAGATTGTTAAATTTTACAAAATCAATTAATATAATTATAGTAAAGTGATTATGAATAAGAAATAATTAAAGTAAGTTATAAAAAATAGATTAGTATTAATAACAATTAGCCTATACTAATGAATAAATAAAAAAAATAGATTCTGAATTTTAATTGGAAAAATAGAATAAAAAATCAACTGAGTAACAAATAAGTCGTATGAATCATGATTTACAATAAAATGAGGTAGATCTATAGAAATAAAGAAAATTTCTGATGATGGAATAATAGAAAAAGGATGAATTGAATAAGAAAAAGATATAATTATAGAAAATTTAAGTCCATCGATAAGAATAATATTCTTAAGCTGATTAAGAGCTAAATAAGACTAAGATGGACAATGAAACCATTATCAATGATAATAATTGTTATAAAAATAAATTGAAATAACTTTAAACACATATAGATGTTTTAATGAAAGTAAATTAGGAATTAGTAAATGAATTAGAATAATATTGTGGAGATGATTAGAAAATCAAATAAATTGTAAATAGAGCTGCAAGAGTAAAAGAATTACAATTAAGGATAGCTTAAGGTAATCGACTATTCAAAAAATGAAAGTTTGTAACTAAAATGTAAATATAAATTATTATTTAATACTATTATATTATTAATATAATTATAAGAAATGGATGATATATATTCTCAAATGACAGACAAATTTAATTGCGATTCTTCGAATAGAACAGATGATTACTTTATGCAAGTTTGCCAACCGTTATATTCAAATAGATGTTAATAGAAAGAAGAGATTGAATTCAAATTTAGACAATCGAAATAGGATTATGTGTTTCCTCGAATACCTTTTGAAGAAACACCTGATAAATATAAAACAATAGAATCTCCTCATCGATTAAAAACAGAAGGAAATGAAAAATCAGAGGATCAATTAGATCTTAATTTCAATTTCAATAGTTCATCAGAACATGTATCAGATGATGCAGTAGTATTATAGCCAAAACCATATTAACAAAAATTAAAGCCTCCTTAACCTAAAAAGCCAAAAAATGCAGCTATATAATAAACATATAGAACCATCTTAAATGATTTAGAAAGAAAGTTACATACAATAAATTGCAAAGATTTTGTTAAGAAAAAATGGGAATAAAGAGGTGCCTCCAGAGCAAAAAGCAATTCCAATAGTACAACACATTATAATAGTCATTATCAACGGAAGTATAAGTAAAAAAAATCAAAGACCCTTTGAAATAGATACCAAAACCTCCTCTGTGAAGAAGTCCATTCCAACTGAATCTAAAAAGTCTTTAAGCAAAACCAATTTAGCAGCCATTTTATCAAAATAGAAAAGTAAGAGTAATCCATCCAAGACCAACAACATTTTTAATGTTAATAATAGTCATATCAATCTTAATTTTAATATTAATAGTTAAACCATGGATTTATAATAATAAGCTATTACTGTTGCATAAATATTACAAAAAAAATAACTACTTAATCGATCCTCTTTATCTAGTTATTAAAGAAACTCTAATCGATGTTCTACTGAGCCAATGGAAGAAATGAAAGCAAGATTATCAAATAATAATTAAAAAAATAAAACTACTATTACTAATTAATCTAGATGCAATACTGGAATGGATGTTAGAGCACAAAGCACAATCCAATATTTAAATTAAATGAAAAAATAATAAATTAAAAAGCATTAAAAATATTAACAATAAATTATTCAATAAAAATAACCACCTATCATGTAAATTAAACCTTAATAAAATATAAAATAGTAAATATTTATAATATCAAAGGAGATCTAGTACCAATACTNTATTATTAATATAATTATAAGAAATGGATGATATATATTCTCAAATGACAGACAAATTTAATTGCGATTCTTCGAATAGAACAGATGATTACTTTATGCAAGTTTGCCAACCGTTATATTCAAATAGATGTTAATAGAAAGAAGAGATTGAATTCAAATTTAGACAATCGAAATAGGATTATGTGTTTCCTCGAATACCTTTTGAAGAAACACCTGATAAATATAAAACAATAGAATCTCCTCATCGATTAAAAACAGAAGGAAATGAAAAATCAGAGGATCAATTAGATCTTAATTTCAATTTCAATAGTTCATCAGAACATGTATCAGATGATGCAGTAGTATTATAGCCAAAACCATATTAACAAAAATTAAAGCCTCCTTAACCTAAAAAGCCAAAAAATGCAGCTATATAATAAACATATAGAACCATCTTAAATGATTTAGAAAGAAAGTTACATACAATAAATTGCAAAGATTTTGTTAAGAAAAAATGGGAATAAAGAGGTGCCTCCAGAGCAAAAAGCAATTCCAATAGTACAACACATTATAATAGTCATTATCAACGGAAGTATAAGTAAAAAAAATCAAAGACCCTTTGAAATAGATACCAAAACCTCCTCTGTGAAGAAGTCCATTCCAACTGAATCTAAAAAGTCTTTAAGCAAAACCAATTTAGCAGCCATTTTATCAAAATAGAAAAGTAAGAGTAATCCATCCAAGACCAACAACATTTTTAATGTTAATAATAGTCATATCAATCTTAATTTTAATATTAATAGTTAAACCATGGATTTATAATAATAAGCTATTACTGTTGCATAAATATTACAAAAAAAATAACTACTTAATCGATCCTCTTTATCTAGTTATTAAAGAAACTCTAATCGATGTTCTACTGAGCCAATGGAAGAAATGAAAGCAAGATTATCAAATAATAATTAAAAAAATAAAACTACTATTACTAATTAATCTAGATGCAATACTGGAATGGATGTTAGAGCACAAAGCACAATCCAATATTTAAATTAAATGAAAAAATAATAAATTAAAAAGCATTAAAAATATTAACAATAAATTATTCAATAAAAATAACCACCTATCATGTAAATTAAACCTTAATAAAATATAAAATAGTAAATATTTATAATATCAAAGGAGATCTAGTACCAATACTTCAAAACCAAAAATTCAATCTGGTTAATATAAAAAATATAATTTATCTATAGAAATGAATTGAGTAAATAATTAATTATTTATTTTATTTCAAATAAAATTTTCTCATTTTTTATTTTTTAAACTAAATTTTTATGACTATTATTATTAAATTTATTATTGTTATTATTGCTATTAAGTTTTATCCTCTTGATCAGTTTAAACTAAATTGTCAGACCAACCTTTATAAACATAATAAAATTTAAAATAGTAATCAGCATTTTCATCCTTTGTTTTTATAGTATCAATAACTAATTTTTAATCTCTAAAAAAATATATAATTATTCAATACCTTGTTTTCAACTTTACACCAGCATTTGATAATACTTCAAAAAATTTTGGCATTGGTAAGACATATGTAAATTATTTATCCAATTTTTTAAACTCAACAAGTAAATCAAATTTTGGTTTTGTAATCAAATATTATTTGAGTGTATCTAACAATTCTGGAAAAGTCTTAAAATATAACCCAGCAGAGGGTTTTAATGTGGCATCTTTATCAAATAATTCTCTTGTTCCTCCTTACTATTTCAAAAATGCAATTTCTCTTTCTAATTGTACTTTTTCCATTGACATTTAGTTAAATTATTAAAGCTTAGCTTGAATATTTGATACAGTTTAATCTTATTCTTCTAATTTACCTCCTCCTGCTTAAATTATAGCTTTAAGTTCTTAGTTTTTCTTTTGCAAATCAGTCATTTAAGCTCTATTTTAGATTTCTTTCTCTTAAAGTTATTCTAGCTTTTTTTACTTATCTTTAATTTCTTCTTTTAGTAATTTCATATCATTAACCATCTTAGTTAATCTTGTTTCAAGTTCTGTAGTATTATTATTTAATTTTGCTTCTTTTGTTTTAAAAGTTTATTCTTTATTCATAGATTCTCCTGCTATTTTAAATTATTCTTCTTTGAGAGCAACAACAGTTTTTTTTAAAGAAGCTAATTGATTATTCTTTTCATTAACTAAATTTTATAGTTTCTCAATTTTTTAAACATATTACATGCTTTCATTCAATTTCTTTTCATTCTCTAGATCTATTTCTAACTATTCTTTGATTGAAATAGTTCTGATTAATTCCTCTTTTACTTTTTTTAATGCATTTTTCTCTGCTTCAAAAGATAATTCTAAATCCTTAATTTTTCTATCTTTTTCAGATAATTGTTGTTAATATTTTTCAATTAAAACTGGTTACAATTCAGACATCTAATTTTATTACAAATAGGAAAAGTTATTGTAATTATTATTATTACCCATTTTGCTAGCTTCTTATTATGCTTAATCTCTTTTATGTAATAAGTCAGTTAATCGTTAAATTTCTGATATATCTTTTTTTTTATGTAGAAGAGTCTCTTACCTCATAGCTTCTATTTATTATTCCTTTCTTTCTAATTCTCTATCTTTATCTTTTATTATTTCTTGCATAGCTTTAAGCATTTATTAACCAGCAACTGAAACCTTTTCAGCTTCCTAAGCTAATAAAGTTTTAGTATAATCTTCCAATTATTATTATTAAAAGACTATGGAACCTCCTGCAACAATTTTTTATCTTTCTATATATCCTTCAATTTCTATATTTTTTGCTTTTACTGAAGCTTCTAATTCTTAAATTCTCTTTATTAATTATGAATTTTCAATTTACTACTATTCAGTAGGTTAATTTTGTTATTCCATGCTCTCTTTTTATTTCTTCTATATTATATCAATTAGTAATTTACTAGCATCTGTATTTTTTTAAGAAAATTCTTTCATATCATCTTTTTCAATTAGTCCTAATTAAGCAAAAATAGTTTTTCTTTATTCATAAAATCTTCTCCTCCAATCTTCTTCTCTTTTTCTCAAATCTAAATCAGCATGGGCTAATTCATATTCTAATTTTTTAATCGTATCAGTATATTATTTATTTAATCTTTAATAGTATTCTTGTTTTTCAGCACTTACTTACATTTCTCTTCTTACTCTAAGTAATTCTATTTTTTCATCTGATAATTTTTAACTAACAGCAATAATTTACTAACTAAGTTCATCCGGATTATTTTATCTTAATGTTCTTTCTAAATTGTCTAATTTTTCTTTGTAATTATCAAAATAATCTGCTTTTAGTTATAACTCATAAAATCTATCTCTTAATTCTCTATTCTATCTTTCAACTTCTGCTTTCATATCTGATAATTCTTTAACTCTTTTTGCTTATTCTTCCACTCTTTATAAAGTAACAGTAGGTAATATTTTTAATTTCAATTCAGTGATTTATTATTCATATGATCTAATTTATTCTGAAAATATTGTATTTTATTAAATGATTTCTTAAGATTGTTTAAGAATTGTAGCATCATATGATTCAGATTATAATTTCAGTTTTCTTAATTCATCTAATACTTTTTCATATTTTTAATTAGTTTGTGCTTCATGCCATCTTGCTACCATAAGGTGATGATATAATTTGCCTATCATCATATTTTAATCTGAAATTGCCTATAACTCTTTAATTGTCTATTACATAGTATCTGTATCATTTTTCATTTTTTCTATAGTTAATTTCATACTTTTCGTTTGCATGACTGCTGTATCATACAATTATCTATAAGTAGTAATTGCACTATTTTAATCAGAAATAGTTAATCTCTATTATTCTAATTATTTTGTTATTTTTTCACTTTCATCTCTAGATAATGCACCCTTTAATCTTTCTAATAACATGAGTTTCTCTTCTCTATCTCTATAAAAAGTATCATTAGATTTTTCCATTTAATTTTATAATTCAAATAGTGTTTTAGTAGTATCTTTTAGTGTCAATTCTGTACTAGTCAATTGACTAAGTAATACTTCACTTTTTTATTAAGCATTCTTTTCTCTCATTTCCAAAATACTTATTTTCATTTTTAATCTATCTTCTAAAGTTTAACCTCTATTCTCCATTTTAGCTTTTTAAAGTGTCAAATCCGCTTCCTATAAACTTTTCAATTATTCTGTTCTTTATTATATAAATTATAATTTTTAGTATTTTTCCTCCTCTGTTTTTGCTGTTCTCAAATAATTTAACATTTCATTATAACTTATTTATCCATTACGATCTAAATCCATTTAATCAAATAATTATCTTACTAAATCTGGTGAAATACCTCCCTCTAACTCTCTGAATAAAGCTTAAAATTCCATCAATGTTATAATTTGATCTCCATCTCTATCAATCATATTAAAAACATCTAATAATGTTAATCTTTAATCTTTAATGGATTGATCCAATTTACACATAATTTAATACTTAATATCTAAAGTTAATTATATTGATTTTCCTTAATTGATTAATTCACTTTTAACAATTTCATCAAATAGAACATAAAATTCTTCATAATTTATTTAATTATCTCCACTTGTGTCTGCCATTCTAAATATATAATCAATTGCTTTTTGATCATGTTTAATATTCATCTAAACTAAGGCTTCTTTCATATCTGGTTTTGAAATAATATTATCACAATTAGTATCAAATGCTTAGAAAGCAGATCGTAAATCATATCCTGATTCTTTGATTGCATTATATAATTAATATAGTAATTAATCTTCTGGTTTTCTAAGATTGATTCCTGATCTTTTAAGTTTTCTAATAAATTCTTGATATTCAATTTATCCAGTTCCATCTAAATCTACAAACATAAATACAATTTCCATATCTTCATTAGAGACTGGAACTCCAATATTACCAATAGCAGTAGTAAATTCATTTCTTGAAATTTTATTATCTCCATTTTCATCAAACAATTTAAATATTTCAATAACTGAAATATTTTTAATCTTAATATACTCAACAATATGTTGATATATTTTAACATATTTATCAAAAGCAGGATCAAAACTTTATAATCTTTTTTTAATAACTTCTTCTTCCAATTAAATTTCTACTAATTCTTCTTCTAATTATCTAATTCTTTCACCTCTCTCAAATGCTTCTCTTTCATGACTTTCAAGTACTGCAATTCTCTTTTAGAATTCAGCTTCTTTTAATTAAGCATTAGCTAATTTATCTTAAGTATATTCTAATTTTTATCTAAGATTATTAAACTCATCAGCTGGAACTGAATTCTTTAGTTCTTTTATCATAACTTTCATATGTTCTTCAGCTGATTTCTTCCATGAAATTAAATTATAAATTTTCTCAAGTAACTCTTTTTCTTTTGCAATACTTTCACTTTCCACAATTGTATAACTTGTTTTCATTTATTTATATTCTTCTGTCAATGCATCATACTTTCTTGATAATTTTATTAAATTGACATCTAAAATTGCAGTTCTTTTAGCCATTTCTCCTAATTTATCTTCTAACTCTTTTTTTGGTTTATCCCTGTCTCTCATAAAATCTTCATAATGTGCTAATTTTATTTTAGCCTCTACATTTAAATCTAATTAAGCCTTATATTTCTCTTAAATTTCTCCAAACATCACCTTAAACTTATCTCTTTCTTCAATGTACTTAATAAATAATTGATCTTAAACTAATAAACACTTTCCTTTAATGTCTTCCTTAATTGTTGTAACTTCTTATAATAAATTAGTATACTCTGCTTCCTTTTATTATAATAATCTCAAAGTCTCAATATTTTATAATTATAATGATGCTAATTCATATTTCAATTACATTTGATCCATACCAGAATCCCCATAAGCTGAGGACATATCTACTGGAAATCTAACATTAAATCGCTAACTATAACCTTCTTTAATATCATTATAATTTCCAAATGCTCCTGGTATAGGATTAGGAGGAACACTTAATTTATCTAATCCAGTTGTATCAACAACTTATTTTTATTAAATTATGGATTATTTAACTTAAGTAGTTTCTTAAAAGTTTTACCCCTTCATAGTTTTAACTATCTCTTATAGCTATTCTTTTAATTCTTGTTGTTATTTTTACATCATTTCTTACATTTGATCATTTGTTATTCTCATCATACCTTATTATGTGCCCATACCAACTCCTCCAAACTCTTACTAATTTTAACGAATATGAGCATTTTCTTCTTCTAACATCTTTACCTTATTTCTCAATTCCTAATTTTCTTTTCTCAATTAATTATTTGATTATGAATCAAATTCTTCTAAATTTACTTCTCCTCCTGCTACTTATTCTCTTAGTTTTCTTCTCAATCTTGCTCTTTCTTCTTCTAATTCTTCTACCTCTCTCTCTAATTCTATCACTTAAGCTCTGTATTTCTCTACTTATAATTATCCCTCTTAAATAACATCATCTAATTCAAATTAATAATCATCTGGAACTCCTGCCATCTTTCTTAATACTCTATTCTCTGCACTTAATCTTTCTATTGCCTAATTCAATGCATTTGTTTTCTCAACTAAATTTTTCAATTTCTCTCTATTGTCTTATACCTCATCTCTATAATGAAATTCATCTTTCACTATATTTTCATCCTTATATTTTAATGATAATTATGTCAACTACCACATTAAATTACCATTCTCAAGTTTCACTTTCTCTAATTAATCAATATATTATTAAACTGCTGCCTTCTCTCTATCTAAATCATCTTTTGCTTTATCTAATTAATTTTTTAGTGTCTCTTTTGTATATGCATCATCTCTATTCACCATTTTTTCTAATTCTCTCATTCTTGTAAAACAATCATTATATTTTGCCTTCTATTCTTCATATCTCCCCTAATGAAATTCTTATTCTGCTTCCAAAAATGCTACTCTTTAATCCTTCTAACGACCATCCTCTCTCAACTATTCAATCTGTTTTTTCAGCTATATTATTTCTCTTCTTAATTTGAAATTTTCACTCTCAGACATTTTATATCTAATTAAAAAAATAATATAATCAAATAGTAGTAACTATATTCATTTTAATTTCTTGCTCCCTCTATTATACTTTATCAATTCTCTAAATTCCTCACATTAAGATTTCAGGTATGTATTTTACATCATCTTCTTCTGCAAACGTTACAGTTTTTCTCTTTTAATTTTCATCATCCTCCTCTGTTTTTATTGCTATTTTAAATTCACCTTATTATTTTTATTGTCCTTTTACATTGATAACTTACACTTCGGCCCAACTATAGCTAAACCGTAATTTTTAAATGGCAAATGAGGACTGGCCTTTTAAGATTGATTTTTTGAAGGTGATGAAATAGGTTGTTTACTTAAAATCTTTTCTCTTTTTACGGTTTCAATAGCTTCATTTAATTTCTGTCTTTTTTCTATTTCTGCTTCTTATTCTTTCTTTTTTAAAATTTTTTGAATCTTTCTATTTGCTTCCTCTTACTACCTAATTGCTAATTCTGCTTATTTTATATCTTCATAATCAACTTAAAATTGTTCATTCTTCTCAAAATTAGGATATGATATAGATAAATTGAAGACTTTTTAAACAAGGTTTTTATTAATTGATTTTGACTGCATTTTTATTTGAAAAATTATTTCCTAAATAAAATAATAGTAAGCTACTTGAGAATAAAAGATCTTTCTATAATTTTAATTAGATGGATCAAATATCTCATAAAAAGGTATATCATCTGGAACATCTTCAAGCACTTTATTTTTTATTAAATATCCTTTGTCTCTTAATTCTTAATGTCTCTCTTTTTTTTTAAGTAAAGCCATTGATGTTGGTTCATAATCTGGTTTATCAAAAAAATTCATCTCCCAACTTTAATAGGGATCAAAGAGTTTTATCCTATAGAAACTCATCTATTACTCATTATTCCACCATAAAAATTATAAATTAATACATAAATAACAAAAAGAAAGGGTTCATTTTTTTTGAAAAATAGAAATCCTTCTACAATTTAATTAATTGTAGAAATTTTTAATATTCAAACAAATAACAAATCTTAAATAATTATCTTTGGCTACTATTTGCCACAAAAGAATTACAAAAATAAGATACTTATGTTTAATTATTCTTTTTTGTATTTTGAATTAACAATAAAATAAAAAAATCTCAATTCTTAATCAAGAGATGAGATTTTTAATATATAATTTAATACTATTTAAATTATAGTTATATAAATATAACAATCACAGACTAAATGAAAAAACAGGTTAAAAGTACTGATTTTGATGCTGTAATATAGAAACTCAATATTCATTGCAAAACTAATATAGATGATTGTATTTATTTAAATTTTAGTTCTTATAGATTTAGATCCATTATAAAAAATAAAAAATTCCTCTCCCATGATTTTCGGTGATTATTGCAACTCTAATATGCCAATTCAATTATAACTATCTCCAATTGATACGAATCAAAAAAGTTATATATCATTACTATCGGACAATATTGAGTTTTCGGTTAAAGATAAAAAATAAGGCAATAACTCATATTAATCATTTGAGCAGCCTTAATTAAGAATTCCTGATAGCATTAAATGTTTTGTTTATAAAGAAAAAATAGTTAACGAAGAATAAAGTATTCTAAATAAAAGATTGAAAGAAATTAGACATATTTATGTGAAAAAGCTGGAATAGTTAGATGAATGTAAAAGTTATTTAATAAAAAATAGAATATCTTCATTAAAGATTATAAATTTTAGAGTAATTTGAATAGCATTTGAGTTAGAAAAGCCCAAAGAAGATGNTAAGCTACTTGAGAATAAAAGATCTTTCTATAATTTTAATTAGATGGATCAAATATCTCATAAAAAGGTATATCATCTGGAACATCTTCAAGCACTTTATTTTTTATTAAATATCCTTTGTCTCTTAATTCTTAATGTCTCTCTTTTTTTTTAAGTAAAGCCATTGATGTTGGTTCATAATCTGGTTTATCAAAAAAATTCATCTCCCAACTTTAATAGGGATCAAAGAGTTTTATCCTATAGAAACTCATCTATTACTCATTATTCCACCATAAAAATTATAAATTAATACATAAATAACAAAAAGAAAGGGTTCATTTTTTTTGAAAAATAGAAATCCTTCTACAATTTAATTAATTGTAGAAATTTTTAATATTCAAACAAATAACAAATCTTAAATAATTATCTTTGGCTACTATTTGCCACAAAAGAATTACAAAAATAAGATACTTATGTTTAATTATTCTTTTTTGTATTTTGAATTAACAATAAAATAAAAAAATCTCAATTCTTAATCAAGAGATGAGATTTTTAATATATAATTTAATACTATTTAAATTATAGTTATATAAATATAACAATCACAGACTAAATGAAAAAACAGGTTAAAAGTACTGATTTTGATGCTGTAATATAGAAACTCAATATTCATTGCAAAACTAATATAGATGATTGTATTTATTTAAATTTTAGTTCTTATAGATTTAGATCCATTATAAAAAATAAAAAATTCCTCTCCCATGATTTTCGGTGATTATTGCAACTCTAATATGCCAATTCAATTATAACTATCTCCAATTGATACGAATCAAAAAAGTTATATATCATTACTATCGGACAATATTGAGTTTTCGGTTAAAGATAAAAAATAAGGCAATAACTCATATTAATCATTTGAGCAGCCTTAATTAAGAATTCCTGATAGCATTAAATGTTTTGTTTATAAAGAAAAAATAGTTAACGAAGAATAAAGTATTCTAAATAAAAGATTGAAAGAAATTAGACATATTTATGTGAAAAAGCTGGAATAGTTAGATGAATGTAAAAGTTATTTAATAAAAAATAGAATATCTTCATTAAAGATTATAAATTTTAGAGTAATTTGAATAGCATTTGAGTTAGAAAAGCCCAAAGAAGATGAAGGAATAACCTTTGAAGAGTGCTTTAAAAAAGAAGGATTCAGCATGTTCTTCTCGTTATTACACTTAAAATATAAATGATTCATAAGAAGATGATTGGAAGTTCATTCGTGATGCTCAAAATATTCTAAAGAAATAGAAATCATCATATGATGAAGAATTTATCACTCCATCTAAAGTTAGATTTGTAAGATTATCATTTAATTCATTTAGTAGAAGAAATCAAAGAAATCTTAACTAAAAGATGATTCATTTTAAGTATTATAATTTAGAAATTGATAAAGTAATCGTTTTATTATTTAATATAATGAATATATTAAAAGTATTATTGCTTGTTTTTTTGATATTCACAGTAGTAACAGCCCAGTAATTGAGAGGAAACAATGATTAAACTGATACATCATAAGAAGTGAAAAAATGTTCATGTGGATCAGGAAAAACTACAACAAGTGGATAAGGTTAGAACAAAGTTTCATTGCTTCAATATTAAGAGGCTTTAAAGAAGTTACGTGAAGGAATCTAAGAGGCTTCATCTGATTTTTAGGCAAAAGATATATGATTTCTATAGATAAAAAAGAAAATTATATTGACTATTATTTTAAAAAATATTTTATTTATGTTAAGGTTAATTAAAAGGAGATATTAAAATTTACAGAGTTTATAGAGTAAATTTTGAATTGAATTTAAAAAGAAAGAATCATGTGTAGATTTCTATGAGGAATAATTATTAATAATGATTTCTAGTATAAATTTTGTGATTATGAAAGAAAGATTGCAATATGTAGTTTATAGCTAAATAAATTAATAAATGAGTAATAAGTATGTTAAAGTATTGAGATTGAAAATGAGAGAGTATGATTTATGATAATTTATGATATATGAAAACTACTAGATTATAAAAATATTCAGGTTGTCAATTTAATAAATGAAGGTAAACGTTTCCATTTGACTTCTGTGTCCTCTAAATTTTCATTAACAACAAACTTGAAATTAGGAAAATAAGTGGAGTCGATGCTATATTAGATGAATATTTGATACATTTCAATTGCATTAAACTAATCTTGTAAACTAATATTAATGAATAGATGATTTGGATGCAATAAATCAACGAGTTCATTAAAACTAATATTTTAAGGACGATTAGTCTTTGAAGAAGTAGATAAAAGTTTTTTCTTTTTGCTGATTTGTGCGTCTATTGATTGATTAGTTGACAGTGATCTCAATGAGTCACTCATAATTAGCAGTTAGATATATAAAAATAAAATATTAATATAGTTTATAAACATAGTGTCATGATAAATTGATAATTTTTAGAGTTATAGAATAAAGTAAAGAATATAAGAATAGATAGAATTGATAAGTGTATTGTATATCTGCAAAGTGTTTATTAAAATGAATATAATTGTAATACCGTTTTTATTTAATATAATAAATAAAAGTTAAGGGATATGAACAAGATCATATTATTGACAATGATAGGTTTAATGAGTGTATCAGCATTTGATATAGATTTCTCTTTGTTATTATAAGTACATAAAGAAATGATAAATTTATATAGACAGGTTCAGAATCAAATGATGCAGTATAAGCAGTTTATGATTTATTGAATGATTTGAAAACAAGCAACATAGAAGCTTAAGGAGTTGCAGATGAAAAGAATATATCAGATGAAGAAATAGGTTAAGCTAGAATAGCTGCTTTATCAAAAGTGAATGAATTAAATTAAAAAGCTTGGGCCAGTGCCAAAGCAAGAAGAGAACAAATTGGAATTGAATATAGAGTAATAAAAATATCTATTTTAAAAGGAAGCTACAGATTATATAGCTTGGGCTACTTAAAGATTAGCTGATATTGATAGAAGATCAGTTGAATTATAAGAATTAAGATGTTTTTCAAATGGATTATTTGTTAGAGCTATTAAATAACATAATGATGCTCTTGGAGTTATAAGAGTATTGAAAAATGATTTGAGTGGATATTTAACAGGATAACCTTCATCAATGGTTGAATTAAATGTCCAAAATGTTTCAGATAAATTAAAATAATACAGTCAATTATTTAATTAAGATGCCATGACTAAATTTACTTAATTAGCTGCAGAATAGGCATCAGGAAATGCAGAATTACATGCACTTGGATAAGATGAAGGATCATCATCATCTTCTAGATAACCAGGAGATAATGTTGGATAACTTGTATATAATGCATTATCTGATCTTGAAGATTAATTAAGAACCTCACTTTCTAATCTAGAAGCAAATGAAATTTCTGCATATTATTAATTAGCTGATTGGCTTGCTGATACTGAATCTGAAGTTGCTCACCTTAATGATGAAATCTAAAGAAAAACATAATTATAAGATAAATTAGTTGTGGTATACTTATCTCATCTATATCTTTTTTTTAGTAAGAATAAGCTGCTCTTGCTGTCTAAGCTAAAGCTAACAGTGTTTTAAAGGATTCATAAAATGCTATCAATGCTGCAACTGCTTCATTATATGAATTAAGAGACTTATATGAAACTGAATTGAATAGAAGAAACGGTATTCATTCTCTTTTATTATTTTCATAGAGGAAAATGCTATCATTGATGAAGTCATTCACATTTTTAAATAATAAGTTCTAGAAATGGCTAATCAAACTTCATTTGGAAAGAAATGAGTTTTAGACTTATTTTTCACACAAACCAATTTAAAATTATATTCAAACAATGTAGATATAATCAATACATTAAAATCTTTTATTCTGATGTATATAAGGAGTAATTTTCATATCAGTCTCAATTTAATCTGTCCTCTTAGGCTAAGAATTATATCTTATATTTTTTGTTGTGGCATCCAATGTATGGAATTTATGTTGAGGATAATCCATCAAAGTATTCTATATCTCACTACCTTATTCATATTTTCTATTTTTTTTAAATTGCTTAATTAATAATTCTCCCTAAAATGGATTTTCCTAACTTTATCTATTTGTATTTTTATAATTTTCTATCATTTGCATATAGCCTACACATTTTGATCTTCTTATAGATTTTATTTAATTTCTTTTCTAACTATTACTACGATAAGTTCCACAAAATCTATTTCCTTAGTATTAATTATCTATTGTCTCTGTTAAATTATTTTATTTCTCAAAAGGATTATTATGAATGGTGGGTAATAAAGGCTATATACTATTTATTTTTTCATCTTTTCTAACTACTTAAAACCTTAACATTTTCTCCAGCATAATCAAACAAAACAAATTTTTATTTTGTCTAATTAAAATATTTATGCTGAACTGCTAATTTAAGTTTTTCTAAGAAAATATAAATAATTCTATAATTCTTATTCATTTCTTAAAACTTTCCAATTATATCTTAAAATATCCATAATAGATTTATTAAGCTATTAATTATTTTCGACTTCCATTACATATTTGAATCTGAAAGGAAATAGGTCTTTATAAAATTGATTTAGATTAAAAAAAATAGACATAAGTACTTAAAGTTGTTTATAAATATATTTATAATTATAAAAAATGAAAGGATAATTAGATGATGAAGAGGAAAATGAAAATCTTATCGAGACTGAATAGAAAGGGTTGGACTATTTTTTAACAAAGGTCAAGATAGTAATTTTTAAGGTTTTATTTGTGTTGGCAAAAGAAGAGAAAGCAGATGATTAAATGATTTACTTTTATATTCTGACTTCTTTGGATTATGTTTAGATGCATTCATTTCCATTTAATAATAAAATACTTTATGTATGGAAAGCTGATTCATTTTTAACAAATATTTTAAATTTTGTAAATGTGTTTTCAATTTCAACATATGTACCAAATTTATCATATTTTGCATTGTTAGTGTCAGTTTATGTTTGTTTGAGTGCAATATTGTTAATAATATTGAATATCATATACGTTTCATATTCATTTTCTTAGAATAAATTTAAATTTATGTGGCCTGTATATGTATTGAGGTAAGTGGCTTTTTATTTTGTGACAGTATTTTTTTTACCTATTACAGAAACTTTAACATCAATATTATAATGTTATAATGATCCAGTAACGAATGAATATGTAATATATGGATATGATGAAATAAATGTATAATGTTGGTAAGGATGGCATATATTTCATGCATTAATAACATTATTATTTATGTTAATTTTTGTATTGATATGTGCAATAGTAGCTTATGCATTTTTTGAACCTGGAATGACAAGTGGAAATAGAACAGCAAGATAAGATAGTAATGGAGAAGTAGCATTTATAATAAACAAAGTTACATGTTAAGTATTGTATTGTTTTTTAGGGAAAAATGAATCATGGGTTTTGATTTTAACAACATTTACATTATCTGCTTGGTTATTTAAAGAATATAATTTTGCAGATCCAATTTATGATTTTGAAGTAGGAAGATTTTACTCAATAATAAGTAGTTATTATTTTTGGGCAAATATAATGTTGGTGATTTGTAAAATATAGGAGAGCTCTGACTTTTCTGGAGGATTAATAGCTTGGGTAATAGGTCTTCCATTTATTGTATCTATAATGTTAACAACGAAGAAATCAAAAGTGGATACATTGGTCAGTGCTTAGAATAAATTTTAAAGTGGTGAGGATGTATGGATTCATATTAGATATGTTCTTTAATTAATATCTTAAGCTGATTCTGATCGTAATTCTTATATGTTATTAATTGGATACATTGAAAAACATAAGGAGACATGTAAATAGAATGATTGTTATTTTAAATAAAGAAGAAAAACTTAAAATTCAGAATAATTAGATGATTTAAAAAGAGGATTAATAATTGAATTAGATAAAATGTTTAGATTAGGATTAAGAAAATTCTGGTCATCAGCATCTTTAAGAATATTTTATGCATTATTTTTAATGGAAAGAAGAAATAATAAAAATGATGCTTATATTTAATTTAATTTAGTGTCTTAAAAAAGTAAACCAAAGTTTTTCTAATAGTTTATTACTTATAGATATATGTAATTTAATTATTTTAATCTAGGAAGATCATTAAAGATAAAAGTGATGATGTTGTGGATGCAATAGCAAATTAAAATAATAAAAGTGAACTTTATTCAAAAATGAAAATGGCATCCTTATATTATAAAACTTTTTGGAATGAATTGAAAGAAGATCAACCAAATTTAGTTAGATTAATGCATATAGGTGCTATGATTACTAAAGTAAGTAATTAAGTAATGGAGAAACATTAAGAAATGAATAAAAAGAACTCTTTAGGTTTTGCTGATTTGAAAGCTCTAGCTAATTTTTATTAATAAGTATTTAATGATTAATTTATGGGCCATATTTTGAAGAATTAATATAAATTAGCAAAATAATAATTATAAGTTAAAGTTGAAGATGATGATTTAATTGAAAATAATATAGAGAAACATCCTATTCCATTTCTTTAAGTTTAAGCTAGAAAATCAGAAATTGGTAAAATAATTAATATTAATTCACTATTCACAACATTTTTTGGTTATCAAAAAGAGGAACTTAGAGGTAAATCAATTAATATATTAATGCCAAAAGTATATGCAGAGTAACATGATAATTATTTACTTGAATTTTTTGATAATATGTTGATAAATATGTAAAATGATGGAGATTATCCAAGAACTTATATTGATCAAGAACAATTATAATTTTATAAACATAGAAATGGTTACATTATTCCATTCATATATAAAGTGAGTTTCAATATTGATTCATTATAATATTTAGTATGTTTTAAATGTGATCCTACATTCAAAGGATAAGCTGTCTTCATTATTGATTCTGAAACTACTATAATTGAAATGTCTTCAGGATCAATTCAATATTTTGATATAGAGTTGAGACATATTAAATAAATTGTAAATTTAAATTCTCTTCTACCAGACATTCTTAATTAAAATGGTAAATAAGTTTAATATCATAAAACTGGATAAAATAACATTGAAATTGTATATTATTTCCAATGTTCAGTTAAAGAAATAGAGATAACTTAAATTATTAATGAGAACTTGCTCTTAGAGTTATAAGCATCCAAAAAATTAATCAAATCAGGATATTGGCTTGTTAAATTAGAAAAAATTGATATCACTGATGTCTAAGGAGGTAGAAAAACATCAACATTTATTCATAATACTAGAAACTTGCTACCTAATCAAAGCAGATAGTCTATCTCAATTACATAGAGATAATCCATATCTATCACTTAGAAACTAATACCTACTAGAGCTAATTAAACAGTTTAATCATTAGATACATTAGCCTTAAGAATTGATACTAATTTTGAATATGATTAAAATTTGGTGTAGTTTTTGTAAGAACTATATACAGAATAACGATATGATGATTATAAAGATATTTTAAGTTAATAAGAGGATCAATAAACATAAACCAAATTAGATTATGCTTCAGAAATCAGAGTAAGGAGATTATTTAATAATTAACTTCTCAATATCGATGAAGAAAAAGAAATATGGTTTCTAAAACAATTAGAAGAAGAAGAATAGGAGAATTCTATCTTCAGGAACAATATAAATTAAGATGATTATGATAATGATCATAAAATCATTAGCAATATGTAATCTTAAATGAAGATAAGAAATGCATTATCTTAAAATCATAGACATAGTAAAATAAGTAAGTTCTGTATTTATGCTAATATTTGGATAGCTTTTATTGCGATTATTACTGCTTTGTAATATTACTTCTGCTCATTAAATTTCGAAGGTTTCACTTCATAAATTAAAGCTATTTACTAAATTAATAATGAGATAATAAATTTAAATCTTCTTATTTCAAGAACATTGGATTTATGTATGGATACCTAATTTAATTTTACTTAATTGCAATTTGACATCCAACAATCTGTGTAACTAATTATCAACTTTGATTAGGATCTTAATCAAGAATTTTATAGAGTTTATTTTGATTCTGAAATAATTAGCCTAAGAATGTATAAAAGATTACATTAATATGAGGATATAAATTTATCATTAGAAAGTGCAATTCTTTTGATTACATCAGAGTGCTTAAATCTATCTATGAGTCATTAAAATATACCATTTTATAGTAATTCAATTTAAATAATACTTTACAATTATTTTAATTAGATACATAATCCATTAATTAAGATTTCTCAGGTTTTGTATGAAGATGTTAAGTCTTAAGTGTAATACCCTGATTTAAATTTATTGATATCTTTGTTAGTGTTGTTTATAGGAACTACAATCGGTATGATCAAATTTATAACACTAATGTTAGAAATAAAAATAGATAGAGAGAATGTTATATTTCTATTTCTTGAGATTCCTTAAAATGATGCTTAAAATTTATCTAAAAAGGTTGATAAGTTTTTAAAGTTTTATAATGAAGATCTAAAGAAACTTAATAATTTTGATAATGATGAATCAAGTGATGAAGATGAAGAACAATAATTAATTGATTTATAACAACATATAGATGGTTAAGATAAAATGAATTCGAAAGCAATTGAAGAAGATAATTAATATTAGCTATAATTAAAGAGAAGAAAGATAATATAAAAATATAGAAAAAGCAAACTAAAAGGCAATTAAGGAATAATTGTATAGTATGATAATAATATATTAGATTTCTTTTGATAGCTTTACTTACCTTAGTTTTTGCGGTATACAACATAATTAGTAGTGCTAATGAGAAATCATAAATACAATTCTTGTTGCCACAATTTTATTAAAGTTCGATTTAAATTGAAAATTATGGATACTATGTCAATTTATACAAATTATCATCTTTAAATTCAGAATTTTAGATAAATAATATTTCTATTTAAACAATGATTGCACAAGATTTGACAATATTTACAGGGAATTAATTAAATCTATAGAATGTACTAATTTTAAGTTTATTTTAGTTTGCAAAAGATCTATTAAATTAATTACCAGACCTTAGAAACTTGTTTTTTTCAACTTATTATGGAGATGTTTGCTCCATAATTAATTAAGAAAATGACTCTAATTGTTATAAAATAATTGAAGGTAATCTTCAGTTAGGCATATATAATGTTGAATAATACTATTTATAGTATTTTAGAAATGAAACTCTACATGAAATAGAGTATAATGAGTAAATCTATGAGATTGATTAATCTTTGTTTAATTACATAAAGTAAGCTGTTTCTAAGATAACAGACTTTGAATTAGATTTTATGACAAATCAGATGTCATCAACTCTAACCATTTAACTGATTTTAGTCATAATCTACATATTGATATTAGAATTAGTAGTCTCAGTTATATGGTATTTATTTTTACAGAAATTAAACATTCAAGTATAGTTAATAAAAATTATAATAGATCAACTTAAACATTTAGATGCTCAATATGATACCAATGAAAGTAGTTGAGAACAATCGTAAAATCAGAACATTTATTAGATAATGTATCAAAAAGTTAGAGCTAGAGAACACTTGAATTTGTTAATTAAATTTAATAAAATAATTTTATTATCTATGTCTTACTATGTTCGATCGAAATTAATTCGTCCTTCAACAACTTCTAATCATGATAGACCATTAGATAATAGTTCAGTAAGAGAAAGTAGATTAGTGTATATTAAAATTTTAATATTATAGAAAGTAGAACACTACATTTAAAACTGGAAGAGAGAAAGAAAATTTATATGATGAGAATATTAAATTGAAATCTTAATTGAATGAATAAACTTAGTTATTGCTTTAATCAAGATCAAAAGTATAGCAATTAGAAGTAAAGATTACAAATTTACATTAGAGAGAATTATAAAGATTTAAAAACTTAATTGAAGATTCTATTAAACCAGAGACATCTTAACAGAAAATATAAATAGAACGTTATGGCTTAATTATGAAAATGAAAAACAAAATCAAATAGTTGATTCTAGAGTTATAAAGTAAGTCTAAAGAATTAATTAAATTAAAGAGAACAATGAGATTCACTAATTTTTAAGAATTAGAAGTAAATTATCTATTTCATAATCAATTAGATAGAATTAAAAAATTATATAGATGAAACCCTTAGATTGAGATCAAAGTTAGAATATAATGAATAAATGATTGCTGTTTAATCATCAGCTGAACCTTTGGAAAAGTAAATTTTGCATTTAGAAAAAACAATCAAAATACTCTAGAAAGATAATCAAGAATATAATTCAAAACAATTAAATAATGATTTTATCACTTCTAAATTATAAGTATAAACCTATAATCAAAGTAGATTCAATTAGAAGAAACTTTGAAATAAAATGAGAAATAATTTAAGGAAATTATAAATTTTGAATAAATGGTCAAAGAATTGAATGAATATAATAGATAATGCAATGATCTCATTTCATAATTATAACTTTAAATTAAAGCTTAGATGTAGAGTCACTAAAATACAACATAAGAAGAACTATTAAAAATTTAATCTTCATATGAATAGTTATAAATTAAATATTCTTAAGAGATTGAGTATTTAATTAATCATAATATATATTAGTACTAAAGGCTAAGAAATTCGATCATTAAAAACTGAAATATAGAGGTTGAATTTACATATATAGGATATGGAAAAGATTATAGAAATTTAAGAAGATAAGATCAGAGAAATAGAATATTCAGTTTACTCTCCAGTTGCTAAAGTAGGATAAATTGAATCTCCTTTATAAAATGGATTTAAAATTATGTAAATAGAAATGAAATAGTAAATAATAAATAAAAAATTACCTCGAGTTTAATTTACTGATATTCGAGAAATTTGTATGAAGGTTAGGTTAAATCTAGTTAGAAATAGAGTGTAATATTAAGAAATAGAGGATTACTTTAATGAATAAGAAGAATTGAGCATTCATTAATTGAAAAATATTTTGCATAAGTACGAATTATAAAATAATAATAAGACCCCCTTTTGAAATTTAAGATCATCAATAAATTAAACTTTTCAGTAGATATTTAGTCGAAGATAATTCTGAGGATTATGTGATTTATGATTAAGATAGAAAAAATAAAACATCAATAATAAAATCAGTTATGAAAAAGATAGTTGGAAAATATGAAATACTATCAAATGAATAAGAGTTATCAATTTTATAATCTATTTAATAAGTTAAAATTTGATCTTTATGATAGAAATTAAATCCTACATTAATAGAAACTATTTAAATGATGTTAACAAAAAAGAAAAATCTATTACCAGGTACATGTGAATAGAGTGATTTGGATTAAGCATTAAAATTTCATGAAATTCAATTAAATCATCAGGAATAGGAGAGATTTAATTTAATTAGTTTTGAGATTTCAAATTCATTAGATATTGTAAATTATGATAGATTACTTACTTATTTTAAATGAAAAAAAATTCTTTATATTTATATATTTAGATAAAAGTGGAATAAAATTGAATAAATTTTATTTCTATTTATTAAATGTATTCATATGCTCCACTTGGTGTTTCATTTGCATCTCCAATAACAACATCATATGTAAGACCTGCTCCAGGTAAATTTTTAATAGATTATAAAGTTTCTTATATATAACAAGTGTAATATGCTTAACCAATTACATATGCATAACCAGGTCCAGCAACAATAAAAGGAGAATCTAGATATGAATATGTACCATATTAGAAATCAGTGGTAGAATTGGAAGAAGAATAAAGAGTTGTGAAAGTAGTTTGTTATATAAAAATAAAGGTACCTAAATAAAAATGGGTGACTGATTATTACCCAGTGGAATATCAAAAAGAATATATACCATAAGTTACATATGAAAAATAAGTTGATTATGTTCCAGTTGAAAAAACTGTTCCAAGAGTGGATTATTTAGAAAGAGAAGTAAGAAGAAGTTCATTTGTTGCACCTATTAATCCAGCACCTCCTATCACTTATGCTTCACCTCTCTCATACAGTGTTGCTGCTCCTATTGCTCCAGTTACTACAAGCTATGTTGCACCTGCATACAGTACAGTCTATAGATATTGAATATTATTATTTAATAAAATGCATAAATTCATATAAATTATAATATTTCAAATTCATGTAAATGAATTAAATGGATGATGAGGATAAAGGTTTTGATAATTTCTTAAGGAAAATCAAATTTGCTATTTTCGATGTATTGGCAATCTTAGATCAAGGTGAAGAAGACAGTGAAAGTCTATTGCTATTTTATCTACAGACTGCTGCTGATTATGTTTAGATCCATAGTTTTCCTTTCAATCAGAAAATTGATTATATATGGAAAGCTTCCTCTTTTTTAGAAATTGTGTTTACTGCTTTTAATATTTTAAGTATTGGCAATTACTTACCAACAATAAACTACCTCACATTCATACTGTCAGTATATTTTTTATTACTTATTATATTTTTGATGGTTCTAGATATTATATATGTATCCTATTCATTTTCAAGATAAAGATTTAGATGGATGTGGCCTGTACATGTATTAAGATCTGGAGTATCTATTGTAGTTACTCTATTTTTTTTGCCTATTACTGAGACCTTAATATCTTTAATAACATGTGAGACAAATGAAAATGGAGAATATGCTTTAGCTTAATTCCCAACTGTATTATGTTGGTCTGGGTGGCATATTTTCCATGCAATATTAGCTAGTCTTTTCAATTTGATTTTCACTATTATTTGTTCTATTGTTGCTTATGCTTTTTTTGAACCGAAAATGAAAACTAAAAATCGCACATCCAGATAAGATAGTAATGGGGAAGTAGTCTTTATCTTAAATAAAGTTATTTGTTAGGTTTTATATTCTTTCTTAGGACCTTAAGATAGCTGGATACTGATAATAGTAACATTTCTATTATCTCTATGGCTTTTCAAAGTTTATAATATTGATGATCCTTATTATGATTGGGAAGTAGGATTATTTTACAATGTAATTTCAACTTATTATTTATGGACTAATTCTTGGTTATTGATTTGTAAGATTTTGGAAAATACATCATTTAAAGGTGGTTTGGTAGCATGGTTATTGGGAATTCCATTTATTGTTTCTATTATGGCATCATCTAGAAAATCAAAAATTGATATGCTTATAAGATAATCTAATAAGTTCAAATCAGGAGAAGAAATAAATAGTCATATTCGATATGTTTTATAATTGATATAAAATTAAGAGAAGGATAAGAATTCTTATATGTTATTGGTTGGATATATTGAAAAACATAAGGAAACATGTAATCCTGATGAATGTTAATTAAAAGAGAAAAACAATAAAAAAATATAATAGAATAATTTTGAAGCTATAATATCTGGTCTTTTAGCAGAATTAGATAAATTATTTTAATAGGGTTTAGAGAAATTTCCATAATCAACTTAATTGAGAATTTCTTATGCTTTCTTTTTGATTGAGAGATTGAATAATAAAAAGAAGGCTCATTAATAATTTTTAGAAGCTTAAAAATTTGGAAGACCTGCTTTTGATTAAGAATTTATTATTTATAAAAATAGTAAAGCAATGAATAGTAATTAAGAAAAGAAAGAATAAAATAATGATGTTATAAGTATGATAGAATTTGAAAATAATATGACTATTTGTGAAGACATGATGAAATTATCTGCAAATTTACATAAAGAATTTTGGATAGAATTAAAAGAGGATTAACCTGATTTAAGAAAATTAAATGTTTTAGGATAAAGAATTAATAAAACTACTAATATGATCAATGAAAGTTATGTAAAAATGTAAAAAATAAATCCAAATATATTTTAAACAATAAGAGTTTATGGTTTATTTTTAATATTTGTAACAAATGATAAATTAAAAGGAAGATAATTTCTTAGATTAGCAAAATAAGTTTAATAATCATTAGCTTAAGTAGAAGATGAAGAATCATTCTCTTTAGAAAATAATTTGAAACCTGCAATTAGTGTTAGTATGATTAAACATGGTGTAATAGTTGGAATGAATCAATTAGTTGTAAATCATCTTGGATATTCAAAATAAGAATTAATAGGAAAATCTATTAATTAATTAATGCCAAAAATGTATGGAGAACAACATAATGCTTATCTTTAATAATATTTAGAAAATGTTAAAAATAATCATATTGAAAGTGATTACATAAATTTTGAATAAAGTAATTATTTTAAACATAAAAATGGATACATTGCTCCTATGAAATATAAAGTGATGTTAAATCTAGAATATTTATAATATTTTGTGACTTTTGAATCTAATTTAGAATAATAGAATCTTGTTCATTTCATTATTGATGAAGATACAAAGATTTATGAATTATCAACTGGTGCTATCAATATTTTTGGACTAGATAATAAAGCTGTATTGAATAGAGATATCAAATTAAATGATTTGATTCCTGATATAATGCATAAAGATAAATATGATATTCATTTTAGATCTAACATAAAAAACGAAGAAAGTATCTAATTTTATTATTTTAGGATTACATTATTTGAGATGCTCAATTAAATATATATAAATAAGAATAGCTACTGATGTTGATGAAAATCAATAACAATAATAATAATTTTACTAAATTACTTTTTAAAATATTGATAAAACAGAAGCTATGTAATCTAATAAAAAGAGTATCAATCGTTAAAGTATAGATATTCTTAAATTAAATCCAACATTTTAAATATATTCTGCTCATTAGAGTTCTTCATTTATGTATGCAACTCAAACTAATTAATAAAATTTAGATACTAATTTAGTATATTAAATGATGGCCAATTTCTAATAAGGACCTAGACCAGAAGAAATAGAATAAATTAATAATTATTAGAATAGAGAAGAAAAATAAATAATCACTATTGAATAAACTATTGGTGTTGATGATGTTATTAAAACTAGAAGATTAATCAATGGACAAATTGTGCCTATTGATGAAGAATTTGAAGAATAAATATTAAAGGAATTAGAAGAATAAGAATAAGATGATTCAATCTTTAAAAATAGAAATGATTTCTAAATTAATAATAGAGAATACAAGAATTTCTCAAAACAAAAATAATAATCAACTATTGTCAATGCTTTAAATACTAATCATAAACATAAATAAATCACAAAACTTAAATAGTATACTCTTTTTTATCTTATTTTTTTTATGGCATTTGCTATTTATTAATTTAGTGATAAATAAAATTTTTATGAATTTCAAAATGAATCATTAACTACTATGAATTATTGCTATTAAATTAATTTTGAATTACTTAGATTATTTACAAGATCAATTGATCATATTTTAGTCTTAAAGAATTTTACATAATATAAATCTGAAGATATAAATTAAGATATAAATAAAACAATAATCAACTTGAATGATATTACTTTAAAATCAGTTAAATATGATATCTTTAATGATTTATTAATGAAAGATGAAATTGATTTTATCACTATCTAAAATGATTGGGTTTCTATATCTAGAAAAACAAGATTTGATTAAGCTATTATTCTTATGGAAACATATGCATTCAAATGGATCTCTAAAAATTCAGCTACATTAAATGATATAGAAATAGTTAATATTCTAACAAATTTTCATCCCACAATGACTTAAAAATTAGTTTAAATTAATACTTTCCTTTATGAACATGGATATGAAAAAGTTAAAGGATTGTAAACATCTTAAATTATCTAAATAATTTTAACTTTAATAATAAGCACATTCATTATTATCAGAGTAATAATGTTTATGATTTAAGTTAAATAGCAAAGAGAAAACATTATGTTTTTATTTTTAGCTATACCAGATGAACATTTAAGTAATTTTTAAAAAAATTGTGAATAATTCTTAAAATAGTTTGTAAGTATAAAAGAATTGATTGCATAAACATATGATTTAGAGGCTTCCTCTGATGAAGAATAAGAAATAGAAATAAATACCTAAGTCTAAGAAATCAAAAAATAATAAGAAGATGATTTTGTAAATGAACAAAATAGAAAACAAGCTTAAAAATATAAAAAAGTGCTTCAGAAATATTAAAGTAATATCTTGAAAGGCCAACTTAATCTAGTCTTAAGTGTTATTTTAATAGGATGGATTATTTTAGGAAATACTCTCTTTTAATTTTTTGATTTGCTAAATTAACAATCATTTCTAAAATTAATATGGCCTTAAAATTATCTGTATTAATAATTCACAATGAATTATATTGATCATTTAAATATATATAATCTTATGCTTTTGAATAGTAGTATATCAGCAAATGGAGAAAGCATAAAAGTAACAGCAAATAAACATCTGAGTGTTTTCAAAAATAATTAAGAGAATCTTAGGGAATTTAGTGTTTAAGTATTTGATCAATTTGAAGAATTTACTTAATTATATAATACCATCTAATATTTTATGATTTGTGATCCAATCAAAGATCTCATAGGAGAAGAAGAATATAATAAATGTGCTACATATATAAATACAACAAATTTACTTGGTATCATTGCTATTGAATAATATATGTATCAATTCTTTGAAAGAAGACAACGACCATATCTTAACTTAACAGAAGATTTTCTAGATTCTCCTCAATTGAATGAATCACTATTATTCGAAATCAACTATTGTCTATTTAATTATATTGGTTATGCAATTGATTACATGATTAAATAAGAAAATATTATGGTTGAAAATTATTTTCAATCATCAGTTAACTTATCATTATTATTGACCATCATCTATGTTATTGTCATGTTTTTCTTTTATATTCTTGTTGCTTTACGCTATTTCAACCAGATCAATAAAGAAGTAATAATTCAATTAATATTTATAGACAAATTAAACCATATAGATGTTAAATATGATTCCTATTGAAGTAATAAAATAAAATAAAAATCTTAGAGAATTTGTAATTGGATTAATTAAAATGATGGATAAACAATAATATAAATGAATTTTGATCTAATGGGTTACTCTTAATTATTTGTTATTTTTTAAATTTTAAATTTCAAAGCAAAGAATTTTTATTTTAAACAATATAAAACAATATTACATACACATTTTATATATCAGTAATGAGAAACTTCATACTTCAAATTCAAAAGAAAGATGAGCCAAACCATCTTTGTATTTGAGATTGAAATGCTTTTCTCTGAATCCTTCCCATAACAAAAATTTATTTAAATATATTGAAATTATTTAATTTTTCTATTATATCAGTATGTTTTTGTTGTTAATTAATTTTTAAATCTACTTTAAAATTATCTTCTAATTCTCTCTAAGCGTTTAACTTAAATTTAAATTCAATTTTAATAATTTTTGTTAGGATTCCAAATCACAAATCTTTCCCATTAATGTAATTTTTACTCTTTAAATATTTAGTATTGTCTTGCCTTTTATTTTTATATGTTGAAATTCATCAAAAATTTATGAAATACTCATTAAGATGCTAAAAAAATAAATTTAATTAGTAAAAAATCCTTATAATTCTTTTTTTATCGTAATTTTAATTCTCTTTGAATATATTAAATTAATTTAATTACGAATCTAATTTGTTGAAATCCAACTTTATGTAAACTTAAGATTTTAACCATTAAGTAATAAACGAATTTGTTAAAAATTAATCATTGAGTGTAAAATTTATAATTTAGTCTTTGCCGTTTTGATTTATTAAAAAAACTGCTTTAACAAATATATAAATATATTTTCTTTACATCTAACTTCTAATTCAAGTTATTTATTTTCATTTTTTAAATTTTATTCAAATATTGCAATCACACAATATTCATCAGATAAAACTTACTATATCAATTTAACTTTATATGCTTTATGTAAAACATTTGATCGAACATCTACTTAATGAGTAATAAATTTATATTATTCATTTTTTATTATAAGATCTCTTATCTCTTATTCTAAATTTTTTAATTTAATCTCATCTTTATCCAATTAATTATTTTCTATAACCATCTAAAGAATAATAATAATCATACATTTCTGAGCATTTCTCTAAATTCTTTATTATCTTAAATTTTTAATCTTGTCTTTGAAATATCATTTATTTATAACAAAATTAATTAATCTTATTTTTAATCAAACTTAATAACAACGATCGATTAATCTAAAACTTAATCTATAATTTTAATCCATCTATTCTATTCTCTACTATCCCTAAATTAAAGTCGTTTAATTTTTTCATTTGTGTATTTCATAACTACTAAACCAATAAAAACCATAAATATAGTCGTACACATAGCTTAATATTCTAATGTATTTGTAGGATAGTAAGTAACATATTAAATATAAATAGCTAGCAATGCAATTGCCTAAGGCCATATTTAATAACCTAGTTGCAAAATTGCTATATACATTTTAATAAAAGTTACCGAAATGAAAGTAGAATGCTTGAAATCCATAATACCAGTTATACTCATAACTAGCATCATAATCATAGTTTGGATCTTCTGTTGTAGTGGGGAAAAAATTATCCAAATTCCAAATGTAAGCAATATAAATTTACAGTATTGGTAAAACATATTCATTCCATGCTGGATGAGATTTTATTATAAATCTCAGCAATACTATTGATAACATAAATGCTAGAATATTTGCTACAATTATTCCATTAAAAGTGTATTCTTAAAAGTAGTATAATATATAAGCTGTAAAAAATAGCTAAAATCAATATTATTTTTACTATTGTTTGTATCGAAAATAGTGTAAATTCTTACTTGATATAGTTTTATTACAAGTTTCTATAATCGTTTTCAATACATTTCGATTTAAAATTTAGAGTGAATTTATTAATAATCATTATTTGAAGCTTATTTAATTTATTTATATTTTTTTAAAACTACTTTTAAATTGCTAATCATTTTATTTTACAAAAGGCATTTTCAAGTTGAAGGATGGAATAAATCAATTAAATATTTTTCTTATTTAAGAATAATTTTAATAAAATCAACACAGTATAATTTATATTATTAATATTATTAATTTTATCATTTCTTAATTCCCAGAATAATAATCAGAAGAAAAAGCTTATATATTTTGGATTTTTTGGTTAAAATATAAAGAAAAGAAATTCTTAATGAAAATTTCAGTAACTCAATTAATAAAAATATTTTATTTAATGTAATTCACTTTGATTTTAACTATGTAAATCTGAATCTTCAATCTAAGTTACATAGATTACATCATTTAAATATTTGTTTATTCTTTGATGAATACATAATTTATTTTTTTCTCTTTTTTGCCATATTTTAATTGATAATTATTTATAAAAGGTATTGTATTAAATGTACAAAGAATTAGAGGCAGCAATAAATAATATTGATTTGTAGACAGAAAAACAATTAAAATTCACAATATCCAAGTTGATCACAGCATTTTCAATTTGTGTGGAAAATGATAGAAAAGATTGTAAAAAGTTTTCAACTTTATTTGATCCATTAAAACAATCTCTTGATCAAGAAAAATAAGGACTTTATAAATGCGTAAATGAAAATTAATCTACATATTAATAATGCATACAGAATTTTTAGAAAAAGTCAATCTCAATAATTTTGCAATAATTGTCAAAAATTGAAAAATAGATAGAGTGATTTAGTTTGAAAATTATTATTACATGTAAAGAGTTCAGTAAATGTTTAAAGTTTTATCAAATATATTTATTTCTTTATTTTTAATAATGTTTAATTTCTCTCTCAAAATTTAGAGTGTTCTCTTATTTTATAAAATAGATAAAAAATTTTAGTCTTTGTGCATTATATGAATTTAATAAATTATATATGAAAACACTATTTTATTTTGTAGATTAGCTATTTATAAGAGATAAATAATTGACAAATATAATAAAAATGATAATATTTAATTAAGAAGTAAAGATGATCAACAATAAATTCATATTAACATTATGCTTTTATTAAATTTAAGAAAAAAATGAATAAATATTTAAATAAATCTATATAGATTATATATGAAATAAGTAAGTCAAAAACAAAGAACTTTTTTAATATTAAAGAGATTAAGAAAATATTGAGTAGTTACATCGAATTCTGGGTATTAGATAATTTCAATGCTGTCTTATTTAAACTTTGCATATTGAATTTAATCATCTTTTTCATAAAGTCCTTTTATTTTTTATTCTAAAATAGCAAAATGCTATTAAATTGATTAAATTCTTTTCTCAATATCAGTTTCATAATATTCTTTTTCAAAATTATTATTTAATGAGGCTAAAAGAATAAGACTGCTTTCAGAATTTGATAAAGTAGTAATTTTTTTCATAAAAGTCTAAAATATATCTTTAATATCCAATTTAATATTTAAATATAATTTTTCTAATGTAGCAACAATATATTTATATTGTTAAAAGCAATTTTCTTTGAAATTTTTATCCTTGATATATTCACATTAACAAAGCCATAACTGTTAATTATTCCAATTTTAATATAAAGTTTTAACTCCATTAATGTAAGCATAAACTTAATTTATTTTTATTCTTGATAATCCATCAACTTAAACTTGATATCCTTTGTTTGTTTTTTTAATACTTTTGATTTAAACTAAATCTCCATTAATTAAATCACTAGAAACTATAAAATTTCCTGATCCAGAGCTAACCATTTTTATCATTTCTTAATATCTAAATTCTAAAAATTGAAATTCTGTTGATCCATTAATAATAACTGATTAATCATAATGAAAGAGTGGTATGCCAAATATATTATCATTTTAAAAACTTGAATCAATTTATTATTCTTCCTCCATTTTAAATTCTTTGAAATACCAATCTATAAGATCTTTATATTTCTAATTTGTATTGACTTTGATATTAAAACAATAATCTGAACATGCTGGACATAATAGTTCATCTTTTAAATTTTCTTCTATGCATTTTTAACAAAACATATGTTAACAAGACAGTACCACTGGATTTATTGGAGTTAAACCACAACAAAGGCATATAATTAATGAGGGAAATTCATTTAATAAACCTAATTTAATGATCAATCATACTTTAAGTTCCCTCATTTTCATAAATTTATTGAACAATAGGCAATAATTCATCAATTTTATTATTGCTAAGCAATGCAGGTTTACGACATAAAGGACATGCACAATATTCTTATGTTTCAAAAGAATTTTAGATGCAATTTTAGCAAAAAGTATGTCCACAGCTCAATGAGACTGGATTTTTTAAATTCTATAAGCATATTGAGCATTAAAGGATGAATTTCATAAATAAAAATATCAAACAAATTCTTGAAAAATCATGGTTTATTTATAAGAATTTTTAAGAATTTTATTATTCTCAGGAATGATATTGTTCTAAGATCCTCTTCTATTATATTTATGTAAATCATAAAATTAAGTATTTCATTATCATATTCTTGTCATTTCACTAGATTATTTTTGTTTTTTAAATAATATATCTGAATTCCATCTTTTAATTTAGAATTAAAAATTATCCATTTGTTAAAGAATGAACTGAATGATTCTGAAATAATAACAAGATTCATAAAAAAGTACAAGAATTCTCAATTATGTCTAGTCGATCTATTAATTAAATAATTATTATTGATTAATACATTCTATTATTAAAATTAGAAAAAATAAGATGAAAATTATTAATAAATATGAGATATTTATTTTAAATCTAAAATTCTAGTATGATTATCTATAAATATTTAGTTCCTAAATGTAGTTTTGGGAAATATAAATATTTTATAAATTAATTCAACGATTGTATTATATTTTTAATTTAAAATTTGAAGTAGTATAAATGCCTCATTATCCAGAGGAGATAGAATATTCTGACAAATATTTTGATGATTATTATGAATATAGGCATGTAATCTTACCCAAACACATATTTAAAAAAATTACAAAAGGTAAAATAACTACTTAAATTTAGGAAAATTGTTAAATGAAATGGAATGGAGAGCAATAGGAGTCTAACAATCTAGAGGATGGGTTCATTATGAAACTCATAGACCTGAACCACACATTCTATTATTTAGACGACCTAAAAATACTGATCCAAATACTGGTTTACCACCTCCCGGATTTAGTGCGCCATATTGATAGTTAAATAATGAATATTTAAAATTAACAAAAGAACACTAAATTAGATTCAACCAAGATAAAGGGTTCCTAATATTGATTCATTTTATCTCTTATTTTCTTACTAATCTATACTTCAAAAAACAAAGGTTCTTTAAAATTTTAAACTATTTTTATCAATTTTATACTTTTTATTTAGCAAAAAAATAAAATCAAGGCTATTTATGTTTTCTTCTCTTGTGTATTAACTAATTAATAAAAATGTTATGATGGAGTTAAAAATAACTAAAGTTTTATGATAAAAATTTTATATGAAAGCAATTTTATGTATAAAATTTCATCATTTATTTTATAAATAGCTTATAATTCATTTAATAAGTATTAATTTGTATGATTCAATTCTTTAGGAATGAAACTAATATTTTTGGATTGCAAAGTTTATTTTTTAATATATTGAATGTAAATTTATATAAAACGGACAGTTGTTCTGTTTTTGTATTTATTAACTGTAAATATACAATGTCTACCTGGAATGCTAAGTGAATCCTAAGTTATTGCAAATAAATTACAATGCTAATTATCAAAATCAGTACCTGAATTATTGTAGATTGAAAGTATTAATAAAAATGAATATGGAATTTTCAGAATAAAAAAAGAACACTTAATAAAATTTGATGAATTTAGTGATTACACCCTTGATTAAGATGTTTTAGTGTACATAGATAAGAAAGTGAGAAATTAATATATTGTAAGATTGCTTAATATCATTTTAGATGAAACTTAAATATGAAAAGAATTTCGATGTTGAATAATATGTTATAGAAGGTAGGAACTATGTCTACATTAGAACCCAATTAGTAAATATGTAGAACAAAAAAGAGATAATAAATTTGCATTTGTTAAATATTTATTAATAAGGCTCAATTAAATAACTTATATAAGAAACTCTAAATGGAGTTTAGTTTAGCTTCAAATTTATAGACTAATAAGATTATTTTGTTTAGATAATATTTGCTACTTTATTTGAGAATGAATTTAAAGGAACAAATTTGTAAGTGGCTAATCTAGTCTAAGAAATTTAAAAAAACTACATGTCTTGCTCAATAAATGAATGTAAAAAGGATAAGGAATTTTCTTTATCGCTTTAAAACATATAATTTTAATAAATACCTCCTTTATTTATAAAAGAATGTAAATATAAATAAATATGGCTAGGTTCTCTAAAGACATCCTAATCAATTTAATATTATTAATAAATCAATTCTATCTATGCAGCAAATATTGAATTAGAGAAAGATGAAATTCAGTTTAATATAGACTTTACATTAGAATGTATAAAACTTATGAGCTCAAATGAAGAAAGAAATCATATAAAAATGGAATATGATTAATACTTTTGCATTAACAATTTAATCTATCATTTTAGATTTATTTCAAGTAGATAATTAATCATTAATTTAAGTTAGTTCAAAATTATTAAAGATTTAACTATTATGTTATACTCCTGTAAGTTAAAAATGATATAAACCAAAATAAATTAATAGAAGATCTATTTAATTTAATCCTAAACTTGAAATGTTAAAAAGAAATTTAAATAACCAATGATAATTTAGAAAAATTAATATAAATGAATTCCTCATTTATTTAATAACAATAGAATTAAAACAATAAAGAATTAAAAACTTAAGATAATTATGATACCAAGGTTTTTGTTGAAGAAAATATTAATATTTAGATAGATGAAGAATATTAGTAGATTAATAAATAATCAAAATTATTATAACCTAATAATGATGAAAACAGTGAGAGTTTGCAATTTATATAAATCAACTAATCATTTGGAAGTACTCCATAATTATTAGAAATAAAATAGGATTTACCATTAGAAGAAGATTAAATTAATGTAGAATAACAGTAATTTGAGATGAAATAAATAATAAATGATGACATTTTTGATTAGCCATTATAATTAGAAGAATAATAACATTAATAAAGGCTAAATTAGGTAAATTAATATGAGAAAAAGACTTAGGAAATTGAAGAATCTATCAATTTTGAAAAGTCTGATAATTAATAGTATCAAGATTAGAAAATAGAAAATGTAGTTTTTGATGAGTATAATCAATAACAATAATAAAAATAAGATTTAGAATATCCAATACATTAAAGTAATTTAAATAAATAAAGTAATAAAGAAGAAGTTTTAAAATAGGATAAAAATGTGATAAAAAATTAAAGTTATGAAAATCATTAAAATAGATATAAAATATAAGATAATTATGATGAATATTAAAGTCATTAAAGACATCATCATCGACATCACAGTGAATAATATAGAGGTACTTAATATGAATATGATTAATTATATGAAGAATAAGAATAAGAATAAGAAAGACATCACCATCATCACCATCATCACCATCATCATTAATTTCATCATCACAATTATTAATATGATAATGAATTCAAAGAAAATGAGAATTAAAATTTAAGAGGATTTGGGGTTGATTCAAAAAGAAATAATTTAAGAGGTAGAAATAATAGAGATTATTCATTGTCTGATAATAACAATCCAGAGATTATAGATAGAATAATAATAGAGTATAATTTTTAATAGAGAGAAAATGATGATACTTAATAATAATAGGGAAATTCATAAAAAAAAGATCATAAAAAAGAAAATCCAATAGCTGGTCCAAAAAAATAGTAAATATAATATGATAAAGATTAAACATAATCATAAAATAATGATAGTAATGAAAATAATAAATCAAATAATAAACCTTTAAGTAAAAAAAAAAAGATATAAGAAGAAGAAGATGATGAATAAGAAAATGATAATAAAACATAATAAGATAAACCAAAAACATTATCTGCTTAAAAATAAAATAATAAAGATAAAGATAATTAATAATAATAAAAAGTAAGAGACACTAATAAAACAAATAAGGAAGAATCAGATTAAAAGGAAGAAGAAGAAATAGATTAAGATAATACAAATACTGAGGATGATGAAGATAAAAAGATTAAATAAAAGAAAAAGTAAAATGATTCAGATGATAAAGATAATGAAGATGAAAATTAAAATAAGGATGAAATAGAAGAATCTAATGAAAGAGAGTAAAATAAAGAAGAAGATATATAAGAATAAGATGAATAAGAATAAGATGAATAAAATGAAGAAGATTAAAATAATTAATAAAAATAAAAGAAATCTAAAACAAAAAAATAATAAAATAAAGAAAAAGATGATAATAAAAAATAAAAATAGAGTAAAAAAGAATCTAAGAAATAATAAGATGAAGAGGAAGAAAATGTTGAAAATGAGAATGAAGATGAATTATATGATTTTAATGGAAGATATATTCCAAATGATCCATTTTATGAACATCGTAAATCAAAAAGAGGTAGATATCCTTTTAATTATCCTACAAATGATCCATATTAAGAAATATTTGGAAATGAAAGATTTTGGAGATATGAAACAATGAAAAGATAATAAGTTAGATATCCATTTAATGGTTATCCTTATAGACATAGAAAATAAACAGTTGATCATTCACCATTTCCTCATGTTAATTCTTATTATAAAATGCATCCATTTTAATAATAAACTTATCATTGTTCACCTTGGGTTGGAAGAGACTTTTATCCAGATACTGGTTATGGAATGAGTAGAGTTACAGCTGCATATAAAGGTAGATATACAGATCCTGATTAAGTGTTAAGAGATTTAACTATTAAATAATAATAATAAAAATAATGGAAAACATCTGTCTAATAATATAGAGATTAAGTTGGATATAAATATGCTGATTATGATCTAGATTTTTAACCACATTATTCTTAATCATATGAAGATATTATCTAATAATATCCTGATTATGATCATACTATATTTGATTCCACTTAATTTTAACCTTATGAAGATAAATCAAATAAAACTCATGATTTCTTAAATGATCCATCATTTTAATTTAGATAAGGAAAAAAACCATTAGATAAAAAAAATTAAATTACGACATTCAATCCTCAATAATTTGATGAAAATGATTGTTTTGTAGTCTATGATTAATGCAATTTCTAAGGTAATAGATTAGATTTATGTGGAGAATATCCAGATATCCCATAATATATTAATGGGTTTAAAATATTCTCTTTTATTGTTCCAGATAATCTATCAATTAGATTTTTTCAATCTACAGATTTTTAAAGTATTTTTATATAATAAATTCATTAGATAATATTGAAAATGTTGAAGGAACTTCTGATTGTTTAAAAGTACCATATGAATTGGTTCCAAATATATAATAATGAATACGAATTTAATATAATCATTAAAATTTACATCTATAATTATATTTTTCATCAATTTAATTATCAAAATTCCTATTAAAAATTTAGGAGTTTAGCAATAAGTTTTTTGATAATTCATATTTATAAATTTATTCATAATTAGTTTAATTAGCTCTTTAATAGAAAGTAGAAGATCTTTTACAAACACTCTAATTTAATTTTTATTACTTTTGAGTTTAAGTATAATTATTTTCAGTTAATTAAACTGATTAAAGTAAACTTTTAGTTCTATATTTACCACTTGATATAAGATTAGAAATAACTTTCTTTTTTTCAAAAGTAGAATTCCATAAAATCTTTTCCTCTATTTCAAAAGTTGTTAAAACTCCTAAAGGACATTTAGGATTCAAACATTTAATCTCTCCACCTAATGTTTAACCAATTCGTATTACTACATTTTAATTACAGCATTTTGAAGTAGGACAATAATCAGTATCAGAAAAATAAATGTAAAATAGTTTTGAAATAGGATGTTGACAAATCAATATATTTTGCATTTCAAATTATAGTTCTGAAAAAAGTTCACACATTATTTTGTATATAACTAAATTTCGTTTGTCAGATGGATGAAGGGATTTAATTTCTTTTTCAAACTTAACTAAAAATCATGAGTTAATTACTTTCTTTTAAAAGCTGACGGTAGGAAACTTATTTATATTCACTAAATATTACTTTTTTAAAATATTATCAATGGATAAATATTGCTTTCAAATTTATTTTCATTTTCATTCTCATTTTTTCTATTTTATTCACTTATTGTCTATATTTCTATTTTTTCTCTTTGTTCACTTTTTGGACTAGTTTTAAATGGGAGATTGTCTAATTTTATTTTGTGAAATTTCTAATTTGTTCTAGTAGATTGTCTTGCGGTTGATCCTTTAGTTATATTTCCTATTTATCTATATCTTTATATAATATTATTTATCATACCTTCTACTTTAACAGGAATGAATAGAAAATGTAGAAATTACATCAAGCATATTTAACATTTATAAAATACTAATAGTTAATAATAATTATAAAATTTATTTAATATTATTTAATATAAGAAAGAAAAGAAAAAAACTTTAACGATTGTTTCTGTTCAAAATTAATATTATTATACAAATATAATAATAGTAAAATTTAAATCATTATTCGATTATTTAGATTTCATTTAAATTAATAGAATATATATTACATTTCTAAACAAAAAAAATTCATATATTAAATTTTAAAGCTAGATTATGGAAAAAATATAATCCTATATTTGATTGATTTGTATTAAGTTTTAATGATATTCATTTATTCAAAATATATTAATCTTACAATTTATTTTAAGAAAATACTGGTTTTTTTAAAATTACTATTAGATGAAGCTAGTCGATTTTGTTATAATATTTATATAACTTAATTTTATAAATGGACCTATATTATACTAAAGAGAGATCTAATTGGAATTAGTGTGAGTTGTCAGCGATCGATACCGATTCTAGTGATAAAGAGGATAACACTTTTGAAATAGAGTAAAATAATTGTTTAAAAAAATTAAGTGTCAAGCCATAAAAAAAACACTTCATAACAATACAAGAAAAAAAGCAATATATAGAAGAGTATACAAAAAAGAAAAAAACTGAATTATGCAAGAATTTTGTAATGACTGGGAAATGCAAATTTGGGGATGAAGTATTCTTTTATTAAATTTAAAGTGCTCATTTGCACATGGAAATATTGAATTATAACCAAAAACACACTTGCATTCTAAATATAAAACTAAACCCTGCAAGAGATTTTTCTAATAAGGCTATTGTCCTTATGGTATTAGATGTTAATATATTCATGGCGAATTAATAAATAATACTGATTTTGATGGATTTTTATAAAATTCTTATAAAGAACTTGGTCTTAAAGCTCCAATTTCATCAAGTATTAATTTAAAAATTATTTATAGAATTTTTAAAAACTGAACAAAGAAATGATATTCAAAGATTTATCATAACAATGAATAATAAAAACATTGATCAAGAATTATTCATCTATAATAAATCTAGATTATCATTTTTTAAATAAATTACAGATCCTTAATTTAATTTCTTGTCAGATGATTCTCAAAAAAAGGTTTGAAATCTAAAGCAAGAAATTGTGATTATTGATTTATATTTATATTTAATTAAAATATTTAATGTCAGAATATGCTCTATTTATAACTGAAAATAAACTTAAATTACCTACTTTATAAAAAATAAATCCTGATTAAGCTAAAAATATGTAAGAACTTTGTAAAGAAATGGAAGATTTAATAGATTAAACAAACTCAAATGTCAATCAAATGTTATAATCTTAATAAAACAATATTCTAAATACTTTTAAATAAGTTTTAGAAACGATGAAAAAAGATATAGATCGTATTAATTAAAATTTTCTTTAATACATTGCATTTCATGAAAAAGAATAATAAGTAAATCAATCATAATTAAAAGCTTGAAAGGATCTTAATTCTCAAAATAAAACTGTGTTTTTTAGATAAGAATGTCATAGTTTAAATGAACAATGTAAATTATTGTAACAAAAAGTCAAAAAATTTGCATAAGAAAATTAATTTTTAGAAAATGTAATTTAATATATAATAGAATAAGGAATTAATGTTCACGAAAGAAGCATTATTAATACAAGTATAGAAAAATGAAAAACTCAAACAAACTCTATAAAGATTCAAAGAACAGCTTAATGAATATTAAGTTTTAAGAAACTAAAATATTAAATTATTGCCAACAGAACCAAAAAGTGGGTCAGACTTTTAATATTAAAAATTAACTAGTGTAAAAAGGGGTAAATTTGATTCTTCCCGTAAAAAGGATACATCATTTAACTCTATAGCTAATTCAGACACTAAATCAAAATTTATTTTATCATAATAAACAAGAGCATAAAGTTTATAAAAAAGTATTTTAACAAAAAAATCTGCAGTTTTTGATACAAGTATTTTAGAAAAACAATAAGACCAAATATTTGAATACTCCAGATATCAATCTTTAAAATAAGAAATTGAAAATATTTAATGATATCATTAGTATATTTTATTTTTTCCTTTTCTTAAAATTCAAAATAATCTTTTTTTCTACTCTTCTACATGAAATTGAATTAATCTTTCTGTAATTTCTTAATTAGTAAATTTTTTTTATGAAAAATATTAATTTTCTTCAAAATCATTTTTTTCTAATTTAGAAACCTCTTTTAAAAAATTTTATAAATCCTTATAAATAGTGAATTATATTTTTGTTTAATAAAGTTGTGAAATATACGAAGGATTCAAAACATCATTTTCTATAAGTACTTATTTATAGAAAACTTTATTAAAAGGACCTAATTGACTTATAAAGTATTAAGCCATTAGATATCCTAAAGTATTAAATTATTATTATTTTTAATTATCTTGCTAATTTATTTATTGATATCCATTATTTTATAATCCAACTGATATTGAAGTAAGAGACTACAAATTTTTATTATTAGGATTTATTAATGAAGAAAGAATTTGATTTAAATTCTTTATCATTTCAAAGTAATTCTTGTTATTCCAATTTCTTTTTTTATCATCAATAGATACTGGTTAGATATTTTATATTAAATCAATCATATCACTTGTGATACTTAAATTAGGATGACTTAAAGTTATTTATATAGAATCATTACACTTTTTAGATTGCTTTATTGAGAGAGAAAAATGTTTTTTCATTGGATGCATTGAATATTATAAACTTTCATCAGAATGTATTATTGATAGTAAAATTTTGATAAATTCCATTAAATTCATTATTATAGATATTAACTTATTTTTATCTGTTTTAATTGTTTCTTTTTTGATTGATAAATTTGTAATGTCAATCTTTCTTTATTTATATTTAATAAGTAAATTATCTGAAAGAGTTCTAAAAAATGTTTCTATCTAAATTTCTTAAAATTCATATTTAATTTATCTATGTGATATTTTAAATAGATTCAATAAATTATTATTAAGATTATATAAATAATAACTTAATTGTATTTATTTTTAAAGATTTTATTAAAATGTATTAAATTATTCTTATTTAAGTAAAGATAGTATATGTACTTAATTATGAATCTATTATGTGAGTTACATTTATTAAGTAATTAATAATAAACTAACTTTTGAATTATACTAAAATTAATTAAAATTAATACATATTATTAATTATCTCTTAATTCTATCTAATTAAGAAACTAATCATATTTTCCTTCTTTAATTTCTTCAAATAGCAGAATAACTAAAGGTTCCAATGCTTTAAAATAAACTAATGTAATTCTAAATCTCCATTATTTTGAGTTTTCTTCATTTTCTAAAACTCCAAAATATCTTTAAACAGAATGATCTTGACTTTTTGATTTTAGGATTTAAATTATTTCATGTTCAATTTTCATATTTTCAAATTCATAAATAGTTATTTTTCTTAAAAAATCTCTCAAAGCTTCATTATTTTTAAGATTAAATTTTTCTTTTAGATTTTTATTAATTTTTTCAATTTATACTTAAGCAGCTAATTTATTATATTTAAGAACAACTACCCATGATGGAAGAAGATCCTCTATCATATTTTCATATTATTCTCTTGAAAGTCCTGAAAGGAAATTCTTCCTACTAATTATTTCATATTGATAACGTAGCATAATTAAAATTAAAGTAATAAGACAATGAGAAATTATCGCAGATACATCATAATTACTTAAATTATATATACTTACTGCTTGAGTACAACAGAAAATAAACGATTGGATTAAAAACTAACTTCCCTATAAATAAATTACTAAACTTTATAGATATCTTACATAATTTAAGAGAGGACGAATGTTAACCATAATACCATAGGTAATCATTAAATCCAAGTAATCTCAAACTTTCACAAATTGTGGCCATGATAATCATATTCATAGTTATTAAAATTTCTTTATATTTCCAATATTTCTTCATGAAAAAAAATAATGCCAGTTCTAATGTTATTCCAACACCAGCAAATATTTAAGGTAACAAAACCTGTTACAAATTATATTTTATAATTATTAATCCTAGATATATACATAATATTCCATATGTATATTCACGTCGATATTTAACTCCACTTAATAGAGATTCTCTATATTTCTGCTCTATCTCTTGAGATGCAAATTATAAGCTATATTTTTTTATCATTATTATTCAATTAATTTTATATTTTTAAAATCAATTAAACTTTTTTTTTCAGTTTTTATATTTTGATACTATAAATATATTTTAAATAGTAAATAATAGAATATTAATTACATCATATATCAAAAAATGAGCATACTATTAATTAGATTTAATGAGAATTTTAATCCTTTAAGTCTAAGAATTCTTTATGAAATTCTTAAACAAAAATTTGAATTTCATACCAATATTATTTGAAAAACATTATTTCAAATTAAGCAAAAGTTTTGTTTTTTTTATTCATAAAATCAATGATTTATAAATTTAATTATTAAGAATAGAATTTAATTATTTTTATAAAAAAAGATGAACAAAAAAGTATAAAAGAATTTTCATATCCTTAAATTAATTTATAGAATTTTAATTTTAAAAGTATTCTAAAATTAAAGCATTGTAGTAAATAATTAATTATTAGATTCCCAGATTCTTTTACTAATATTAATTTGAATCTTTTTTCTCATATGAATAACATCATTAGAACTTATGAGACTTAAATAATTAATTATATGATTAATTCACCACCTACAAAATTATAGGCAAAGGATTCAGTTCTTTATTAATAAAAGAATAAAAACAGATACTACGATAATTTGGAAATTAATGTAGCTAAATATAATCATCAAAATAATTTATAGCTTACAGATTTTAAAGATCCAAAAGAGAATGAAATTTTGAAATTTTATCAATAGAATTATTCACTAAAAACAAACTATTAAATATTAAATTAAATTTTGTAACTAAGGATGTTTCTGTCAGAAATGATAATATTATCAATATTAAAATATCATCAAGCTATACATTGATAAAAAATATATTATATTTTTATATAGCTTAATAAAGTATTTTTATTTAAGATTTTAGAATATTCTACTAAATAATTATTAATTAAAAATAGCATAAGCATTCATATATATTTAAAAACATAATGGATGGTTCCAGTATATTTATTCCTAAAATTTATAAATAATAGTAAAACTGTAACATAATACAATACATATTAATAGGAGATTAAAATTTGTCTAAAATAAATAAATGCAATAAATAAAAAAAAAGAAAATACTATATGCAAAATAATTTTTATTCGAAAATTATTGGATTTATAGCAATATAGCCCAAGTTTATAGATTAAACATATATGATTCCTAATTTTATAATATTTAAATGGAAATAATTAAGAATTGTTAGAAATTTTTGTATTAAAATGTAAATAAATGATTTAAAAATTTAAGTAATAAGAAATAGCCAATTTAAATCGTTTTATTATAATAAATTTGTATCTATTTTTAAGTGATTGTTCGAATTTTTGATAAGTTTACAATAAAAACAATAATCAATATGTTATATTCTTTAGGATTCAAATAAAAATAAAATTAGAAAATAAATTTATGATGAATTTATGATGAATTTATTTTATCATAAATACTATTTATATATAAAAAGACCAAAAATAAAATTTTGATAAATAGAAATTCATTTTTTAACTGAGTTTTTATTATCATAGTATTTTTTATTTTTAGGCAAACTACCTAATAATTATGAAACTATGTCTTCTTAATTAGACTTAACAGGAGTTTATAATTAATTAAGTTTTGCAATAGATTGGAATTCAAATTGTGTATTACTATCTATTCTTCTAAGTTTTAACAATTGATCAGATTTCTTATTTATTATAGTATTGACACTATTACTATAATAAATAATATTGATTTCATACGTTAATTTAATTAATTTAGTACTATCTAACTTATCAGTAGTAGATTATGATTAATGTTCAGGAACATAAAAATTGTTACCATTTAATTTAACAGTTTTTTAATAGATGTCTTATATGCCTGTAGATGCAGATTTTAACTATGATCTTTAATGTGTTTTTATAGTTTCAATTAAGTTATTTTCTGAAGCATAATAATTCTTTAAGGAATTGATTTAATTGAAATTTTATTCTAAATTAAGTTCATAACGTTCTGTAATAGAGGTGGTTCCTTTTCTAAATGATTAAATTTCTTGTGGCTTAGGTTTATAATCACTTGATCTAAAATTTTATTGTTTCACTAAAAGTCTTTAATCAGATTTGACATTTGATTTTTAAAGAACTTTTTCAATAATTCTAGATGCTATTTGAGCCGCTTCCATTTCTATATTAAATTCAGAGTATTTATCATCTGAAGTTAAACAACTATTTATTTACATAAATCTAATGAAAGTCTTATTCAATATAAAACTTTAATTTTATTATAATCTATATTAGAATTATAAAAACTAAGGGTATCAAAAATATTTAATTTTATTTAATTTTTTAACTTTTCTGATAAATTTATTAATATATATTATTATATCATCATTCTAATTTGAATTTAAAATTTTTTATTTAAGCTTTTTGTCAATAAACCCAGAAAATTAATTCCTTATAAATTATTTGATATTTCAATATCTTAATTCTTATGTAATATTTAAATTATTTTATTTTTACTTTATAAATTCCTTAAAAATTTATCTTAAACTTATTATTTAATCTTAAAACAAAATGTATTTAATGAAAATAAAAATTGGGAATTTAAAATTTTATAAAACTTTAATTTAAAGATAAAACAGTTATTTTGTCTATTTATTTTATTAATATGAATTCTTATTTTAAGAAATTCATAAGTAGAGAGAGTAAAATATATATTAAGATTTTGAATTAAATTATCATTTAATCTAATTTAGATATTATATTTATATCATTCTTATTATTCTTAATCATCTTCTTTTTTTTATGGATCTGAATCTTATTTAGGTTCAGTATCTAAATTTTGAATAATAGCAGCATCTTTTTCTGGAGTAGGTAACCATCTTGGAATATCAGCACTTTTATTTGTCTTTAAATTATTAGAATTTTCTTCTTCTTCTTTAATCATCTAATTAAATTCATCATGAGGTAAATTTTTTGCTTTTTCCAATTTTACTGCTAATTTCTTTTATACTTCTTATGATCTCATTAATTTCTACATCATATAAGATTCTTCCATTTCCATCTTTTCTTAAAATGCCTTATTTTGTTCACAAGCTTTTTTATTTTCTACTTTTGCTCTATTTTATTATTATTTATAAATACTTTTCATTTTCTTTTTATATATGAGATAATTTTTCATTCCAATAAAGAGATATATTAGATTTAGATTTCATCATAATTTCTTTAATGTGTTCTCTTTTTTCTCTATTTTTAGCAACAAAATCTTATTTTTATTTACTTATCACTTCAGCATTTTTTAAAGATAACTCTCTAATGTATAATTTTACATTTTTACTTAATTTTCTTATATTCTTCTAATTTAATTTATTCCATAGCTTTTTTAATCATTTCTAATTATTCTTCTTATTGTTTTTTTTAATCATAATTTTATTACTACTTATCCTTTAATTATGCTTCATCATTTTTTTGATTTAGTTTTTTCTAATATAAAGTGATAAATATAATTACTTATTCTATCTATTAATGATGATTCATTTTTAATTCAATCATAGATTAAGTTTTCTTTTTAGTTTCATCAATTCTCTTTGATAACTGTGCATCTCCTCTCTTTAATAATTTAAGACGATTCTTCATTAATTGAATGTCCTTCTCAGTCTCTTATCTTAATTTTCTAGTATGCCAAACAGTTTCTTCATTTTCTCTTTAAAATGACTAAGGAGAGGTTTTCATATTTTTATTTATTTAATGAATTCAGATTTTATATGTTTTAGAAAGCATTTATTCAAAGATTCTATATATCAAATAGACATACAAAATGAATAACTTAGATTAACTGATATTGTATAAAATAATCATACATAATTTAGACTTCTGGAAAACCTAAATATATAATTCAACTAGATTGGTCTGTTGAAATTAGTTGGAATATAACAAATTAAGAATAAGCTTTTGGATTGAAAGTAAATTAAAAGTTTAAATGGTTTTATGCTAAATCTCAAACAATTTAAAATATGAAAAAGTAATTGTAAAAACATGTGACATCTACAGATTTTAATTTATTTTATACATTAACAACTCATTAATCTAAAGGATAGAACTTAAATGAATATGAAGTGTTATATAAAACTGATAATACAGTTGATTTGGTAGCTAAATGCATATAGAAGGATTAATTAGATGATTAAAATATAATATTTGGGGAACTTAATATTCTAAAACTGTTAAATCATCCAAGTCTACCTGTTTTTGAGGAATTCTTTTTTACATAAGGAACATACTATATCATAATGGAAAAAATATAAGGAGAAAAATTAAGTACAATTTTAAACACTTCTAAAATTTCATTAAATCTTCGTTTAATTTAATCAATAATTTTAGAATGTTTATAGGTATTACAATATCTTGAATCAATTCAAGTATTGCATAGAGACATCTCTCCTGATAATATAATATATGATTAATAAAACAAAAAGAAGACTGTTAAATTAATAAATTTTAGTAACTCAGTAAAATTTGGCACTGGTCTTAAAATATGTGGCACTCCAGGTTATATAGCACCAGAGATTTTATTAGAATAATAATACGGATATGAATGTGATATGTTTTCTTTAGGTTGCGTATTCTATAAATTGTATGATGATAAATAATAATATTAGATTAGTCAAGAAAGATTTATTTAATGGAAATACTTTAGCTGAAATATTATAGGAGAATAAAAAATGTATTTTAAATTTAAAAAATTTACAATTATTCCGAATTCCTAATAGTGCTTAAGATTTATTGATACGAATGCTTGAAGCAAATCCTAAATAAAGAATATCAGTTTTTTAAGCTTTGAAACATCCATTTATTAATGATTCATTAAAATTGAGTATTTCAAATTAAAATAGTTAAAGAAATTTTAATCAAAATAGATCTGAAAGAAATATTATAAAAAAAGATTTATTGAGTTTTCATTCAGAAAAATAAAAATTTGTAGATGAACTTGAAGAAGATTATTTTTAAAATGAATTACCTCCTATGTGTGAGATTCCAGTAATGAATTCAGTAAAAGGAGGTTAAAGAATAAATTTTGATAGCATAGATGATAATGATACAAAATTTAGAAGTGTTATTTCAAAATCAACTGGTTGATTATTTATTAATATATGTATTTTATAATACTCATATTATTGCTATTTTTGATTTTGTATTACTTATTAACTTGTAGATGTTAATTAGATTATGTTACCAATAATTTCAATAATACAATCATAAATAGATGTAATATAATAAAGAGAGTAAGTTTATGAATTTAATGAATTTAGAAAATGTTTTATTATACTCCATATTTATTTGCAGGATTATTATAGGCATTTATTGCTTCAAAAGTATAAGATGTAGATCCTAAATTAAAATTTGTGAGAGAATATATAGATTTTGGATAAGAATTTGGATGTTTTGCATTAGATTGGGGAAGTTATGAAGGTAAAATAAGTGAAAAAGAAGCAACAAATACAGCAGGTAAGCCATTAGTAGTTGTTTTAAGTGGTTTGACTGCATCAAGAGTTGAGCCATATATCAAAAATTTTTTCTCAAAATTTTGTTAAAATTAATCTGATTGGAGAATTGTATTATATAATGATAGACTATTTAATAATAGAATCTATTAGGATCCATAAAGATAGATTCTCCCATAAATAGGAAATTTTCATCATGTAGAGGATTTTAGAAGAGTTTTGTAATACATTGCAAAATAACATAATAAAAGCATAATATATGCTATAGGACATAGTTTTGGTTCCAACACTCTTCTAAAATATTTAGGAATGTGTGGAAGTAATGGAACTGATCCATTAATTAAAGTTGCTGTAAGTGTAGGAAATCCTTATGATTTTTAATTGGGTATGAGATACTTAGAAGATAGTTTATCTGATTCATATATAAGAAAGCATAGATAAAGAATAGCATAGGAGTAATAATATTAATTTATTAGAAAGAAAGATTGATTAATATTTACCTATACCTAAACATATAGATTTAGACATGAATAAAGTATAATAAGCTAAGACATCTTTAGAATTTGATACCTATTTTACTAAACCAATATTTGGTGCACCTTCTGTTGATTTCCATTATTTATCAATCCAATGTGCTAATTATATGGAATTCATTAAAATCCCTGTATTTTTATTAGGTTCTTTTGATGATCCAGTAATTAATAATAAAGCTGTCTACCCAAGAGATGCTATATTAAAAAATCCTAATCTAATTTCTTTAATGACATAAGTCGGAGGACATATATCTTGGTTTGAAGGAGTACTGCATCCAAAAAGATGGTACTATAAACCTGTTTTATAATATTTGAATGCGATTCATTAATTGCTTTGACATTTATATATATTTTATCAAAATTTAATCATTTCTAACTCTTCAGACATTTCAAACAATTCATAGAATAATTTGTTGGATACATTACAATAAATATTTCTAGACATTTCATGCAATATCTATAACTAGGCACTTGAATTCTTGCTGGATGAGCAATACTTCCATGACATAATGAACATGGATAAGCCTTGTTACAACATCCAAATATTGGAATTGTATTACATGAAACTCTATGATTACAGTCTTCAGTATAAATTTTGTAAGGAAAAGTTAAAAGCTTTTATTCTCTTTATTTCTCACCTTATTTTATTTCTGTTTATAATTTTTTTAAATCTTAATTCTATTTCAACTTCTCTACTACTTTTACTACATCTATCTTTTAATTTTAGTCAAAATTTTTAAGTTTTTTTATTTATTTCTATTCTTCTTACTACTCTTCTTCTTAAATAACTGTTAATTATGTAAAATAGGGTTATCTCATTTCATTTACTTTTTTAACTTTCTATTCAAAAAACCTTAACTTAAACTCAAGATATTCTTTACTTTATGGTTCTAAAAATGTCAGTTTATTATTCTCATCCAAAATATTACTCAAATCTAATTCTAATTATTTTTTATACTCATTCCAAGATTTTTCAACTTTATTTATTTTATTATTTAATTAAATATTTGTTTCTTTTTTTATTTACTCCAATTCTTATAAATGTTTACCTTTTATAAAATCTAAACTTTCCTTTAATTCATCTTATGACATTTCAAATATATTTTTAGAACCCAAATTAATTATTCTATTTATTAATTCAGTTTCTAATGAATTCCATTCTAATTATTAATTTATTGATTGCAAAACATTTTTTTCTATAAACAATAAACGATCTATTAAATATTGTTTAAGCTAATCAAAATAAAATTTAATTTCTTATGTTTTTTAAGGAGGTTTTATAATTGTTTCACTCAGGTTTATAAACTATATAATTTAGTATAATTATACTTGCTTTTTTTTATCATCAAATAATTTACAGAAATTTTAAATTTCCATAATTTAAGAAGAATGATCATTATGTTATTCAATTAAACAATATGAACAACCTATTCTACTATCAGCTTTACATTCTTAAAATTAACAAAAGTATAACATTTTATTATTTTCATGATTTCTTTTTGGACATACAGCCTCCATATTTAAACCCATAACTTTAATAATAGAGCGTTCATGCATATTTTACATTTTTAATTTTGATAAGATCTGCATAGGTTTTTTAGAATCGCTTTAATTTTAAGTCTTTGCTGAATATGTGATTTTAGAGCTTGGATTAGAAATAAACAGTTAACCTAAGTGATTAATTTTATGCTTAAGGACTTGGTGAGCTACGAAATGATTATTACGTTTTTAGTAATTCATTGTTTATTTGACTTGATGTCAATTATTCATCAGTTTTTGGATTGAGTAAAGGACTTGTTGGTGTTTTATTTGACCTTCGAACTGAAGGCTCTGTTTTCGAATGTTAAAATGATTATTTTTTCATATTATTATATTATTTTATTGTAAAAATTGCATAATTGTAAGTAAGTTATCAAAGAGAATTTATATTTGAAAAATAATATTAGAAATAAAATTCATCATAGTTCAATAATAAGGTTTTCTTTAAGAAAGCGATTTCTTACCAAGAGCCCAGCCTTAATTTGTTTTAAAATTAGAAATGTAATACTTCCCTTTTGAATTAATACTTCCTGGTAATTCATAATCACCAGGACCAGGGGTAATAATTGACTTTTTAATGAATTCACAGTACTTATTTAGCATTACTGTTTTTCAAAGGACTAAAAAGAGTTGCACAAGCATTTTTAAATTTGGAATTAGTATAATAACCATATTTATCTAATCCTTTAATTTCATAAGTACCCAAAGGTGGGGCCTCAAATTTATGAACTATTAAAATTAATGATAAATAACCTTTTTGATTGAATCTAACACCCATACTATAACTGATTGCTTCTGGTTATTAAGTAGAATAATGACCAGGCCCAGGTGTTTCTAATTATTTCTCTAAAGGCTAGAATGTATAATATATATAAAGTTACATATCTCCCTAAACCAAAAGTATATCCTTTGCTTTTCAAATGTGAGAATCTAAGAATTCTAGCTTTTTTATGAAGTTCTTATTGTTTACGTTCATTAAAAAATTCAAGTTTCTAATCAATGTTTTCTGGGATTCCTTGTAATTATTAATTCATTATAATGAAATAATTAATAAATAATAAAAAATGGTATTGAATGAAAATTAATAAATTATTTTCACATATCAGCTGGTTTAGATTTATATAGTACTGCAACAAATACCCATGTTGATAAAACATAATGAGGATATGGAAAACATCTAGTAATACAAAGGAATTCAATGTCATCACTCATAATATCTGCAATACCAGTAGCTTTAATTTCATCCCATGCTCTATCATAATCAACAAATGAGAAATTAAGAGGAAATCCATACATATCTTTACCACCTCTCACATATTTTTCCTATAAAATTATAAAATTCAATCAATACTTATTATCTAATAAGCTATTCCTATAATTTCTTTAAATGATCTAAAGATTTTTAATATGTCCATTATTAATTATTATCATTATTCAATGGTTCTTATTCTTCTTAATTTTAAGGTTACTATTATTACTATTATTACTATTATTATTATTCATTATTTCTTTAAGCTCCATATTCTCTCTAAAATAATAATAAATAATGATACTGCAAGTCCTGTTGTTCTGATTCTAAATTTAAAAGATTCCAAATCAAATAATACTCTATCTCTAATAAATTCTGTTAATTAAGCATATCTTTAATTATTAAAAGTAGTTGTAAAATGTGCTTTTTTCTATCCTAAATCTTCAAATCTATAATCTTTGATTTTGTTTTTCAAAAACTTATCTAATTCATCTTAAACAAGTATTGATCTCTCTACGCTAGGTACATCAAATACAAGTTCATTTGATATTGGTAAAATACCTTTTGGAAAAAATGCTTTTATTTAATCCTTATTTAAAAGTGGTTCCCAAAATTAAATATCTTCAACATTAAAATTCATTTCACTTGGAGTTTCTGTATTTTGAATATTAATATAGATATTTTAATTATCAAATATGCATCCAATATTTGTTAATGGACAAGCATCATCATCGATATCATTTAAATTTTTATATCCTTTTGAAACTGTGAAACAAAATAAAGTTTTTACATATTCTTAATTTTGAAACACAAACACCTCTCCAGTTTATGGATTCCATAATTCTATATAATTAGATTTTGTAAATCTTCTCATTACATATTATGTTTTTCCTTCTGGTAATCCTCTTCCCATTACCACATAATTCTTTATATCATCTCTTTTAAGAATCTTCTCATCAATATACATAAAGAAATTACACAATAAAAGTGCATGCTCTTCAAAATCTCCAGCTCTTAAATCTATGAATTCTTAGCTATTACAATATATATCAGGTAAATCTCTAAATACTTCTGTATCATTTCTAAATGGAATCAAAGAAACATATCTAGCTGCTTTCTCTATTGAATTTGCTGTAAAATCAATTTCAGGTGGTTTTAATGGAGTTAAAAATCTAGGTAAAAATACTGATTCTCCTTTTAAATTTTCAGCCCAAAATTTTATATAACGATCTTTATATCTTTCTCTATATCTATTTAATTATCTTATTCCGTACAAAAATAGATTTGTACTTTCAGCCCCTGGAAAATATGTAGTAGCACTTAAATCTTCATTTACTTTTATTGAAGGCTCTAAAGTCATTGTTAATTCTACTGTTGTTGGAATATGAGGATCTATAATATCGAAATTATTATGTAAATCTAAATATACTTTAATTCTAAATACTCTGTAATTCATTTTATTATGATGTCTAATTTCTTTAGTCCATCAAAAAATTTTCTACATTCAAAGTTCGATAGTTCAATAAAAATAACGGTCTATTGATCCTAAATCTACCACTCATTTTTTCTTATTAAAACAGATTTAACAATGGTATGGTCACTGATCCTATGTATCTTCTTGTAATTGTAAGTGTATGTTCTTAGGTATTCATACCTTTCTATTTAAACCAACCAATTTAATCAAATAATGTGAAAGTGATCTTGTTTCTAGAATTAATCAAATCTTCTGGATCAAATTATTATTATTTAAATTCTCTTCCAATTCTAAAATCAATAAGTTCATTCCATTCTGGATTCACTCCTTCAACTTCTGAAGTGAGCTAATCATCTTTTTTTCCAATGATTATTCTCTCAACATCAGCTTCGTATTCTTCATCTTCCTACTAACCAAAAGCTTATAATTAACCTGGCAATTAAGGTTTCTGTTTTTTTTTGAGAACATCAACATTTCTAATAATTCTAACATTGTCTGATTATATGTCTAATGTTACTTAAATAATAGGACTAACTTTTTTGATTTTTCCTAATAATTCTATTGTTTCTTTAACTGAATTGTATTGATTTAATTTTTATTTTACTTCTAAAAGTTTACTGACATCAGATGATCTAATAGGAACATTATTACCTTAAATAATTAAAGCACTGATTTAAACTTCAGATAATTAAGTTGGATTTTTTTTATCTAAATTTGTTCTTTTTTAAGGTCCCAACCTTCTTCTTTTAGTAAAAATAGATTTAATACATTCTGCTAAGAGAGATGCAGCTGCTTCAAAATGAAATTCATTAACTACATTTTCAATAGAGATTAAACCACTTTAGTTTTTAGCCCTTTTTAATTTGGCTTCTATTTTTCTTGCTTAAAGTATTTTTTAGATTGCTAATAATCTTTACTTAGTGGCTTCATCGTTAATATAATCTCCTAAAATTTAAAATTGATCTTCTTTGTTTTAATTTCTCAATTCTTTTTCATAATCCATTTAATCCTCATCTTCTCCTAGAAATTATGTTAATTCTCCATCTCTTTCAATTTATTATTCCAATAAAGGAATTTTATGTTTGCTCAATTAAGGTTAAATAAATTTAAGTTTGAGTAATTATTATCTTTTACTTTTGATATGAGAATATGGAACAACACATTCTCCTGAAATTACTTCTGTTTATTTATCTTATTTTTTTGTTAATTTTTCATACAATTCTTCGTTTCTAGGATCATTAATATCAAAATATTTTTCATCAATAATCATCTTTTCTATATCATCAGCATCCCCTAATTCATCTTCATATTTAGTCTCCAATTAATGATATTACATATCTAAACTTTCAGGTGGCATTTTTGGACCAAAATCAGGCCATTCTGTTCTAAAAGAAATAAATCCCTCAAATTCTTCTTCTGTTGATTTATAATTTAAAGCTTTATTATTTTAACTTAATAAATCTTAATAACGAGTTTCTCTAATTGTTTTTCTTCCTTATGCAAAATATGCTTCTTTTAATACAAATCCAGTACTAGTAATCGCATAAGATTTCTCACCTGGTAATTCTATTTCAATTTCATCAATTAACTTATTTATTAATTAAACTTTCCATATTCTTAATTTAACACTTGTTGGCTTTGTAAAAACATAAACCTATAATTTCTCCATAAATCTAGCTTCAAATGATGGCCAATCTAAATTCACTTTCCTAGTCTAAGCAACTACTTAATTATTTATCACAATCTCTAATTATACTCTAAAATTTCTTATTGTCTCTCTTCTTGCCTCTTCTGCCTTACTAATTATCTAATCCTTATTACTCTCTTTATTTATTTCTATTTGTTATAAAATAAAATCCACCTCTTTTGTATTGTCTGTTGATGTATAAAATCTAACTCCTAATTTATATGGAGATGATGTTGCTCCTACTGTTTTTCTCTCTTCTTTTATTGTATCCCATTTTGCATATATTTATTCCATTAATTTCTATAAAGTATCAATCTCCTTTCTTTACTCTTCTCTTAATCTTTCCTTCTCTAATTAAATCATTTCCATCTCCATTTTTGTATCATCAGGTCTACTTTACAGTTCTGTTGTTTCTTTTTCTAAAATATTTAAAGTCTTCTAATAATGAGGAATTAATGCCAAATCTGCTCTCTTTCTATATTTCTTTATCAGATATTTCAAATCTGACACATACTAATCCTCTCTTGAAAATTGAGGATGATAAGAAAATTATAATACTCCTATAAATATATCCAATCTAAATGGTAATTATTTATTTTGGTTCTCTCTTGCACATCTTGAAGCAGGTCTTTAATGTGTTTATAATGCCACATTCTCATCAAAATCTATAAGAAATAATCTTTAGATCTTTTCCTCAAAAAATTCTCTATCTGCAACCAAATTTCCATCATCATCAAAAAAGTAAAATTTTTATTCTTATATTAACTATTTTTCTAATCTTCTTTTATTCCACTCTTATAATCCCATCTCTTCACCTGCCTTAAATACACCATCCATTAAATACAAATTCAAATTCTCCAATCTTTACTTTCTTTGTTCTTCCCCTTCATCTTAAACTTCCTTTTCATTAGCTCTCTTAGCTTCATGCACAGCCTTTTTATCCACTATAGGTTTTCCACAATTCAGCCATTCCTTCTCATCTAAGATAGATTCCTAATTTCAATTTTTAATTTTTACAAATAATCCCTAATTATGGGCTTCTGTCATCCTATCAACTTCTGCAAAGTAATTACTCCTTAATACTTTCAATAATCCTATTTTGAATTGAGAATCACTTCCTTTGCTATTAGGTGGCGGAGAATTCATTTAATTATTATTATTTTATCAAAATAAATAACACTATATTAATATGCTTTATCACACTATATTCAATTAAAATCTCTTAATCTTCTTCCTTTGTTTTTCAGAAATAGAATTGATAAAAAAACTCAATCAATTTTTTCTACTTATTATCGTAATGTTTAAATTTATCATATACTTAATAACTCAACTTATTAACAAAGTTGTCTATATCGTTGATAAATTTGCACTAATGTTTTTAATTATAGTAATAATTTTTTTTACACATGTTAACGGTTAGAATTTCACTAAACACAGATGTAAACTCTGTTCGACTAAGTTGATATAATAGCTAAGAATTTTTTTTATTTTTAGTTAATCAAATAATTATTTTTTACTAAATAAGCATTAACCTTTAGATGTTAGGAAAAACCTTATCTTAGCAACCATTACAAATTTCTTTTTAGCCTTCCAAATAATTTGAGAATAGAACCTACAAATTAAAATATTTCTTTGATATGATCATCTAATATTGCTAATTATAAGAAAACTAATAAATGTTGATTACAAACAGTACTAATAAGTATTATTTTATAAAGATTATTAAAAGTTAAATGATTTGTCTTTCAAATCCAAAATGAATGTCAGATTTGAATATTATTTATATAAATTTGATTATTTATTTAAATGATTTACTTCAAAAATCAATGATGATGATGATGATGATGGCCATGTTTCTTCACAATCACAACATTTGGGCCGTGGTTGTGATGATGATTATTATTATTAGCTAATGCAGCTCCAATCAAAGCACCTCCTATAAGTGCTCCTGCAACTGCAGCACCACCACCACTTTTTTAAGGTTAAGGGGGTGGAGGAGCTTGTTTCTCGATGATGACCGTTGTATTTTAAGGTGGTGGATAACCTGGTGGAGGATATTATCCAGGAGGCGGGTATTATCCAGGTGGTGGGTATTAGCCAGGAGGCGGATATTATCCAGGTGGTGGATATTATTATGGAGGAGGAAATTATTATCCAGGTGGTGGATATTATTATCCAGGTGGTGGATATTATTATCCAGGTGGAGGATATTATTATCCAGGTGGAGGATATTATTAATTCTGAGGAGGATATGAAATAGGTGGAGGAGGTTAAGTAGTTTGGGTAACTACAACATTTATATTATCTTACTATTAGCTTAAACCCTAATTGCATTAAAATTAAGTGTTACTAATTTTCTTATTTAATCTATAGTAAGTGGGACTACTCTAAAAGCGATAAAATCTAAAAATTTATCATAAGACCCTCTTGCTGAAGTAAATGTATGAAGTGGAAAGTGATGAGAAAACGATAGTCCTTTTGCGATTCCACATCTATGACTTACTCCTTTATATGTTGTAAATCCAAATTAATTTATTTCAGTTCCAANTACTTAATAACTCAACTTATTAACAAAGTTGTCTATATCGTTGATAAATTTGCACTAATGTTTTTAATTATAGTAATAATTTTTTTTACACATGTTAACGGTTAGAATTTCACTAAACACAGATGTAAACTCTGTTCGACTAAGTTGATATAATAGCTAAGAATTTTTTTTATTTTTAGTTAATCAAATAATTATTTTTTACTAAATAAGCATTAACCTTTAGATGTTAGGAAAAACCTTATCTTAGCAACCATTACAAATTTCTTTTTAGCCTTCCAAATAATTTGAGAATAGAACCTACAAATTAAAATATTTCTTTGATATGATCATCTAATATTGCTAATTATAAGAAAACTAATAAATGTTGATTACAAACAGTACTAATAAGTATTATTTTATAAAGATTATTAAAAGTTAAATGATTTGTCTTTCAAATCCAAAATGAATGTCAGATTTGAATATTATTTATATAAATTTGATTATTTATTTAAATGATTTACTTCAAAAATCAATGATGATGATGATGATGATGGCCATGTTTCTTCACAATCACAACATTTGGGCCGTGGTTGTGATGATGATTATTATTATTAGCTAATGCAGCTCCAATCAAAGCACCTCCTATAAGTGCTCCTGCAACTGCAGCACCACCACCACTTTTTTAAGGTTAAGGGGGTGGAGGAGCTTGTTTCTCGATGATGACCGTTGTATTTTAAGGTGGTGGATAACCTGGTGGAGGATATTATCCAGGAGGCGGGTATTATCCAGGTGGTGGGTATTAGCCAGGAGGCGGATATTATCCAGGTGGTGGATATTATTATGGAGGAGGAAATTATTATCCAGGTGGTGGATATTATTATCCAGGTGGTGGATATTATTATCCAGGTGGAGGATATTATTATCCAGGTGGAGGATATTATTAATTCTGAGGAGGATATGAAATAGGTGGAGGAGGTTAAGTAGTTTGGGTAACTACAACATTTATATTATCTTACTATTAGCTTAAACCCTAATTGCATTAAAATTAAGTGTTACTAATTTTCTTATTTAATCTATAGTAAGTGGGACTACTCTAAAAGCGATAAAATCTAAAAATTTATCATAAGACCCTCTTGCTGAAGTAAATGTATGAAGTGGAAAGTGATGAGAAAACGATAGTCCTTTTGCGATTCCACATCTATGACTTACTCCTTTATATGTTGTAAATCCAAATTAATTTATTTCAGTTCCAACAAATCCATGAATTTCCTTTATGAAATCATCTAATAATATATAAATCTATTTACCATCTGCTATATTGTATTTTTCTTTCTTTGTTCCAGAAAGTAAACCACCAAGCAATTTGAATTTCATAGAACAAGTTCCTTTTACTTATTTTCCATCGATTCCTTTGTATGTTAACTTTACACCTGTCACATGTTCTCTGTTATATTAAATCTTGATCATGCTTATTTTCACTGGGTTTTGCAGCTTTTACGTTTCATAAATATCATCAAAATGTTTATGATTAGCTCTTTCAATACCAATGACAACATCAGGAATATGAAGCATTATAAATTAATTAAAATGATTTTATTTTTTTCTATAAATATTAATCACATTTTATTCCTTAAATCTAACAATATATTAATATAGAATATTTATCAAATCAATATCAAAGAGGACGAATACATTAAAAGCACTATTTTATAAATTTATAAATCATCCATAAAAATTATATTATTTCGCAATTTTAGTAATTTCTAAATGGGAAATTGTGTTTTTAAGTTCTAAGTAGATAATTAAGGTAAAGCAATCAAATAATTTTAGCTTAGAATATTATTTAATAAGAGAATCAAATTATTGATTAAGCAATTTCAGAACCTAATGGGTCTCAAAAAACTCCTATTTAACAAAAAATAATTTACAAATCAACTAGTGGTCTCATTCAAGAAAGCTCTGAAAGTTAAACTCCAATTGTTTTTAATTCTTAAAGTTCTAATCGTTTAATAAAATATTAAAAAGACTTATAAGTCTCTCCAGATTTATTTGTTAGAAAGTAGAAAGAAGGTGAGAAATTTTTATTTCACTATGAAATATTAAAGAAACTAGGTTAAGGAGGATTTGGCTAGGTTTATTAAGTTCGACATCTTAAAACAAATTTAATAAGAGCAGTAAAGATTATTAGTAGATCCTCAGTTGAGAGTGAAACACTATTATTATAAGAAACTGAAATACTAAAAAACTTAGATCATCCAAATATAGTGAAAATTCTAGAAATTTTCAAAGATAACCAACATTTATATTTAATAACAGAATGCTTAGATGGTGGAGAATTAATAGATAGAGTTAAGAAAATTACAAATTATTCTGAAGAAATAGCTAAAATTTATATGAAACAAATTTTGTCTGCTATGATATATTGCCATGAGAGAAAAATAGTACATAGAGATCTTAAAGTATTTAAATTTTGATATTTTGCAAGCCTGAAAATATTTTATTTGATACCTTAGATATTAACTCAAATTTAAGAGTTATTGACTTTGGAGCAAGCGAAAAAATGATGTCGAAAAAACTTACTACTAAAATTGGCACTCCTTATTTCTTAGCTCCTGAGATTCTAAAATCTAATGGTTATGATGAAAAAGTTGATGTGTGGTCATGTGGTGTGATACTATATATTTTATTAATTGGAAAAGCTCCTTTTAGAGGCAAAAATTAATTTGAGACTTTGCAGCTAGTCCAATAAGCTAAAATTGATTTTAATGGTACTATATGAATAAACCACTAAAAGCGTAAATTTGGAAGAATATAAGTCCAGATGCTGTAGAATTAATTAAGCTTATGATTGAAAAAGATCCTAAGAAAAGAATATCTATGAAGGATGCAATTAATCATGAATGGATATAAAATTAATCAGTAATAACTATAACTTTTGATGAAGAATTTTTTAGAAATATCACTTAATTTAAAGGGTATAATAATTTAAGAGTTGCTATATATTAATTCATTACAGTTTAAACTGTTTAAAAAGAAGTATATTAAAAATGTATAGAGACTTTTAAAAGTCTAGATAAAAATGGAGATGGTGTATTATGTGAAGAAGAGATACTTTAAGGAATGGCTATGGTTAATATTAGTTTAATATAATCTTAATCTATGATAAAAGAAATTATGAGCTAAATGGACACTAATGCATCTGGTAAAATTGATTTTACTGAATTTATTACTGCATCTGTATTATAAGAGAAACGATTATTGAAAGATCATTTACGAGCAGCCTTTTAGCTTTTCGATATCGATGGAAATGGTACCATTTCTAGATCAGAAATACAGGAAATATTCGGAGGAATTCAAATTGATAATAATGCTTGGTAAGAAATATTAATATCCTGTGATGACAATAAGGATGGATTAATTGAAGAGAACGAATTTATTGCATTATTAGAAAATTTATAATGATATATATTTAATTGATTTTTAATTTGAATTTATTGAATTATTAATGATCATCTCCTTTTTTAAGGTTGTTTTGGAGGAATCTTTGCTTTTTAAGCACAAAATGGTATGTGTCTTTCAGCTGCTTACTAATTAAAGCTTCTTCCACAATAATTGCATTAAGTTAAGTTAGATTTACTTGCCTCTTGCATTGCATTCTAAATTATCATTAAATATTAACTTTTTAATCATTTGTCAACTTTCCACCTTTTGCAGCAATAATGGCAGCTCTAAAGGCTTCCGACTGCTTCTTCCAATCTTGTTTTTTAGCTAATATAATTGAAAGACGAATACCTAAAGCTTTTTCATATTTTTAATCTATTTTATCTAAATTTTTAATGTGATTTACTTACTCATTACTAATTATTCTATGTTTCTGAGCATCAAATTATTTTCTTTATTTTTGAAAAACTTTCACACAAATTTTTTCATGTTTTTATAAAGCTTATTTAGAAAAGGTTCTCCCACATCCTTTTGAACATTCATACAAAGGTTCTGGATTTTAAATTTTTATATTAGGTTAGTTGTCGCCCTTTTTAATTGGGATATCATCAATAGGATTGTGGTATTATTATGGAGGTTAATAAGAGGATTTTTCATTATTAACATTATTTTATTATTTGATATTAGTAGATTACTTATTTTATTGAACAGGAGGTTTTATTGATTAATTTGAAGGCTTATTATATCCACTTGATTAACCTTAGGTTCCTGATGGCGGTCTGTATTACTATTGTTTTTAAACCGATGTAGGTTATTTAGAATTATATTGCTATTATTATTATTTTGGTTATCCATATTATTGATTTTAATAATCGTAGTCATCCTCAATTTTGCCATATTATTATCTACTAATTTATGCTTAATTCATTTAAGGTTTAGGTTATATGCCTTATTAAATTTTTCTTGATCCCTCCTAGCTAGGGGGTTTATTGTTTGTAAATTATGAGGTTTAATTATAGCCATACTTATCATAAGAAGGTTAGGGTTATTATTTTCCTAAAGAAGATTACCTGTTAGGCTAACCATTTTGAAAAACAATATCATTCATTTAAAATTACTACTAACCAAATTATTGTTATCTTGCATTATTATTACCCAAATCAGCTTAATAATATTACTTTTAAGAATTTTAGCTTGGTGGCTTTTCATAATCTTTGGATACTTTATATAAGTACCATAATTTGTTTTAGTACCTAAAGCCATTTCTCCAGTAGCAGCCAATTTTCGTTCTGCTCTCATCTAGGCGGCTTTTTCCATTTGCTCCTTTTTTTTCAATGCCCACTGATTAGCTTATTGAGAAGCATTAGAAGTTGGTTTCATGAATTTTCTTTTATTATTTTTTAATAATTTTTAACCGATAATGAGTGGATCAATTTCATCTTCTGATTCTGAGGAAACATCTTTTGTGTTAACTGAATAAGAAAGAATTTTAAAGAGTTCAAACATATTCAAATAAAAAGAACAAAGTAATAACAAATGTGCCAAACATCCAAATAAAAAAGTAAATGTTATAAATTAACATAGGCAAAATATTATGTATAATGTGATAAAAGTAAATAATTTTGTTCAAAATGTGCCCTAAATTTAGCACTAAAAGGTTTGAAAATAGAGGAAAAGTAGGAGAATCAACATGAAATTCAAAGATAGTAACGAATACATCGATTTTAAGAACTATTGTTATAAATAAAAAAATAATGCACAAATAAATCTTTGGAGTTTAATAACATAGAGGAAATATCTAGTAAGCAACTTTTGGAACATTAAGAGAATTGTTCATAATTCTTTGATTCTGTTATTTAGACTGCAAATTAATTAAAGTAAACTTATTTATAAAAATTCTAAAACGATCATCAGCTGTTATTAAAATCAATTCAAACTAAAAATATTTAAATTAAGCAAATAGATGCCTAATTAAAATAATTTTAAATTGACATTGAAAAAAATCATGAAAATATAGTAAAAAAAATGGATATGAAACCTTTTGAAGACATTATGAGTCGTTATGAAAAGAGAGTTTTACAAACAAAAGAATAATTATAAGAATGTAATTAAGAATTTTAAGTAAAACCAATTAAATTTGAGCAAAGTTAAATTTTGGCTGATATGAATAAAATGTGTTATAATTTGCTATTATTAAAAAGCGATGATTCATCAACATCTGATTCTGTGTAAATAAAATTGGAAAATAGTCCAAAGATTAGATAGAATACAAATAATTCTCCTGTAGATATGAAAGTGTTTGAGATTTTAGAAGCAGAAGATATATATTAGAGTACATATTCAAATCCAATAAAAGATCATACATAATCTCCAATTACAATTCATTAATAGCAATAACAATAAATTTAAAAATCTAGAACAAATGCTTATTCAAATCCTACTTCAACTATATAAAACTCAAGAAGAGAAAGTCGAACAAATACACCTGAAAGTTGGTAATAAAAAACATTTATTCAAAAAAACAATCCAATTATAACACCAAATGAAAGAGATAGCTACAAACATAATATTAGTTTAGGAGAATAAGTTAATTCATAAAAATGTTTAAATAAATAATTGGAATTGAATGAAAAATATTTTGTTTAACAAAATGAAAAGTAAAAAACTTCTTCTGAATTTGATAAACTTAATGAATAATCAAACTAATTATTGATAAATAATCTAAGTTAGTTTTGTATGTAGAAAAATAGTAAAGATACAGATAGGAAAAGCTTTGAAGAAAAAGAATAATTAACTCCTAAACACCAGAAAAACATGACATCTGTAGGTCCATAAACTTTTAAACTTATCACTAATCATGCTAGTCAAAGATGTATATCTATTTAATTATATCTAAGCTTAATACTAGTATCCTTAAGTAAATAATAATTTATTTGAACAAAAAAGTTAAAAAGAATTCTAAAAAACTAATTATGATTCTTTACCTAATCAAAAATCATTAACTCCACTTCATTAAGAACCTTAATCAAGAAATAATTAATAATAATAACATTAAAAGATTGATTTCCAATAGAATAGAAGATCAAATTCTAAATAACCAAAATAACCTTCATTTGATCAAATTGAAGGTAAAAGGTAGTTTATATAAGCAAATATTAATTCATAATAATATATTTCATAACCTAGTTAACATGCTTCAAATGAAGACACTTTAAAAGATAGAATTTTAAAAGAACTTTGTAGTCATCCTGGTGAGTCTATTTATAATTAAGTTTTAAAATTGAATAGTTAACAAAAATTAAAAAATCAAAAGTTAATCTCTAAAGAGAATGTTGAGCAATCAACAACTGTCAGAACTAAAAATGGTAATGGATTTTTATGTGTTAAAAAGTAATCTTATCAATAATGAATATAAATAAATTATTGACTTTATGCATTTTATTGAAAAATATTTATAATTTTCTCTTTATACTTCTATATTTAACGGATTTAAGAAAGCTAAGTTAAATTATACATATCAAAGGTTATATTAATTGAAAGACTACTAAATAACAAATAAGACATTATTTATTTTTAAATCATACTTCTAATTAGCAGATTGGACATTTCTTTTAACTGAGAAGCCATTTTTTTATACACTTAGAATGATATTGATGTCTACACTTTAATTCTCGAACTTTTTCATTTTTTTCAATATCATTGTAGCATATAGTGCATCTAAAGATTTAATTAAGTATTACGGGTCTTTTTATTTATGAATTACTTTTCTCTTTGGAATTCTTTTTATTTCCTCTTTTGATAGCCCTTTAGAAACATGCCCAATTTTCTCTTATAATTCTAATAATTCTTCATATGTCATCCCATCTGTTTAGAATTATTATTGAGGCATCATTGCTTCCTGTATAAACTCATAGTATTATTATTATCTAAGTTATCTTTGTAATTCATGAACCATCAGCATCTCTTAAGTTGGTCCCCTCACTTACGATTAAAGATTGAGATATTTAGATTGTAATTTTTTATATTCCTCTTATAAAACTTTATATTATTCTTTAAATGCCAAAAGTTCAGATTTGAGTTATTCATTTTCCTATTGAAAAATAATAATTTAAAATAACCCTTTTTAGTTTATCATCATTATTAACAACTATTTTTTGCATTTATTGTTATTGCTATGGTTTTAAACTATCCTCTCTTATTTATCTGGGTACTAATGTTTGGGCTTTCTAACCAGCATTAGAAATCCTGAACTATTTCTATCTCTAATCAAACTTATAATCCATTTGTTAAAACAAAAAATAATTAATGAACGAAAATATTATTTCTAATAAGCTTTAACGATAGTTAGAAAATACTTTTAGAAAATAATCCATCTATGATTATTAATCAATTAAAACATAATTAGAACACATATAAAAGATTATATACAAATAAACTAAAGATTTTCTGTATGAAATTATAAAAATAATTAATGATTATATAAATAAAGAGAATAAATCAAATTTATTGTTTAGAAAAATGATTGCTAACTTTAGTGTCTATCCAATCATAAAATTCTTAATTTTCAATATATTTAGGATACCAAAGGCTCTTATTGAAATCTTTGGTAATTTTTTACATTTTTTCAAATAACGTACTAGCCATCTAAATTTCAATATGTTTTAAATACTTTTCTAGCAACAAGAGCGACTAATGCTTTTGGAATGTATCTGCATTAAGGATCAGAATTAGTTACCGCTCTAACTCTGCATTTATTATCAGAAAGAGGTGTTAATTCGAAAACATAATAATTAAGAATCAAGTTTACAAATTTTCTTTTATCCTTTGATAAATCAATATTATGTAGTTTAAGGAATTCAAGATCATTATCAACAGATTTGCATAAAAAGACAATAGTGCCATTTATATTCAGTCTATCTATGCCTTCTCCGACAAAGACTGCTTTCCTATCTGAAATTAATGGGAAGTAGACTTAAATATCACAAATTTTGCAGCATTTTCCAATCCTTTTAGGCATTGAAGATCTAACACAAAAAGGAACATAATTTTGATAGAGTTCGATTTCATTAATTAAAGCCATTAATTTAGTGATATTAGCTTCAAAGACTGAATCCATAAAGAGAGTTACTGTTGAATTTTTTGAATCAATTTTATATTTGATAACCAATGATTTAGTATTTTTTTCAATAACCCAACCATCTGATTCTAATTCATTAAGATTAAGCTACATAGTGGCGTATTTGTCTTATATCATAGAAATAAAGTTTCCATATAAATCATAGAACCAACCTTCTAATATCTAATTATTCTAAATTTCAGTCTTGGCTTATTAAATTACATAATATGCCTAATTTAGAGTAAACTATTACGTCATCCAATTAAGCTTCATTAAAATAATAGTTTTGAGATTGTTACATTCTTTATTCAATAACAGTTTTCAAATCACTTTAAGGACTCTTTTCAAAATTGATTTAAGAAATGTAACTCTTCTCATCAAACTCTCGAATGACTTTTAATTTTTAGTCTTCAAATTCAGAGATGCTATTAACTCTTTCTCTAATTTCATTAACCATCAAAGATTAAGAACCAGTCATAATAAATTCATGTTTCATTGGCTATTCATCAAGAATACAACTGGCTGCTTTTTTCTCGACTTTTGTTTTTTTTTATTTCTATTTAATCAATTTAGGCACAGTTTGTATTTTGATTGGATGGATAACTTATATTATTGGAATTATCAAATACATTCATCATATTCAATTAACATTTCTTAGATTGTAGTATCTTCTACTGCTTTCTTCTAAAGATTTTTAAATGATTCATATATCTAAATATATGTAGAAAATACTTCATCTTGATTTGTTAATGACCTTATCTGTTAATTTAATTAAACTTAAAATGTTTAATAGAGAGGGTAAATAAATTAACAATGGTTAAAAGCTGTATACTCTGAAACTATAGTTTCAAACTATTTATTTATAAAAAGTTTTACATAAAATTGTAACATCTCAAGTCTTTATTAAGAATTTAATTGTTCAAAATCTTGTGGGATTTCAATCATAGTTGTGTAGAAATAATAATAATGATTATTAAAATTAATTCCTAAATTCCTTAAAAATTTGAATTAGAATTTCCGATTTTCTTTAATTATCAATTTAAAAAATCATTAATTTAATATACTCATACTACATTATTCAGAAGACACAAAATATCTTAATTATTATTGCACAAGAGATAGAACCTATTATAAGTTTGTACTCACAAAAATCTTATTGAATTAAAGAGAAAAATCTCATAAAACCTTCGTAAATTTTATCATAATTGATCTATGCTCTTACTAGTAGAGTTTATTTTTTTTTTAATTTTTACCTGAATATAACTTTATATGAGCGTAACCTTTATCCAGTATTATTCAAAAATAAAATGTAACCTTATATTAAATTTTGAAAAAATTTACAAGGCTACAACAATATATCCAAAATATTAATTTCTCTTAATTTCTTGGTAAATTAGAAATTAATTAAAGAAGATAAGTTAAAAAAATATTGTTTTTGTGTTCATCTCACCGTATCCTTTAATTACAATATTTTAAATGAAATTAGGAGAGAGAGACAATAATTTAAATAAAAATTATATAAAATTTAAGAATTATTTCATCGATGGATTAAGATCAAACTTATTAGATTATTTTAATTTTGTAATTCATTTATTTAAATAAAATATCTGAAACACAATTTAAAATGTATTAATCATAAGAGAAAAGGATAAATAAATATATTTATTAATATACAAGATTAACTGATATTTAACATTAAATTGTAATAAATATTGATAAAAATCAAATAGTACTCTATTGAGAAAAATATTCTCTACTCAACTTAAGCAGTTCCTAAAACTCTTTGATATTTAGGTTTGCAATTCCCCTGACGGCTATTAACCAATCTTTTATTCTACAATAACCCCCTTAGATAGGAGCAATCAACTGATTAGTTAATTTAGAAATAATAAATCCTTCAGATAAAACATAAGCCATGTCTGGAGTTGCAGCTAATAAAATTTCATGCTAAGTTTATCGTTTCACTTCATTAGTCCTTTTATTTTCATTGAATTTTCTAGTTTCATAAATGTATTCCAAAAATATATTTGCCTTATATTAAACTCTTGGTTAAGTTTAGGTTTATATTAAGATTCTCTTTTTTATTTATGACTAATAACATACAGCAATTAACCATTCTGATAACTAATGTTTAATCTTAATAATTACAAGAATCAATGTAAATTTAATCTTTTCTATATACTTTGGGTCTTTAGCATAAAGTTCTCCATAATTTAATTAATCACTCCAGATTTTAAAAGAACGATATATTTCTTGATTCCTATCCAAAAATACTTCAAGTTCCCCTTAAGTTTCCGCTATTATTCTATAGGCTTAATCACATTTGTCATAATTTCTTATGTAATCTAATGTAATTGTTTATTTTTTCTAATTCTATTATGGAAGGCTTTCCTTAACTTCTTCATAGGGTTACTCTTATTCCATTTCAAAATTAAACTAAATTTCGCCTGGTTCTTCATATATATTTTAATCTACATCTCCATAAACAGAATAGATATCGATAAGATCTATTCCTTTATCTAATTCTGATGTATTCAATTGTTCATAAAGAGAGGGTTAACTATCTATTAGTTGAATTACTTTTTGTAAAAGTTCTTAATTTATGATTGACATTGAAGTTAATTTTTTTAATGATTATTTATTATATAATTTCTATTTAAAATTAGTTCATATAATGTCAAATTAATTGTTCTATTTTCATTTATTAAGGTTAAGGTTTTAATTATAATTTATAATCTCTTTAAGCTGCTTAAATAGCCTTAACTTACCAATGAATTAAATTATTAACCTTGTATCTACTGGTTTATGGTTTTGGAGTTAATAATTAAATAAAACTTGGATTTCCACTTTAATTTCTCGAAGTAAGAGAAGATTAATTATTAATCTAAATTGCATTCAAATTCAAAGCTGGAACATTCTTTTTTACTCTTTCAGTTTTAGCAGATTTTTCTGATTTATAAATCATTAACTTTTTTAGATCAAGTGCTTTAACTAATTATTACTATTTTTCCAATGATTTTTTATTATGTTAAGAATTTGTTTCATTAGGTTTAGAACCCAGAAACTTATTTCTTGGAGTGTAAGCTTTTTAAATAGCAATTTTACTATTAGTTATTTTAATAGATTAATTAGAAGTACTTTTGAAGGAATCAACTTATTATATATGCCTTTAAGATAGAGGCTAATTAAATTTACTTAAAATTTAATGTAAAGCTTTGCTATCTAAAGAAACAATTTTTTAAGTATTTTTATTCTTCTCAATTTCTTAGAGAGACTTGATTATTTTTAATTCTAATTATTTAATTTCAGGTATTAATTTTTTTTAATCATATGGTATATTTCGTGAATTACTTTTATTTTCTACCTTAATTTTTTTTGTTGTTGAACATTTATTTATTAATTGCAATAAATTGTCTTTTACTAAATGAGTATCGATTGTTTTTTCCTTTGATAGTGATGAATGTTTATGATTAACTCTACTTAATGAATAAGAAGGATATCTAGCTGATAAAGGCATTTTAGCTTCTTAAGGATTCTATTAGATTCTTGATGATAATGATAGACCTAATTCATCTAGCTTTAACTGCTTTTTGAAATTGGCTTTTGATTTCTTAAAAACCTAATAATTTTTAATTTAAGGTGTGCTAATCATATTGATTATTTTAATAATCTCACTTTGCTATTCTTCTTAGATTTAAGTTATTTTGCTGATCTCAATTTATTATTTTGATTCCTACCTTGTAATGTCCTTCAATATATTCTCAACATTTGTATTCACATTTGAGGTTGAACTACTACTATCTGATCTAGGTGTACTTTGAGTTTCTATTGGCTTATCACCAACTATTCCTTTTTAGGGTAATTAAGGATTTTATTTATTTTCAAACTCTATTTATTTCTAGATTCTATAATAATCTAATTTTCTACGCTTATCATAATAATAATTTAGAGTTTAGAGTATTTATTTAGATAATGAAAATCTCGGAAGATCCTTATGAAATTTATAAAACTCCTTAAGTAATCTCATTTTATTATCATACACTTCATAAATATAAAATCTTTTAAGGTATTCATCTTCATCATCGTAATGTAGATAATCCTATTATTAGATCGCTTTGATACTTAAAACAAAATTACAGATGAAGTTCGTTGCTTACTTAAAATCTCGTTAATTTCTCTAGTATAATAGTAGTTTTGTGAAGATGCATATTTATGATAGAGGGTATGGTTAATGATATTATTTGAATTCCACTCAGATTAATAGTTTTTTACAAACCCTAAGGTCTGTAATTAACAACTATGTATTTTTTTCATATTAAATATATATATTTGATTTCCTGAATTGAAAATAATATATATTTAATGTAGGATGACTTAAATTCCAGCCTTGACTCTTTAGAATTAGAATTATATCATAGACCCAATCCTAAAATCAAAGCTATTCTAAACTTTCTAAGATCAAGAAATCTAAAATTCTGTACAGACCCTCGTAACAAAGAAGAAGATTATTACTCTAAAATTGTTAATAGAGAAGATAATAAAGATCTTGGATTGGTGAGAAATAAGTTTTTAATGAGAAATACTAAACATTTTACAACCCAATCAAATTAATGATGATAATATGCGTATTCATCTTTCCTTCCTAATCATCAATTAAGTATTTAAAAATTTCGATCTTTATTCAATATATATTTAAATCATATAAGGAAATTAATAAAAAATAATCAATTAATTTTTTTCTAATTATTTTATAATGATACATTTCGTTGTCATTTTAGCGATACTATTAATTGATAATTTTAAACATCAATATTATTTAATTACAATTACTTTAGAATATAATAATAGGAAAATTGAAATTTAAGATAAGTTTATTATTAAAGTTTAAATTAATGTAAATTTACTCAAATTCATTTCTATATCATAAGTGATAACTCAACAAATGTTTATTAATCTAACATACTATAGCAAAGTAATGTAAATAAATGATTCTGAAAACAAATTGCCAACTCTCCTTACAATCTAGTAAATTACTTTAGAAAATCTTTTAATTATTATGGCCTTTCTTCCATAACTCTAGAATTGTATAATATCATAAACTATTGGATTGGAGTACCTTTAAATTCTGGAGAAGATTTTGCCAAACAAATTAACTCATTTTATTTGAATGCTTCAAAATCTAAAGTTTCCAATTCTTTGAATTCTTCAATCCTCTATACTGGTCTAAAATTTTTTGAAGGACCACAATAAAATTATTTTTAACTCATTAGATTAGAGATTTATTAATCTTATTCAAGAGGAAGATCTAAAAGTAGATTTAATAATTATTACTATTTTTTTAGTAAAACTCTGAATTAGATTGAGAAAAAAGCGTTAAAAACATGAAACACTCTAATTAATTTTAATTAATGGCTTTATAATGTCTAAAAACATTAGATAAGATCTTTGGTTATTATCTGAAATAAGCAATATGCAAGACTTTTTCATTTTAATAATGGGTAAATTTATAGCTGTATTTAGTTTTATGAAATAAGAGTAAATGTAATATCAATTATTAAATGGAATTTGTCTTTAATTTCGGACAAAATATACATTACTTTTCAAAAGATTATTATTATGTTCCATTTTTTAGAAATATTAAAGTATTGATTCTTGATAAAATGAAAATGTAGTTTACTTTTGTATACATATATTATAAAAGGCTGTGAATTATTCTTTTTAGCTACCAACATGTTAGAAACCAGCTGAATTATCTGAAATATGCAAGAACAATAAAGATAATTTTCCTTCCAAAGTTTAAAAATGGCTTAATAATTTTAGTTCAAGTTTTGGATTCATAAAATAAATAATTTAAATAAAGAGTCTAGAAAGTATGTTTAATTCTTTGAATGGAATCGAAGAAATATTTTTAGTTTTCTTGTTTATAAATAATTAAAAATAATAATGTACTAATAATCAATCACTTAGCCATTTACGCGGTAACCCATTTTTGTTCAAACATAATATATTGCTTAATAATAAATTCCTAGAGTTTAATAGCAAAGATCAATTACTCCTATTCCACATAAACCAAATGCTTATACAGTATCATTTACTTCAAGGGATGATTTCACTCAAAGAGGAACAAATTTACCTTGTAATATGATTAGTGAAGATTCATAATTTATGAAAGCATTAATGGAAGAAAACTATCTATTAAAATAGTAAGTTGAATTAAAAAGAGCAGAATTAAAAAAAATAATAGAACAATACAATTAATGTTAATGAATATTGATAATGAGCTATTTATTTCTTATTTTATTATTTATTTAAAATGAATGAGAATAAATCTTTGCATGCCAAAAGATAGTCAGCATTATCATTATGTATCAATTTTTATATAAAAATAGTAAATCCTCCACAAACATCAGCTATTTCTTGGTGTATTGTAACATAAATGGGAGATGAACTAGCAAGCAAATCTCCTTCTTTGAAGTTAGAAGTTGCAAGTCTTACCAAAATAATGACTGCCTATACATCCATATAATTATGTGAAGAATTAAATCTTGATTATGTAATTCTTGCTTATGAATCTAATTTTAGAATGAAACATATATTTGTATTCCTAGAATTGCTACACAAATTGGAGGGACATCTGCTTTTTTAAAAAGAGATGACATTTTATCTTTAGAAGAATTGTTATATGCATTAATGTTACCTTCTGGAAATGATGCTGCAATATCAATTGCACTACATTTTGGATCACTTTTAAATACTTAAAGAAAACAAAAGATTGCCAGTTATATTATATGTGATACTATCTAAGGATTTTATGATGATACATAAATGAATAATATGAATAGATTTGTCAGATAAATGAATGAAAATGCATTGAAATTAGGCATGAGAGATTCTTAATTTTCAAATCCACATGGTCTCAGTTCAAAAGTATATTTCTAATACTTAATTATATATAGGCTAATAAATCAACCGCATCAGATATGTGTAGAATGAGTTCAGCTTATTTAAAGATTCCCATTTTAAAATAAATTTGCAATAGTAAATCCTATTGTTGTAGAAATTATGAATGGTTTAATACAAATTTATTATTGAATTTTGAGAATTATTAAGGAATAAAAACTGGAATTACACCAAATGCTGGTGCTTGTCTTGCCGTCTCTTATGAAAGTTTGTTAGGATCTATAATAGTTGTATTAATAGGAGCAAAAGATTAAAAAAGAAGATTTGAAGAAACTGACAAACTTATAAATTGGGTGTCTAAAGAATATATATTATTTTATAATAAAACTATGTATGCTCCACCTAGAACTGCCTAAAGCAAAGGTAGATCGTTTATTATCAAAAAATAAGTATGATAAAATAGATTACATTATATATTCTCTATCATTAATTTACTAAAAATTATCAAATTATTCAAAACTTGCTCGTATAACTTATAAAGTACAGAGAATTAATTAATAAACTTGATTATGTTTACTGAACTAAAATTATTTAATCATGTTAAATTTAATCAATATAAAAGTAATAGATATAACTCATAACTTCTTGTATAAAACATATTACTAAAATATTTTTGAGTATTTATTTTAATTATATAATCTTATAATTGTAATATTTATATGTCTTAAAAAAATTAAATTTTAGTTATATTTATATTGATTGAAAAATGGGGATTTGCAAATCCAAAAAACAAAGTCATTCTCCTCCATAAAACTAAAAAAATTAGATTAAAGTTACCAAACCTATTGATACTATAAAAGAAACTAGTCCCAATAATATTCCACCTGGTTCTCCAAATTTACTTTCTTAATAAGACTTCTATTTGAGAAGTCAAGAACTGATGACTCCAGATAGATAAAGCAATATGAATAAAGGGAAATTTTTCAGCATATATACATTATTAGAAAGCTTTAAAAGTCCCAACGAATAGATTCGACAAGTTTGCACTGTATAACATAATTAAACTGGAGTTACGAAAATTGCAATAATATAAAGCCATCATTAAAAATAAATGGATTTAAATAAGTTATAAAGCAAAATTCAATTACTTAAAAAATTAGTAATAAACTAGTCTATAATAGGATCATCCAAATATAATGTCAATTTATGAATATTTTGTTGATTCTAAGCAATTATATATAGTTACCGAAAATTATAATGGAGGAACACTTTTTTCAAGACTTAAATCTGATAATAAAGACAATTCAGTAAGCAAAAATATATTAATATAAACATACTTTTAATAAATTTTTGCAGGATTATAATACTTACATAGTAAAGAAATAATCCATAAGTAATTTTATTTATATATATTATTAGGTATCTCAGAGCTTCAAACATACTTTTTTAAAGTTAGCAAAATTAATTGATTAAATTAGTTGATTATAGTAATACAAGAGTGAGATAAAGAGAAGATGATTAACTTGATCTTAATTATTTAGCACCTGAAGTAATTTAATAATAATAATACTCTCCAGCATCTGATATTTGGGCATGTGGAGTATTATTATATGAAATTTGGACAAGATCTCGCCCATTCTAAGGAGATAATATTAAAGAGACAAAGGAAAATATCATCAAATGTAAAATTACTAAAGACGAATCTTGGAATAAAATTCCTCCTCTTGCATAAAAATTAATTAATTTAATGCTGAAAATTGATCCAGGTATATCTTTTTAATATTTTTATTAGACAAACGAATTACTGCAACTTAGTGCTTATAACATGAGTATTTAAAAAATATTGCTAATTATACTGATAAATCTTTTATTAATGATATACTTTTAAGAATCTAATCTTATTAGACAAAATCGGAGTTTCAAAAAATTTTATTTTCTATAATGATTAATAAATTTATTGATGAAAAAGAAAAAGAAAAATTAATGATTGCTTTTGAAGCTATTGATGATAATAAAGATGGTAAGATTACAAAAAGTGAACTTAAAACATTCTTAGCTTCAGAAAAATAAAAACCATTTGCGGATAAAATATTTAAAATTTTAGATTCTAATTAAAATGGTTATATTGAATTTAATGAATTTTTATTAGCTTGTTGTAACACTGAAAAATTAGCTAATTAAGAAAACTTAGAATTATTTTTTAAATTTATTGATAAAAATTAAAGTAAATAAATAACAATCAAAGAATTAAAATCTTTATTCATAGATGCTAGATTAACTGATAAAGAATGGGAAATTATATTTAATCAAGGAGATTTAAATTAAAATGGAAAACTTTCTTTTGAAGAATTTTCTCAACTTCTATCTACTCATCCAAATTGATTATTGAGATTATCACTACATGTAATCATATATATTAAATAATTAAAATTTTTTAATATATTTAAATTATTGTTAGATTCTTAAATTGTCTTTAATAATTTGTTTATTTAGAATATCTTTCAAGAATAATCATAAAAAAATATTTATATAGATCACTGTATTATATTATCAAACGCTCTGTAATTTAGATTATAATAATTATCCAAGTAATGAATGATCTATAAATTAAATTTTAATTCATTTATTAATAACTCATTCATGTTCTCTTATAGGTGTTATTATAGGATTGAGTTAGTGCATATACATACAAAACCATAAAAGCCAAAATTGAATAGTACCTGAAAGGACTGAAACATACATAAGCCTATTAAAATTAATGGATATATTACAATAAATTATCATTCAAATCGCTTAAATTTTTTGTTGCCTTTGTAACAACACCCTTTAGCCAAACAGTAACACCTATTCCAATTCCTATAAATATAATCGTGCCAATAAATATTCCAGCAGACATTATATAATTAATATTTTATTAAATAATTATAATAAAAATTTGAGTTCACTCACTATTTACTAATTATTCCCACAAATTATAAGCTCCTTCTCCTTCTTTTATTACATCTTATTTTCCATTCTTCTTTGCTATATCACCATTTTTCCTCAACACTGTTACTGTAGGAATTCCTTTAATCTCATATTTATCTATCAGTTACTAGATTCTTTTATCATTATACGGAATTGCAGGCCAAGGCATCTTTATATTTTTATTTTTAAATACTTCCTCTAAATATTTTTTAAATTGACTTTCTGATTCCTCATAAGATACCCATATAATTTCTAACTATTTGGTTTCTAAATTAACATCATTATAAAATTCAACTAAAGTTGGTGTAAAATTTACACATGGAGGACACCAACCTTCTATTTATTAATTATTTACTTGCACAAAAGTATAAAACTACTACCTTCATATCGGATAATTTGATTTTGCATGGACCATTTTTATTTATGAATGTGTCTCCAAAAAAATTATTATCCATTTTAAATTATAATATATAAAATATTTATTGCTCATTTATTTATTATCTAATATAATCTATTCAAAAACTTAACAAAAAATAATAAACCACCAAAAAAATATAAATATGAATGCTTCTCTCTCAAAGGATACTTTAAAATCATTTAATAATTAATACTTTTATTGAATTTTTAACTCTCCCCTCTTCCAAACATCCATTTACTATTTCATTCAAATTTAATTATCGTTATTCTAACCTAAAATTATAATACAATCACTTTTGAGTTCCAATAACTTAAGGATATAAAAATCTTTCAAAATTTGCATTTTTTTATCCATATTCTTTCATGTATTATCCTTGAAAAACATCAATTAAGAATTTATCTTTCTCAAAACATATTCTTCTTATTCTCCATTTTCTTATTATTTAATCTGGTATTTCGACATTGTAAATAAAATTGAAATATGGATTCTAAATTTCATCCGTATTATCTGATAAACCAATTTAAATTAAGTATTCTATTTTCTTTTTATCTTAATCACTCATTTGAAAAACTTTTGTTTTGCTTTTTGATTTATTTTTTAATATTGGTGGTTCTCTAAGTTTAATATCAAAAATTTTATTAATCTGAGGCTTGAAAAAGTTATATAAAGATCTAGAAGAATAAAAATTTTCTTTTTCCTAAAATTAATTTATATTCCTCATTTAAAAATAAATAAATAATTAATTCATTATGTTTATGAATTATAAAAAATAAAATTTGAAGAAATTAGCTTCCACTTTTATGTAACCAAACCTAATTATAATTCAGTCATAGAAATGCGAAGATAATTCTCTTAATATTTTATATCGATTTTAATAATTATTTTAAAATAGATCCCTTCTTTGTTATTATATTCATTTCTATTAAAAACTTAAATTTAAAACAATTTTTGTTTTCTCAATTATCCATTAATTTTTTTATCACCCTAATAATCTCAGAATATTCGTAATGTTCAAGCTAATTTATTTTTCTAAAAAAATATTATAATTTAGTATTACTACTTAGATATCATCTAAATTAGAATTATATATTAAAATTGCTATTTAATTAATATAGATCAAAAAATAATTATGATAATCTTTTTATCAACATTAATTATTTATAATTTTTCGTATTTTATAATATTGTCCTTAAATTTTAGACTCTCTAGTCACTTTTAAGTGCGACAGATGACTAACTAATAAATTTAATTTGAGTTCTTTAATGTTCTTCTTAATTTTTTGTTAATTAAAATAAAATTATTTCTAATCGAAAACATAAATTGTGTTTTGGCTATGAGTGTTTCTCTTATCAACATATTCCTTATTAAATAGCATTTTAATTAAAAATTTTCTATATTAATATAATTTGATGAGTCTATTAATTATTTTAATTATTAAATTTATAATAAATTTGTCTTAAGATGATTTAGTATCTACTAATAATCAAATCGTTTAGAACATTTCATATTAAATTGTATTTAAAATTTTAAATAATTAACACATATTAAATTAACCAATTTAGAATTTCGAGAGTCTTAGTCAAAATCTATGATTAATTAATTTTAAACTTTAATAGTTATATAAAGTTATCTAATAACACTTAAAATTAATATATTTATTTTGAGTTTTTATGATTGATGTGATAAATATTTGTTTCTGTTAAAATTAATAAATATTTATTCTAGTTCTATTACTTTGCAAATATGATTTTTTAGAGAAATATTTATAGAATTTGTTTATTTGTCGACATTTGATAATTTTATTATTAAAAATATTAATATAGCATAAAATAAGAAGGATTTTGATACATATTTAGTGGGATGAATACAAGTGAAAAAAAGGGAAATTTTAGGATATTGTGTATAATTTGTTTGATATGAATTTATGAGAGATCAGTTAATGGGGTTTTAAGAGAAGGAAGGATCAACTTAACATGATTTATTATATGTTATGTATGCTGGATTGCTTAATATCCTTGAGATGTAATTTAATTCATAAATTAACATAGATTATTATAAAAATATATTTAATAAAGTTTTTAAATTGTATCATTATAGAGAAAGGATTCTCAGGTTGGATGTTAAGAACGTTATAGAATAAATGTTTATTATTATGAAATCTCTAAAAAATTAGATTTATACATAAATATTATCAATAAATTTACTAATTGAATATGGGTTGTCTATAATCCAAAAAGAGAAATAGAATTGTGGCCATGTAAACAATGAATAAAGATTAAGTTTTCACTTCAACTGCTGACATCCATCAATTATATAACTTTGGAAAAGTATTAGGAGTTGGCTCTTTTGGAAAGGTTTTATTAGCAAAAATGAAACAGAACAATGAAAAACAATATGCTATAAAAGTAATAGATAAAAGGAGAGTAAAAGGGAAAGAATCATTACTTGCTAATGAAATATTTGTGTTATAACAGCTAGATCATCCAAATATTATTAAGTTTTATGAAGTTTATTAAAGTGCATTATATTTTTATATTTGTATGGATTATTGCTAAGGTGGTGAATTAGTAGAGAGAATTGCTAAATAATAGGCAACATTATCAGAAGGTTAAGTTTAGAGTATTATATAAAAAGTATTGAGTATTTCATTTATAGATTTGTTCAGCTATAGTTTACATACACGATTTAGGTTTGGTACATCGTGATATCAAGCCTGAAAATATTATGTTCAGTGAGAAAGATATATATTCAGAACCAAAGTTAATTGATTTTGGATTAGCCAATAAATATGATACAACTCATATAAAGTATTTGAATGTTAAATATAATAAGACGATTAAAAACATTTGTTGGAACTCCTCTTTATTTACCACCAGAAGTAATTGATGGAGAATATGATGAAAAATGTGATGTATGGAGTTTAGGAGTTATGCTATTTAGTTTATTATGTGGTTATCCTCCTTTTTATGGTAAAAATAGAGCTTAATTATATGAAAATATTAAATCACAAGCAGTTTATTATATTTATATTATTATTATTAGCTTATTTTTGATAGACGTCATTGGAGAAATATAAGTGAATAAGCTAAAGATTTAATTTAAAAAATGTTAATCAAAACACCTAAAAAAAGATTATCTGCTAGAGAATGTCTTAAACATTCTTGGTTTACTATTTAATTTTAAAATATAAAAGTTTAAAGAGAAAAAAGTTAATAATTATAAATTTAGAATCATCAAGATAATAGAACTATTTATTAAATGTTAAAAATGTTTAGAGGTGGAGCTAAATTTAAAAAGGAAGTTACAAAAGTACTTATTAATTAAATGAATGAAAAAGAATTACATCATCTAAAATAAGTTTTCTAGAAAATAGATGTTGATAATTCTGGAACTATAACTATAGAAGAATTAAGAGAAGCACTTTAGTAAGAAGTATTCATACTCTTTTATAATAGGGATCTCCTGCATCACTTGAAGAAATTGAATAAATTATATAGACTATTGTATTAGAAGATGATGAATAAAACAATAATTTAGAATAAGATTAAGAACCTTCTCCTCTTGTTATCAAATACACTGACTTTTTGGCTGCTTGTATTGATGAAAGGAAAATTCTAACTAGAGAAAAAGTATTATTATTCATCTATTAATTATTTTAGTTATGGTCACTTTTTAAATATTTTGATACTTTAAATGTTAATTATATAACCAAAGAAGATATTAAAGAAGCTTTAGCAAGACATGGAAGATAGATGTCAGATGAAAAAATTGATTAGATGATCTTTGAAATTGATCCTAATCATGATAATAAAATTAGTTTTGATGAATTCTTATAAATGATGGGGGTTGCAGGAATTGAACAAACTATGAATATCACAGATGAAGTTAAAGAAATCGATATTTAAAGTTGATTATAATAAAAAAATATTATTAATATCTCATTCTTTCAAAATCAAACTTTATTCATTTTTAATCTATAAATTTATTAAATCTATGATAAGTTTAGTTTAAGAAAGGCTCATGAAGTTATTTAATATTAAAAAATTAAGAATCATATACTTAATATTATTAAGTAAGAAATAATAATATCAAGGTATGAGAACAAAAAATTTGAATTGCTTATTTTATTTTCAATATAATATTCATTATTGACTATTATTTATAGTTTGTATTCTGCCATCCCTCACATATATAATTAAAGATTAAGGAATTATAATAAGAGATAAAAAATAATATTTTTACAAATAATGACATTAATAAAGAGACTAAATTCATAAAAATTAGGAATTTATGAGGATAATATACTGCATATTGACTTCATATTTTATTAATATGTGATGTTAAAGATATGAAATTTAAAATTTATAGTTTAACTAATTTTTACATAAAAATGGAAATCACTTTTCCAAAATCATTCTCTTGACATGATCCTTTAAATGATAAAAAGATTGATTAAAAAGATCCTTAAAATGAAAATTAAAATTCTTTTTAAAGTTTTTTAAAAATAATAGAAATAGCTAGAGTTCAGGAACTTTTGTAATTAAAAAATAAATCAAAATATTAATAGTTTTTTATTTTTTCTATTAATTGAATATAAGACTCGTCTCAAACAATTAATTTAATATACTATTAATAATGTTATAATAACTTATTTATTTATTAATAAAAGATAATGTGTTAATTAAATTCTCAATCAAAAAAAATCAATATATTTAAATCTAAATCACATTATTTTACAATGGGTTGTGTTTCAGGAGTTGAGATAAAACCTAATATAATTGTTCAAATGAAAACAAGAAATTAAGATTTAGTGTTTACATCGACAGAAGATATTACTAAAATATATTCTTTAGGTAAAGTTCTAGGAATAGGTTCTTTTGGTAAAGTTGTTTCTGCAAGAATGATTAAAAATTCTGAAAAGTAATTTGCCATAAAAATTATTGAAAAAGTAAAAGTCAAAGGTCGCGAGGATATTTTGGCAAATGAAATTTATATGTTATAAAGAATTGATCATCCCAATATAATTAAATTTCATGAAGTTTACTAAAATAATCGAAATTTTTATATTTGTATGGATTATTGTAAAGGAGGGGAATTGGTTGAATGGATTCCAAGAAAGTATAAAAGCTTTCATGAACATAATATTTAAGAGATTATGAAAAAAGTATTTATTTTATATATAATAAATTTAGATTGTTTCAGCAGTCAGTTATATACATTCTTAAGGAATAGTTCATAGAGACATTAAAGCTGAAAATATTATGATTACTTCTAAAAAAGAAGATGGTGAGCCAAAATTAATAGATTTTGGATTAGCGAATAAATTTGATACATCTCACATTAAGTTTTTACTTTTGTATAATTATATAAGGAGACTAAAATCTTTTGCTGGAACTCCTATGTATATGGCACCAGAGATCATTAAAGGATCCTATGATGAAAAATGTGACATTTGGTCTCTTGGTGTATTACTCTTTACTTTACTCTCTGGTCATTTACCATTTCATGGTGATACAAAGGCATAATTATATGACAATATCTAAAAATCTAGTGTATTATACATTATCATCTAGATCTCATTTAATTCTTAAGTTTGGACAAAAATAAGCAATGAAGCTAAAGATTTAATTAAAAAAATGCTATAAAAATAACCTGGAATGAGACCAAATTCAAAAGATCTTATTAAACATGCTTGGTTTAAAAAATAATTTAAAAATGAGGATAAAACTTAATCCTAAAATAATTCAAATAATACTGAAAATAGATAAATTTATTAATTGTTAAAATAAAATTAAGGAGGAGCAAAATTTAAAAAAGAAGTTAAAACTTTATTAGTGAATTAATTAAACGAAACAGAATTAAGTTAATTAAAAGAAATTTTTAAAAAGATTGATGTAGACAACTCAGGTACAATAACATTTGATGAATTAAAATAAGCCTTACATGCAGAAGTAATTAATAATTTTATTAAAGGGATCTCCAGCTACTTTTGAAGATATAGAGAAATTAATAAACAATACTTCAACTCCACAGACTTATGAGTAAGTAGGAAAAAAAAAAAAAGACTTTGTTATTAAATATAGTGAATTCTTGGCTTCATGTATTGATCAAAGAAAATTTATAACTAAAGAAAAAGTAAATATTTTATTTTATTAAGTTATAATCTTTATTCTTTATATTTGATACTGATAATTCAGGCTTTATAACTAAATTAAATATTAAAGAAGCATTTGCTAGAAATGGAAAACAAATTTCAGATAAACAAATTGATGAAATGATTGCTGAAATTGATCCAAATCATGATAATAAAATTAGTTTTGAAGAATTTTGTCAAATGTTTGATAATGCAGGCGTTAATAAAAACTTTACAGAGGATGGAAGCATTTATACATGAAACATATAAATATTATTAATTTCCATTTTATATTAAGTAACTATTTATAATCTAAAATAACTCCATTATTTCCCAATTACTAGTAAGTTTATTATATTAAAAAATGAACCTTTCTGTCTATTGAGATTAATTTTTGGATTTAATTTTATGTCTAATAATTAGCTTTGAGTTATTTATTCGTTTAGTAGGAACAATAATTTATATAATGTGATTATAAAGATTAATAATATTATTTTATATATGTAAGACTAAATTAAATTAGAGGAGTAATTCTAAAAGCATAAATTTAAGTATTAGAAAACTATTGAAGAAAATTTATCTTTAAAACAAGAAATCTTACATCTAAAATAATAAATTGAAGAAATCACTTAAAAAATGTCTGAGAAAATAAATTTTATTAAACAAACAGAATAATCATTATCTAAATAAGCATAAGATCAATATGAAAATACAATTAATAGATAATTAGGAATAATAGAAAAATTAATTGTAGATAAGAAAGAGCTATAATAAGAACAACTCATCTTAACCAATGAGATCAAATCTATAAAATAAATAAATCTTTAAGAAATAGAAAAATTATAAATTCAATTTTAGTAAGAGAAATAATAAATTTTGTAAAAAGAAAAAGCTTCAAGAATGTAATGGGAAAAAAACAAAACATAGGAAATACGTTAATTAACTGTTCTTGGACTTGAACCTGAAATATAGAAAATAATAAAGAAATATTAAGAAGAAATAGCCTAATTAAGATTGTAATTAGAATAATGAAAAAAAAAAAAAATTCTTAATTTTCTTTTATATATGTATAATTATAAATTCTAATCATTCTACTATTTCATGGTCATCAATTAAATTTTAATAAATTCAAGAATTGTCAAAACTCTAACATAATCCCTCTAAATTAAATTTTATTAAAATATCTTACCTTATAAAGCATTTACTTTTCTCTATACAGGTATAATTATTTTAAATGAATATTATATTTCGAGGTTATGTATTACAATTTTAATAGAACATACTTAATAATATTAAATTTTATTGGTGAATTAATTTGAAAATAAATTTAGTGATTTTTTAATTCATATCCTAAAAGTTCTAAATATAAATGATTGAATTAATTAGCAAGAGGATTGATTAAAAATTTGAACCCAAATACCAAATACGGTTTCAAGATATCTTAAAATCCACGAATTACTTGACTCTTAAGGAAGCCTTGATCTAATTATGCTTAAAATTAAATTTCAATTCACTACTAGACTTAAAATTTGGAATTTAATTAATATTGAATTATAATCGATGCATTAAATCATATAATAGTTTAAATCAACAGAAAATTGTTTTTGAGAAGTTTTTTGTATTTAAAAAAAGTTTACAATATTTTTTTAAATGAAGAGTTTATCATAATTGCAATTTATTCTTTGATTCTTTTAAAGAATGTATTTTATAAGAATATATGTATATAATGAATTATAATAGTAGTTTTTAAAAATATATATTTAAAAAATGATAGATGATAATTCCTCAATTATGATAAGAAAGAAAAAAATAAAAAAGAGGCAAAGAAGCTTTTATTGATTAGATAGACTATAAATCATTTAGTTAATTCAAAATTGAAAAAGGAAAAAATATAATATCTTGTCTTAGAAAAAGAAAAAAAAATTAAGGAATAAAAAATGCGATTTTATTTTTATTTATAATTGAAAAAATGCATATTAAACATAATTTTTAAGGATATTATAATTTTTATGATAATAATTTTTAACTCATAGGCTTTCATATTTTTTTTTCCTTCCTAGCAGAATAGCAGGATTAAGTTATTAAAGCAGAGGTGGAACGATTATAGCCATATTGGATAAAGGATATAGAGTTTTATTTAGGAAGTTTGGAAATTAAAGTGTTGGAGCTGGTCTACCAGGATAACGAGAATCATGAATAAAATTACAATTATCTCCTCTTTAGCATCCTAAAGGAGAATGAAAATTATGACAATTTTTGGTTTTATAAGCTCTAATTCTTAATGCTTGAGCAGGATTGATATTTTGTAATTGCTCAAGTCGTTGTCTTTGTTAATCTTATTGATATTTTACACGGTCGATATCATTCATTATTGTTTGCTTATCATTCAATTTAGCCTCAAGAAGAGATTTAAAATTTTTTATATATATTTCCTCACCGAAATCCTTTAATTTTTAAACAATATCATGTAATAAAGTTACTTAATAATGAAATATTTATACGAATGCTTTCTTAACTATGTTAATGCTTTTATTCAACCATTGAGACTAATTATTACATTTTAGGTTATAAATCTTGTTTAGCTTGATTTAAAACATCTCTTTATTTGACTTATTCTTCAGGAGGCTTTTTAAGAATTCCTTTAATTTATTTTTTATTAGTATTTTTATTTTTTTCTTCTAATTCTTTTAGATCTCTATTAAAAATAATTTGAACCATATACATAAGATCCTCTCTTTTTGGAGGATCTAAATGTATTATTTTCGGTTATAAACCTAATTAAGTATTAGAAATTTCGTTATACCCAGGCTAATCTGGAATATTCTAAGAGTTCATAAATAGTTTTATACATCTCTATTATAAAATGCAGACATTTTAGATTCTGTTCTTTTTTACTAAATTAGAGTTTCAATATAATTGGTATCATAAGATACTTATTATTATATAAACAATTCTAGGTATAGATAATAATAAAAACTTAAAGGTTTAATAAATGGTATTTATTCTAACATTTGTTAGATATTATCTTATTACATTCTATGTTCTTATCCTTCCATTAATGATTCTCTATGCTTAATATTGTATGCTCCATTAATTTAATTGCTTATCTTTAATTCATTAGCAAATAGTTTTTGAAATTAAATCACTTCATCTTAAGTCATTCCTCTTTAATTAGGTTCATCTTCTCTCTTAAAATATTTATAATTAAGTAAAAGTTCATCTCTTTGAAATCTATTTAATTAAATATTTAAGTATCACCTAACAGATTTCTTTTTGCTTTTCTTCTTTTTAATAGATGAATCACTAGAACTTGATGATTAATTTCTTTTTCCCTTCTTTTTTCTATCTTCTTATTTATCCTTCTAATTGTTATTTCTTTTCCATTCTTCAAGCCATGCTTTATATTTAATAAAGCATCGAGACCATTTCTATTAGATCTATTCAATCATATTAGATCTTATATTATCAAAAAGTTTTTTATCTTTTATTTTATATAAAGGTTGAGCAATTTGTGATTCTCTAAAAATTTCTTCATTTAAATTCATTCTAATTAATAATGCCAAAATTTTATCAATCAATTCTTCATTTGTTTAAATTGATTTCAAAGCATCTTTTAAATATTATGTAATTAATTTCATTGAATTAGATTATGCAAACCTTAAATTAATATTAAATAATACATATCTAAAAAATCAGGTAAACATTAAAGTAAATAGGTCACATTTTGAATCTTAGATTAAAGTGTCACTGCAGACTTTAATTATTGATGTAATCTTTTCAAAAGCTCTTTTTATTGTACTTGTTGATCCATCAAATTATAAATTTATTTAAATTATCATTATTATTATTCTTAAATATATTCAATTAGTTCTCTATTTTTTAAAAGTTATTCTATATCCATTAATTCCTTCACCTCTTCTATTAAAAATGTTTCTTTCCTATTAAATAATTCATTCTCCAATCTTAAGTCTTCATCAAGTATTATTAATTCTGTCTCAATTCTCTTCTTACTTTCTGTAATTGAGCTTATATCTCTATTTTCTACTTGTATTTTCTATGTCGATTCTAACAGTTGACTCTTTAATTTCATTGTTTCCTTCTTTAAAACATTAATATTTAATTCAAGCTAATCAATCTTATCAGTATTTAAATTATTAAGTTCACCAACTAACTTATTTCTTAATTAAATTAAGAGTTCTTTTATCTTATTGTAATTAACATAATTACTTATTTATAAGATTATGCATCTCCAAAATTACTCTTTATTCCAATCTGAATTATTTATTTTAACATAGGCAAATCTAATTTTACATTTTTTATTGTTGATTTTCCGAAATTTTCCATTATTTCATTCACTCTCCCTCTTTTTTAAAAGAATCTCATACCAACCTTTTCTGTATCATATATAATAGAATCTATTGTTTAAAGCATTTGATCAATATAATTAATATTTATATCATATTCATCTATCAAAGAACCTAAACTAAAACTATTAATACTAAACAAATTACCTATTTTGCATTTAAATTAATTGAACTTCTTTTTAATCTATTGTTTTGTAATTTTGGCTAATCAATTAATTAAGTCTAATTATTTTTTATTAATGGAACTCTTTTTCTTTTTCTTAAGGACCATCAATAAAAGATGATTATAATAAATCTAAATCTAACAGTTGTGCTTTTAACTACTACATAGATTAATAAATTTAGGTTTTCCTATTAATATGATAATCTTGTAAAGTTGAATATTCTGATTCAAAATCTTCTATAGACTATTCAATCATTTAATTTATTTATGATTGATCTAATTATATCATAGAAATAATTAATGATCCAATTTATCGTTTTTCAATCCGATTTACCTATTATTAATATTTTTGAATTTCCCTTTTGCTTAAATTGATAGCTTAGTTAGAGTTCACTAAAATAATAACTAAAATTAAAGATAATAAACTTACGTACATAACAATATTGCTAACATTAATATTAATAATAATAAGTATAAAATGGAAGAATAATAACAATAAAATTATAGCGATTTAGTAAATCAAGAAATAAAATAAAATAAACCTATAAAATGGGAATTAGATAACATGCCTTAAACAAAAGTTGGTAAAATGAAAAAGGAAGCAGTTTATATCTTTTGGTTTGAATTCATAGGAACATTAATGTTAACATTCTGTATTTATGCCAGCAAGTATTGATTTTCTAATAAAAGTTAAGTAACAATCTTTTTGTTTTTGCTTGTGCCTATGGAATGCTAATATTGGTAGCTTAAAATTAGAAATGCACATTCAATCCTGCAATAACAACAGTGTTATCTGGAAATGATAAAGGATTATGGGTATCAGTGGCAATTGGTAGTTAATTTGGAGGAGCATTTTTAGCAAGCTTAATTGGATTTCTATGTTTTAAGAATTAGTAAAATATTTATAGACTACAAAAAATAGTGTAAATGATGTCCCATACATATAATAAACAGATATTGAAGAGTATTTTGCAGTGATAATTGGAGAAATATTGGGTTCACTTATACTTTGTGCAGGTTTCTTATTTTAATATGATGACCTAATGGATTTCACATCCGACAGATTAGAACATAGTATAATAATTAGTGCTTTGTATTGTGTAGGAAGAACACTTAGTTATGTTGCTAAAAGTAGTCTAAATCCAGCCATTGCATTCAGGTAAATGATACTAATACATAATAGTTTAGTATTTTTTGAGTGTTGTAAGGATGGACATTGGGCAAGATTTTGGAATTTATGGATTTACTCGATTTTACCATTCTTTGGTGCTTTTGCCTCTTTAGCACTCATTAGAATTATTTACAGAGATTGTTATGAAAAATAAATATAAGCCGGTGTAAGACAATGAATAGATAAAATTTTTATAGAAATACATATTTATAAATTATCATTGTTATAATAGTTATTTGTAATATGCTACTGATTAATTATATAACAATGTATATTATTGAATTTCATCAACTGTCCTGTCTGATGAGTGTATTATGGTTTTAATCTAGTCACAGGCTGATGTAAAATTTCCTTATCTCACATATTCAGTTGCAAACCTTATCTTTTATTGTAAATCCTAGATATAATTTTATTATCTCACATCTTAAACAAAGATTTGCTACATTTCCATCAAGATATAATTTAAGGTTACCGCCATTGGATCTACTGACTATTACGATTAGACTGATTGTTGCTGTTATTGCTATTATAGTTATTGCTGCTATTATTGCTGTTATTGTTATAATATTAACATTTATTATTATTATTATTGTTGTTGTTGTTACTGCTGTTATTATTGTTAGGGTTGCATTTGTACATCAGAATCTATTTTAATTAAAATAATATATTTCATACCATGCACATATTGGCACCCTGAACCATTCTTACAAAAATTTAGTTGATGGTATTTACAAGGTACTTATTTAATTCATTTTCCATACTTTTAAACAAAGGTGATTAATTTTTTTATTGCTATTCGATTGTTGCAATTTAAGGTGCAGTAGTGATTGATGAAAGTGCTGAAGCAGGCAAAGGATCTTTTTATCACATTTAAAAAATCTTTTACCATTCATTTGTCTTTATTCTTCTATTCCATGAGCAAATTAACATTTTGAACCTATGGCACATTATTTTGTTGCTTTTTTATATATTCATTTCTCTTACCTTAATAGTGTCGGCAAAGAATTGTTTTATACTTTGCATTTGGAACTGTTGTACTCTATAATTAATTGATCCCAAATTAATATGACATTTAATTATTAAAATATTTATAAAAAAATATTTCTATAAAACAATCTCACAAAGATTACATAAAAAATTAAAGAGAATGCGTAAATAGTATTTTTAAATATTAAAAAAAGACATTTTCAGTAAAACTTGTATATATGATGAAGGATCAAAAGGAATCTTTTTCAAATAATGAATAAGAAAACATCAAATGTTAAAAAATCAAAGAATATCAAGTTTAAAAATATATTTCAGATGAACTTTTTGAAGGGTTTGAAAGTAAAGAAGAGAAATTAAAAATCTTATACCATATTAGGTTAGTGAAAAGTAATAAAAAAAAAAAAGTAATAAAATTGAATAATAGGTAAATATTCTTTGTTTTTTAAGATAGAGTTTAACAGATATTTTTTGAAATCTTGAGTTTTGTTAGTAATATTGAATTTAGGATAAAAAATGATTTTTGGGCAATTGCTTGAATAAACTTAGATATATACACAGGTAGAATTGAGAATTTAAACATTAGGTCATTGGCTATTTCAAACATGAAGTGTGAATAATTCAAGCGAGAGGTTTTGGTAGAGAAGATTACAGATTTATATTTTCCTTATTGCATGGATAGATAAGAGTACATATGACCATAAGGATCAATTTAATAGAAGAGTAGACATTTAATAAAGAATAAGTAAACTTTAAGGGTAATGATCCTTAATCCTTTTTTTAGAGTTTTATTATAAAAAGTGTTAGAAATAGATCCATGTAGCTTTTAATTACTATTTGTTTAGAATATGATATAAATAATAATTTTTATAATAATAAATTTAAATATAATATTGATAATTTAAAAATAATTTTAAAAAATAGTACGTAGTATTAGTGGGTATTTTAGGAATTTAGAATCGAAAGTAATCAAATAATTAAGTAAATGGAAAAAACAAATACTCCTTATTAGGCCTTATTTTAACCATTTAAATTAGGTCTAATAGAAAGAACAGGATGCTTTTCGACAACAGTAGTATCCCCTGGATTGGATTGTAATAACAGAATAACATTATCTGCAATGACAAGAGGCAGATGTGGAAAAGACTTAATTCCTACAGATTAACATGTTGAATACTATGCATAAAGAGCACCTAGTGGGTTTATTGTTACAGAATCAGCTTCTATAAGCGATCGTTCTTTAGCATATGGTGGAGCACCAGGAATATTTAATGATGCTTAAGCTTAAGGATGGAAAAAAGTAGTTGACAAAGTACATTCAATTAAAGGTAACATCTTCATCTAATTACTTCATTGTGGTAGATAAACTCATTCTAGTTTATAAAATGGGTAAATTCCTTTAGCACCATCACCTATAGGAATTCGAGGATAGAATTAGATTGTTAAATAAAACTATGAAGTTCCTTAAGAGATGTCTTTATAAGATATTACTTTAGTAGTAAAATAATATAGAGAGGCAGCAGAAAGAGCAAAAAAAGTTGGTTTTGATGGAGTAGAGTTAAACGCAGGACATGGACATTTACCAGATTAATTTTTAAGAGATAGTGCTAATAAAAGAACTGATGCTTATGGTGGGAACCCATAAAATAGATGCAAATTTTTACTAGAAGTTGTTTAGTAATTAATAGAAGTATTTGGAGCAAACAGAATTGGTGTTAAATTAACTCCTGTAACGCATCATGCTGATATGAATGATTCAAATCCCATACAATTATATTAAACTTTGTTGAGATCATTAAGCAATTTGAAAATTGCATATGTTGTTCTCAAAAATGAAAATGATCCAGACAACTTCTAAGATTTCGGATATCCATCCTCAAAAAAATAAATCCCTTGTGTTTATTCAGCATTTAGAAACTATTTTACAGGTGCTATTGTTGCAAATGGTGGAATTTCTTTAGAAGAAGCAGATTAAGGAATCAGATTAGGAAAATTCGATTTCGTTGCCTTTGGTCAACTTTTTATATCAAATCCAGACCTTGTTGATAGAGCTAGAAATGGCTATTAATTAAACAAAAATATAGATTGGGGAACTGCTTTCTATGGAGATTAAAAAGGATATACTGATTACCCAAAATATTAGGTATCATAAAATGTTTAAAGTGAATTATTAAAACCCTTAAAGATTAATGATTTATTCTTACCAAATAGAATAACTATGTCAGCAATGGATAGAGTAAGAACTCCAGCTCCATATATTCCAACTGAATTGAATGCATTATATTATGCTTAAAGAGCAACAGCTGGATTAATAGTTTGCGAAGCAACTCCAGTAAGTTAAAGATCTATATCATATCCAGGATCACCATGTATCTATAATGATGAATAAGCTAAAGGTTGGGCTTTAGTAACAAAGGCTGTACATGATAAAGGAGGTAGATTGTTTTTATAATTATTTCATGGAGGAAGAAAAACTCATTCATCATTATAAAATGGTTTAGAACCTTGGGCTCCATCTGCAATTGCAATAAGAGGAAATTGTTATAGTGCTTAAAATAAACCTTTTGAAGTACCACATGAAATGACTGAAGCTGAAATATAATTAACCTTATAAGAATTTGTTGATGCAGCTAAAAGAGCTAAAACTGCTGGATTTGATGGAGTTGAAATTAATGCTGGTAATGGACATCTACCTGATTAATTTCTTAGAGATAGTTCTAATAAAAGAACTGATTAATGGGGAGGTAGTGTTGAAAATAGATGCAGATTTGTCATTTAACTTGTATAAAAATTAAATGCAATCTATCCAGGTAGAGTTAGTATTAAATTCACTCCTATTGGTCATACTGGTGACATGAATGATAGTAATCCTATTTAATTATATACATATCTTTTAACATAATTATCCAAACTCAATTTGGCTTATGTCACGTTGGTTGAAGATAAAAGTTAAGAGAATGCTGAAGGTTTTGGTTATCCTGCTTCTGATAAGTAAATTTAAAATCTTTACAAATCATTGAGGCCACATTACAAAGGAACTCTTTTTGCAAATCATTCTATCACTCCTGAAAGAGCAAATCAGGATATTAAAGATGGCTTGTATGATGCAGTTTCCTTTGGATAATTATATATAAACAATCCAGATTTGGTATATAGAGTCAGAAATGCTTTCTAACTCAATACTAATTTTGACTTCAAGACCTATTTCGGAGGTGATGAAAAGGGATACACTGATTTCCCCACCTTTGATGAGGAAAAGAAGCAATGAAAGGATTTTGATTATTATATCATAAGTATCAAAAATTATAAATACACATTAACAATATTATTTACTATCACCCATAACATTCATTTTTATTATGATTGACTCCTATCAACCATCTTCATTATGAATATTGGTTGAAATTTAAATTAATCCCACTCGTTTTCCTTTACTAAATCATTATAATATTCCTCATATTCGTCTTCCTTTTTAGAATAAACTGATATCTAAGATATTACCTCATTTGCACATATTTCTTAGAGTAAATCTTCTTATTACTATTATTTCCTATAACTTTAGCATGAATCCTCTTTTTTCTTAAACTGTATCTAATTAATTAGATAAAACTATGGGGTGTTTTATTCATGCAAGTTTCTTTCAGTTGTTATATCCATTACTGATTCATCAATCCTTTTTGGCCTTATCTGTTATAGTCCTTTATCTATTTTTAAATTCAATTCTAATTTCCTAGTGAACACTGGAATTTTCACTGACGGTCCTTAATATTATATATCACTTTAAATCTGTTTATTATCTTCATTAGAACTACTTTATAATTAATTACAAGAGCTGCCCATGATAATTTTAAATATAAAAATTATTCTTAATTATAAACAATCTGAACCAAGCTTTTTCTTAACTATATTTTTCTTAAAATAAAACTATCTAAACATTTCTTTAACTTTATAAAGATCAAATGTCTAAAAAGAATCATATTTATTGAATTTTAGTAAGTTAAAATTTAAAATTTAGCAGGTGAAACAAAATTAAAAGTTATATCACAAAAATTAGAATTATTAAATCTACGTTTTAGTAATTAAAATTTTTACTTAACTTAAATTGTGATTTATATTTAAAAAATAGATTTCATACATTATCAAACGATTTTTATCTAATCTTGGACATCCATATATATTGAAAATTTCATTAATTAAAAATATTTTAAATTGAAAATTCAATAAAGGCATATGTAGAGTATAATATAAGAGGTAAAAAAGGTTAAAGAATAATTTTTATTTTTAAAATATTTTATATTATCAGTTATTAATTTAAATAATGAATAATTAGTCTTCAAAATCTGTAAGATTCAATGAAGGTCATAAAGTGTTGTAACCTGTAAACACAAACACAACTAGTTCAGGATCAAGCAAAGTATCAAAAGTAACATCAGCAATTCAAGAGTTGAGAACATCATTTAATAATCAAGCATAAAAGTTAACATCATCAAGAGTGTCAGATTAATTGAATGAATCTGTGGCTACTATAACAAGAAGTCCGGGTCATTCATGTACACCAAGTATTTGTTAGCCATGTTAACCAATGTGTCAACCTATGTATTAATCTGTCTGTTAACCATAATTTGTATGTTAACAATAACCAATGTGTGCTCCTTAAGCATATGTAGTTTAAGGAGGGAATGATTAAAGAAATTTAGAGAAAGAGATAAAGAAGTTAAAAAAATAGAATAAGAAATTAAAAGAAAGCAAAGAAGAAATAGTAGTTTCAACAATAGCTGAGACTCCAAAAAGATAAAGACCATAATAGAATATAAAGGATCCTGAAATAGATACAATAAAAAGAGAAATTTAGGAGATGGAGAGGATTATAAGATAAATGGAATAATAACCAAAGCAACAAAGTAATTCAGAGATAGAAGTGTATTTGGAGGACAATAAAAAGTGTTTGAAGAAAATGTGCAAAAAGATAAAATCATTAGAAAAAGAACTTTATGAAGTAGGTAGACAAAGGGATGAAGCATTAATAATAAAGTAGTAATTAGAGAGAGAAAATTAAGAGATGTTTGATAGAATAGGAGAATTAGAATCATTACTAAAAGTAGCTGATAAAAAGTAATTAAATTATATAAATAATAGAGTATTTGACTTAACAGTATAATTAGAGAGATAAAATGGTTATGTAAAATAATTAGAAGATGAAGTAGAGAGATTAAGAAAGAAGAAAAAGAAGAAATAAATAGAAATCTAAGAGAGAGTTGTTGAAAAGATAGTAGAAAAACCAGTTGAAGTAATTAAAACAGTTCATGTTAATTAACCTCAATAAGTGTAAGTACAGGATTAAAAACCTGTTGAGATAATTAAGGAAGTGATTAAGGAAGTTCCATCAGAACCTAAGATAGTAGAAAAGATAGTTGAGATACCAAAAATTGAATATGTTTATCAACAAGTTCCTTAATATATAGAAGTTCCAAAAGTTTAAACAGTTGAAGTGCCTGTAGTTTAAAGAATAGAAGTTCCTTATGAAGTTCCTTATTATAGAGATGTTCCTTATGAAGTGATTAAGGAAGTTCCTTATGAAGTGATCAAAGAGGTGATTAAAGAAGTTCCATATGAAGTTATTAAAGAAGTTCCTTATGAAGTCATTAAAGAAGTGCCAATTTACATAGAAGTTCCTGTTGATAGAATTGTAGAAAAAAGAGTTGAAGTTCCAGTTGATAGAATAGTAGAAGTTCCAGTTGATAGAGTTGTTGAAGTACCTGTTCCTTATGAAGTCCCTTATCCTTATGAAAGAGTTGTTGAAGTCCCATATGAAAGAATTGTGGAAGTTCCTTATGAAAAAGTTGTTGAAGTTCCCAGAGATAGATATGTAGATAGATATATGGACAGATACATTGATAGACCAGTTGATAGATATGTTGAAGTACCAGTAGAAAAGAGAGTTGAAGTTCCTTATGAAAGAATTGTTGAAGTTCCAGTTGAAAAGATAATTCAAGTACCTGTAGAGAAGATAGTAGAAGTGCCGGTTGAAAAAATAGTGGAAGTTCCTGTTGAAAGAATAGTAGAAAAATATGTGAGAGATGATGCAGAATTGGAAATGCTTAATATTGAAAATAGAGAGTTATAAAGAATTATTGGTATTTGGGAAGATAGAGCTTATAAATTAGAAAATGAAATTATTAAAGAAAGAAGAATCTCTGATATGTTAAGATATGATATAGATGAATTAGAATTTTTGGTTGAAAAGGGTAGGGCTTTCAATAGGGATCAATAAGAATAGTTTGGAAAATATTTGAAAGAATTAAAATCTAAATATGAAGGCAAAATTATTGAAGCAAGAAAGGGAGTTGTCATTTAACATAAATTTTAACCTGCTGAAGTGTAACAAATCATACCTATTTCTACAGGTATTTCTTAAAATGTACAACAATTTGTTGGATAAATGCCTAACTAATGATTTATTAAACATATATAAATTCTATTATACTTTATTATATATAATAATATGTTCTTCTAGTTTAATAATTTATCTTATCTTGATCTTATCTCATTTATTAATAAATTTATATATATATTAAAAAAAGTTATTATTATCATTATTGTAACCAGTTATCAGGAATTATTTAAAGATTTTCATCTTCAGTATAATTCAATAATTTTCCATTTTACCACTGTCCTACTCTTTTTTTACCATCTGGATATATCATTACTCCTCTTCCATGTTATTTACCGTCTTTCCAATGGCCTTAATATTGTTTGCAATCTGGCCAATAAAATATCCCAAATCCTTATTTTCGATCATTCTAATATTCACCGTCATAACATTTGCCATCCTACCAAATGTACTTCCCTCTCCCATGCATTTGATTACAGGCCCAACTACCGGAGTAAGACTGGAATTATTATCTATCAACATACCCTTCCATCAGGCCAATCATATTTTCCAATCCCATGAATTTTATTATTCTTCCATTCGCCAATATAAACACATCCTTAATACCATTTGTAGCATCCTTTTCCAGATTTTTTACCTTCTTTAAAATTTCCCTCGTATATAGAACCATCTGGCCAAGATTCCATTCCAAATCCATCTGGTTTGTTATATAAAAATTGACCTTCGAAAATTGGTCCATTTTTATAGTTATAGATTCCTTTTCCATGCATCAAATTATTTAAAAAATCACCTTCATAATAATCTCCATTTTTTAACCATAATTTTCCATGTCCATTAGCTTAACCATCTTTAGTTTATCCGAAAAATTTAGAATCATCATCCATTTACAATTCTTCTGATTTGAATGACTCTGATGGTATGGTATGTTGACTTTCTTTTTGTATTTTTGAAAATATCATGCTTTTTTCTTCCAGTGTTTTATTAATATTTGTCGAAGGTGGATAATCTATAAAATTATATACTGATTCTATTATACTTGGATCACTTTCGAAACTATCCTCAAGATCCTCCATATACATACAATGTTTATGATCTGTAACCACATTAGCAAGAATTAATTCATTCTCATTATTGATTTAGCATTTTGAGCACTAAAGACCCATATAATTTATATTAAATTATTTAAAATATTTCACTGATTAAAGGATTTAACAATCAAAACATAATAAAATGTATCATTATCATAAAAATAATTTCATAAATATGGAAGTTAGAATTCTGATTGTTTAAAATGAGGCTAATAATATAATTAAGTTATTTTTACAGTTTAATATTTTAGATCTTATTATGAATATGTTCTTCTCTTGGGATAAGTAGGCATATCATTCGAATTAAGAGAATCAGTATTTGTATGAGTTTGATGAATCATTCTTTAATAATAAATAGGAGTCAACTTACCAGATTGTTTTGATTATTAACTGGACAAAATAGATTTATCTAACAATATTTAAGTTGAATCTCTTGTAATATTTTTATATTACTAAAGTTTTCTTAATATAGATTTTGGTAAATGGTCTCCAGATTAATCTAAAATTTCATCTCTATCATTCTTATCATTTTTTATTGTTGAAATGTTAGTGAAATTACATAAATTACCTTATAATTATTATTATTAAAATAAACTTAGTATTCCTTCCTCAAAACTTCTACCTCCTGTATAATCAATAGATTATTGATTATCATTCATAAAATCAAATTGAATATCAAATTATTGTTTTGCTTTTTTAATAAATTTTGATTGCTAATTTTTTAATTATGATAAATCCTTTTATTTTTTACTCCTTGGTGAAAGTAATTAGTTTATTTTCTTATTCTTATTTTATATTTCATTAAATATTTTTTATCTAACTTGATTATCTATCAAACTTAAATTTTTATGCCATTTCATATGATTTTGTTCTATTTTAGGTAAAGTCATCATTGAACTATTATGAGGTAAAGATTATCTTTTAATTCTCTTTTTTAACAATGACTCATCATCACCTTTCTTTTTAGTATCTTCTAATTTCTAATTCATTTATGTTATAAAATCTTATGTCTCCACATCCACTTTTTAAATGCCTTCATAATCTTATTTTAATTCACTCAATTTTCTCCTTGCTTATTAAACTTATACATTATTTTCTTCATCTTCTATATCATCATATGGTAACTTCATTATTTCTTTAATCTTTTAAAATCTCTCTATCTTGCTTTTATTTTAATCATTAATCTATTGTATTAGTTCTTCTCTATTTGATACAAAACTTAAATGTGATATCAAACTCTTATAATATATTGGAAGATATCCTTCATCTAAGCTTTTTCTCACTCTCATTGCAACTTATGTAAATTCTATATTTTCAATATCATATTAATTACATTCACCAACTTCTTAATCAAGAACTGATTTTTAAAACTCTTCCAAATCAATCCATTCTACTTTAATAATACTTTTATACTGCTTTTATCTTCATCAATCTTTTCGAAAAGCATTCTTACTTAATTTCTATTTATGCTCATTCCACTCTTCACACAAATATCATACAATTTATCAATCGCTAATTTATCTATTTATACTTTCTAATTTATAATACTTTCTTTCTTTTTATCCAAATTCTCAAATATAACTTACGCTCTTTCTTACTATTTGTTTTCCTCTGGTAAATACAAATAACTTGGCTTTACTTTTTAAGGAAATCTAAATATTACATTAAAATTTACCTCTTCTTATACCAATCTAAGATATCTGATGACTATAATTTAGATCTTTTCATTTTTAGTTTTTTATTACTTTTTATTAATTAATTATATATATATATCAAAATTGAATTAATATTTTTATTAGTTGTATTTTTCTTTAGTAATCTTTTTTTAAGTAATTATTATGGAACTAATTAATTGATTAAATCATTTCTAATTATGAAGTTCTATTATATTTATAGGTGAAAAATACTATCAGGATTTATGTAATAATTTGATGAAATTTAAGCAAAATTATATTTATTACATAAATAATTATGAACAAATTTGAAGATGATTTGAAATATGCTTAAAAAGCCAATGGAAATGAGTTTTTAAATTGGTTATAAAATGTTAGCTTTGAACTCATAAAATAAAGAGAATATTTATATGGATAAGAGTTTTTGAAATTCTAACATCTAGTATATGAACTAATATTCAAATAAGATGGAATATTAAATAGTAGTTTTCGAACAACCTAAATGCGATTTGGATCTATAGAAGATACACTGTTTTTTATCAAAATATTAAATACCCTTTCACCAAATGAACAATCATTCTATCAATCATTACCATCTGAATATCCTTATAATTCAGTTTAAATTGATATATTACCTGCTCATTTACAATTATATTTAAAGGATCCTTCTATTGTTAATATGAATTCTTAATTTTAAACTTTTTAAGAAATTTTCTAAGACAACATTTTAGTTGAAAAAAATCAATTAAAATTTTGTGTTAGTCCTAAAATGATGTTTTGGATCTATTTATTAAATGGTGCTATTAATTTCAAAGAAAGTGCATTACATGCAACAGAAAACAGTTAAAAAATTCTTGATTGTGCATTTAGTAAATGCAAAAAGAAATTTAACACCAAAGACTTTTTACTAAAATAGTTAACTTTTAATCCTTACTTAATTTTAATAAGAAGAATTATTGAATTTATGGTTTAGTAAATTAAACCAGGTTATTCTATGTAAAATAATTAAAATAAACAAGTTATTATATTCACATTTAAATAAATGATAATTTTATTATAAGAATATTCAGTGTATGAACATTTATATGTTTAAAAGTTACTTGATTTAAACCTAAATAATGAATAATAAAAATTGTTTTATAAAATTAAACCAAGTAGTGTTATATTAGATACACAAATGATGTTAGTCTATCTAACCATATTTTTTAATAATATGTATGGTTAAGATTTAGAAGCTACTTATTAATAGTTTAAACATTTTATCAAAAGTACAGATATCTTAAACAAGCAAAGTCAAATTTAAACTAATAGAGGATTCTTTTTTGAATGTGGAAGATAAAAACAATAAATCACTTATTAATAAGGATTATATAAATTTTTATAAAATTCATTTGAATTATATCATAATGAAAGATAATGTAATTAAATCTCACTACTTTCACATTTAGCTACATATGTCCTATTTTTAAGATAAGAATTTGCAGCATATGAGATTTCTATATATAATTAGGTATTAATATTTGATTAAGCATTAATGTCTTGTTTAGTATCATAGAATGCAATATTAAATTATCTCTCTAAGCAATAAAATTTTTAATATAAAAGTAACAATCCAATAACTCGATTTATATTAACAGAACTCTAACCTATTTATTAAATACTCAAAAACAAATTTGGATAATGTCCTTAAGCAATTCTATTTAAATAATTTAAACCTTCAAATTTATTTAAACCATTAGAATAAAAATTTAATTCTCTTGAATATTAAATAGACTTTCATTATAGAGAATTAAAACAGCATTAAAAGGAAATTAAAAATATATTGAGAGTATATTATCCATTTTACACTAAATTATTAATGACAATACTAAAATGCATTAATAATTTAAGCTATATAAATGAATCTGAATATCAAGGCATAATGCATCTATTTACTTTTATATATTCATAAAATTAAAATTCTTTTTTTTGTGATTTATTAAAGTTTTAGAATAATTAACCATATTAAATTCCTACTTATTCAGAAGTTAAGAATTTTTGTGATATCTATGTTAAAAATAGCAAAGAGGAAGAATTTTATATAAAACAAAATGAAAACATAGGAAAATGGATATAATAAATAATTATTTTACTAATGCAATTTTAACAATAAAAGAACATAAAAAATGATATAATTGTATAATATTTAGGAGAATAATTCGGAATTGCATTATCTTCAATAAAAATAGTTCCAATGAGAAATTTAAGTCCGTCAAAGAGTACTGGAAGATTATCTAGAACAAAAGTGTAAATATAATTAGTTAAATTTAGTTAAATAAATTAATGGAAGGCTCCTTTAAGAGATTATGAATTTTATTTTCTCTTTATTTTAATGTGGTATTTTAGTATATGCTTAGATAAATTACGAGGTTTAAAAAATAATGAATATCCTTTAACTTAATGGCCTAGAAAGCTAGTTTCACCTGTAAATCTTTTAATTGTGTCAATTTTAACATACATTATCATAACCTTAATTTTCATGATCATTTGACCTATATTTGTTTACATTTATAATTTTAAATTAATAATCACTTTAATTTGTATGAGCGAATAAACTGTCAGTTCAACAGCAAAAAATATATAAAATATTGAAACAAAATAATTCACTTATGCTGCTAATGAGTTGAATTCCTTTGTTTCTATAACTAGAGCTTAAATCCATTTAATATCATGGACATATTATCAATCATATTCATCACTTACTGGCACTATTCTAGTTTTTTCATTATTTCTATAAATTCTTTCTCAGAAAGTGGTCCATTCCTATCTTTGCTTTTTTTCTTTAACTTTTTGGCTTTTTAAATCTTCTTCGAACATTAAATATCTCCTTCTTCATCAAAAGGACATTTCTTTTCATCGTTAACATATTTCAAATCTCCAAAATCTACATCAAAAGATTAGTCATTTTCATTTTAGAAGCAATCATCTTGAATTGAAGGTTCAGGACTTTGCATTCTAAATAAAGATTTATTGAAATTCAATTTAGAAAGGTATTGATGACATTCTTCTGAGATTATATCATTATTTTCTTAAGGCTAAGGTAAATTGTCATATAAGAATGCGCTGATATCCATTAAGAGATTTAATAAAAAAATATAAATTATCAATTGAAAGATATTCAAAATCAGCTTTTATGATGACTAAGTTGATTTAATTATTAAATCTTTATTTGAACTATTTCCGATAATTAGATAATTAGATGCGTATTAATTCTAAAATTAAACAATTTCTTCAAATTTAATAGTAAAGCATCTTGATATAAGAACTCTATTTAAAATATATATACGTGTAAGTTTTATTTATTATTATTATAATAATTCTAAATTATGTCATAATTGCATCAATTATTTTTAAAAAACACTCTTTAATGAGCGAACATAAAATATTTAACCTTACTATATTTTTCATTTTTTATTTCTATGAAAAAAGTAAATAAATATTATTTAAACATCTTTCGTATAAATAAAGCAATTTATTATATAAATGAATTTTTATTATACAATGAGAAAAGATATTCAAAATTTAGATTAATTTTTATCTTTAAAAATAAAAAAAATGGTAATTATTTCAAAATAAAGAAAAAATTTTTTGATTGGCAAATTAAAAGATCAATTAGATGACTATTCTAGTTATAATTGGAGAATTAAAATTTTTATTTTTTTCTCAATCCTCAGATATTTTTTATTAATTGCTATTAATTGTTTATTAATTAAATAAACTTTTTATAAAAACTTTAAGTCCAAATAAACCTCCATTAAATCATAAATTTTTTAATTTTTTATTAATTAAAAGCTTAGAGAATAAGGTATTCATAAGGAATAAGAGATATTTAGAAATAAATGATTAATATTCTTCGAAATCAATATATCTATATTTGAAGGTTTTTATTCTCAAAATAGAAATGTTGTATTGATTTAAAATTTTGTATTATTAAACTCTAAGATTGTTAGAGAAATGAAATTATTAAATTAATGAATAATCAGATGAATATATTTATGAACGTTAAATGAATATATATTAGTATATTGATTTTATTTTATAAAACATATTACATCCAAAAACCTTTATAATGTAAGAAATAAAATAACAAAAGGATTGTGTCTAAGACTTTCAGTCATATAAGAAATCGACCTTAATCAGGGATCATTTATGATACTAAAAAACTTGAGAAAGTGTCTCCAAATGGTTTAAAGATGATGATTCCTGGAGTAGGTGAATTGAATGACTTAGATAAATTTGTATTGAAACCATCCCCTAATAAATTTAGAACACTATCTACAAGAAAAACTAATGTAATTAATGATAGTTCAGTTACACAAAGCAAAACTAATCATACAGAAATCGTAAAGTATTTATTTCAACTATATNATTCTAAATTATGTCATAATTGCATCAATTATTTTTAAAAAACACTCTTTAATGAGCGAACATAAAATATTTAACCTTACTATATTTTTCATTTTTTATTTCTATGAAAAAAGTAAATAAATATTATTTAAACATCTTTCGTATAAATAAAGCAATTTATTATATAAATGAATTTTTATTATACAATGAGAAAAGATATTCAAAATTTAGATTAATTTTTATCTTTAAAAATAAAAAAAATGGTAATTATTTCAAAATAAAGAAAAAATTTTTTGATTGGCAAATTAAAAGATCAATTAGATGACTATTCTAGTTATAATTGGAGAATTAAAATTTTTATTTTTTTCTCAATCCTCAGATATTTTTTATTAATTGCTATTAATTGTTTATTAATTAAATAAACTTTTTATAAAAACTTTAAGTCCAAATAAACCTCCATTAAATCATAAATTTTTTAATTTTTTATTAATTAAAAGCTTAGAGAATAAGGTATTCATAAGGAATAAGAGATATTTAGAAATAAATGATTAATATTCTTCGAAATCAATATATCTATATTTGAAGGTTTTTATTCTCAAAATAGAAATGTTGTATTGATTTAAAATTTTGTATTATTAAACTCTAAGATTGTTAGAGAAATGAAATTATTAAATTAATGAATAATCAGATGAATATATTTATGAACGTTAAATGAATATATATTAGTATATTGATTTTATTTTATAAAACATATTACATCCAAAAACCTTTATAATGTAAGAAATAAAATAACAAAAGGATTGTGTCTAAGACTTTCAGTCATATAAGAAATCGACCTTAATCAGGGATCATTTATGATACTAAAAAACTTGAGAAAGTGTCTCCAAATGGTTTAAAGATGATGATTCCTGGAGTAGGTGAATTGAATGACTTAGATAAATTTGTATTGAAACCATCCCCTAATAAATTTAGAACACTATCTACAAGAAAAACAAATGTAATTAATGATAGTTCAGTTACACAAAGCAAAACTAATCATACAGAAATCGTAAAGTATTTATTTCAACTATATATAAAGAAATTCACCAGTTGTTTAAGACTTAAGTAAAAAGATTCCATTAAATATGGCTAAAGATAAAGTAATAAATTAAATATATATAAATAGGATGATTTATATGCAGAAACTGTGTATTTGAAGGATATTATAAATAAGTTAACTTAAGAAAATTATGATCTAAAAGCAAAAATGAGATTTTTAAATAAAAATACTGAGAGGATGTAAACAGTTGTACAAAATGTAGGAGGATATTTATAATAAAAATACGTTGCTGATAAACAAGATTTAGCATTGATGACTAAATTAGGAATTAGTGAAGTATGTAATATTATTTTATACTTTATATAGAATCTATTGACAATAACTTTAAAGAAATAAATTAAAGAATTACGAAGCATGATTAAATAATAGAATGAAGAAATCTAAAATTTAAAACATGATATAAAATATACTAAAATATAAGAAATGGAGAAGGAAATTAATGTATTTTAAGAGGAAACACTTAGATTAAGAACTCTATTAGAATAATCTTAAAGAAATGAATAAATAATTCAAATGACACATGATTTTAATTAATTTGAGGAGAAATTCTATATTTAAATGCAAATTATTAATTCTCTTAAATAAGAAAACACATTCTATTAAGGTTAAATAGCAATTGAATAAGAAGAAAAGTTTAAACTGTAAAATCAAATTGATACAGATTAGAAAGTTCTAAATAAATAAAAATAGATAATAGATGATCTTTAATAAACTCTTAAAGATAAATTAGCTTATATTGATGGACTTTAGTCAGAATTAGATGCATATAAAGATACAAATTAGAATCTTATTTAAAAAGCTAATAAATTAGATAATAATTAATTAAGAATAATAGGATTAGTTAAAATTGAATAAGATTTAAGAAAAGAGCTTTAATAGAAAACAAGAGATATTGAATATTTAGATAAAACAACAACTGAGTTGAAATAAAAATTAAATGAAAAATCATCGATGGAAGCAAAGATAAAGGATTAATTATAAGAAGAATTGAAGAAACTTAAATTAGCATATGAAGAATTGGATGAAAAATATAAACATTTATTATTAATAAATGCTTAATCAAGATTAAAGGAAACTGCTCCTTCTATTTAGAATAGGTAAGCTCCAACTGCAGCTACTCTTAATATAAAGACTTAGAGACCATTAAATTAAAATAATACTCCAGATAGTATCAATTAAGATAAAAATTAATAATAATAAAAATTTAAGGTTATTAAAAAAGAAGATGTAGAACATTTAGGATTAGAATTAAATTATAGATTGAGAACTAAAAAAATAACTTTACCAGATGCAATTGAAAGATATTTATTTGATAATAAAAATAAAAAGACAGGAGAAATAAAATTAAAAGAAATATCAGAAAGATTATAAAGAGAACCTTTTTTATTACTTGATGAAGATTCAGCTTTATTAGTTGCCAGATATCTTACTGAAGATAATTCTTAAGAATTTGTAGTCTATAATGATTAATTAACATAATCTACAACTATTGTTAGAAGCATCTTATCAAAATTGGTAGGCACTTTTGAAATTTTAACTACAGATATTGAAACTTAAAAAACAAAAGAAATAACTTAAGTAAACTTTTATTGAAATTTTTAGGTTATTAGCAAGTATAAAAATAGTTTAAAATAATATTTTGATTAATTGCCAAGTAAATATGAAGGATTATTAGAAAGAAAATAAATTATTGAAACATTTGAATATATGGATATTGATTTAACTTCTGAATAGTATGATTTTCTATTTTTGAAATTATTCTCATATTCTAATAATACTTAGATATTTCCTTATATTAGAATTTTTGAGATTTTCTAAGAAATTTAGATAGAGAGAAGTAAATAATCTAAATAATAAGAATAGTTGATAGTGATAAGAAGAAGAAATCAAGGAAAAAAGATTTTAAAGATTAAGCTGAAAATAAAAATAAAAAAGTAGAAATATTTACAAGAAGACAATCTATGGAATTAGCGAATTGAATAAATTTGTATTAATTTTTAATTTATTGTTTTTAAAATAAGAAATCAAATTATTTCTGATAACTATTCAGTTAGTTTATCAAAATACAAACATCTTTCATTTTCATTAATATATTCCCATTCTTGCCAAAAATTATCAAAATATATTCTAACAAAACCTATTTTACTATCTAATTCAAATTATCCTAAACCTTTGAAATATTGATTAATCTATAATGGCGAAATTTATTAACTATCTTTAATAATCTAATAATGATATGATAATGAATTTTCATGTTTGCACATAGAATCTAATCTATTTGTTGGTAATTTAAAATAAACTAAAGAAAGAGTCAGATTTCTAAAAAAACAAAATTCTTCAATATCTTTACTTAAAACAGTCAATAGATCTTTGGCAGCACTTTATGATAACTTAAAATCATTATCCTCAATTTTAATTTAATATTTATCATCAAATAACTTTTCTGCAATAAATAGTTAAAACTATCCTTTTCCTAAACTTAATTATACCCAGCCAAAGACATCTTATTAAATTAATTAATCTTATTATTCAGGAATATTAAATGAAATTAATGATAAAGGATAGTTTATTTTAAGTTAGTTTAATTTTAATACAACATTTATAAATCTATCCTCTTCAATTTGTATTGTATACAATCCAAATATAGCAGGTAATAATGTATTACCATTTTTAGATTTAATATATTCAGTTTGATAACGCTTACAAATATTCATTAATCCTCCACCCTTTGTTAAGAGTAGTTTGTGTTATTTAGAAATTATTTCTATTGTAAAATAATTATCATAAGTTAAAAATATCGGTCCAAAAGATTATGGTAATTTAGTATTGAGTAATCTTTTTGTATTTTATTCAATTCTTAAACTAGTCCTAAGTTGATTTAAATCAATATTTAACATCTAACTAAAAAGATAAATAAGAGTATTGCTTGCATAACTATAACAATTTATAACCCTTTTATAACTAATTTCATTAACATAATCTTTTAAACACAGATTCTAATAATATAAAAGATATAATGATACATTAAAATTCTTATATTTTTAATCTAGATCTTTATAATCATCTTACAAATATAATGAGTATTTTGTAATATGAGTAAAATTAAATGGTTTAAGATTTTTAAAGGATGATTAATTATTTTGAATGCATTGATTAATAGCACTTTTAATAGATAATAATATTATAAATAGTTCTTAATTACTTTTGATCAATTTAGTTTGAAATCCACTTCCTATTGCAGATGTAATTGTAATATCTTATGATATTTAATTTTCATTAAGCCCTTGTTTAACTGTATATCTAAGTTTCTTATTATTATTACATACACTTATTTCAAGTCCTGAGTCTAAACTCATTTATTCAATGCCATCGAACTATTAGAAATTAATTGATACATTTGATTTTTGTAAAAGTTTATCCTTTAATTTACAATTTTAGTTAGTTTTTTTATTTCCGATGAGCATATTGTATAAATACTTTTTGACAATAGGATCATTTATTCTAATCAAAAAGAGTAATATTCCACCTAAAGGATAAATAATTGGAAAAAAATAATAATGATAATCTTGAACTGAAAACAATTAACTCCAAAATATAAGACATGATGGAATCATATAAGTTACAAGAAATACTGTAGTATAGAGTGTATTAACAATTTTGAATTATTTATGATATTTCTAATGAAATTTTTCTGAATCTTTATTATATAGAGTCGTTTTGAATATTGACTTTTCAATGGCTATGAAAAAGAGTAATATTAAAACACTTATTGCGATGAGTGCTAAAATAGCACTCAAAGATTTAGACATCTATTATGCTAATGATAAACCACAAACTCCAACAAAGCTAATTACTTAGTATTTATACTTTATTTTAACATCATTTATGATGAATATTGTTAAAGTAAATAAAAATGAAAATATGAAAGAGGATATTTCCATGTATTTAAAGTATTTACTAAAATTATAGTTCTATCTTTTGAGTGAACAGTATAAATTTATTGGAAAATAAACATTATAGAGTATATATTCAGAGGAGAAAAATATTTCAATAAAACCTAGAAATGAGCAAAAACTAGTAGATATTTAAAAGGCACCACCAATTGAACTATCTTATGTTTCAATGTAAAATTAAGCAAAAAACATTAGAAATGTTATTATCTAATAAAATTGTTTCAATACAATTTATGCTATGGTCATTCTTTAAATAATGCTCCCTGGATTTTTACTTAATCTTGGTGTTTTGAAGAATGTCCATAAAATTAAAGCACACCCAGTCATCGATAAAAGGCATAAAATTATCACAAATATTCTTGCTATCAATTTTTCTGATTATTACATTAATTCATATATGATTTTGAATGTAGAATATTTCAATATAAAAATCAAAATAAAAAATTGTAAAAATTACATATTATCATTAAAAAATGTCTAAGATCTGCAAGATATACATTTTCATCTTTTCCATCTCCATTAGTTTCAGTGCAATATTTGAAATAAAATCTTAATAAAGTTAAAGTTTTAGTAAAATAATAGCTTATAAATAGATTGTTCATGGTACCTTCCTTAAATGAATCGTAATGCAGAATTAGAATATAAAAAATAACATTTTTCTGGAGCAATTCGTTTTGATATTGATTCATTCTAAAAAATATAGAGAATCAAAATAAAGGAAAGAAAGGAGATTAAGTTTTAGATGCTAGACCAAGTGCAAGATTTAATGGAGAAGTACCTGAACCAAGACTTGGATTATCAAGTGGTCATATGCCTTATTCTACTTCATTAGCTTTTAGTTAATTAATTGATTAAAAAACAGGATTAATGAAAAATATATAATTATTTAATTAAAGATATATTTAGCTAGAAGAAATCAAAGAAATATTAAATAATCTTAATATTGATGTTAATAGAAATATTGTATGTTTATGTGGATCAGGTGTTACTGCAGCTATTATTTATGTTGCATTAGAAAAGATAGGATTAAAAAATATATCATTATATGATGGAAGTTGGAGTGAGTATGCTGCCACAAAAGATGTTGAAATCTAAAAGAAATGAATTTATAATATATTTAATAAATTTAATGAGAATATTTAAATAAGCATTTGAAAGTATTCAAGGAAAAAAAGGAGAAGATGAAAATAAATCAGGTTCTAAAGGATCATTCTATATTGAAGAATAATTTATGACTCCAGAGTTTCTATATAAACAAAACCATAAAGAAGTTTAATAAGGAACTTAAAAGAAAATAAATTTAACGAAATAATTTTTTTTAACAATGTCAACCATGGAGAATAAATTTAATTTATCTCCAATTAAATAAATCAATATGGTTGATTAATTAGTAGGAATGTATTAAGAATGTGTACAATAATATGATACTTAAATGGATCCTATTAAATATTATTTTTTAGATAAAATTAGAAATATAGTTTAATAAGCTGATAAATTTACATAAAGAGAACCAAGATCATTGTAATCTTCAGACAGAAAAATGTAATCTAATTATAATAATTATTAGTCAATAACCAATCTAGATTATGAGTAATGATGTTTCATATTTTAAAGATTTTGAAGATTTTAATGGAAGAATTGATAAACCTACAGAATATGCTACTCCTAAAAATGAAGAATAATATCAATAAATTGATAATAAAAAACTTGTTATTTAACTTTAAAATTTTATTGAAGAAGGTAATCATAATAAAGAAAATCCAGATATTATTATGAAGAACCATGAATCACCATAAACTTAAATTAATGAAACTAAATTGCCATTTAAATAAGAAGATTCTTCTTTAAAAAAGAGATCACCAAAAGTGGAATTTAGAAATGAAAATAATGAAACACCTATTCCAAAATTATTATTAAAAGAAGAATAATAAACTAAATAAACTGTAGTTGAATCATAATTATAAAATCAATCTAAATCAATTCAAGACAGATTATTAGCTAGATAAAAAAGTTAAAAGAAAAAGGAAATTTGATTATTTATATTTTTTAATAAAAGGTACGCTAATTTAAGCGCCATAATATATAAATTAATGAAAAAGAAAAGATAATTATCTTCAGATGATTAATAAAATATTAAGAAACAACCTAATGTATATGAAGATTTAGAAAATACATAAAGTAATGTTACTGATCAAATTATCAGAATGAAGTTTAGAGAAGCAGAAGAATATGAAATTTAATAATTTATAACATCGCATAATGAATAAAAGTTTCTAATGATTACTGGGTAACCTGGATGTGGAAAAACTATGCTCTTAACTAAATGTATTAAATAATGGTAAAATACTTACACGACTATTTATATAAATGCAATGTAATGTAAAAATTATACAGAATTTTTAAACATTTCTAAAAAGTAAATGAATATTAAGAATTCCAATAATAAACAATAAATTCGTAATATCATTATGGATAAACTTAAAGATTTAAATGCGTAAGATTTATACAATAATTATTTAGTATTATCATAGTTGATGAGTTTGATAATTTGTTTAAAGTAAGTGAAAAAGAAGCCTTTGATTTATTCTCTTTATCTAAACATGCTATTATTATAGGAATCAGCAATGATATAGAGTTTCTATAAACTTAATCTGTGAGATACAAATTTTAGCTCCCTTAATTTAAAAATTTAATTCTTAAACCCTATACAATTTAGTAATTATAAGAATTAGTTATTGATAATTTAAAATAACTGGATATATTGTAATTATTTTATCTTTATATAGAAAATATGATGAAAATGCAATAAAATTACTTACAACTAGAGCCTATAATGATAATGGAGGTGATATGAGAAATGTAAAAGATATTGTTAAAAGAATTTTGAGAGATAGAAATGAAATGACAACAGAGGCTGTCAATTAAGAAGTAGGTATAAGTATAAATGATAACAAAATGAAAAGTGTTGTCACCAATTTATCTTTACATTAGAAAATAATACTCTTAGGAATTACTGCATTATTAAAAAAAGATTCGGTTCAACTTGAAATAGATTTATAAGATCTTATCAGGAAAGTGAATGAAATTAAATACAAACTCAGTTTACCTTTAAGTGTAGACGTAGAAGAGGAACTTAATTTATTAAAAGATTATAACCTACTTACTACTAAAGAAGTTAAACAATAAAAAATGGGCTTTAAAATTATTGTTAAAAAAATACAATCCAAATTCACAGCTGAAGAATTGAAATATTAATTATCTGATCAAGATGCATTTTAAAACATTTTACAATAACTATGAATTTATTTAATTATTATTACTAAAGGATTTCTACATTTAATGTAAGCCTTCCCTCACCTATATAATTATTTTAACTAATAAAATCAAACTGATTCTTTGACCTATGATTGTAATATTAAAAAAACTATAACTTCTTCTTATTAGATATACTTTATTTAATAAATGATTCAAATTAATATCTTATACTAAAATTTTTATTCACAGAAATTGAAAATCATATATTAAATAAGAATCTATAATTAAAGAGTCTGATCTCATTCTAATACCTATAGTAATATAGTTATTAATGTATTCTTGAATAATAAAAAGAAAACTTAATTATATTTAAATTGTATATAAAAAGATCTTAAATTGTATTATAAGTTTAGTAAAAATAAAATACTTAAAATTAAATATTAGTTTTGACTTGATAATTTATATAATCAGATAACATATATAAATAGTAGATCTTAAATGGAAAATGGTAAAAATATAATAAAAATAATCTTTAGCAATAAATTTTGGCTTGATGAATAATAATTAAATAAAATATACTAAAATTTTCAATACCAAATTTAAACTTATAATGATAGTAAATAAAATACAATATTAAAAAGGATTAAATAATTTATTTTACTAAAAGAGAGCTCATATTTTAGTGATTTTAATTGAAAAATCAAAAAAATTTAATATTTGGTTATTAGGAATTGGTAAGTATAATTAAAAATATAAAAACGACATTATTATTACTTAAGATTTTAAAAAAAATGATGTAAAATGATAATAAGAATTAAAAGGAATGATATATGTTAAATAAATAATATTAGAAGAAATATTTATGATTCGTTTTTGTTAATATTATTAATATGAAAGCTTTGATTTTATTATTATTGGGTTTGAGTGCATATGCATTCACAGAGTAGATGATGTCTTTGGAAGAATTAGCAAATTTTAATGTAAAAACAATGGATTGCTCAAGATCAGATCAATTTTCTTTTATAGAGAAACAAATGAAGTAATGGGAAGATTTGTTAATTCACTAAAAAGCTATCTCTCATGATATTAAAATCTTAGAATAAATGGAGAAAATGTTGACAACAAAGCATCATTCTTTCTTAGAAGCCTAAGTGAAAGTTTCAGGAAAGAAATTATTAAAGAAATTGCACAAATTAGAATTACCTTTAACAAAAAGTAAGATTGGTTTAAGTCAAGTAAAGGCTTTAAGAGAATAATGTCATGGTTTAGATTCTGAAAGTATATATAAATATAATAATATATATAGATCATGAAGATAGAACAGCAGCCAAAAAAGAGTTATGTAGATTATTAAGAGAATATATAAATAGTCTTAATAATTGTAGATAATAATGTAGAAGTACACCAATAACNTTATTCACAGAAATTGAAAATCATATATTAAATAAGAATCTATAATTAAAGAGTCTGATCTCATTCTAATACCTATAGTAATATAGTTATTAATGTATTCTTGAATAATAAAAAGAAAACTTAATTATATTTAAATTGTATATAAAAAGATCTTAAATTGTATTATAAGTTTAGTAAAAATAAAATACTTAAAATTAAATATTAGTTTTGACTTGATAATTTATATAATCAGATAACATATATAAATAGTAGATCTTAAATGGAAAATGGTAAAAATATAATAAAAATAATCTTTAGCAATAAATTTTGGCTTGATGAATAATAATTAAATAAAATATACTAAAATTTTCAATACCAAATTTAAACTTATAATGATAGTAAATAAAATACAATATTAAAAAGGATTAAATAATTTATTTTACTAAAAGAGAGCTCATATTTTAGTGATTTTAATTGAAAAATCAAAAAAATTTAATATTTGGTTATTAGGAATTGGTAAGTATAATTAAAAATATAAAAACGACATTATTATTACTTAAGATTTTAAAAAAAATGATGTAAAATGATAATAAGAATTAAAAGGAATGATATATGTTAAATAAATAATATTAGAAGAAATATTTATGATTCGTTTTTGTTAATATTATTAATATGAAAGCTTTGATTTTATTATTATTGGGTTTGAGTGCATATGCATTCACAGAGTAGATGATGTCTTTGGAAGAATTAGCAAATTTTAATGTAAAAACAATGGATTGCTCAAGATCAGATCAATTTTCTTTTATAGAGAAACAAATGAAGTAATGGGAAGATTTGTTAATTCACTAAAAAGCTATCTCTCATGATATTAAAATCTTAGAATAAATGGAGAAAATGTTGACAACAAAGCATCATTCTTTCTTAGAAGCCTAAGTGAAAGTTTCAGGAAAGAAATTATTAAAGAAATTGCACAAATTAGAATTACCTTTAACAAAAAGTAAGATTGGTTTAAGTCAAGTAAAGGCTTTAAGAGAATAATGTCATGGTTTAGATTCTGAAAGTATATATAAATATAATAATATATATAGATCATGAAGATAGAACAGCAGCCAAAAAAGAGTTATGTAGATTATTAAGAGAATATATAAATAGTCTTAATAATTGTAGATAATAATGTAGAAGTACACCAATAACAGTAATAAAGATAAAAGGTTAAATAAAAGATCTTGAAATCATTCGAGGAGGATGCACAACAAGTGGATCTTAAACAGGAGTTAAGGTAACATCTGAAGATGATGAAACTCATGAAATTACTATTCATCATCATCATCATGGAAAAACAACTTCATAAGCAGCTGCACATTCAGAATCAGATGCAGATACATAAGAATAATCATCAGAACATTCAACCTAAGAATAAGCTGCAGATACAGAAACTACAGAAGAATAAACAGCAGCAGAAGAATAAGCAGCAGCAGAAGAATAAGCAGCAGAAGAAACTACATAGACAGGAGAAGAAACTACATAGACAGGAGAAGAAACTACATAGACAGGTGAAGAAACTACATAGACAGGTGAAGAAACTACATAAACAGGTGAGGAAACTACAGAAGAAACAACTGAAGAAACTACATAAACAGGTGAAGAAACTACAGAAGAAACTACAGAAGAAACAACAGAAGAAACTACAGAAGAAACAACAGAAGAAACTACAGATACAACAGAATGATAAAGTAATCAAAATAATATTAAAATAATAAATATCATCTTTATTATAATTGTAAGACTAATTATTCTAAGTTTTCCAGTTTTTATGATTATTTATTTAATATGCCAATCTAAATGAGCATAATTATAATTAAAAGAAATATCAATAATAGATAAAGTATTTCTGATCGTCTCCCTTAATAAAGTTAAGTTTAAGAAATCGTTTACTTTTATTATTAAGATTGACCTGTTTACATTATTTTTTTTAATGTATTATCATCTAGTTTTTTAGAACTAATTATATATATAAAATAATTACTCTTCATATTCATGATTGATATTAGAACTCTATGATTTTTATGATTTTGCCATTGCTTCTAATCTGATTTTAACATTATTAATCCATTTTTCATAATCGTCTTTTAATCCAGACATTGTTTTATTCATAATAGTACCTTTCATCATTGTAGATTTTGTAAATACAACAGAAGCGAATATTTTCAATAGACATTTATTTTCTTCTAATTGTGATACTTCCCACTTTTCTTCTGCTTAAAAACTATTACCATATGGAACATCTAAAGTATGAGTAGTACAAGTATATATTAATTTTTCTGGGTCTTTTTTATAAGTAAAAAGTTTATGCATTCTACTTTTATCTTTAAAAGGAACTCCAGATAATTTAATAACATTTTTCATTTCTCTCTAAAACATTCCTGGATTATCTTCAATAGGAGTCCATTTAGTCAATTAAATATCTGTATCCTTTTCTGATTATCTATGATCTGCTATTGAATAAACTAAAGCATCATCTGCAAGAAAGAATTCAAAAAATTTATCTAAATTAAATGAAAAAGTGAATTTGCACATCTCTTAATCCATAGATGCTTCTGATTATAGAAATTAGATCTCTACTTCAGCATTTTCTATTTATGAGTCATCTTCTCTCATACTATCTGAAGGAGTCTAGAATGTTTATTAATTTGATAAAGGCTATCCTGATATTAATGCATTCATTAGATTATAAACTTAATCCTTATTATGAAAACTATTGAAACAATATGATTTCCCATCTTTTGTAAATATATCAATATCATTCTTATTTTTACTATCTAACTTAATAATATCATCTAATTTTATAACTAAATTCGTTTTGCTTCCTGCAAGATTTGCATAAAAACAAATATGATTCTCTGCTATAAAAATTCTTCCATATTTTGAAATTAAGGCTTTTAAAGCACATGAATAATCCTAAAAGATTATTTCCCCTTTTGGTAAACCAAATAATTATATCAATAAATCCTTTGCAGACATCTATTTATTTAATAATATAATACTATTGTTATTTTATTCGAAATTTCATAAACAGATATTTTCAAATATAGATTATTTTTTAGTCAAATTTATGTACTCAATTACTCATTACAGATAAATCAAGAATTATTATTAAATAGTATTTCTATATTAAAACATAATCACTCCTTTTCTAAAATTATTAATTACTCTCCTGTTGAATCATTAAAAATCTCTTAAATTTACATTTCTTTTTTATCAAATAAAGAAAGTCTAGGAAAATTTTAAATTAAATCAATTTCAGCTCCTGGATTTAAAAATAACGAATCATCTTGACAAATTACAAAATTAAATATGCTCTAAGAATTTCTAAATTACATATTATTACTTCTATTTTATCAGTTAAATTAAATTTTCTTGTAACTACTTTATCAAAAAATCTAAATTAAATACTTATTCCATTTTCTTCTGGTTCTTAAGGTAAATTTGATAACAATGTAGCTTTTATAAATTATCTTTATTCCTCTAATATTATTTTTTACATACTTCTTCTTCTTATTATTATTAAATTAACTATTCTTATTATTACTTTTCCTCCTATATTCTCTTTTTTTAATTATCTGCTTTTTAAACAGCCATCATATATTCTATTTCTTATTTTTCTAATAATTCTTCCCTCTATCTTTATTGTATTTCCTATTACTTTTTTGCTTCCATTTCCCTTTGTTTTTATATAAATCTTTCCTATTAGCTTTAATTANATAGATGCTTCTGATTATAGAAATTAGATCTCTACTTCAGCATTTTCTATTTATGAGTCATCTTCTCTCATACTATCTGAAGGAGTCTAGAATGTTTATTAATTTGATAAAGGCTATCCTGATATTAATGCATTCATTAGATTATAAACTTAATCCTTATTATGAAAACTATTGAAACAATATGATTTCCCATCTTTTGTAAATATATCAATATCATTCTTATTTTTACTATCTAACTTAATAATATCATCTAATTTTATAACTAAATTCGTTTTGCTTCCTGCAAGATTTGCATAAAAACAAATATGATTCTCTGCTATAAAAATTCTTCCATATTTTGAAATTAAGGCTTTTAAAGCACATGAATAATCCTAAAAGATTATTTCCCCTTTTGGTAAACCAAATAATTATATCAATAAATCCTTTGCAGACATCTATTTATTTAATAATATAATACTATTGTTATTTTATTCGAAATTTCATAAACAGATATTTTCAAATATAGATTATTTTTTAGTCAAATTTATGTACTCAATTACTCATTACAGATAAATCAAGAATTATTATTAAATAGTATTTCTATATTAAAACATAATCACTCCTTTTCTAAAATTATTAATTACTCTCCTGTTGAATCATTAAAAATCTCTTAAATTTACATTTCTTTTTTATCAAATAAAGAAAGTCTAGGAAAATTTTAAATTAAATCAATTTCAGCTCCTGGATTTAAAAATAACGAATCATCTTGACAAATTACAAAATTAAATATGCTCTAAGAATTTCTAAATTACATATTATTACTTCTATTTTATCAGTTAAATTAAATTTTCTTGTAACTACTTTATCAAAAAATCTAAATTAAATACTTATTCCATTTTCTTCTGGTTCTTAAGGTAAATTTGATAACAATGTAGCTTTTATAAATTATCTTTATTCCTCTAATATTATTTTTTACATACTTCTTCTTCTTATTATTATTAAATTAACTATTCTTATTATTACTTTTCCTCCTATATTCTCTTTTTTTAATTATCTGCTTTTTAAACAGCCATCATATATTCTATTTCTTATTTTTCTAATAATTCTTCCCTCTATCTTTATTGTATTTCCTATTACTTTTTTGCTTCCATTTCCCTTTGTTTTTATATAAATCTTTCCTATTAGCTTTAATTAATCTCTTCAGGATTATCAACAAGTCTTTTTGCTTTTTTCTCTAAAGTAATAATCTCTTAAATAGAACATCTTATTTATTTTATTTCCTAAGCCAATTCTTCAAATTTTGTTGAAGGAAATAATTTAATTTATTTTATTAAATCAATTTCTTCAATAAAATTTTTTCTATATATTAAAATAGAGGGAAGTTCAATATTTTAAGTAGGTAATTAAGTTAAGGTTTCTTAATTACCTATAAATGCATAACAAATAAATGATTTATTTACTAAATTTACTAAAGTTTTGCATTAAAACATTGTTTGTAAAATTTTTAAACTTGAAACATCATGTACATATACAAAAAGTGGAAAATTTATATCTTAAGCTTTTTTTAGATTATCTTAAAATGAACCCATTTCAAACTTTATCTAAATCTTTACTTTTTTAGATTATATATTTTTTTAAAATTCTTCACCATAATTTTAATTTTTTGTAACTATGTCTATATAAGTAATTAAATACAAAAGGCTTTTGCTATTTTCCAAACACCAGACGCCAAATTTTCCTCGTTTTCCATTCTACTATCTTTATATTGTTTATATTTTAAAATTAAATCTTCAATATCTTAAGTCTATTATAATTTAATATCTTATTATCTAAAACTTTTTTATGTTTATGGAAGTTTTTATTATTATTAAACTTCTTTTTGATTTACATCTTCAGATTATTATTATTGAATTTCAAAATCAAAATAAAATTATATTGCATTCTTATTTAAATAAAAACATTTTTACTTCAAGCTCAAAATTATTCATTTATAAATAATTTATGCATTTCTCCTCATCCTAACATCCTGTAATTTCAGAAAATTTTTTCACTAATTAATAATCTTATTACATGTGTATAATAAATAAAATAATAAGTCAAAGCTATATTCTTTTTTTTTAATAATTAATTAAAATGGCATAATAGCTACCAAAAATATAGGATAGACTAAATTAAAGTATTGTAAATCCATTTTATGTTCCTGATGAATATGAAATATTTAAAATGAAAGAAAAAGAAAAGTAAATAAAAATGGAAGAAAGAATCAAGTTTCAAAATCTTAGAGTTCATGAGAAAGGTATAAAATAAAAAGAAAAATTGAGTATTAGAGAAATTAACGAGATTGGTAAAGAAGAAGATAAAAATGATAAAGAATATAATGCAAAGATGTATTAATATTATTAGATTTAAGAAATATTATCGATGCTGCTGACAATGCAGTTAAGAATAGAGTAAGATAAAAAGAACCAATGTATCAATTTATAGATAAAAAGAGGGAAATGTTGTTATTTTAAATGTTAATTGATCATAAAAGAGGAATGATAGATGAATTTGAGAAATTGACTAAATTACATAGATTAGGTTTAGAAAAAAGTGAATAACTAATAGAAGAAGATGTTGAATTATTTAATAAGTTTTTAGAATAAAATAAAATGAGTTCAAGAGAAGCTATAAAAGAAGCAGAAAGAGAAACAAAATTAAAACAAGAAAAAAATAATGAAATCAAAGCTTTATAAGAACATAGAACAGATTTAATGACTAAAATATAATAAAAAATAGACAATTTAGAAGATCTTTTAAAATACAAAAAGTTTTTAGATAAAATTACTCCAAAAGAGTTTTAGATGAAATAAAAATAACCTAAATAATAATAATAATAATAATAATAGGTTGTTTTATCTAGAAATAATTAAAATAACTAAATTAATAATGAATTATAATAATTATTAAATGATTCAGATGATGAATAAGTGACATATTTTACTCAACCAAAATAATTAGAAGAAATATTTTAATAATTAGAAGAAAAGAATTTGTTTCTTATTGGAAATACAAAAGAAAGAGAATAAATGGTAGAAGATTTAAGAAATAAATATTACTAAAAGATTAAGACCTTAGAAGAAAAACAAAAAACTGCTTAACAAACTAAGAACGAATTCTTAAGACAAATTGATTAAGTCAATGAATAAATTAAAGGATTAAAAGCAATAAGAAGTGATAGTGAAGTGTTTGAACCATTAAAAAATTTAGAAAATTAAATAGCAAAAATATATAGGAGTGATGTTAATATTGAACCAAGAAAAGATATTACAGGTATTGAAATGCTAAAAGAAACTGAGAAATTATTAGAATAACGAATAAATGATTTGAAAATGTTTAGATAAATTGCCCCAGATCTTGTGCTAGAAAAAGAAAAGAATTGTATTAAGGCTAGGAAAGACATAGTAAAGTAGATGAAATAAGAGCAAGATTTATTAGATTAATAGAAAAAATAAAAGGAATAATAAAAAGAATAAATTGTTCATAAAAGAATTGGTAGACCTATAATGACTAGATCATGGCCACCACAGGTTTAAGTAGAGGAATAAGTAGTTGATGATATTACAGAAGAAGAAAAAGAAAGAATTAAATATTTTACATGAATATTAAATGGAAATTTAAACTTAGATCTTTAATATTTTTTGATGTTTATCTATCTCATTCTTCTCTTAAATTTTTTAATTTAATAATTTAATGATTAAATTTAATGTGTCTTTTCAATGATTATAAATGATAATATTTCTTATCACATTCTAGACAATTAAATGTTTTGTTTTCTTTTTACATTTTATTAGAACTAGTTTTAATTTATCTCTAAAAGAAATTTTTACTTGATCTTGTCTTGCTTAATTTGCTTTTTTTATTTTATTTATCTTATTTCCTCTTTTAGGATTCCAGAATCTTATCATCATTAAATTTAGACTGTTTATGGAACTATTCATATGATGGAATTTTCTATTCATTCTATGATTTATTTTCTGGATAACATTAAGTTTTTCTTAATAAATCTTGTTTCTCTAATGATAATTTATAACAAATAGTAACCAATTTACTTACATCTGCAAAATATTTTACTAATGAAACTTAATCATCCATCTTTAAAGTTTGTTTTTAATAAAATAGTCAATATTCAATTTATTGTTCTAGATTCTTGAAATCCTTTAAATATTTAGAACAACTAAATACACTTATCAATTTATTTTATTAAATAATTTATAAAATAAATTCTATTTACAGCTCAAACATAAAAAATTCAAGTTATATATTGTTTGTAACAAATAAAAAGAAATTAATTATTTTATCTTTTTCTTTTTTTTAATTATGAATGCCAAAAGAGTATTTCATGAAAAGGTTGAACTTTACGAAAAGCTATTATTTGATTACAATAACCTTTTCTGAATTGGTTGATAAAAATGCAAATTTATTTCAGAAAAGCCCTTTTTAATATTTATTTTTATCAATGATATTTGTTAATTAAGAAGGTATCTGCTTATTCAAAGGACTTTAAGAATAAAAGCATAAAAATCTCATTATTGTTTCTTTGGCAGAATATTTATCTTAAATTCTTAATTATTGATATTTTAATTTCAATCGTCGTTTCTAATTTTTTTTAGTATATAAATCATTGTGAATTTGAAAAAAAATATTATTTCAATAGGATATTGCTGAAAAATAATGATAATTATTCGCTCTTTTAATTTCAAAATTCATCAAAAACTAATTAAAATCACATTTCTAAAAAGAAAAATAGAATTACTAGAAATTGCAAACAAAAATTGCATACTTTATTGAGTTTCACAGAAACTTCTTGTTAAATATTTGATTATATGACTAATAGTAAAAGTAATTTTTATTTAATTCGAAATTGAAATTGGTATTTTCTATTTGCATTTCGTCTACTTGAAAGATTTCTCATAAAAATTAATTAGTTATAGAAGAATAAAATAAATTTCTTCTTCTGCTGTAGTTTTTTTTGAAATTAGACATGTCTATTACAACAACAAGTTTAATGATTCAACAGATTCTATTTAAGAAAAAAAGGATTATTTTTGAATAATTAATAAATCATCAAAAGATTTTATCTAAATAAAGAAATATTATGAAAATATTTATAATTTTGAGTTTTAATTTAATATTAAAAGTTTTCTAATGTAAGAAAAGGACCCAAAAGAATAGGAATTATACAAAGTACTTGCTTAATGTGCATACAGAAATGCGTAGATTTTATTTATAATTATAATTTAGTAATTTAGTTGCTAATGATGCTGCAAATATTCTACTCAATTATCCAAAATTATTCAATCCACTAATGATATAAACAAGTATAAAATTTATTTTAAATAAAGATGAGTAAGGTGTAATTAAATATTTGTTGGAACTCAAAGGAGAAGGTATGGTTAAATTTTATATTAGTACCGATTAAATATAAAGGATATACTTACTCTATTATCACATCCATCTAATTTCCATTTATTTATTCTGATGCACCAGCTATTATTAGAATTTATAACATTGATACATTCAGGTTCTCGGTGAATTAACATTTCATTAAAGGGGCTTCTTAAGATTAATCTGTTGTTAATATTCACATTTAAGAATTATAAACTTGGTATTAACATAGATCTTTAGTAAATATAATATAATATATAATAAGCCAAAAGTAATGGCCTCCTTTATAAGAGAATTAGAATCGCATTTTCCATTCTTCTACAAAGGTGAAACGTAATATATGTTAATTTATTATAGAGTGGCTGCTTAACACACAAAACAATAAATGTAATAATAACCTTAAATGTAATAACCTTATCAATACTAAAACTAAATTTATAATTAATAATAATATCCAAATAACAATACTAATAATTTTAACACCTAAGCTTATAATTAATATGGAAATGTTTAATAACAGCCTAAGAATTAAACCAATTATTAATAAGGTAAACCTTTGACTGAAAGTGAGTAGAAATTATAGGAAAGATGTAATTAAAGTAAAAATTTCGTTGATTTAAGTAGTATTAAATGAAAATTTAAATTAAATTTTATTTGATCACAAATGTTTGCATTAACATTATGATAAATTAATTAATGAGATTAATAAACAAGAAGCAAAAATAAATTATCTAAATAATCTTGAAAACTAAATTGAATAATCTATTTTATTTTTAGAAAATGAAAATAAACAGTTTATTGAATTTATAGAAAAAAATGACATATTTGAGTATGAATTTTATGCATCCTAGATTAAATGAAGATAATCTCTTTTTAAATGTAAAAGAAGTGGATAAATTTTCATCCTAAATCTTAGATTTATATTCAGATATCTAAGCATGCAAAGAAACATTGCATTTTATTGTGACAAAATTTAAAAGTTTTAATTTATCATTTGAAACTGTTACAAAAGTAGGACAATAATATAATAATATTAGTTGACTCGTAAATTTTCAGAAGAGAAATTTAATAATATATTATTATTAAAGAAATGCACCTCTAAAATAATATGATAATTATAACTTAATAATAAATTTAAAAGAATATTTATATGATGTTAAGATAATTCTATATTTAAAAAATAATAAACCACAATTTATCAATCAAATATTTTTTTAAAATATTTCTAATACTTAGCAATCTACTTCCACACGAGAATCTTAGTAATTTTAAGTTTTTGAATCTTACACTTATAAAATTAATTTAATTTTGACTTAAAAACATATTTATAAAAATGCATCGCCTTTTAATGATTGTAAAATTTTTTTGAATCTATCAAATAAGGGATGATTTATTAATGAATTATGAAAGAGAATAAACCTTGTTATCAAAAGTTTCCAAACAAAACAATTTTCCTCACTTTATTTTTGATCAAAATACTAACATTTACATTCATCAAAAAGTTCATCTATAGGAACTATTGACCTTTGAATTATTAGTTTCATAGGTAATATAAATAATTAAAATGAATTTTATTGTTAAACTAAAAGCTATGCTTATTTTAGATATTGAGGGTTTTTTGGAAAAGAAAAATAATTCTATTTCTTTGTTTAATTTCCATTTAAAACCAAATAAAAACAGGAATTTTATTATTTACATTCAAGAACAATTTAATAAGGCCAAGGTTTTAAAGAAGTAACTTTACTTAAAGATTAGCCATTCACAATATAAGAGCAAAATTTTTGATTTCTTAGATTCAGTATCACTACTTCAATTATGTTCATTATTAAAATCGAGCTAAAATTATTTAAGTTATTTTTTACTCTTTCTCTTCTCCTCCAATTAGAATAAAAGACAAAGCATTTTAATTATTTGGATCAAATAAATTATTTTTACAAATTTAAGGGCCTCTTCTATTTTTAATTAAATTAGCAATTTATATCTATTTTTTATTATCACAATAAATTGGTTTAAATTCAGCAGATTCTATGTCACGATCCATTACAATAGGATTTTAACATTAATTTTTCAAATCATAAAGCAAGATTTGATCAGAAAATTCTTTATTTTATTAATGTCCATATGCAATAATTAAATAATTTTATAAAACTATTATACTGGGTTCAACTAATTAAGATTTTAATTCTATCTTATTGCTTAGAATAGATTAATATTTACAATTCAATTTCTAAAGAATTTTAATCGGAATTCATGAGTTTTCGATCATAATAATATATGTCACCGTTTATTTTATCATATAAAACTATAACTTCTTCAAATACGAAATGTTAGTATGATTAATTTTAAAAATTCTTATTTTCTATCCATTAAAAAATATTTTTTAATGACAAACATCCAAATATTTTTTTTTAATTTTAATTTTAAATTGAAATTAATTGCAATTCACTTTAAAGAGATAAATTACTAATTTTAAACGATTCATTGAGAATTGACATCATATGAAACGTCCAATTAACTATTCCTTCATAATTTGTTTCACTTATAAAATTTTTTTCTAATTTTTTAAATCCTTAAAGCCCCATAATAATTGCATTTAAATTGCTAAATAATTCATATTCAGAGAAATTTTCTTCAGTGCTGATTCTAAAATGAATTATTAATTTTGCCTTTTGTTATAATTATCTAACAATATATTCAAGTGCTTATAAATCTAATTTAAATTTTTTAGATAATAAATATTCTAAAACAATTAAATCTGGATTAAAATTCTGAATTTTTTAATCAAGAATTGATTTATAAATCATTTTCACTTAATAATATTCAACCTTATCTATATAATGGATTGGAACCAGCTATTCATTTCTAGTATTACTTCTTAATTTATAATCTTATTTAGTGTTAATACCATTTTAACCTTAAACTAAAGGATGTAAAATTATAAGCTAAGTGTTTTCTTTATAATCTTTCATAAAAAATGACCAAAAGTCTATATCTTATTGTTTAATGTCAGATGTAATATTTATATACAAATTTCTCTTTGATCTATGATCAAACTCTTACAAATTTTCATTATTAATATCATCTTCAGTTTTTAATAATTAACTTTCAGCTATGTTTTATTCTTGATCTTAACCTTATTCTAATTTTATATTTTGAATAAAACAGAAAGTGTATAAAAATTTATTAAATTTTTCATTTTGATTTTACAATAACACCAAAAGATGGCTTTTACGCTTATGCAAAAACATATTCTTTAATTGAAGAATAACTTGCTTTATATGTAAAAAAAAATCAGCAAACTCATGTTAATTACTAAGGATGTATTTAGTCCAATCTATTGCCTTTGATGTAAATTAACAAATACCTATGTGTATTTTTTTTTTTCATTCTAACTAAGTTGTTGAATGAAATCTTTTTTCATTTAAATTATATTTTTTATTTCATTATGAAATGAATTTTCTTCATTCTACTTAATTTAGATTTGATGTAACATTGATATATTTCGTTTATCTTTTATTGAGTATATAGCATAATATAGATTGGATATTGCTACAATTAGATTTTAAATATTTTAATTTTTTTCTTATAAATCGACAAGATGTTATTTGATGACTTTAATTAAGCTAAAATCTTAAAATTGATCTTCAAAATTTAGAGAATCTATTTTCTATTCTTTAATTTTAAGCTTAAGGTATGAATTATATGATTATTCCTAATTCATAATAATTAAATTTATTATCATAAATTATTCGAAATTTTTGAATCTATTTAAAATTATAGGTAATTTGAGAATGCTACAAAAGGTGTAAATTTAGTTTTAGAATCTTATTGCCTTTAAGTACTTACGAATGATAGAATTTCATTTTAAGTGGTAATAGATATAATTTAAAAATAGAAGTGGAAATTCTTATTTATAAAATTAAATATCATCATATAATATATAATAATACATAATTTAGAACTTCTTTACTTAGTTCATTGTTAATTTAATCAAATATTAAAATAGTTAAGATTGATGGGATAAGTATGTTCTAGTAAAAAGAATATCAATTTGATAATATAAGAAAAAGAGGAGTGCACAAATTGTAAAATACAGTTTCCTGATTCTTTTAAATAAGAAACAATGTATTAAAAAGAGTCTAACGTCGAATTTTTACTAAAACAAATTGAATTGATTGATACACAACATGCTTTTTCTGAGGAGTTATTATAAAATTTGAATGAATTGATTATAAGACGATCAAACATTTTATTTTTGAGAAATAAATAGATAAAAATGATTAATGATCATTTAAATTATTGTGTTTTGATAATAAGAAGACTTTAGGGAAATGAAGAATTTGAACATTACTTTCCAATTCTATCCTATTGTTTTTATGAAGAGTGCTAAAAATTGGAGATATATTTAAGAAAATAATAAAATGAATCTACAAGATATTGTTCTTTATAAAAAATAACATGATGCTGATATTTATATTGTATATTAAATTTATAAATATTGAAAATAATTAATAAATAGTCCTTATGAATTAACCATTATTAAATAAGCAAAACTTTGATGGATTAATGTAAAAGGCTACATCACTTGTAAATTAAGCAAAAGAGTTAAATGATGAGATTTAATCATCAGATGAAACTTAATTTGAAAAGATGAAAGAAATAATTGAGAGTGCAAGAGCTTCTTAATTGAATTTGGGTTAATAACTGGAAGTCTTAATGGAGTAATTAGAAAAGATAGCAAAGGTAATGTAAATATATAAAAAAGTTATCTGAATAAAAGAAAAAAATAAAATAGTTGAAGGATATGTATGCAAAGGAAATAAATAGATACAAATAGATATAGAAAAATTTAATCGAAGAAGGATATGAAATAAAGAGGTAAAGTCTTCATAGAAGATCTACATAAATATAATAATATAAACCTAATGTTTTATAATCAACAGTCACTGTTAAACAGTCTTAAATTGAATAAAAATAGTTTGAAGAATTAATAGAGATATCTCAATTAGAGATTGATAATGCAGTCATTAGAGAAAAGTAAAATAATAACAGATAATTTATAGATAGGATGAAATAGATATTATTGAAAAAGATGCTGTGCTTCTTAATAAAATTGTTAATGATATGAGCACTGAAGTAAATAAATAAGGTGAATAACTTATTGAAGTTGAATTGAACATGGCAACTGTGTAAGATAATTTGAAGGTTACTGTCAAAGAGTTAGATGGTGCTGGTGATGAATAAAAGAAAACATTAAAAAAATATATTATTTTAGGATTGATAGGATTATTAGTTGCAGCAATTATTGTAGGAATTTCTATTTGGTAAGTAAAAAAACATAATTGATAATTGAGCATTTAAAATTAATCTATGAAGATTATCTCTAAATTCATTTTTTTATAATATCTTATAGATAATAATTTTCTTAATATTTTATTAAATTCTATTAAATATTATAATTTATCAATATCCATGAAGTTTGCTATTNTATAAAAAATAACATGATGCTGATATTTATATTGTATATTAAATTTATAAATATTGAAAATAATTAATAAATAGTCCTTATGAATTAACCATTATTAAATAAGCAAAACTTTGATGGATTAATGTAAAAGGCTACATCACTTGTAAATTAAGCAAAAGAGTTAAATGATGAGATTTAATCATCAGATGAAACTTAATTTGAAAAGATGAAAGAAATAATTGAGAGTGCAAGAGCTTCTTAATTGAATTTGGGTTAATAACTGGAAGTCTTAATGGAGTAATTAGAAAAGATAGCAAAGGTAATGTAAATATATAAAAAAGTTATCTGAATAAAAGAAAAAAATAAAATAGTTGAAGGATATGTATGCAAAGGAAATAAATAGATACAAATAGATATAGAAAAATTTAATCGAAGAAGGATATGAAATAAAGAGGTAAAGTCTTCATAGAAGATCTACATAAATATAATAATATAAACCTAATGTTTTATAATCAACAGTCACTGTTAAACAGTCTTAAATTGAATAAAAATAGTTTGAAGAATTAATAGAGATATCTCAATTAGAGATTGATAATGCAGTCATTAGAGAAAAGTAAAATAATAACAGATAATTTATAGATAGGATGAAATAGATATTATTGAAAAAGATGCTGTGCTTCTTAATAAAATTGTTAATGATATGAGCACTGAAGTAAATAAATAAGGTGAATAACTTATTGAAGTTGAATTGAACATGGCAACTGTGTAAGATAATTTGAAGGTTACTGTCAAAGAGTTAGATGGTGCTGGTGATGAATAAAAGAAAACATTAAAAAAATATATTATTTTAGGATTGATAGGATTATTAGTTGCAGCAATTATTGTAGGAATTTCTATTTGGTAAGTAAAAAAACATAATTGATAATTGAGCATTTAAAATTAATCTATGAAGATTATCTCTAAATTCATTTTTTTATAATATCTTATAGATAATAATTTTCTTAATATTTTATTAAATTCTATTAAATATTATAATTTATCAATATCCATGAAGTTTGCTATTGTATTATTCATTATCAAGTAGTAATTATTTATCAAAAATAATTTTAATTCATAATATTTCAAATTCAAATATTTTTATAATACTATTTCTACTCTCAATCTTTTGTAACAATTTTTAAAATCAAATATAGGCTTCTTCTAATTATTGTCTAATTAATTAAATTTCATTTCATTTTTTATTATAAATAAATACTAATTTATCAATTCCTAAAATATAATTACCGAATATTAATTAGGATGATTTACCATATTAAATATTTTATTATTCATTTTACCTTCAATTTACTAAATCTACTAGATATAATTTATTTTTTATTCTATATATGGCTTTTTAATAAACACTCTTTATTTATCAATCTAATCTATTAACTCTCCTCTTGAATAGTATCTTGTTCTAAGAAATTTAAGGTGTGTTAGTTAAGTTTTTTGTTCTTTTTAAATAATATTTAAAGATGATTTTCTTTAATTATTTAAATAGATAAAATTTCATAAAAAATCTAATTGTAAAAAATGCTCATAATCTCCCTGCATATTTAAATACAATTTAAATAAAATTAACCGAATTTATTATGAATAGAGATACAAGCAATTACCATTTATTGAGATTACTAATATTTTAATATAATTTTAACATTTATTTTTTAATAATTAAATAAAATATATATATAAACTATCTACATATTATTTAAATAATTTAATTATTAAATCATATCTGTTAAATAAATAAATTCTAACTATATATCTAAAATGAATATGCAATCAAATAAAATTGGATTGCTATTTTGGGGTTTTTTAAGTTTAGACTAGAAACTATGTATTTTTTAATAATTTTAAATAAACTAATTAAATAAAAGAGTAATTTATATAATAATAATAAATCATTCTTTTAGATTTATCGTAAATTTAATAACTGATATTATTTTCATATGAATAAATGAGTTAACTTTAATATTGTAAAATCTTGAATAAATTTTTTAAACATTGAATTTAGAGTGGCAAATAAAAAAATAATTGTTAAAAAGAAACATATTAGATTTATATTGTAATTAAATGATTATTTTAATGTGATGATAATTGAGACGTTGGAAGTAAAAGCTCAGTTAAGATTTAACAGAAGAAACTTCTAGTTAAATAAGAATATTTTAAATCGTTATTAGAACATTTTAGAAGAGTTTTGAATTTTAATGAAAAGTTATCATGAAAATAAATTCTTAAAATTTTAAAAGAATAATTAGATTGATAAATTTTACAAGTCTTAATGAGATAAGAAGATGAAAAAATGAGTTCGACACTAATAAAAACTAAAAACTTTAAATGAATTAACAAGATCATAATATAAGTCAAATATGTATATTTGTGTTTTTGTAAAAGGCTTTTGTTTCATTTTTTTTTAATTTGCATAATTTATTTAGTTTTTAATTTGATGCTCTTTAAAGCAGGTGAGCCCTCAACAGAACCTAGAAACTGCGGTATAGTTTTTTATTATTTTTCACTAGTGTAAGAAAGAAAAAATACTTATATTCAAACTCTTTTTTTCTTGGATCAGTTTTAAATACCAAATTTAACTGTTTGAGATATGAAATAATCCTCTCTTCTATAATACAAAATGGGTTTGATTTTTAATGAATTTTAGGGAGGAGATCTTCTAATGATTCAACAGATCCATCACTAAGTTATTCTGTAGAGCTTATGTCATCATCGACACCATCTTCTATAGGACTTCTTAAGTCCAAGCTCATGTTTTAAGATAATTAAAAATGCATAAGAAATTAATATATATAATTTTTATAAAATCATCAAAATGTTGTATCATTATAGTATTAAAATTGTAACTATTTTATAAGAATAAAACTAATCAAAATTGAAGTTTTTTAGTTTTGACACTATCCAACCAAGTGGATTTTTTAATTAATCTTCTTGATTTTTTAGTTTTTATTTTGAATTAATTTTTATTAACTTCAATGTTTCTTTGTAAAACATTAGTGATATTATCCTAAGGATTGAAATGTTCAAATTCTTTTTATTTATCTAAATAGGATACAACATCTGGTTTTATGATATTTAAATATTCATTGTAAAGTATCTAATTTGGATAAATTTTAAATTCAAGTTACTCAGATGATCTATAAGAAAGTACTTTAAACATTTGTATTAGATTTTAAGAATCACTATCAGATGATTCATTACTTTCAATAATNATCTAAAATGAATATGCAATCAAATAAAATTGGATTGCTATTTTGGGGTTTTTTAAGTTTAGACTAGAAACTATGTATTTTTTAATAATTTTAAATAAACTAATTAAATAAAAGAGTAATTTATATAATAATAATAAATCATTCTTTTAGATTTATCGTAAATTTAATAACTGATATTATTTTCATATGAATAAATGAGTTAACTTTAATATTGTAAAATCTTGAATAAATTTTTTAAACATTGAATTTAGAGTGGCAAATAAAAAAATAATTGTTAAAAAGAAACATATTAGATTTATATTGTAATTAAATGATTATTTTAATGTGATGATAATTGAGACGTTGGAAGTAAAAGCTCAGTTAAGATTTAACAGAAGAAACTTCTAGTTAAATAAGAATATTTTAAATCGTTATTAGAACATTTTAGAAGAGTTTTGAATTTTAATGAAAAGTTATCATGAAAATAAATTCTTAAAATTTTAAAAGAATAATTAGATTGATAAATTTTACAAGTCTTAATGAGATAAGAAGATGAAAAAATGAGTTCGACACTAATAAAAACTAAAAACTTTAAATGAATTAACAAGATCATAATATAAGTCAAATATGTATATTTGTGTTTTTGTAAAAGGCTTTTGTTTCATTTTTTTTTAATTTGCATAATTTATTTAGTTTTTAATTTGATGCTCTTTAAAGCAGGTGAGCCCTCAACAGAACCTAGAAACTGCGGTATAGTTTTTTATTATTTTTCACTAGTGTAAGAAAGAAAAAATACTTATATTCAAACTCTTTTTTTCTTGGATCAGTTTTAAATACCAAATTTAACTGTTTGAGATATGAAATAATCCTCTCTTCTATAATACAAAATGGGTTTGATTTTTAATGAATTTTAGGGAGGAGATCTTCTAATGATTCAACAGATCCATCACTAAGTTATTCTGTAGAGCTTATGTCATCATCGACACCATCTTCTATAGGACTTCTTAAGTCCAAGCTCATGTTTTAAGATAATTAAAAATGCATAAGAAATTAATATATATAATTTTTATAAAATCATCAAAATGTTGTATCATTATAGTATTAAAATTGTAACTATTTTATAAGAATAAAACTAATCAAAATTGAAGTTTTTTAGTTTTGACACTATCCAACCAAGTGGATTTTTTAATTAATCTTCTTGATTTTTTAGTTTTTATTTTGAATTAATTTTTATTAACTTCAATGTTTCTTTGTAAAACATTAGTGATATTATCCTAAGGATTGAAATGTTCAAATTCTTTTTATTTATCTAAATAGGATACAACATCTGGTTTTATGATATTTAAATATTCATTGTAAAGTATCTAATTTGGATAAATTTTAAATTCAAGTTACTCAGATGATCTATAAGAAAGTACTTTAAACATTTGTATTAGATTTTAAGAATCACTATCAGATGATTCATTACTTTCAATAATGACTTATTTGATTGAAGCACGAACAGCATTTCTTCTTTTTATAATTTTTGGTTCATCTTTTGATTGTGCAATTTTAATAGATCGATTTTCTATATTTAATTCAGTATTCCTTAATCTAACAAAATCATATTTTTAAACAAATTCTTCATTAATTTGTTCTTTCTAAAAATAGTTTTCATCAATTGCAAATGATAATACACCTTCTTAAATGTTAAGTTTGTCATTAAATGTTTGCTAATTATAATATAGATATTAAATATTACATATTATAATCTATTTTCTCTAATAAAATTACAACGATCTTATTTGATTTAATATTATTTCTTAATTATCTATTTATAATTTGGTGCATAAAATAATACATTACATTTCTCTAATTAATGAGTTTATTTACAAATATCACATTCAATTAAAGGACATTCATTCAATCTAATACTTTGTTAAAGTTTCTTATATTTTTCCCAATCTTTAGGATAGGTCAGTAAAAGTTATTAAAGTTCCTATAAATTGATTTACACTATCCTTGTAAATGTTTTTGATTTTATAGTATAAGGAATTGGAGATTAAGTGAAGAAATAATTCATAGCGATACTCTATGATTAATTTAATCTTCTAATTTAGGACAATCTATTAGATTTATTTTTATTGAATTCAATAATAATATCAGTTGATCCTTCTATAATGAAAGATAGATCATTCACTTATTCACCCTAAAATAAAAACCTTTCTTCAGGAATTAAAAGACGCTCATGCATTATTAAACAAATTTTATTTATGAATTCTTCACTAAAGGTTTTAAAAATTAAAGGTTGTTTCATTAGATATTTTTTATAAAAATCTATTTTTACATCTTTCCTTAAATCCTCTGTTAATTATTACATTAGAACTTCACATTCTTGATCTCGGTTTTCTTCAATTTAAAAATAATATTCAAAGAATTTTTTTACTCTAATTTCCAAATCCTTATTTAAACCTCTTTTTTAAATAAATGAAGTTATCATACTCATTCTGTGTCTCTGAGTCTTTTTCAATTCACTTATATTATTAAAAATCTGTCCAATGTTGGAAATTGTAAAACCAAAAACTATTGAGCTTAATAATGCCACTAGAATTACATATGCTCTTTCTAAATTAGTAGTTGGTAATATATCTCCATAACCTATTGTTAATGTTGTCACTGATCCCCAATAGAGAGCAGTGACATATTATTATTACCAAGAAATATCTTGTATATGGTTTATCTATATCCATGTATTCTGTACTCCATCATTTATTTCAGTCTTGGCTATTAAAAAAAAAAGACAGGCAAATATATGCGATGAATAAAGAAATATACTCATTAATTTTATTACATCAATGTAAGTTCCATACTTCTTACGCATGTTATAATTTTCTTCAAAAAATAATAATATGTCCACTAATGCATTCAATCTAAACAGAATTAAGAAATTCATAAATTAGCTTTAATCAAAATTAAAAATTAGAGGTACCATACTAAGACAATCCAAGATACAACTATTTTTTAAGTAATGCTTTGCTATCTCTTTCCTTTAAGACTTCAAGACTCCAGAATCATAATAAGCTGTGTTGAATTAAAGTATTATATGTATTAGAAATAGATAATCTGGAAAAATTAGTAATAAGATTTCTGCTTCAGGCCATTCAATATTGAAACTCATATTCATAGGTAAATAAGCTACATTGATGATTAACATAATTGAAAGTATGAAATCAAAAATCAGCTTCAAAGTGTTATTAGGATTGATAGTGTGACTAAATAAAGTTTATTTGTATCTTGTCTTAATTTTATTCAAGAAGATATTAGAATTGAACCAATATCTTATTTTATCCTTATATCATAAGAATAATACCATGTATGTTAGATTGCTATTAACATAATTCTAATTCACATAGAATCTATAATAAGCAGATTGATCATTCAAGGCTTTGAAATTTTAATGGGTGAGCTTTCTAAATTGATATGAATGAAGATTTGCTAGCATTTTTCTTAGAAATATAAATATTCTAATAGTAATGATAAGTCCTTTCTTTTTCCAAATCATATTCTTAAAATTCTGCATTTCGTACATTATTAATATATTTTTAAATAAAAAAAAATGAAATAATGGGTACAAAATGCTGTAAAGACTTATAAATTGATGAATAAGCCAGATGATAAATTAAATATTAAAAAGTTTTCAAGTCTTTAATATCCAAAATGTCCTTTTGGAGGTGATCATAGTGGAGAAGCTATGAGTTTGATATGTTTAGAGAAAGATTGTATTTAAAGCTAAATTTTATGTTGTTGTATATGTTAAGAAGAATTCCATAAAGGACATTAATTAAAACCTCTAAAACTCTTATTGTGTGAGTATGATTAATAATTAAGGTATATTATTGTTCAATATATAGAGAACATTAAAATATTTGTTTAAAATAAAATGAAAAAGATCTATTAATAAAGAAGATTAATGAATAAGAAGAAAGTTAGTTGAATTATATTTGGGAGTTTAGGGAGTAAATAAATAATAAATTATCAAAAATTGGAAATCTAGAGAAGGACTTTTTTGAAAATTTAAGAAAGTTTGTAAAAATGAGAGAATTTAGTAATGGGAATTAATGTAAATATATAGAAATGAATGAAATATAGAAACAATATTAGAGATAATAATATAAAATTAAACAAATGTAGAAATGTTAAGTAGTTCAGTTAAGAGTTTACTTGATGATTTGATAGTATAAGAAATGCCAGAGAAAGATCTAAATTATGAAGAAATTAATAGGATATTTGATTTTCATATAAAAGATCAAAAAGATCATTTATTATAATTGGAGAAGCAATTCAATTAAGGAATAGAATAATAGATAGATTTATTGTAATAAAAGACATAGAAAACAATTTTTTAGAAATCATATTAATTTTAATTTTTAGCAAACAATAAACATCCATAAGTTGATATAATATAACCAAAGATTGTAAAAGGTATATATATAATTAATAATGTATATAAAAGCAAGTAATTCAACACATGGTTATAAATTTGCTGTAATGACTCCATCCTTAGATAAAAACTAAACAACAGTATTTGGTTTTAAATTAATTGTAAATTTATTATTAAACTTATCTAATAAAGAATGTTCATTAGAGTAATTGGATAGCAGTTGGTGTATGTGATTTATCAATAGTGTAAAGTAAATAATTTGGATTTGCATTTTAATCACTTGGACATGGAGGATATATGGTTTCATCAAATGGTGGTGCATGGTCTAGTTCAACATCTAATTAGAATAATGTTGTTAAATGTTTTAAATTTGGAAAGGGAGATATAATAATTTGTACGTATGATCCAAAGAACGAAATTATTATTTTCCATAAATAAAAGGTTGAATCTTATGATATGTTAGTCTAGTACAACATTCAAACTTGATATTCCAAAATCTGATCATGATTTATATCCTTGTGTTTTATTTTATTATGCTTTAGATGAAGTGGAATTCATACCACCTGAAGGAATAAATAAATAATGAGTATTTATTTAGATTTTATTATTTATATTTTAAAATTATGGATAATCTTTACACTTAAGAAATTCGATAGAGATATCATTCCTCTATGACATATTAGGAATATTTAGATGCTTATGATAAACCACCTCCTAAACCTTATATTAGGTATTTCTTTTAAAAATACAAAGACCTAAAGAGTCTCCTTAAATATAAGATCCTTTAAGCCTTGAGCCACCTAAAGGTCCAAAAATATAATAATAAAAATTGACTGTTTATTCTCCAGAGGATGTTATTTTTGAAGAATCAGAAACTGATGAGAAACCTAAAGCTGCTAATCATATTCCTTGTTAAAAAGCACTCATAGAGCATGTACTTTTAAAAATTATCTTAAGAATATTAGAATCAGAAGTTAGAGTGAAAACCTAGGATTTTCCGTATTTAGATTTTTGTAATAGAAGAAGAATAAAGTCCCATGATCCAATTATTTTCATATAATAATTTTTTCTTTTAACACTTCTCTCCTATTATGATATCAACTACCATTTTTATTTCTGCTGTTGAATATTATTATTGCTTTAAAATCAATTAATGATATCCTTTATATTATTCTATACTGGTAAATTTTAATTGAAATATTCAAAATAGAACTAATCAAAATAAAGGTTATGTAGTCAACCAATTTAATAATTTATTTATTTTTGAACATTCCTTGTCATTTTTATCATTTTTTTAAATACTTAATCTTACATTCACTTTTACTTCTGAACTATAAAACTAAGTAATTATTAAGTTTTATGGATTCAGAATTATCAAATGTTTCTTAAGAAACCTAAAGACAATATTAAATGGTAGAAGGAATCTCCTAAAAGCGTTTCCTAGATAAAGCTACTTAAACAGATGAAATCAAATATGTTAAAGTTTGGAAAATTAATTTTGGGTCCTTAATATTTTTATTTTTGGGAATCATCATTTCATTTGTTATATATGTAGATATATAAGGGAAACTCAATATCCAATAATAATAATTGGAATAAAAGCGAAAAGTTCATGAATCATAATATTTTAGGGATGCATTTTAGATTATGAAAAATAAAAGTGTTTTCTATAATTACCGGCATAAAAAATATTTTGTAGAGAATTAGAATTATGTATAAATGTTGATTGGGAATTGTAAAGAGGAATTGAATTAAGTGGCATAATTGCTGATAACATAAACAATTTCATAGATCGAATAAATCTAAGAGTATTAATGTTTTTTTAAAATTTTAAAGACTTATTTACTTTTGATAATTCCATTTATGGCACTATCCTTAGGAATAATAAAAATGATCTTCAAATGATTAAGAAAGATAACTATTATAATCTGATTATTAAAATAATATATCTTGTAAACTTATGTATTTGAACTATGTTACTGTTATAGATTAAATATGATGATTTCTTAAGTCTTAAAGATCAATTAATTATTTAAATTTTCAATAAATAATATTATGTGAATATAAACACAATATATATTGAAATTTGTCTGTTCATAAAAAAATGACACAAAATTATTATGTCAATGTTGATTCAATTAAATTAATTAATTAAATGGCAGGAAAATCATCTTCATATATTACAGCATTGATAATTGCAATGATTCTTACAGGTGCAGCTAATACGATAGGTAATAATATGATAAATAGTATGTCTAGTATATAAATTATAAAATACGAGTACAGTTTCTGTAGATGGATGGGAATAAAATAGTTTTAATCATCCATTTATGCAAGCAGTCACAATGTTTTTAGGTGAATCATTGTGCATATTGTTATTTTTAAATATAAAGAAGAAACCAGAATATAAATAAGAATGTATTGAAGCAGCAGCAAAAGGGTATATATAGAAATTGAATATATAATAGAGTAAAAACAAAAATTAATTATGGATGGGTAGCTATTCCAGCTATGTGTGATTTAACAGCATCAACATTAGCTTATATATCATTAAATTACATTCCTCCTTCAATTTATTAAATGTTAAGAGGTGGAGCAATCATTTCAACAGCAATAATGTCTAAATTCTTTTTAAAGAGATAAATTAAGACTTTTTAATGGTTTGGATGTGGATTAGTTTTAGTTGGTATAACTTTAGTTGGAATGAGTTCATTTTTATTCCCACCAAAAAATGATAATGATAATGAAGATTCAAAAACTGAAATAGGTGCTGCTTATTTTATATCAGTTGGATTATTATTATTGTCTGTTATAATGAATGGACTTCAATTTGTTTCTGAAGAGAAATTATTTGATGTTTATTATTTACATCCTTTTGAAATTGTAGGTGTAGAAGGATTATGGGGTTTTTCAGTTTATGTTGTATTAGCAGTAGCATTGACTTTTATTTAATGTCCAAGTTCTATGTATGATAGTTGTATTGAAAAACGAATGACTGGAATGTTTTATTTTGAGAGAGCAGATTTTTACTTTTTATAAGTTTTTAATAGTGGTCTATTACTCTTTTGGGTTATATTGGGTATATTTACTATAGCAACATTCAATATTTGTGGAGTATCTGTTACTAAATATGTATCTTCTTTAGCTAGGTAATTATTTTATTGATATGATTAGATCACTTGTTGATGTCTCAAGAACATTAATTATATGGGCTGTTTCATTAGCTATCACTTGGATTGATCCAGAAGCTAAATGGGAAAATACTAGATGGGAAGCTATTGTTTTAGAATTAATTGGATTCTGTATATTAGTCACAGGAAATCTTATATATAATGGAACCATTAAATTGAAATTTCTTGGTTCCAGTTCTCAAGGTAATTTATCTCTTTAAAATATTCAAGTTGATCCAAATAATGATTCAACTCAATAATTTCTAAATAATTCAAATAGCTAGTCCTTACAGCCTACATGAAGTATTATTTAATATATGTAAAATTATCTATCATTTATCTATTTTATTATTAAGTAAACTCAATTATTTTTATTTACAATTTCTTTTTCATCTTAAAAAGTTATTCATATATTCTTACTTCAAAGTAATATCTTTATTCTTTTTTACTATTATATATTCAATGAAAAAAAGAACTTATTAAAATTTCTAATTTTTGTCATTAAACAATTAAAATTTAACAACAATATATTGATATTTAAATCAATATATTAAAATATCTTATTGATATGTTAAATAATTTATATAATACATTATTTATAATAACTAAAATCAAAAGTGTTGATAAGATTCATCAAAATAATGTAAACTATTTTTTCTATGTGTTGTATCCATTTAATCATAAAATGAATGATCACTATATTATACAATAGTTTCTAGTTAACTATTTGTACTGATTGAACCATGAACAAAGGTTTCTTATTTATCTGCTATTTATCTCATTCTATTCAAATGTATTTCATGTTTTGAATTACTTGGAGTTTTGAGTTAATTTAGGGTTACTTCTATAAGTTATAAATCATATGAAGATTATGCTAAAGCAATTATTGATTTTGGGCAAAGTGATAAATTACTAAATGGACTATAATTTTCTTTTTAAGCCACTTCATATTACTACCCTCTTTTTGAAATTTTTACTTTCGTTGACATTTGCAAATATGGATATTTTTTTTAAATTAACAGATTAATTTTATTAATAAATTTTTATTTTTAATTCTTAAGAATTTTTAGAAATGATTTTAACAAGATATAGAGCAATTTGATGAATAATCTAATAATTCTGTCTTAAGAGTTTGTATAAGATTGTATAAGATTTAAAATTATTATTCTTTATAGTTGTAAATCTTGAGCTGTTCTCAAATAATAAAATGAAAAAGAAAAAGAAAAATTAAATAATTTTACTGAAATCTTATAATTTTTCATGTCATTAAGATTAAATAAGTTTAATGATAGAATATTAATTTAAGAATCTTGGATCTAAAGAATAAAGTGTATTTAATAATTAAATAGGCATTCTAGAGATTAATAAATTAATAAAATAAGTTAAATTACATAATAATTATGTGTATTAAGATTTGTTTAATTTAATTCTAAATAGATGTAGTAATAAAGAAAATAGTATCTTTAAACTTGAATAAATATTGATTAATTAATTTTATTGCAAAAATGTAATAAAAATTGTCTTAAGTTACCACAAAAACAAATTGGGATGACATCAGAAAAGAATAGATGAGATAAATATTAGAACAAGGTAATAAAATAATATAATAGTGAGGTTCAAATATGACAGATGATGATGTAGTTTATATTAAGCACTGTATAAAGAATTTTAGTGGTCCAACAGCATATATGTGGTTAGAGAGTAATCTAAAAGGAGATTAAATAAATGAAGTTAATAAAAAATGATAACATTAGATAATAAAGCATATAAAAATAGCGACAAGTAATGATGGAACGAATCCTATTTATTTAGTATAAGAAGGTATGAAAATGATTTATAATTAGGTGAATTATCATCAAAGACAAGAGTTTATAAAAAGGCAGAAGTTGTATAAAATGAAGAAGTTGAATTTGGAACAGGAGCTATAGCTTTTTAGGTTGACAGATAATTATTTAACTCATTTAAAAATGTATTGAATTATTCAAATTAAATAGAGTGCCGAATTATAAGAATTGGAAATAAAATCCTAAAATTTACAACGTTGTATTCCTATAAGATCATTTGATATTTAAAAAAAATAATCTCTGTTACCATTATTTAAAGAAACAAAAAAAAAATTCGGAAGCATTATGACAGTTCCAGGAGGAGGAACTGCAAGTGTTTATTTTTAAACTAAAGGGTCAACATTAATATTTACTTAGACAAAAATTCATAATTTTGTAATAGTTGGATGTATTCAAAATGTTGGAGTGTTTAATGAATAAAAATAATTATTTGATTAAGGATCAGAATATGGAAGTATATCTATATGCGAATCTACTGTATGAATTCATTATTATGAGTATTAGCTTTATTAATTATAAGCAGAAGATGTAAACAAATTACCAGATGATTGTATACAATCTTTGAGAGCAGGTTTTTTAGCTAAAAAAATTATATATAAATCTATTCTTGATAAAGTTCAATAAATGAAAGAAGATGATGAATTTGTTGAATTTTAAGATAAGATTTGTAAGAAGTATTCAGTCGAATATAGCAGTATATTAAATATTATTTAAAAAAATACTAAAAATGGAAAAATTGAATCAACAGATAAATAAGAATAAATAGAAAAAAATAAATAAATGTTTGATAAAACTATTGGTGGAAATAGAATGAATAATGTTTTAAGTTAAATGAGTGATAAAGAAAGAACTTTATGTTTAGGAACACCAAGAATTGTTAATAAATAATCAACATTTTTAGGTTTAACATAAGAATAAGAGACATCTTTATTTGCATTAAGATAACTTGGTAATTTTATTAAATTATTTTATTTTAGCTACTGATTTAAGAAAAGGAAATAATAATACAAATTCTATTATTCCAATGTCTAAAGAATCTGTTAATAAAGCAAAATAAGCTTTGCTTCAAGAAGAAAAAATTAATATTGGTGAAGTTTTATAAAGAAAGACTATTTCTACTAAACTTTAGGATGATCCTAAAATGTTGGAAAAAATGAAAAAAGATAATTATGAATTATTATCTTAATATCCTTAAGAAGAAGAGAAAGTTCTTAAAATACATTCTGAAGATCCTAACAAAGATTAAAAAATAGAAACAGATGCTAACTCTAATCAAAATGAATTCAAAGGAAGACTTTAAACAAGATAAAGTTCTATAAAAGGATAGTAAACTGCTTAGTAAATTTAAATAGATAAAAAAAACAAATTGCTTTAAAGTTTAGTTTGATGTAAAAATTGACATCAGTTTTTATGTATATCTTTCATTAAATTTTAATTGAATTCTTTAAATTTCTATTCCAATTATTTAAAATGCTTTTAAATTAAATTCAATGAAATTTAATATCTCCCAGTTGTAATTTATTGATTTAAAGAATTATATTCAATGCATCTCTCAAGACATATCTAATCCTTCTTTAAATGTTCATATAAATATTCTAAATTATAATTTTAAATAAATTACCTTTAAATTTTCTTTATGCATCTAATTAATTATTATTTTAAAGATTTTTTTATGGATTATAATTCTTTATTTCATAAATAACCTCATTTAACTCTTTTTTTTCTTAATCTATAAGTTAACTTAATTCTGCTTTTTTTCTTCTTATTTCCTCTAATTATTTAGTTGCATTTTTAAAGTTTTCATTTTTTTCCTTTATATTTTTCTGAATTTGTTCAATTTCTTTTTACAGATTCTCTTTATCTTTTATTTTATATTCTAAATTAGTTTTATTTCTTTAAATATCTTATTCAATTTCTTAAATATAAAATTATTAATTTTCAGGATGGTAATTCAAACCATTTATATATACTTCACTTGTATTATATTACTTCATATTTGCATCAATTACACTAATAACTCCTCCTAATTTTTCATCATGAATCTCTACAGATTTTTTTCCTGCAGGCTTGAATAATTTACTCATATGTTTTGCTAATTCTTAATCTTTTTAATATTCTTCTGTTAAATCTATTTAATCTCCCTCTTACTTCTTATATGATAGAAGCTTTTTGTTTAAATCATCTATTGATTATTACAATTTTTAAATTTCTTCAGTAATATTTCCAAACTATGCTTATCTCTTTTTCAATTTTTAGGTTTCTAATACGCTTATTTCATTTTATGTGCAAATTTATTTCCAATCCTTTTCCACATTTGATAAATCATCAAATTCAGCTTTTTTGTTAAATATTTCTTCATTTAATTTTTTTTTTTTTTCAAGAAGAGCAGTATAATAAACTAAAGAATCCTAATTTGTTGTTTGATTTTACTAACTTTAATTCATTTAATTCATATAAATTTCTAATTCTTAATTCATTTTTAAATCTAAACATTCATTTACTAATTCCTCTAATTATGGATGCTTATTCAAAATTTTTTCCAAATCTAAGCGTGAAAAATATTCCAAAGCTAAATTCAATTAAGCTAATTCAGATTAAATAGGTAGCCAATCTTGTATTGTCTAAAATCCAAATTAATCACTATCATTGTAATTAATTTCATTTTCTAAATAATATCGAATTTCTGATTCTGTCACCTCAGGTTCGAAACGTTCTGAAATTATTTAATCTTCTGACGATTACTTTCCAAAAAGGGCAAGAAGGATACAAATAATCAAAAACACTATTAGAATGTTTGTCCTATTTGCCAATATATCTGTTCTTTACATTTATTTAATATATGATTTTTAAAATACATTGATGAAAATTTAAATTGTTTAAAATTACATAATAATAATAAATTCAAATTTAAGGTTCATTAGAACTCATCAATATATACAGTAAAGACATAATCACAAAAAGGCCTTGCTTATTTATTTAGCCATAATGCTTCAGGAATTTTTAAATCTCTATTTTATTTTTTTTTTAAATTATTTTTTAGTTAATGATAGTTAAATAAAAACTTAAGTTTTATATACTAAACAATAATGAATAAAGATCGTATTGAATATACATTTACAATTTTGGTTAAAATTAAATTCCTTTGAAATATTTATAAATATGAAAGATTATTTGTTAATAGTTATTCTAACTAATTAATCTAATTTGTTTATTTCTTCATTATGATACTTCCAAAAACCATTATTTTCAACGAAAACAATTTATGATTTGATTTTTAATCATATTAATAACATTTATCAATTACTATAATTAACTTTTTAAATTAATTTCCTCAAGACTGTTTAAAATATTATTGAGATCTTCTAAGTTTATTCATCAAATTTTTGCTTGTATTTTTATATTCAATCGAAGTATAGATGCAAAATATATGACTATGCTAAAATGTAAATTTTAAATGAGATCATAAATTTTTTTCAATTCAATTGAAGCTTGGAACCGTTATTATTTGGAAGATATAGGTACTAATATTTAGACTTTTTCTCTCATTTAACAATAAGTGATGTGTAATGAGCAGCCAATCAGACAGTTTTCAAGTGTTTGAACTTTCTCTAAATGCTTCTTTTTTACAAATCATCTTTTTTACTTTATTTCAAATTAATTATATATGAAATTTTAAAGATTAATTTGATTATTTCATATTTGTTATCATAGTCCTTATTTAGAAATAATGAATCCATAGATGATTATAAGAACTTTAAAGAATTCTTAGAAATGTTAAAGATTTATTTCATTATTTTAATTACTTATCAAATCAATAATTCTGTTATAAAATGTACTTAATTAAATTGAATTTCTGAATAATGGTTGATCTGTATTTTTTGAGAAATAAATGATATATATATAATAATAAAATTGAATATAATATAATTTATATATTTGTTGAACAGACAATAATAATTCATTTTAGTCTCTCAAACTTTTACAACACTTTTTTTGATAATGCCTCTATTTCTAATAGATTGTCATTTTCATAATATTATTTGAAATTGAATTGTTAATTTGTAAGTTTGTCATCAAATTAAAAAGTTTCTTCTAATCGAATGCAGTCTAAAACTCTATCAGCATGGATCCATTATTAACGATTCTTAAATATATAGATAGAAATAGATTACTTGATCTTAAGCTTTTGTTTTTTTAAGAGTTTCAATCAATAATTTAGAATAGTCTACTAAACATTTGACTAAAATTTATTAATCATTCTATTTAAAGTTATTATTGATAGCTTTTTTAATAGCATCATCTATTCTAGGTCTTTATTAAATTTAAATGCTAATTTTTTCATAAATAGAATCAAAATATGATTTGAATACATCAAACTCTTTAGAGATATAGGTATGAATATCTTTATAATCTTTGCTTTAAGTAAATTATTCCCAAAATCTATAATATTAATATAAATAATAAATTACTCTAATCCGTAACAATTTTATTTATCTTGTAAAAGAGTTTTAAGGAAATCTATTAATTATAATAATTTCTTAACAAGCAAAAAGCCTGTAACATCATAATTTTGAATAGTTTAATTATTCATAGCTTCTTCAGCAACAGATGCTAGAAATACATAAATATTTCTTTCATGTAAAATTCTATTAGCATTTCTTTTTTTAGCTTTGATTTCTTTTTCTCTTTAAGTTTCCTTATCAGTAACTTCTTCATTACCAATATCTTAAACAGCTCCTTAAGTACTTTAAACAGTTTTAGCTGAATCTTATCTAGCTAAATTATTTTCTTCTTATGGTTTCTTTAATAGAGGTCCTACATATTATTATTATTGATTTTAAGGACCCTTTTAAGCTACTTACATAGCAAAATTATTTAAATCTTCCTTTTTTTTAATTTCTGCTGGATGATCAATAACCATATTATTTTTAATGTAGAATTTACTCATATTCATCATTAATTCTCCTCCTTTTAATGTAGTTTCTAAATCTTTCTTTAATTTTTCCTCTTAATAGAAATTGATTTCATGATTAAATAAATCATCCCAAGATATTCTATTTTTAGGATTTACGACAAGCATTTTTTTTAATAAATCTTCTGCAGTAGGTGATATATTATTCACTTTTCTATTAATAACAAATTGTTTAGTTTAAATGTTCTTTAATAATTCAACCATATTAGTGGCTGTAAATGGAGACTTTCCAAATAATAGTTCATAAAAACAAGTACCAATTGACCAAATGTCTGCTTTACTGTCATATTCTTAATTATTAAGTACTTCTGGAGCCATATTGAGAGGAGATCCTAACATTGTAGTGGCTAATCCTTAATTATCATTCAAAAGTTTAGAAAATCCAAAATCAGCTATTTTTATATTGCCATCATGTTTTAGGATATTTGCCAATTTAAAGTCTCTATGCATTATCTTATTCTTCACAAGTGTTTTAAACCCATTAATAATCTATAATAAGTAATCTACAGCTTCTTCTTCTAGTAAAAATTTCTTTTGTTTTATGTACTCTAAATTTAAATAATTATTATTACATGATAGATCACCTTCATTGCAGTATTCCATAATCAAATAAATGTTGTTGGCTGTCTTCTTTATATCATATAACTTTATGATATTGTCATTATTGCAAGTCCTCAGCACCTTTATTTCATTTTCTAACAACTCCGTAAACTTTCCTTTCAGCAGTTCCCTATATATATATACACACTATATACCTCTTTACACATTTCACTGCTATGTCAACATTTGTTTATTTATTATATCCTTTGAACACTTCACCAAATTATCCTTTTCCTATACTTCTCTCGAGCACATAGCTATCAACTACTTTTGGCATTTATATTTTAAATTATATTAATGAACCTTAAAATCACAAATAATTAACAATCCTCTATAAATGATTCACTAATAATTACCAATTTAGATTAAACACACCTTTTTAGAGATGATACATTTAATAAAATTGAATGTGATTAATAAATAACTTTGAAAGATGCAGTTTAGATTTCATAGATATTGAAAGATCGTAAAATATTAAATATATCATAAAGAGGGAGTTTTAATTTATGAAGGCGAAATGAATGAATAGATTGTAATATATCTTTAGGCTAGTGGATTATATAATTAAGGTGAAGGGAAATTTATAAAGCAAGTATTATAAATTAAGAAGATGAATATTCCAGTATAAGAATTCAATAATTGTTATGGGAAATATGATTACATAGAATAGAAATTTTTAAATCAAATTAATTTATTTAAATAAGTAGATATAAATTAGAAATAAGAAATAATTGATGAAAATGAGTTATTAGATGATGGTGTTTAAGTAAAATAGGTAGAAAGTTGTGCAACTAAACCTAGAGCATGTGCTAATTGCACTTGTGGAAGAAAAGAAATGGAGTAAGAATAAATATGATAATAATTTTTTAGAGAGAAATAAGATTAAGAAGAGTTATTAGAATAATTAAAAAATAATTCTATAAAAGGTTGTGGTAATTGTTATTTAGGGGATGCTTTTCGTTGTGCAAACTGTCCTTACAGAGGTATATAGAATAAAATTTATCATAAGGATTACCTGCATTCAAGGATGGAGAATAAGTGAAAGTCTTATAAGAAGATGTGTTTTTATAAGAAGAAAATGAAGAATAAGATTAAATTAAATTGGAGAATGGAAAAGTCAAATTAAAGATTTGATATATATTTATATTAAGAATAATTAATTAAGTAGAATGTTTCCTTATTAATATAAAATACTTTTATTATTTTTGTATTGAATTTGTTTAATTGAATAGAAAAATTGGAAAGTGGATAATAATATGTAAAATTTTATGTTTAAGATTATTTTGTGTTATAAAGAAATAAGCAATTATGATTATTTACCATAAGAAATTCAGAAATAGATAATAATTCAGAGTTTAAGTGAGGAAAATATTATAAGATATACATGAATGAAATTAGAGAATAAAATTATAAGTTAGATTGAATAGTATAGAATAGATTTGATCATATATGATTTTACGTTTGATTCTATTGAGTCTTTGAATTTATGATTAATAATTAATGCGCTAACAATAACAATTACCAAGGTTGTCAGAAGATGAATAATTTCCTGGTCGTTTACATACACAATCTAGAAAACTCAAGTTTGGAAGTACATTATTGAATCATAAATGAATTTTAGCAACTGAAAACTTTAACAAGAAATCAAAAAAACAAAGTCCCATGGCTGAGTCTTAATTCATTAAATAAATTGATAACAAATTAGAATAATACAATAAAGATATTGAGCAACGAAATGATATGATTGTTACTATAGAAAAAGGTTTTGAATCTGTTAGACAAGAATTGATTAAAGAGAAATTATTAAATGAAGAAAAAACTAAACAATTATAAGATTTAGGATAATAATATCAAGCTGCTCAATCAAAACTCAAATCTGTTCATGAATCAAATAAAAATATAGGACAATCAAATACTGATAAGGATAGAGATAAAATCTAGTAATTAGAAACCGTTTAAAAAGCTATTCAGACAAAAGAATATTAATTAAATTAAACTATAGACTCACTCAATAATCAATTGAATGATATTGCTCATAAAATTAAAACTAAAGAAGACATGCCAGATGATTCTAAAAAATTAAAAGACTCAATTAGAAAAAGTGAAGTATTTATAAGTAATCTTATTATTCTAAGGAGAAAAAATATAAATCATAGGCTATAATGGATGAACTTAAAAAGAGTTTAGAATCCATATCAGCAGAGAAGTTATTAATTAAAAATTAAATGGACCTATATAAAAAAGAATACCTTGCCAAAGAAGAATGCTTATCCACTGAATTTAACAATACTTAAAATAAAGTTAAAGAATTGTAGAAAGAAAAGAACCAATTATAAGAACAAATTAAGAAGTAGCCTATAAATTCTTAGGATTAGAATAATAAATTATAAGAAACCATCAATTAATTAAAATAACAATTAGCTGAACAAAACAAATCTAAAGATGTATAAATTACATATTCTATATAAGAAAGAAATAAATTAATGGAAAGGAAATCTTGATATTTAGGTCAAAAATTTCGATCAATTGACTCAATAAATTGAAGAATATAAATTAAAAATTGAAACAACATCTAAAAACTTAGCAGAAAAAACTAATTCAGTTGAATAAATTAGCAAATCTATTGGAGAGTCTGAAAAAGTACTTAGAGATTAATAAACAGAAATTAAATAATTGAATCAAAAAATAGAAGATTGCAATAAAAAACTAGGAGATTCAAAACCTAAAAATATGTCTTAAGTTATAGAAACTATTGCCATATTGGAAAAAACACATGTATTTCATGATTTCTTAAATTTTAGAAAGAAATCTAAAAAGGCCTTGCTTGTACTTTCTGCAATAAATTCATTAAATAGCCAGTAACAATTATCCCTTGTGGTCATTCCTATTGTTTTGAATGCAAAAAAGGATATTAAAAAGAATGTTTCAAATGTGGACCTAAATTGAAAATTGAAGCCATGTATAGAAATGAATTGTTAGATGATATAATAGATATGGTTAAATTAGTCGAGTAAAGCATTTTGAATATGAAATAAATTACTTAAAATTAATGAAATACTTTTTAAATAAATAGAATTCAGCCTTTCCTAGCTCTTCCAAATATATTAGAATCTAAAACCAAAGATAAGACATAATTATTTAGAATTATACTTAATTTCCAATAATTCTTATTTTTTATTTTCATGCAAAATCATCAAAACCATCAAAAAAATCAAATATAATTTTATGATAATAATTTATATTCCAAATCTTAAGATTACTTTTCTATAAAATAACTTAACAGATTTTGAACAGATCCTTTTAGATCTCTTTTGGGTGTTATCATAATTTTTATTCAAATAATTTTAGAACATTAGTTTTTATTATCAAGAATTATCCAAGTAAATTAAGATTCAATCTTATAAATTTACATTCTGCATATTAAAGATTAGTTAATGAAATTAAGAATACCCTCAAAAATTATAGGCTTTTTGCTTTTAATTTGACTAACTATAAATTAGAAAGAATGCAAATAAATTTCTTTTTTATAGTGATCATTATTGAACCACCTCAAGATAACTAGAATTTACAAAATTCTACTTTTACCAGCTGCAGACATTTCATACAACAAAATATGAAATAAATTTTTATGTTCTAGAATTAACTTAATATTTAAAAATAATTATTACACAGATTGGTAAGCAAATATATTTCTTTAACTAAATCTGATTCTTCTTTTTTTAAACTTTAATAGAACTCTTTTGATTTTTTCATAAATAAAAATAATCCAATGACCGACTTAAATAACTTAAATGTTCAGATATATATTGAATATAAGTTTTAATGTATTTTGCTAAAATTTAAAGTGAAGATTTCAAATTTATATATAAGAAGTAACTTTTTCAATGACATAATTTGTTAGAAACACTTAACTTTTGCAGAAGGGATAATCTTATATGTACATAATCTAATTTTAGCATGTTTAGGCAAATTTTCAAAATGAATACTTTTGATTGATTCTTTGATAACAAATGCATTTTGGTAATTTTCTACAGTTAATTTTTAAAGCTTTTTCTCTAAAAGAACTTTTATTACTTAAATTTTGTTTAAATTTATACAAATATTACTATTAAAAATCAAAACACAAAAATTCATTTTCTTGCTTTCTGATTAATTATTCTTGAAACAATTTCTTCAATTTGATTGCTCATTTCCTTTTCAAATTTTAAAAATTTGAAGGATGTCGATTTATATTTATCAGAACTGATTTCTTCATTTCTTTCTAACATACCGTAATAAACTTTAATTTCATTTTATAATTCCTTATAATTACTCTCTATTTTACATTAACTGCGTTAGTAAATAAAGCTAAACTTCTTTAACTCTCTAATTTTTATTATTATGACTATTATTGTCTCTATTAATTGAGTGACATTTTTATAAAATAAATAAATATTCATTTGTTTTATTAAATTTCAACGTAATTATTTATTAATATGATTGTAAAAATTTAATATTATGTAATGGAAATACTAAAATTTAAAAGATAAAAGTAATACTAATTTCATAAAGTTACAAAGTTATTAATACTCTTCACGTAATTTATAAATTTTCTTATGAATTACATAATCAATTTTTATTAATATATTTGTAGCTCTATTATCTTTTTTAGCTTATAATTTTGGATAAATAATAATATAAGAACATTTAAATAATTATGCTCTGAAAATTTCCATTAAAAATAAAACGAATAAATAATTAAAAATTTTTGAGAATAGAATTTTTAAAGGATTAATTAATTGAGTATTGTTAAAAGTAATATAAATAAGATATGATAGAAATTTGGAGTAGAACTTAAAAATAAAATAAGTTGAATAATTAATTTATAAATAGTTATGAATTAGAAATCGTAAATTCAGTTGGATTTTGATTCAGAAGACACTGAAGGATCAGATATTTCTTTTGAAAGTTCATTTGATGAATAGTTGGAATAGGAATTTGAATAGAGTAAAATTAGTTTAATATTTATAAGCTTTACAATAAAAAGGGATAGTGTAATTCAAGGATCAGATGGAAAGAATGTTATAATTGAATTAAGAAATAGGAACAATAAAATTGGAAAAAGCAAATTTTGAGGATGAAGAAGAGTTGAAAAAACTATTTCCACCTAAATAATAGGAAAATTTGATATCTCGTAAATCTACATCAAATATATAAATGTAATATTAGATATTAAAGAATTAGAATGTCTCCAAGATAGAAGAGTTAGAGTGAAAATAAAAACAATTCTTAATGGTATTAAGTCTCGAAAAATATACTAAACAGTTCAAAAAAAGTAGCATCTTAACCAACTTTGGAAGAATTTCAATAGAGATTAAATTTATTTAGAATAAATAATACAAAAAGTGATATAGTGGATTTGATAATAGAAGAATAAGATAAATTATTGAAAGATATTTAATAATAGGAAAAAAAGAATAAAGCAATAGAGAACGCAGTTCATGAATCAATAGAGGCTAAAGTAAGAAAGGAAACTGGAGATGTAGGATATGTTTCATTTAGAAAGAAGATATAGTTTTAATTTCGTATAAGGAAAGCTGAAGAAATGGCTTAAGAGAAAGTATTAAAATAGAAAGAGAAAAAAGAAACTGATATGCACAGATCACTTTAAATATTTGATTAATTATTTTTAAATAGAAATTATGATGAAGAAGGAGAAGTTAAAAGTTTAGCTGCAGAAGAACTTTATAAAAGAGTTAAGAAATGTTCAGATGATATTGATGTTAAAAATACAATTATTCAGTTCATTATTCAACATAGAAAGAAATAAATTGAAGAATATAAAAATAAACCAACTATATTAAAACCAACTAAATTTATATCAGAGGATAGTAGAGAATTCTCATTATTATAACCTAATATGTAATTTAGATAGCAAATGATGCAATAATAATTAAATAAGGAAGTATTAGATAAAAGAGATGATTTAGAAGGGGAAAATATATATTTACTGACCAAAATTAATTAAATACTAGAAGGAAATCTCATGAAATTATGGAAACATAAATTAGGATCCAAAATGTGATATTTTTATTTTTTACAAATTTATAATTATTTTGAAATATATAAACAAATTAATTCTAATGAGTGAATACTTCATGCAATTTTAAAAAATGTAAAAAAGAATTTAACTAAGAGAAAAGGCATCTGATGATGCTTGGTAAGTACTCTAAGGAGAAGAAAGATAAAATTTGTTAAATGGCATTAATTTTTATAATTACAGATTCTTTGCTCTTAGAACATTCCCAGTTGCTATAATAGGAATTTTATTAATGACACCAGTACTATAAAATAAGAGTAGATTCTTTATTAAAGAATTATCTTTGATTTTTGGATTCAGTTCAGGCATCATTTATGGAGATTATTAAAATAGTGAATATTTTTGGAATAATTATGGTAAAATTGTTATGGAAAATACTAATTATAATGATTCTGGATTAACATAAGATTAAATGGAAAAAATGAAGAAACTTTATGAAAAAAGCAAAACCTACAAACCTGAAAATAAGACTGATAAAATGTACGAATGAAAATTTTCATCTAAAATAATTTATAATACAAATTTATTTAATTTATTTATCGTTTTACTTGTTTAGATTTCTATTTGATTACTAAAATTATTTGAGATAATTATCTTGTAAGTAAACAATAATTATTAGATCTTTCTTGAAATTTTTTTCAAGTAATCTATAAATTAAGGTATGGAAGACAAAACACAAAAGTTTATCACAATTTAAATAATACTATTATAGTCATTAACTATTTATTAGAGAAAATTTTAAAGACGTAATAATTAAGTCTCCTAAACTAAGGAAAAGAATCTGAATACTTTAGTTTTACATATTATAACAATTTTGGCACTAAGTTTAAATTAATGCTATTTGATATAGTTAACCTACCTCATAGTAAGTTATCGGCATTTCCTCCATGTTATTACATTTAATATGAATTTAAGAAGTAGGATTAATAAATGTTGTATCTACAGATATCATGATCAATAATTTTCCTTCTAATTACTTATTTTAATTAAGATTTTGTTTCTTATTCAAAATAATGATCAATTAAATAAAAATATTCTTTCAAAAATATAAAATATCATTTGATATTCAAATGATGGATTCAAAGGTGTATTTATCAAACCTAATATTTGCGTTATTTATAAAGAATTCCCTGTATATATCTCTAAGATTGATGTTTTAAACAATTAAAATCAGGATATAATCTAGGTGCTGCTTTTAGCCGCTTATAGAAATATAGTAAATATTTCATAAAATAAAAAAAAAAACAACTGAACATATTCATTTAATGAGTTAAGTTGATAATGAATTTAATTTCATTGTTCAAAAGATTCATCAAATATATCATAATATGTATATTATATTGACATTAAATGAAATTTTAATATATAATTATAGTTATTAAGTTAATTAAATTTATAAAAAAAAACACTTTCTTATTTATCAATCCATTTTGTCTAATAATCTATTAAATCCTCCTCTTCTATGCATATATTATCTGTATTTACGCTTTTGATTTGCTGCTTTAAATACACCTTCAACTGCACTTGCCTTTAATAATTATATATTTTACTGTGTGATCCTTTCCTTTTGAAGATCCAAAACTTGTGAATCCAAATTTTTTTAACAACTCTTAATTTACCTTTTTTAATCTATCCTCATAATCTTCTTCTTCTTCAGCTTAAATATCTTAATTGCCTATTTAATTTTATTCTTCTACCATTATATTCTGATTCGATTCATTATTTTTTATTTATACTTAATTAATTTGAATCTCTAAATCTTATTTTTATTGCTAATCTGTTCTTTATTAATCCTGATATTCCTTTTTTTCATTAATATTCTATTCAATATTCTCCACCTATTATTATTTAATCACAATCTCTTTATTTATTGCTTAACTTTCGTTGTTGTTATTAGGATTCTTAATTTAGTCAATCTTTTTTTATTGTTATTAAACTTGAACTTATCTCTCTTCTTTTTTCTTTAATGATCTTGAATGAGATTATTTTCTTTGTTTTTTTTATTTCTTCTTTCTTTCTGAACTTGATGATGAATATGAAAAAGAAGAACTAGATGAATGTTTCCTTTTTTTATCCTTCTTATGACTCTTATCTTTTTTTTTATCCCTCTTTTTCTCTTTTTTCTTATCTTTACCCATATAATTATTATTTAAAATAATTAAATTTTTATTAATATTTGTAATGACTCAAAACAATTTTAAGATATTCATATTTTCAATTGATTTGAGAAGAAATTGTTTGTTAAATTAATACTCTTCTTCGTTTGTCTTTTTATAATCAATCTTTATTTTTAAATTCATTAAATTAATATTTAATTCTTCTTCTTCTTCTTATAAATTAAAAATTTTAAAATAATTATAATTTTTAATTTTCTCTTCATCTTGGTTTTTCCAATTGATATTTCTAAATCTAGATTCTAAAATAGAATTTCTTCTTGAGATAAGATTCAAAACCTTTTTGTATTCTATTATAATGATTTTTAAATGCTAAAAATATTTTTGATCGATTATTTTAGCTTATTCTAAATTTATTTATGATTCCACTTTTCCTATTTATGAATAATATTTCTCCTTTTAGTAATTTTAATATTATTTTTACTACTAAACAGTAATATAGGGTTTTTAAGAATCAAATTAAACATCTTTTGGTTAAACTTCATCATCAATAAATAATAACATCGCCATAGTTTTCAGTTAAAATTCTTAACCATCATTTTTTTAATTTTCATTAAATAATCCTTAACCTGTAGGCAAATCTGAATAAGATCTCTGAGTTATTTTATCTTTTTAATAAAAACTATCCTCTTTAAAATAAATTTTCTTTATTTCACTCATTAATTTTTTGATTTTCAAATCTAATGAATATAATTGATATTTTATTTAATAAATCCATGATGGATAGTAAGATCTACATGAGGATAAGTTTTAATGTATAAAATCTGTATAACTTGTAAGATCTTTAAATAATATTTTATTAAGCTCATTATAATTCATATCTATCAATCTGTTTTCAATTTAAAAGTTTTTTTAATGACCTATCCAATTAGCTGTATATTCATTTGAGCATAAATCTATTGCTCCTAGTATATAAGCATATACTTCGAATTTCATCTCTTATTTATTTATGTTTCTGAAGCTGTCTATTAAGATTGCTCTGATATTATTTTTTTATTAATCATCTTTTGTCAGAACTATCTAACACCAAAATCTCAGATAATATCCCAACAATGAAAAATTGTTTTATTTACTTAAATTTAAAGTATTGTGTAAATCATTATAAAAACATTCATTATCTTTATTAAGATTTAATATTAGCTTTGAATAATTTTAATAGAATAGATTATAGAGCATGATATTTTATTTATAGGAATCTGCTTTTAGTTATTAATCAAGTATTGATTTGATACTATCGCAAACCAAGTAAACAATTTAAATGCTTCTAAATAATTTCAAAAAATTAGTATTTTAAATTTATTCCGAAACTTAAGATTAATCTATAAATAATGGAATCATATTAAATATTATGTTTAAACAAATTGCTTTTCCAATAATTTCTTCAATTGAATTTAATTTTAAAAATTATTTCTATTTTGATTAATATTTCCATTTTGATTAATATTTTTTCAAAGCCATTGCCATTGCCATCTGAATTTAAATTTAGGTTGATGCGAATTCTGTAATACTATCTGAAAACATTCTATACATAGGTGTATCGAACAAGAACTTTAATTGGTTATTATTACTTATTAGGCTCTGGTCATTAGAATTAAAAAATTAAGAAAAGACTTATTCAAGATCTTCATGAAAAGTTTTAATTGAAAATTTTTTGTGGTAGACATATATTCTTTCTTATATTTTTAAAAGAGAAAAATCTGTCAAATTTTCAAATTATTTTTCTGTTTTTTAATTTTCATGAATATTTTGATTAGTGTCTGCAATTACTTCTTAATTTATAAGTGGTATTCTTAAATTAGTTTATTCTTAAATTTAATTATTTTCTTCTGCATAGCATCGATGCCAACAATTACCCATAAATAATAAAATTATATATAATCTTAATTAAAATAAAAAATCAGAAACAACTTTGAGAATAATTATATGAAATGACAATAATAATAGGAAATTGATTAAATAATTGAATTAAAAAGAAAATATATTTATCAATAGAATAGAATTCCAAAAATGAAAATAGAATATATAAGAACAAGATTAGTTCATAGATTCTCTCAATAGTTTTAAAATAGAGTTTAATATTTCTTAAGATTCTTTTAACCTTAACATCTTCTGAACTTGTATTTTAAAGTTAAAAAGAGAAAAATTTGTCTATTTTTGATTTAAATTTGTATATTCTCAATAATTGGCATACCTTAAATGAATTTTGTGGAGAGTATAAAACAATAGTTCTGAGATTAATATAATTTTATAGTTATATTTCATTAGTGCATTATAAATTTTAAAAATAATTAAATGACTGAGGCAAAGTCTAAACGAGATTAAATTTGGGAAGAAAAGAGAAGATAAAGAGAAGAACGATTATTAAGTATATTATAGAAATAAAAATAGGAATGGAAGGATAAATGCTAGAAAATAATGGAAATTAATTTTAACTCCCACCTACAAGATTAGATGATTAGGTTCCAGTATCTCTTCCTTCTCATTCTTAAAATTATGAGTCTTATATTCCTCCAGAACCTTATGTACCAATAGAAATGAATAGAAATCCTGAACCACCTAGAATGTATTAAGGATCAATTCCATAGTAATTTGAATATAAAGATAACAAATCAAATGGTTAATTTTAGTAGTAATCAGCAATACAATAAAGTCCTTTAAAAAATCCTATTAAGCAATAATAAGATGAATATAGAGAATATTTGAAAAAGTAAATGGAAGAAAAAGAAACTGATAAAAAAAGAAGAAGAGAAGGAACAAATAATAATTAATATTAAATTTAATAAGGGTAATTTTAATAATAATCTGCTAATCCAGCACCTTTACCAAGTTAACCAATTAATAGATAAAAATAAGAATATGGTGATTTTTTAAGATAATAAATGATGGAAAAAGAAGAATAAAGAAAAAGAAGAGTTTAATCAGGAAACAATTATAATAACTAATAATTATAATAAGCGTAACAATATCAAATTTAACAGTCACCATTATAAAATTTGTAATAAATCTACTAGCCATAATAATAAGAATTAAATTAAGGTTTATAATATGGTATATAATAATCTATTATTCCTAATTAAAATCAATAGCCATAATAAATGGATTAGAATAAATTGCATAAATAAGAATATGGAGATTATTTAAGAATGTAAATGCAATTAAAAGAGTAAGAGAAAAATGATAGAAAGAAAAATCTATAATAAAAAATGGAAACTGGAGATTCATTTCCTTTTGGTAAAGGAGGAAGTGGTGCTCCATATTAAAGAGGAGCTAATAATTAAATATCTTAAAATAATAATAATTAATAATAATAATTATATTAATAACCAAATTATCAATAGTAATAAGCTTAATTTATTTAATAATAATAAAATTACTAATAACCAATATAATAAGTTTAATATTAACAAAGTATAGTAACTCCTTAATAATATTAATATGAAGAACAAAATTTACCATCTGGATTTGATTAATAACCAATATTAATGGAACCTTAAGTGGATCCTCAATTGAAAGGAGGAAGAAATAGATTAATGTTGGAAAATTAAAATATTGATGATATAAAAAGAAAAGAATAATAAAAGTTGGAGATGTAAAGAGTTTTATAAGAATAAATTGAATAAAAAAAGAGAAAGAAAGAATAAGAAAAATTATAAAAAGAAATGGAAGATAAAATGGAAGAGGAGAAATTTAGAAGATAAAAGGAATAGGAAGAATTAGAAAAGAAGAGAGAAGAGGACTAAAAGAAATAATAATAAGGAAGTATAATTAATTTAAAAATTAAATATAGAATTTGAATAAGATAATATAGATTTAAAAGAGAAAAGAAGATTGGAAAGAATTTAAGAAAGGAAAAATAGGAAAAATTAATAACAAGATGAGGATTAATAATAATAATAGTAGAACTTTTAGTTATTTGACTAATAATAATAGTAATTACCACCACCTTCTCGTAATCTACCTCCTTCATAGCCTAAATCTGAAAATTATTTGAAAGATTTTCTTATGAATGAAAAAATGAAAGAAGGGGTTAGTCCTCATTAAAGTATTCTTGATTTTTATAGAAATGGACCATAACCTATAAATAAAGCTGAAGTTTAATAAAATAGAGAAATAGACGATATAAAAAGATAAATGCTGTAATAATAAGAAAATTTACAATAATAAATTTAATAAGTTATGAATTAAGCTTAAATGGCAATAGAAGGTAGAAATAAAGCAGAATAAGAATTAATTGCTTTAAAAGAATAAGTGAAAAATAAATATTTATAAGAAGAAAGACATCATGATGATTTAATGATTGCATTAGTAAAAAATGATCCAAAATGGGAAAAACAAGTATTTCCACCTCATCTATTAGCATAAGCTGAAATTGGTGCATATAAAGATTTAGCAATGCCAGCATTAAATGAAAATTTTAATTTTCCTAATATTAATTAAAATAAACCACCTCCATTTGCTCCTGCTTATGAAAGTAAACGTAATATATATTATATAAATAAATTAGCTCTTGTATTAAAAGAAGAATCAAAAGAATAAAAATAATATTTTAGAGAATAATTTGGATTATAATCATTAGTTTCAGATTCAAATATGGTTCCTATTGATCATAATGCTTCTTTAGTTCCTTAAATGTAACCATTAAATAAAAAAGTATCAGAAGTATAATTAGATAAAATCGATGAATTAAATGCTCATTTTGAAGATAGTCTTAAATTAGGTATTGGAGACACATATTAAATTAAAAATGATAATTTTAAAAAGAGACCTCCTAGTAATAATGGATAACATCCATCTTGGAATGTTCCATCTATTGATTCAGAATTTGTTAAAGAAATTGATGATCTTCTTAAATATAAACCTGCTTAATAAACTTTAAATCGTCCTCCCTCAGGACTTACAAAAAATGGATTTGAATAGAAATAATTATAATAATCTATATCAAACAGACCTCCATCTTAAACTAATTAAAGAGCATCTTCTGCTTTTGGACGTGCTGCTTAAGGTGTATTAGGTTCTGCTGATTTAAATTATAAAGGAATTACTTTAGATTCTGAATTCCCTGATATGACTATGATTAAAAAAGTAACAAATACTGATACTTTTGATATAGCAGGAATTCATAAAAAAATGGATTAAAAAATTATGCATCTTAATGAAATTGAAGAAGATGATGATTTACAAAAATTAGATAAATTACTTTATTAATATAACTAATGATATCATATTAATTTATATTCTAACAATAAAGGTATTACTTATACTTTCTTAATCAATAAGATGATCGTTAATTTATTAATTATCAAGTTTTAAACTATAAAAATTATTTTTTTTTAATTATGAAACCAAAAAGATCAACTTCTGCTCATATCACATTAAATGCATAATTAATCAAATAAAATTCACCTCCTTCTCCTATTAAAAATAAACTCTAAGAAATTAATGATAAAATCAACCAGATGTTTATCAAAGCTAAAAATCCAAATGAATAAATAAAACATATTGAAAGTCATTTATAATAACAGTTTCAAAGTTCAAAAATATTATCAAATATTACTAAAGAGAAATCTAAATTATTATAATAAATAACTTCAAAAGATGGCAAAATAAAAGAATAAGAATAAAAGATTAATGAGTTAAATTAACAAAATTAATATTTGAAATAATAGTTAGAATAATATCAATAAATCTCAGTCGAAATGGAATAATTAGAATAATATTGCTCTAAAATAGTTTAAGAAAATTAATAACAAAAACAATAAGTTTATTAGTTATAGACTTCCTTTAGTTTTTTATAATCTAGCAACCTTATAGCTTTAGGATAAGAAATTGATCAATAAATTTAGACTTTAAATAAATCGCTTTCTAAATGTTTTAAATTATTAGAATATTCATGTAAACAAGAATTTGATGATTTACAAGCATTAATAAAAATTAATTCCACAAATAATTCATAACATAAATAGGAAGGGAATTTGTATACAATACTTAAGGAATCTTTGGAATAATTAAAAAGATTAATCTATGAGACTGATAAATAATTTGATTTAAATTATAAAAAGGTGACTAGTAATGTATTTTATTCTTATAATTATTGAATTAATAAGGGAAAGTATTTTTAAAATTATCAAATGACATTTGAGAAATCTTATTTTTCAAATAATCTTTTTATACTTTATAATTCCTTTTCTAAATCTTTTTAACTTTCTTAAATTGCCCATTTTGCTAAATTAAGATTTCTCTCTAAAACTTTCATTTAAGCAAAAAATTCATCTAATTTTTAAGATGTATTACGAATGTATATAACACTTTTCTTTTTTTTGTCTCCTAATTCTTCACTATTATTTCTTGGTAATTAATTAAATGAATTATTAATTTAACTTGAACTTAAGGTTTATAATATTTTTTTGAATTAATTTTTTTTATCTAATGAAATTTTTTTAAGTTATTTAATTTGAATGAATTTTTACCTCATTTTTAGTAAAATACCCATAGGTACAACTTAATTAGATCTAACCTTTCTTAAATTAGTCTAAGAATTTTGAATTGATGTTGATTTTGATGAATATTATTTATCTAAAGTTCTATTTGCAAAAATAATCATTTAAACAACTTTTCTAAATCTATCCATCAACATCTTTAATTTTGTTACTCTATTTTTTAATATCTTTTCAAGAATATTTTCAGTGTTACTCTACCTAGTATCATAAATGACACTTTATTTATGTTTTATGATTCCTTTATAATCTCTTACTTCTATTCTATTTGCAGACTTTATTAATTCTAATTTTTATTCATTAGTTCTCTCTTTTTCTGCTTCTACCTCATATTATTTACATCTAATTAAGATATCATCTAATCTATGTTCAGCTAAAATCTTTAAATATTTTTATAAAGCTTGAAATTCTTTTAAATATTTAAAAAAATTAGAATAACGAACAATTAAATAATAACAATCCTATTTTGCTATTGCATATTATTTACGCTGTTATTATCTTTATACAATTTATCTTCTATTAAAATATTCTTATTCTCCAAAAATAGAACCTGCTTTAATTTCAAGGAGTTCTTTACCAAATTAATTTCTATATTAAATAATTCCTTCAACTAGAAAAAATATTTCATCAACAGGATCTCCTTTTAACCAGAGAAATTATCCAGCTTTTGCTTTCATTAAACTTGTATGTCTAATAACTTTTAATGAAAATGGAATAGATATTCTAAAAATAGAAATTCCCAATAGTTCCTTTTTTGCTACAGCTAATAAAATATTATTTTATATATTTTAAGGCAGTATCTTAAACCATTCTTATTAATTTAATGACCAACTTTAATTGTATTTATGATTAGTAAGAATAAAATTTAAAATTTCTGATTTATAATCAGGTAGGATAGTAACTTAATTAAATAAGACTTTTAGATCATTTAAAGTTTTATTATATTAACTCTCAGTATCAATATCAGCAAGAATCCCACTTAAATTACCAATTACTAAACTCATAAATATACCCCCACAAAGTGTACAAACAATAGTACTTATATATTCAAGCATACTGGATGGAGTTCTGTCTCCATATCCAGTTGTTGATAAAGTTTACATTGCCCAATACATAGCATCTATATAATTAGGAATTTAGTTATCTGACCATTACTTAGATAAAGCCCATAGACAAGTTGAATAATGAAATCCAATTATACTAAAAAATAATATTTATAAAAAAGTTGATTATTTCACATCTAAAAAATTAATCATAAAATCTAAGCTATTTAATAAATTAATCAATAAAATTACATCTTATTTTAATTCAAAGAAGAAGCACTCACAATTTATTAAACTCTTTTAATTCTAAAAACTTTAATTAATTGACAATATTATAAAGGAATTACTGATATTATATCAATTATAAACCAACCAGAAAAATAATGTTTTACTATTGAAATTGAATCTTGAACTAAATAATTATTTTCATCATAATAACACATTCTCATTAAAATAATTATATCAACAGCTATGAATATGAATTATGAATACAAAATATTATTGAAAATATCCATTTACTTACATTGTACACAATTTCATCATCATCAAAAGCAGCTACAAATGGTATATAAAAAGAACAATAAATCAAAACAATTAACATAAATATATCCCATATTTTTTTAAGCCTATCATTCTTAGCTAAAATACATTTTCAATCTTTACTGGGTAAAGAAGTGATTCATAGATTTTTTTCTTATGGTTTCCTTTTAATTTTTTTGAGTCCATTTATTTGGCAATTGAAATAAACATGCTTATCAAATATACTTTTCTAAATGCCTTAATCAATCGTCTTTTATTATTTAATCGTTTCATTGATTATTCTAATGCTATTTTTCTTGATCTATATAGTATAATCAATTTAAAAAACTTTTTCATTTCGAGAAGTGATGTTTTGTTCATTCTATTTGTTTTTTTATCTTCTCTTTAATTAGGGCTTTATGGTACAAATTTTATAGATTCTCCTTTCGGAGATATCAAACCCTCATTTGAAGGACGATGTCTTCCTACATAAAAAGTGCTAGCCTTTTTAATCATATTTTTAAATAAATTACAATTTATTATTTTCTGTAATCAACTCAACTTATAGAATTCATTTAAAAAACTAAAACTTATTTTATTATTCATTTTTTTTTTCATATTGAAAGAATGAAGCATATTCTTTTTAATTTGATTGCATTATTATTGCTAACCTTAACTTTGAAACTTATAAATTATTATAAATATTCTTTTAAAAAAAAAAATAAAGTTCTCTGTTGCTAAATTCACAAAAGATATTACTAATAAATGTAAATATGTATTGAATAGCAGATATAAATTATTTTATCTTTTTAATTGAGGATATTAAATTTAAGTTTTATATTTTTCTTTATAGTTATGAACAATGAATTTGTTAAAGCTTGCTCAATTACATAGAATAGAGAGGAATATATTTGTATGAATGAATAATGTTGTACCTCTAATAGAAAATAGCTTCATTGTTATGAATGTATCACGAAAATTCATAGATAAAATAATAATAATTTAGTTAATCATCTTGATGATTTTAAAAAAATTAGTTTTATAATGCAAGAGGTAGATAAAAAAAAAAAAGAAAGAATTAATTTTATTAATTTAGCGATAACATCTCTAAATGATGTAAAAAAAGAGAAATTTTAAATAATTGAAAGTTATTCAAATAATCCAAAAGAATTTTTAGAGTAAGTTAAATCCTATGTGGAAAAAGAGATTGATTAATTAATCCAAAAGTTATATGAATAAGTTATGGAAATGAACTAATTTACAGAATATTAATAATAGTATCATTCATTAATTATTCAGCTTTATTAATAGACGACTAATTTATATATTGAAGATTTTGTCAAAAAAAAAGAGTTGCTTTAAGTTAAATTAAATAATTACATAAAAAAAATGGATTTGGATTTACATCAATAAATTTTTAAGTATAAAAATTGGTAATTTATAGTTATCTTTAGAAGCAGCAATTTTTGGAATAATAGATGTCATAATTGATGAAATAACCGAGTCATACAAATTCATTTTTATTTAAATCTACAATAATTTTAATTTTGATTATAATTGGATTAAATCCAATTATTATGTTTTAAGATTCCAATTAAAAAAATGAATTTCAAATAAAAATTGAAGAACTTCATAATATGATTAAATAATTTAAAGGAGAAATAGAGAGCGAAAATGAAAATTTTTATTCAGAATTTAATAAAACATTATAGGACTAAATATATAATGTTAAAGATGAAATAGATACAATAAATTAAAAGATAAACCAAACAGAAACACCATTCAATTAATTTAAGAATTATTTTAACACAAAATTAAAATAATATAATGAAACAATTTATAGTTAGATTATTTAAAAAACGGATGTTAATAAAGAAAATCTTTTAGCATTGCAATAATAATTTGTGGAATAAAATGATAAATTTTCAATATATAATAATCAAACTTCAAATATACTTAATTACTAATAATTGAAGGATATGAAAATAGAGTAAGATTTAAAAATGGTTAACAAAAACATTACATTTATACTGGAAGTAATAGAATAGTAGAAAGCATAATTACTAGCAAAGATAATGAATATGCAATAAAAGCTATAAAATATAAATAGAGAATAAATAAAAGAAAAATTATTAGGAAAAATACATGTTGATCTAGAATTAAAATGGTTGAAAGATTTTGTTATAATTTATGACGAATTTCTTACAAATCCATTAAATAGAAAAATAGTAAGATAAATTTAGAATATAACTGAAAATGATACAATAATATGTATTGGCGGAATGAAAGTAGATAATCCTTAGATATTATTAGTAGTAGGATGTGATTATTAATAAGAAATATTTTAATTTACAAATAATTGGTAACATGCTAGAAAAAGTTAATAGGGAGATATTTATTGGTATATGTTAGATAAATTTGCATTTGGATTTTCTCCAAAAGAAGAGATTCTTTTAACTTTATGTGATGATTTGGATCCAAGTGATCAGATGAGGTTTAGTTATTGGTTTGAAAATGGAAGAGATGGAGGGAGAAGAATTGGGAACTAAACATAGCTAATTAATTCAATAGATTATAAAATGTAGATGTATGCATTTTGAAAATTATTCTATTTTCTAAATAATATATATTTATACCAAATGACTATAAATTTCATAGTATTTACTTATTTTATAAGATATTTTTAAGGATGATCATATTATTTAAAAAAAAACAAATAGACTTCCTTCAAATTTTTAGAAGATTAAAAAATCTTATTAGCCACAGAAAATTATTGAAAATACTTAAAAAATAAATACAGTCAATAGAAATTATGGTCTGGTTTTCTTATTTCAATATTTGGATTTTTTTGTAAGATAACATAAATTTAAAAAATATATGTTGCATTCCTATTTGCATTAAAATCTTGCCCAATTATTTCTTATAAATTATCCCTAGTATTATCAATATAATCTGAATGGTTTCTTAAATACTAAAATTACATAATAATAACAAAAAAGAGAAGTAGAAGGTGTTTAAACATAAGTAAAAGTTGAAGATGAAGGAGAAGGAGAAGAATAATAAAAAAAAATATTTAAAAACAATAATTAAGAGAATAATGATAACAAAATTTAAATATTTCCTGGATCTAGTAAAAATTACTACAAGAATATAGGTTAAAAGATAGTGAAATTTATAGTTGAAAACTTTTCACAAGATTTTAAGGTAATGAATGATTCATAAATTAAACAATTTATAAAAATTTCAAGTCAGGGTTTCAATAGAAGTTCATTACAGAGACTTAAAAAATCAAAAATTGCTAGGAAAATACTTAAATTGTTCTTTTTAAATTTTTAATGGGTCAAACCTTTCATAACATAACATAAAGCAGAATTAGATTTATATTTTCGATATAATAATCAAAGTTATTGCTCAATAACAAAAAAAACACATTCAGGAGGAGTTAATATTAATTAAATCAAATAAGAAGAATGATTAAAATTTGAAAATAAAATATCTAATATATTTATTTGATTGAATTAATCATAAATCACGATTAATTATAAAAAAATTATTGTAATAAATTATTTTATCAATCCCAAATATTCTTATCACAAAAAAAAAATTTCAAATATGGAAAAATAATAAATTTTAATTATCTGGAAATAATCATTCTGATAAACAAATTGAATATATAGCTCAAGAAAATGATCTCAAAACCATAATAATAAAAGTAATTTTGCTCTGATTCTGAAAATAATTTATATAAACAAATAAAAACTAAAGAAAATATTACAAAAAAAAAATTAATTGATAACATACCTAATTTATTTATTATATTATTAATATAGATTTATTCATTAACTTATTTCTTTATTTAAAATTAAAGAAAGATAAATAGAAAATATTAAAAAAGTCTAATAAGACATTTTGGAATATTTGTGTTCTCATTAAACAAAAAATAAAAAGAAAATATGATTTTATGAAGATGTTATCGATAAAATATATTAATATAATTTAATTTTCAATTTATTTTAAATTTTATGAAAAGAAAATTATTAAATGAAAATTACTAAATAAAAAAGAATAAGAGTTATTCAATATAGAGATCAATTTAGAAAGAAATTTCATTAGATAGAAATTAAAGTATATCATTTAAAAAAGGGAATTCAGATTAATCAGGCTCAATGTAAATTGTTGAAATGTGGTCTAAAAAAATGAAAAAGCAATGTGATATTTATTTAGAGAATCTAAAATAGTAATAAGAAAAAGAAATGTAAATAATTCTTTATTATGTTCTTTAATAGCAAGAAATTCAATAATGTTCCACCAATTATGTTAAAAAACATTGACTTGATGAAACGAAGTGATAAAACTACTCTTCCAAGATCAAGAATAGCATCATTTAATTAACAAGATTTTAATTTAAAATCTAATATGTAAATCATACAGTAGAATGATGAACATATTGGGAATTCATTTTTTAGTATAACAAATTCGGGTAGATCTATCGGTCATCTTTAAAGGCATAAATTATCACCAATTAAGGAAGTTTAGAATTATATTCACCAATGTGATACTCTTCTTTAAGATGTTTAAAATATTAGTAAGTAAATGATACAAATTACAATAGGGAGTTTTATTAACCAAAACCAGATAGGTTTAATTTATATGTTTAAAAAAGACAAAGAGAGAAACTCAAAGAAATGTTTTTATTAAGAAGATAATAGTGATTTAATGCTTTTTATTTATTTGTAATAATTATTATTATTATTTTATATAAATGTAATAATTATATACTCTAGATAATATGATGCCAAAATAATATTTCGATTATTGTATCAAAAAGTATAATGAAAATGATTATAAGGAAAAAGAAATTGTTGTTGAAATAAGTGAATAAGCCATGAANAGATTTATTCATTAACTTATTTCTTTATTTAAAATTAAAGAAAGATAAATAGAAAATATTAAAAAAGTCTAATAAGACATTTTGGAATATTTGTGTTCTCATTAAACAAAAAATAAAAAGAAAATATGATTTTATGAAGATGTTATCGATAAAATATATTAATATAATTTAATTTTCAATTTATTTTAAATTTTATGAAAAGAAAATTATTAAATGAAAATTACTAAATAAAAAAGAATAAGAGTTATTCAATATAGAGATCAATTTAGAAAGAAATTTCATTAGATAGAAATTAAAGTATATCATTTAAAAAAGGGAATTCAGATTAATCAGGCTCAATGTAAATTGTTGAAATGTGGTCTAAAAAAATGAAAAAGCAATGTGATATTTATTTAGAGAATCTAAAATAGTAATAAGAAAAAGAAATGTAAATAATTCTTTATTATGTTCTTTAATAGCAAGAAATTCAATAATGTTCCACCAATTATGTTAAAAAACATTGACTTGATGAAACGAAGTGATAAAACTACTCTTCCAAGATCAAGAATAGCATCATTTAATTAACAAGATTTTAATTTAAAATCTAATATGTAAATCATACAGTAGAATGATGAACATATTGGGAATTCATTTTTTAGTATAACAAATTCGGGTAGATCTATCGGTCATCTTTAAAGGCATAAATTATCACCAATTAAGGAAGTTTAGAATTATATTCACCAATGTGATACTCTTCTTTAAGATGTTTAAAATATTAGTAAGTAAATGATACAAATTACAATAGGGAGTTTTATTAACCAAAACCAGATAGGTTTAATTTATATGTTTAAAAAAGACAAAGAGAGAAACTCAAAGAAATGTTTTTATTAAGAAGATAATAGTGATTTAATGCTTTTTATTTATTTGTAATAATTATTATTATTATTTTATATAAATGTAATAATTATATACTCTAGATAATATGATGCCAAAATAATATTTCGATTATTGTATCAAAAAGTATAATGAAAATGATTATAAGGAAAAAGAAATTGTTGTTGAAATAAGTGAATAAGCCATGAAAGAAATTTAAATTTTAAAGTGGTTCCATTAATTTCATAGTAAATAAAAATGAGTTTAGAATTTTTAACCTTTCATTCACAATTAAATTATCATAATTAATTATTATCATAATTTAAATCCAAAATGTACAGCCACAACTCCATCCATATAGTTTTTAAATCCTGCATATTTAAAACCTGTTTCCTCAACCATTTTTAATAAATCTTGTTGACTATGGAATTTTTCAATGCTTTCTACTAAATATTAATAGGAATGCCTATCATTAGCAACAAATTATCCCATAGTAGGAATAAAATTGAATTAATAAAATTAATTGAAAAAAGATAAAACAGGATTCTGAACTTTACTAAATTCCAAACATTAGAATTTTCCACCTTATTTCAATACTCTATGGGCTTCTCCAATAGCTTTTGGAATTCTTGGAACATTTCTAATTCCAAAAGCTATTGTATAAGCATCAAAAGTATTATTTTCAAATGGTAATTCTTCTGCATTTGCACATACAAAATCAATTTCTAAATTTTTTTTTATTTATTAAAATTACAATTTTAGTATCCTAATTCATTTGCTCTTTTTTATCCTACATCTAACATTGATTAATTTATATCTAAAACTGTTATTTTAAGATTTTCATTGAATAAATTATTTCCTTTATGTTTTTCAAGTATTCGAAAGGCTATGTCACCAGTTCCACCTGCAACATCTAATACTCTAATTTATTAGTCTCCATTTTTTAATGATCCCAATTCTTCAACAAAAGAATTTTTCCAACATCTATGAAGCCCAACACTCATTAAATCATTCATCAAATCGTAACTTTTTTTTTAAATAAAACTAGTACTTATTTGCAACATTGTGAAAGACTTAATTTACATGTTCTTATTTTTCTTCAAGTTTAACCTTTTTAAAACCAAAGTTAGCCTCTTAGCAAAATGTAAATACTCTCAGTTTAAATAGTTATTTTATCATAAATAAAATATTATATACAAAATAACTCTATCATCAAATTCACATAATGACATATCTAATTTTATTCTTTTTAAATATTTTACTATAGTGAAAAATTCTCTCATATAATTTATATATTAGGCAATTGATTATAACAATTATAGCATAAATAAAAATTCTATTCGAAAATGCAATTTTTTAATATCATATTAGCATTAATTGAAATTTAATATGTTTTCCATCTTATTATAGCTAATATGCTGAGTAAAATCTAAATGTGTATCAAAATATATTTATTATTCTTATCAAATATCTAAGCATCAAATTATAAAATATGAGAAAAATTAACTGAAAGGATTATTATCATCATTTGTTTATATTTAAATTATAGATTAAAATTCTTTTGATCAGAAATAACTGATTAATATTAATAAAATATATGGATCAGTAGAATATCAATTTTATTTAAAAATGAATTTATAAATTGAATTCATCATTTGATGAAAGCACTTTATCTACATATCAATTTTTTGATATTTTAAACAACATTGAAATTTCATTAATCTTAGTTATAATAATTTTTAATATTTTTGAAAATTCTCTAAAGAGATGATTCTTATTAATTTGAATTATAAATAAAGTTTTCTTTATCTTTTAATTGGAGTGAAATAAAATATAAAAGATAAAGAAAATTCAAAATAATTTTGAACTTAAGAATGTACAAAGATGTTTAATTCCCATATTAATCTTGTTTATATTTTTGAAATATGAAAAGAATAATCAAAATTATATAATAAATTAAATGAGGGTCATTTTTCGAGAATGACAACTCAAATTCCCAACACATGCAACAGTGAATATTAGCTTCCCATACTTATACGAAAATTCATCTTCGTATGGATATTATAAGCTAAATTAAAATCATTTTTATTAAGTATTTATTTTAAATATTAAAAAAATTTATAATTTTGAAGATTTTAAAAAGAAACAATGAAACAATTACATTTTTTATATTGATAATGATGTAAATGTTAAAATTGATTTTTAAAATTGCAAAAGAATCAATAAATTTGAATATGATAGCAACAAAGCAAAAATATTATGAAAAACAAATGTATCAATTTATTAATTTCTTTTCTTCTTTTGCCTTATAAGCAGCCTCTAACTATTCAAATATATCATCAAAATTTTCTTCTTCTTAAATAGGTTTAGGTTATGGCTCATATTAAACTTCATCATTAAAGCGAACACTAAGTTCTTTTTTAATTGATTTGACTTATGATGATTAATTTTGTTTCTTAAGAGATAATTTTAAAGGTTTTTTTTATGAAGTAGTTGAAACAGTTAGTTTCTATTAATCTGGTTCATCAATATGTTGATCAAATTAATTTATGTTTTATTAAAGTTATTGTTAAGGTAATTCTTCTTAAATTATTGAATTATTATTAATGGTCTCATTAAAAGTTTAGTTCATGGTAAGATCATTAGTTGGTTCTTCTCCCAGTTGATTGAGAACAAAATGCCAAGGAATTAAACCTTTATGGGCTTTTCTAACTAATTTTAAATGGGACTTAAATAAATGCAAAATATTACTTAAACACTAATATTCCCTCCAAATTTTTATAATCTATTTGTAAAATAGTCAAAGTCATATTTAGGCATTACTTAATAGTGCCATTCTTCTATAACATGCATATATTTGTTTAATTCATCAAGTTCATCATTACCAAAACGATAGTCTTTACATAAATTATACAAATAAAGCACACCTTTTTAAGGATCTGTTATTTATTCAGGTTTCAACCTATATTATTATATTTTCTTTTTTTTCTTTTAATTTTGTTAGTTTTATTCATTTTCTTCATTATTTTTATCTTCCTCTTCTTCATCTCTTTGTGATTTATTCTCAAGAATCTCTTCCTCATTTTCTTGTTAATTATAACTCATTTATTATTAAATCTATTGAATTTAAACTAAAACTTTAATAATCAAAAAAATTACCATATTTCTTTTAATAACTATCTTATGAAAATGGTAAGATGAAGTCTTTTTTATACATTTTCAATTTACATTTATATTTGTTAATTTGATTAAATTTTATCACTTATTTTTTATATATATCATATTCATTTTTAATCTTGAAGAATTTAGAAATATTTTTGATCTAATGTTTTTAAAACTGTTATTCCAAGTTAGTGACATTGACGTATTTACAATTATTCATCAGTGTACTTTTCATGAACAATCATATCAATCGGATCTATTACATAATTAAGATTTTCAGCTTTAATCAATTTCTCAACTAATTCTTGCGCTTAAAATTCTTTTATATTCAATAATTTAGCTAATGAATTTAAAGACATTCTTTTAAAATTAATAATGTACTATTTTTATAGAAATTAATATATATACTTATTTAAGTAAAGTATAAATGATCTTTTCTTTTATTTATTGTAGAACTGGGGCTGAAATGATATCTCTTTACAATTCATCCTAGAATATCAAATATGAATACAATAAGTAATTAGGACTTCATAATTAATTGTACAAAATCATAGTCAATATAACAATTTAAAGTCTCCAATACTGAAGGATCTACATCAAGTATTCTAATTATAAAAGGATGTTATAAAAGTTCAATAACATCTTTAGGTAATTTAGTAATAAGACTAGCTATAGCAAAATATTTGCTAAGATCAAAATAGCTTGTTATAAAAACCACAGATTCAAGATTATTAGTATCAATTTACAACAAATCATTTAAAAAATTCTTGTAATCCATTCTTACATAATTTCTAATGGCACTTAATAATAACCATTTCTAATAGGCTTTAATATTTTGATCTTTAGGATTGACATTAATAACTTTATAATGCATATAATTATTGCTTAAAATCATGCAGGTTACCCATGAATTGGCATAATCTAAGGCTTCTTATGTTTAATTATTTTCATGTGCTTTATAATAAGCAGCATAAGCTTCACCTAAGTCTCCAAATCTAAAATATAAATCTCCTAATTAGATGAAGGATTCTTTTAAAGCATTTCGATTTTATATATTTTTCGTTTGTTAGATTTGATTCTTTTTTTCTGTAATTAATTTTCTAGCTTAATTTAAATCTTCTCTTTAATAAGAAACTTTTATTTTTTCTGCCAAAATTGCAGCTGCTCTAAAATAAATGAAAATAATTTTACAAGCATAAACCATTTTCTTCTAGCTTAGGTATAATTTAAGGTATTAAGGAAGTATTATTTTAACCTAGAACAAATAACCTAATAGCTAATTAAGAATTTGTATAGGCTTTAAGTTAAGAAAAATCTAAATTCATAAAATAGAAATAATATATAATAAAAAGAATTTATTTAAAATTAATTATCATATTAAAAACCTAGAATCAATTTTAGATAAATCAACTAAATTACGCTCACCTACCCATTAATGGAAATTAAGTAATCCTGCTGAAATTAAATAAGTTAACATCAATGAAAGGTATGTATTATCAGTTAAAATTATCCAAAAGTTAAATATCATAATATCTGTAAATTAGAAGAAATATTCATGTCCACAAAAGAACATTGATTTAAAAGGTTGATCTGGATCTCTAAATCTGCAGGTGGATAATCAAAAAATCTTTATACAGGTAATTTATCTCTAAAACATTTAGTAAAATTTGTTCTGATCTTAGATAAAAGTTTAAAATACTTAAGTTAAAACATCTTTTAGATAAAAGGAGAATGTATCTTTTATAGTTTAAACTAAAGCCATATCTAGACCATCAGGAACAAATTCTCTTAAAATTCGACTAAAATTAATATAATTAATTACATTTCATTGTAATTTTGATATTAAGAATTATCACTTTTTTATTTGAGTTCTTAATTATAAACTTTTTCATAAGCATCTCTAAATCTCAGAGGTAAAAATAATTCAAAAGTTTAAAGATCTACATCATTTTAATGTTATTATGAAGATTCTTAAATAAATCCTCTCTTTCTTCCTTTACCTAATGCTTCATAATGTAAGCAATTTGCTAACCTTCAGCATAACCAACTGGATTCTCTCCATGAATATTATATCCATGTAAGACATTATCCAATATTAATATTGATAGATTAGATATTGCACATAAATCAACACAATCTTCAATCAATATGGGAAACCATATATCAAACAGTTTTTATCTAACTAGATATATTTTATTATTTTATTCTAATTTAAGCTAAACCAATTATCATATAGAGAAAATGCACATAAAACATATTAGATAACGTAATTCTTGGGATTATTTTTTCCAATGTTAAATTTGGTTATTCTTGATCTAAATTTCTATCCATTTCAATCCTTCCAAAAAGAATTCCACAAATTATAAAGTCAATTCAACACTTACTATTCTATATATTTATAATTCATTGAATTCATTTGCTATTAAAATCATTCTCCACACTCTATTTTGATTATGCTGATTCCACCATTTTTAATACATTATTATCTAATTTGTCTGTTAATTCTCTTTGTCTCAATACTACAGATATTTCCCAATCTATAAAGAACACTTGAACATCAGCTTATCTCAAAATTAAATTGAACATTGATATCAATCTACATGCAAACATCATAAAAATAATATTTCAAATGATCTATAATTATTATCATAGTCTGAAAGTGGAGGCATCAATATATATCGAGTTTGTTGGAATTTAAAAAAACAAAACAAATATCCTGTGAAAATAGCCAAATAATAAAAGATGCTTCTGCCCAAGTTTCCAGTTTAATATAAAATGATTTTA